CGACATTAATAGTGAATGAACGGTCATTAGGAGGTATGTTAAGATTCTTGTTTGAAATACCTACAGAAGTTACTTTTTCCAATAATTTCTTGAACATATAAAACTCGCACTTTCTCGTCAAACTAAACATGTTTCAATATTCTACACGAGAAATTGCTATTGAGGAACTCTAGATTAGAAATTTTGTTTGATGATCATTCTCCATTGACTCACCCAGAAAGGCTCGCGCCTTTGCTGTTCAAAAGTTTGTCCCCGAAAGTTCATGTATGGCTACGCCACGGGTTCTCTGATAAGAAATGTTATAAAAAATTTTTTATTTTAAAACTATATGCTTGTTGTATATGCAGTTATTCGTTTGCCCACGTGCACCCAGCATTGTTTGTCAGATAAAGCTCGCGTTACTTGACAAATTTTGCTTAGATTTTCATAAGTTTTGTGATGGCTACTGTCAGTTTGTTTATTTTTAAATGTTTTTCTTTAGTAGCGTTGCCAGATTTGAACCAAAATCACAAAATGTGAATTTTGAAAAAATATTAATTTTCGTTTCGCTATTGACTTGGATATGAGTAAATGCAGAAATATTTACACTGCAGTACCCAATATTAATGTAAAATTTAATTGAAATTTCTGTTTACGGTCACACAATAAGCAAGTTGAACATTAATGGGGAGCAGGAAACGGGCAGGCTTACAACTCATTTGAATTTATGAGTTTCTGTGCTTCTACGCCTTCAAACAAATGGATGAATAAAACTAAATTCAAATTTGCTAAGCTGTTTTTATCACTTAACCATTTTAACAAGCAACAATTTTTGTTTCTTTTTTGTACTTAAGTTTTTTCACTGAAACACAGTCGAAATATTATCTATTAATGTCTTCATGTGTCTTACTATAATACCTCTAATTTGATATCTTTTTGTGTTGGAAAAAGTTTCTTCCACATATAACATATATAAAACTTTATGAAACTTTGAAGCTTACAAAGGATTGGCTATGTGTATGAAAATATTGTACTTATGAAAGTTGCTAGCTTTAAAATAGCCCTGCAAGGTTGGGACATTTCAAGTAATAAATCACGTTAACCGTGGATTATAAATAACGAAATAATTTCGGCAGTATATAGAATCACTTTTCTTCCTGTTTTCTCAAATTTTACGCTATATTTCAAACAAAAGCATTTAATTCATCATTACTCAAGTGTTCATTAATATGCTCGACTGCTGATCCTAACTTGAAAACACAGCAAACGTTCTCACAGCAACGCTGTTGAGGCTCAATCATGTCACATGAACGACATAACGAAAGATGACATAAACGACATTTAACAAAGTTGTTATTTCATAAGAGACAACATCAGATTAGGTCGTCATCTACCTTTGTTTCTATCTTTTTGTCTACCTTTTTGTCTACCTTTTTGTTTATCTTTGTGTCTACCTTCAAGTCTACCTCTGTGTGTACCTTTTTGTCCACCTTTTTGTCTACCTTTTTGTCTATCTTCAAGTCTACCTCTGTGTCTACCTTTATGTCTACTTTTATAGATACCTCTATGTTTACCTTTGTGTCTACCTTTCTGCCATTTAATGGTCTAAGTTACGAACATTTAACTAGTCCGGAATGGCAAAAACTATAAACTAATTATGTCTAGATACAACGGCCCTCTTGAAACCCGGGCCTTTTGACTTCAGCATATTTAGCCTAGTGAGTAATCCGCCATTGAGTGAGCGTTTTTTTCTCCAATTTTCCGGAAATTGTCGTACATTTCCGTGCTATTTCACACGAAACCTGACAAACAAAACTTTTGCTCGAAACCTTTTATTGTAAGTCATTTCGTTAAATGATTACAACAGATAAACATGTACGGGACTGATTAATTTACCAAGATGATAGCTTGAACTGACTGAATCTTCCGGTTTGTATGAGAAAGTGGAATGTTTTAGACAAACACTTATCGTACTGGAAAACTATGTTTACAATGAGGTCATTTATATTTTATAGAGCAACAACGATGGGAAAAAACATATCCACTACAAATGAACGATGACAACAACCAAATCCGGCGATCACATTTCAAGCACATCGCTTTTTCCACTTGCCTCTAATGATCACCACCACTTAGTTCTCTTCAATGTGATTATTACAACTATCATTATCCCATGTATCCACCACGTCCATTCTACCTATTTCCAATGCCTTCAAATTGTGGTTTTCCTATCCGTAACTCTCCTAGCACCGAACTAGTTACGCGTGCAAGCGTACTAAAATTCAATAATCAAAGCAGTTACGACATCCATTGAATTGACTAAACCATCACAGGACCGTTCATCCCAAGACAATGGTATATTATGTATACAATACAATCTGGGCAGACTATTTCGATAAATTGAGATATGCCAAACTTTCGTTTGGATTTACGAAATATCTCTGTTAAGGTGTCTTTTTTCAAAATGCTTGTAACTTTTAGGAGTTTCTGTAGTTACAGCCAGAACCATTTGCGATGACGGAAGACAAGATGATAAATGGAAATGAAGGAAAACGACACAAACCTACCTCAAGATTACAAACTTTGCTGCAGGCAAATGACAAAGAGCTAAATAGAAGTAAGATTGACTGTTTTTAAACAAAAGGTAGCCAAAAAAATTGACGCCATGATGACGACCTTTGACCTTCATGTCATATCAAGAAATTACGTGACCAACGAAGATCATCGTAGCCAATAAAGCACGTGACAATTTGGAAATTATAAAGTTTTTTTCACTTTGTGTATTTATCATTATCCAATCATGTACTTCAATTCTCGAGAACTATTATATTCATGAGCATGTTTTCTCTTTTCTCATTGCCTTTATTGTAACATGAAGATTATCTATTGCAAGAATATTCACAAAGAATATTCATATACTCGTCTCTTTCATGAAGAGGTGGAAGACAAGAAAGCTTGGAATGACGATTTTAAGCTATAACATGCATAGGAGTGAAAGGACAACGCTCTTTTTGTCTCGAGATCTTCTAAATGTCTGTAAGGACTAAATGAATAGATCCAATCTTCTCAACTTTTCATAAATTTTAAAGTATATTCTCGTCCATAAAACGCTGGTGATATAAGGCTACTGCTGTATTAATAATCAGAAATACGAATCATTTCTCATCTGGTATATTTCTTTAAAAGCCAACACCCAACCTTTGTTAGAAGTCAGAAAAAACCAAAGACAAAATGTTCATTTTCTTTTGAAGCTAAACACCACATTACACTTTAGTGTTGTGTGGCCAATTGTTATAATTTCAATGCCTAATCATTATGCCTATCCCACGGGTATACTACGGTGCATATTTTGCTGTTACGGCAAGAAATGCATGCAGTGTATAAAAATAGCTGACATTTGCAAAGTGAAAATCATTGTGACGAAAGAAAATTTCAATTACATCAACTAATAAAACATTCATGATTTGCTAAGAACAATAGTGATTGATCAAAAATAAAAACTCAGTCACAAAAAAGAGCCTGTGAGGGATTCATCTGTGTTCGATGCATACATATAAAATGCATGAAAGCTCTTGTCATCTAAACAACCCAACACAAATGTGAGCAGAAAGCAACAACAGCAAGTGAAATGGCAGAGCAACGATGAAATCGAATTCGACAAAATGAGCAATCTTCGACAACAACTTGGCTACATAAATCAATCAACTGCGAAAAGTTTGAATAAAAGACCAAGTGCAATGTTAATCCACGTCAACGGTGATGTTGGAAAGAATTTGCTGATCAATGAAAGGGATTCTCAGCGAGGATTGCACGCAAATTATTAACTAACAAAACAGAATTACAAGAAAGTGAACCACGTCTACCAGGCAAACCATATGTCAGTGGATATACCGGATATTTAAAGTCTAAGCTTTTGATAAGCATACATGCAGTTGCATTGAAGCTATCTGATTGTGTGCCAACGTAACAAAACAGATAAGAGCGCCATCAAGACTATACAGAGTGCTTTTTCACGATATCCAATCCATCCACGCAATATTTAGAGATAATGAGGCTGCTTTCTCAAATGTGCAATGAAGAACCATGTTATCGAAATGCAGGATATGACTCGTGAAATATATACGACATTCGAAAAGACTACATCTCAAAATCTAAACGATGGGAAAATTCATCTCCTACATATATTATAAAAAATATTCTGCTAGAACCATAAGCTTTTGTATAGAAACCATGAAAATATTATGTATGATGATAAAAAGTATGTTGTCTAAGTCTAAACCGAAAAGTTAGAAACTTCCAGCGCTACTAAATTGACTACGAACATGCGCCTTATTGTTCTCATTCACCACATGGCAATGTCTGACATTGTACATATTTTATTGGTCTTCCTCATTTCTTTCAGATTATTTATTGTCCAACAACGATAAAGTTCCACGTCTGCAATGCTCAGTAAGACCCTTTCTTCACCCTGACAATGATGGTGAAGAAAAACAAGTCAAACCACAATATATGTGAGCCTTGCGGTAATGGAAGGAAGTTAATGTTCTTCTCTCAGAAGCCCTTGACAAGATTTAATCCGCTGTCTATGTCTCTCGTCTGGTCGAGTGGTAAAGTTGTTGGTGCCGTGATCACACCAGCCTCGAAAGGTTGTGTCTTGCACTAGACCAGAGAGTTCGTTGGTAGCCATTGAGCAATTTGAGTATCATTCCTACTTCGTAGTTTTTATTGCAAAAAACTTACTTTTAAGGTATCGCAAACTATTATTGCTGAATTTCAAGCAAAAGAATGTAACAAAAGCAAGTAATCACAGTTGTAAAAATATAAAGCATACAAAAAAGTAGTTAGAAAGAATGAAAGCATAGTATGATTATATTTACATACATTTATAATGTCAGTTTGATCATAAATCAGCAATACTTTTATAATTACTTATGTCTTCTTTTGAGATAGAGAGAGAGACAAATATGTCTGAACAATTCTTTGATGAACAGCACGTGAGAGAGAGACTGTCTGAACAATTCTTTGACGAACAGCATTGCTTATGATCAAGCAATGAAGATTTCTTTCAGCGGATATTGTCAAGAATGACACATTTCTACTTTGACGTTGGTCGATCAGGATTTGAAGAGAACGACTTGTTTTCTTCTATAAAATACATATAGGAAATGAATTTTTCTTATCACTAAGATTTTGAGATGCATTCTATTGTATTGTCGTATATATTGCACGAGTCATATCCTGCATTTCAATACCATGGTTTATCATCGCATATTTGACAACGCAGCCACATTATCTCTAAATATTATTGGATATCGTGAGAATCGATTGCTCACTTTGTCGAATTCGATTTCATCGTTCCTCTGCCATTTCACTTGTTGTTTTTGCTTCCTGTTCACAATTAGGTTGGGTTGTTTAAATGACAAGTAGCTACTTTTACGAGCTTTCGTGCTTTTTATGTATGCATCGAACAGAGATGAATCCCCCACAGGTTCTTTCTTTTGACTGAGTGTGTATTTTTAACCAATCACTATTGTTCTAAGGAAATTGTGAATGGCGTATTAAGTGTCGTAGTTGAAATTTTCTTTCGTCACAGTGATTTTCACTTTACAAATGTCAGCTACTTATATACACTACATGCATTTCTCGGCGTAAAAGCAAAATATGCACCATAGTATACCCGTGGGATAGGCATGATTCACTTACATATTGTTTGCCTGATAGACGTCGTTCACTCCCTGTAATTCCGTTATTTTAGTTAATAATTTCCGTACAATATCCGTTAAAAATCCATTCCAGTGACCAGCCTATTCCTCGTTAACATCAATGATTTCTTGATTTTGCTCTCCACGTGATCTTTTATATAAACTTCTTGCTGTTCATCATTTCATAACCTAGTTGTCGACAATCACTTCTTTTGTCAAATAATAAAATTTACCCATTGCTCTGCAATTGCACTCGTTTCCACTTCATACATTTTGATTAGAATTTGAATATTTATACACATTAACCACTATTATATAATGTCTTCAGAAGCGTTCAGAGAAGAGGGCAATGTCTCCTGAAGAAAGCATAACAAAAAAGTTTAGGACTTAAAATGGACGTTATGCTCAACTTTGGTCTATATTTATTTGCCCGCATTTATCTGCAACTTCAAGTAAATCGCTAGGAAATAATCAACATATATAATAATTTCGTATATTAATCCTTAGGATTATATGACTGACGTCAATAACTCAGGTAATGTCTAAAATTCTTGGAAGTTGTACAAAAGCAACTCTGTTCCTTCACGGAAGGCAACCAACTATTATCACAATTGGTTTTAGAAAGAAAAGATCAACGAACTCCCGACTATATGATGAAATTTGTTTATCAGGATCGGTCTAAAACATTTTGAGATGATCATCCAAAATGTCTCAATCAATTGTGACTGTACGGTGTCAAGGGATCTGAACCAGCTTGGTTCAGGGAGTACTCGATTCATAGATCACAATCGATAAAAGTACGGAACATTCGGTCTTTTCAAAGTGATATTTTCATCGGAGTAAGACAGGGATCCATTTCGCATGTGTTCAATTATAATACTAGTTCTTTTAATGAAATGAAGAATTTTGTTGTAAATAGTGATAAAGTGCTGACATGCTGTTCTCCTGCTTTGTCATGAGGATTTTGAAAAAAATTTCTTAAAGGATTGAATGAAGACACGGATCAAAATGCTCGTGGTTAAATCTGAAGAAAGATGAAACAGAAGAAGCAAGGATCTTTAGTACAACCCAACGGCTGAGACGCAAACGAGAAATTCTGTAACACTGCAAAAAACGTTGCTACAGGACATTTTAATGAAGAAGAATTTAAACCTCCTCGTTTCACGTGCAAGAATCCTTGTTGAAGCACAATTATTTTTCTTTCGTTGGATTGCTTGCATTTCTACTTTGATATCTACTTCGAGGACAAAAATAATTAAAAGCAAACAAGGAAAAACAACTCATCCACAAGGAAGAGAAGGGAGAAGAAGGCAGAAGAAGGGAGAAAGGAAAGGGAAGAAGAAGGGGGAGAAGGATAGAAGGAGGGAAGAAGGAAGAAGAAGGGAAGAAAGAAGGAGGGCGAAGGTTGCAGCAGCGGAACGCAATTCTAAATCCGCTTGACAGACGACAAGATTTGAACGAGATCATGTTACCTCAAATTTGTTTTCAACTTCTTGAACCCGATGCCACGTATAATCATGTCGTTATAATTTGACTAAAAATTGAATAAAATTACTTTCTAACTCCATATAGTACAATATTAAAACCATTTGAAAATATACATATACTTGGTGTGAGTACAAACTATCAAACTAACGTACAACAACGGCACACACGACGACGACCACCACCGACACTTGGCGGAGGCGTGACAGGAGCAAAGTAGGCGTGCACTCTTAAATTTGGTAAATGTGTCTGGAATGGAAGAAGAAAGAAAAAGTTTAAGGCATCTGTGCTCTGTGTGAAACGTTTTGTTTATAAGTGCAACTGTGAAGGCAACAGTAAAAAATCTCGAGGCTTGTACAGTCTGGGTATTAAAAGTCGTTCGGCAAGAACATACAATGGGTAGACAAAAAAAAATAGCACCGCTACAAATGTTACAAGATTAAGATTACACGATCGTGAAGAAACTGTTTTGTTATAGCTTGCTCTGCTTATAAGCTTTAGAAATGAAATTTTATACAACGTATTTTATTCTGTGCGTCCCAACATGACAATGAACTCATACACACAAGTGAAATTGTTTCAAAATATCGTAAAAGTAAGAAGGTTCGTGTGACGCAATGGCGAACCAAGTCGCGAGATTTGAACATTACGAAAAACTTATAGGTAGAATTAAATGGCATGAAAAACCATGAAATAATAATGAACTGTTTCAAATGATTGGAAATAGATGGAATGAACAACTAACAAAGCTGGTTGAAAACATATCTAGAAGCATGGCTACATCCTGCTAAATTTTGTTAAGATCCGATTGACTTTCAACTGACGATTTTTTTGTTTAGTTTATTCTTCAACAGCAAATCTACGTTTATTTCTACACATTTCTCCAAATGTGACAAACTGCAAACCACAAATTACGACAATTTTTAAAAGGGGTGGGCTATTTTTTATCCACCCATGGCAAATCCACTCACTTTAAGTCTACGAATGCCAACACGGGTGACCAGCTGACAGTCATATAGCTCGATACGTTTCAGCGACCTACAGTCTCTGCAAAATTAATAGAACTATACGTAAACTCGTAATTCATTAGCTACTCTGTTCACTTTATAAACAAACAACGCATGGTTTTTATTTGACATCGAACTCGATGAAACATTTTCACTGAGGACAGGATAGCTCGAGTTGCGAGACAATGATTGACTCGGTCGCTCTCCTTCAACGGAACTACCTTCCGATAATCTTCATCTCGTTCATGTAATTGTTAAATAATTTCAACATTTCCTCAACAGAAATGACGTTCATCCTTACTTTCATGCAGGGATGAATTTACTAGAGGGGGTGGGGTGGTTTGAGGTGGGGTGCGGAAATGTTTGCAGGAAGGATGTCGATTTCCCTGAGAAACAATAGTACTCCAAAAAATTAAGGCAAAGCATTTGTGATTTTTGTCTAATGGAGCACTCTTGTAAAAAATATCGTCACACCACGACGTGAAAGAAACACAATTTGCAAAAAATGACAGAAATGGCACGGTGACATCCGCAAAGAAACCTATGCAATCACGTACAAACTAAAGCCACCCCCCCACCCCATACAAATCATGCAATTTAATCGATCTCTTATTGCTCGTTCTCAATTTTCTTGACAATGGCTTTCTAGACTATAGCTGTTTATAGAAAACTCTACGATACACGTTTCGGGCAATCTGATTGGCTACGGATTAGCAAGTTTTAATTGTGAGGTACTTCGACGTTGGCTAATTGCACTCACAGAACACAACGTCGGCTCAATAACATTTTCCTGTTCCGCATTCTCATGAGACGACGTAATTAAACTCCCCTTCATACCTCAAATAATTGTACAACGTATTTTTTCTCAACGACAGAGTAGATTCTTTCTAAAAACCCTGTCACAACATGACCATATTTAGATTACCTATCCCTCGGCACAAAGCCTCAGCAATCTGAAGACAAATTCATTTGAGATAAACCAAAATTAGATTCGTTATGCGACACGACCAATTTTATAATTGGTCCTAACCCTAACCCTAACCCTAACCCTAACCCTAACCCTAACCACAACCCTAACCTTATCCAATAGCAAATATGGCCAATATCACGACAAATTGAAGATTGGCTATACCAAACAAAATTATAATGGGCTAATGACATGATCAATTTTATCATTGGTCAAAGCATCGAATTGGTCAACTGGACAGTTAGGACTACAGTGTATGTGTGTGTATACACCGGCATAAGCGGGATATTTACCACACGCTGTTTTCCGGATGGATGTTAAACTAAGAAAAAATGTGACAGGTTGTCTTAGCCTGATTGGTTGGTACATTAATATTTCGTAGGTGAATTCGCACCTCCCTGCACCCCTTCTAGCCAAAGCTTGGGGGCTGCGCATCTCCGCATCGCTCCCCTAAATCCATCCCTGTGCAAACGCTAGTGCTACACGCACCAGTGTGTGACAGGAACTTAAAGCGACGTCTCATTTTCATTACCGTAATCGGAGACAGATAAAAGAAGATACGTACCTTAGATGATGCAATGCGGCGTCCGTAATTGCCGGACAGTTATCTAACTCTAGAACCTCGAGGTATTCCTCAACATTATGACCTCCACTCAATCTGTGGATACCATCGTCGCTGATTAGCTCGCAATGGGACAAACTCTGAACGGTATGAAAATACATTAAGACATGTCACAGTGTTTAGGTCGTGTTTAGTGATGCACCGATATAGGATTTTACCGATGTACCTATGTTAAAATGCCGATATCGTGCCGATACAGATATTTTATGCTATTTTACGAAACTTAAACATTATAAACTATGCCACTTTATGTTCACCAGTGACCGTTCGTTTGACAAAAAAATATAATATTCCAAGTGGTCATTTACACTGCAGGAAAAATACCGATAATTCTATTTTAGAGCCGATATGCCTTAAACCATTAAACTATGGTTCATTTCAATCGTATTTCTATATCAATGAAATGTCTAAATATCGGTATTATGAGCAAAAAAATACCGATAATTCTATTTTAGAGCCGATACGCCGATATCGGGGCATCTGTAGACATGTCACATCATCGTAGATAAGAGCATAGAAAAAAGATGTGAATTAACGCTATCATACTAGCCTACATCACGGACCATAATGCGTAGGGTCTGTGCAATATCCACGGGAACTTTCCCCTTAGTTAAATGAACTACACTACACAAATTTATTCACTTCGCAGTTTCAGAACGGCTGACACAAGGAGTGTGATGTTGAATAAAACGAAATATGAAGTCAGTAATGAGGCTTGCTTGCCGATTTCCGCAAGTTGAAAGGTTGTATGTCTTTTTCATCTCGTTGATAAAATGATCGGGACAACTGTTTGCACTGCTTATTTTGTGGATGAAAACAAAAATTGCAAAATATTGAAGACGGTGTGCACTCGATTGTGTATATACCCGACAAGCAGTTGTCGCAACCAATTTTTCAGAAAGATGAGAAAGCCTTTCGATAGGCAGAAATTAGAAAGCGATCCTCATTTTCGAATAAATTTTGTAAGACGCAGCTAACTAATGCGAAAGCCTACAATAGTGCCAATATTGCATTGAGTCAACGCAGTATGACGTATATATAACGTATGCCACTACCATACCAATTGACGAAGATTTGAACACCAAGTGGAAAGATTCGCAAGTGTTGCATCTGTAATCTGAAAAAAAAAACGAAATCGAAATCACAAATGAAAACCAATAGTCCGTTCCTTCATTAATTTCGTCACTAGAATCGGTTTGCCATCAAACAAAAGCTTCTCGCAAAAGTCGAAATTTGAAAGTACGAATTGAATTTTGATTAAATATGATTGCCTATAAAAAAGCGCAATTGCCATGGTGAAAAGCCAAAAATTATAGGGTCCCCAAGAGTTTTGAAACCTAAGAAAGCAAAGACAAAACCAAGAGTTCTGGAAAGAACTGTTTAATACTGTTCTAATTATAAAACTCTATAACTATTGTCCATTTGCCAAGGCAATTACGCTTTTGAAGGCAATATTTAGATTTGTGATTAAGACAAAGTCTTTGTTTCATAATTAAAAAACTTCATGCTCTATTATCCATCTGAATACCCAACTATCCGTCAGAATGCCCTACTAGCCATCTAAATGCTAGACTATAAATCTGAATACCCCATGCTGATTTTCTCATTCGTGTAGATGTGGACCGTTTTGATAGTACATGGTGTATTAAAAATAAGAGGACGATTTTGAAATGTTGAGTAGACCACGAACTTAGCCAAATATCTAATGTATTAGTACCTAGAATGGGTACTTTAGTATCGTCAGAGTCTAAAATCAACAAAAAAATGAAGCTCGAAAACCGCATTTTAAAAGGCTTGCCCAAGCAGAAATGAGGAGTTAAAGATCAAATTTGATTTTAAGGAATGAAAGTTTTGGTCTCGCTTTACAAACAATGATTTAGAGCCCAATCCTCCAGATGTCAGGTGAGGCCTAAAAGTGAGAACTACCGTAACAAGGTGAGGCCAACAAGGACGCCAACTTGAAAGGTGGCAAAATACAAAACTAAAGATGAAAAGTAAGCTAAAAGTAGATTTGAAAACCCAATCCTATCAAACATTTCAAAAACTAAACCTAGACTATCGACTTACAACTGTATATCAACTCAGAAAAAGCAAATATTAATCGTAAATATCGTCAGTTTTGCCACCTTTCAAGATGGCGGCTTAACTCACTCGTAACCATAGATTTTCGGCGGAGTCAGATATCAAGTAGATTAGGTTCTAGGTCATTGCAACTTTCACATAATGTTAAAAAATCACAAGCACATAACTCTCGACAAGTACACACCAATGAACATTCTTCCAAATCCATTTTCTCTAAATTATGACAGCCCTAAACAAAAGTACAGAAATGATTATTCTCAATTCTCAACAAAGCACTACGCGGCCAAAATGAAGACTGCAAAATCATAAATAAAATCCAACTTTCATTATGTTTATACCTTAGCCAGTTTACTGAATCCAACATCGGTCAACTGAGAACATTGCGCTACTTCTATAGTCCTGCAAAAATGAGGCAAAAATTGAGAACAAACAATCCTACAGAATTCACGAGTTTCGTCTTGGATGTATCAAGTCCCCAGTCACAGAACAGAAGATAATAGGTCGCCGCTCGGGAATGAAAAGTGTTGAAGGAGTATAAGGAGATGGCCGCGTGTTATTGTTGATCAGTTTCTTCGATTCAACATTTCTAAGTGGGGTGCTTCATCGTCCTAGCAAATGTGCCGGGGCCTCGAGCCGGTGTAGATTTATAGGCTTAGTAATCAAAGTGTTATAGCTTTTTAAAAAATTTCTATAAAGTTAATTATGAATCCCAGTTGTGTATCTGTACAGTACTTTACGTTAAATAATCAACAAAGCTTCATAAATTATATATCCAAATATTGCCAACGACGAGTGAAAGAGGAGTACGTACAACAGTTCAAAGCAACAGGCTACTTCACATTTAGTAATTTATTTTGGTTTTGCTAATTCAACGAAAATGCGCAAAGTGATGAATATTAACACAATTGCAAATGGTGATAGTTTAATTATTTAAATGCCTTTCAAATGATAAGTTGCACTTTTTTCTCAGAATTACTGAACAATTTCCCAGCCGCTAATACTATTATAATAGTCTACAGTGCGTAATAACATTTGAGAAGTTTCTTGGGGGTGCTAGAGAATTTAGGGGGCCTGTGTGCGCCCCAGAAAATTCGCCCCAGCGTTGCTAAGGGAAAACTATTTTTGACTAGATTGCAAATATGGACAACACAAGTAATGTAAGAGGAAGTATGTTTTTCGATGTGAAGTCTGGCACATGCAATCAATTAAAAGGATTATAGTGAATCGCAATCAAAGACGTTTTAAATATTGGTCATGCAAGTATAGATAAACCTATGAATTACTATCCTCCCTGGTCATGCTGGTGGACTCCCATAGTCATGCTGGTAAAAAAACCTACGAATTACCATCTCCCATGTCATGCTAGAAGATTATGCTATGTCTGGCCATGGTAGTAAATAAACTAATAAATTGCCATCGGCCTTAGTCACGCGAGTGAATAAAAATATCAGTTACTATCTCCTTGGTCATGCTCGAAGATTAACCTATATCTCTCTTGGTTAAGCTGGTAAAGAAACCAATGAATTACTATCTCTCTAATTCATGCTAGTACACCAACCAATGAATTACGTACTATCTGCCATGGTCATGCTCGTATGATATATGAAAAACGTTGTGCGTACCTAAGATCTGGACAGCCTTCGCCAAGCGCTTGCAGTGAAGCATCGGTGAGATGAATGCAACCGGAAACACACAGAAACTGTAAACTTGAACAGTTTTTACCGACGGCTCTTATTGCCGCGTCCGTAAGAAGCTGCAAAAAAAAATATTCAGTCGCACCATAATTTTGCAAGATAAACGTTCATAAGACGTTAACGTGTGTCATATTTTATTTATATAACCGTTCTTCAAGATACCGGCAAGGCATCGACGTCATCCAATTCAAAAATACGACTAAATTCACAATTAGATTCACAATAGAATTAGCAATTTACAAAGTGTTGTACACTTTTCATCGAAGCACCGACATCCGGGTCAGGAACAGGACTTCTTCGGATGGTAAAATCGATTCTAAGAGCATTTGCAATATATTTGATAAGACAAAACTCTTATTTTTTTTGGCCCAGAAGTAGATGACTTCGCACCGGATGTGACGTTAAAGGGAGAACGTAAGCATTGAAGCTTTCGTTATTCTGAATACAGCTGTTATAGCAAATCTTCTTGAAAGACCGCACTTCCAATTTAGAAGCCGCAGAGTTGTATCGTTCTACGACATCGTTTGAGCGAAAAATCAAAGAAAACGTTGAAAAGTAGAACTGCCCAACTAGGCCCTAAAGATGAAATTTTCGACCTATCAGATATTTAAGAAAAACATCTTATATATATTCATTACATACATAATATTCCTTATACTACTGAAGATGGCATCATAAGATGTTGAAACATGTTTATTTTAAAAAAACTTGTCGTTTTTTTTAAATGCGCAATATCAATAGTGCTTTTACGCAGTTACGGTAATATATATGGGAGTTGAGCATATTTCAGAGGCTTTCTATACACAAGGAAAACCACATACCTCGCAGCTATTGAAATTAAGCGCTTGCAAGCCAATACAGTTCCGTGCCAAATGTTGGACTCCCTCGTCTTGTATCTTAACCACGGAAAAGAAAATATACCATCAGAAAATAAACACTCTGATGCAAAACAATCTTAAATGTATGCCACTTTCACTAAATCCTATGGTACCTCGAGCGTGTGCTATACTTCATAATCCCTATTGTACGTTGGAGATACTATAATATCCACATATGAAAAACACGAAAATGAGCTACTTCCACCTGGGACTTAGGGGCTGATTACATGAGCCCGGGTAGCCGGGATTCAGCGAAGCGATAAACGACTTTGGCAAATGGAAAAAATTCAATACTTATCATCAGATCAATCTTCTTGAGCATTTTCACAATATTCTGACTTTATAAATACGCCAAGCATTTAAAATGAAAACAACTAATTTGGCCTGATTTGAGAATTATAACAGGAAGGACTTGTAGCGCTTAACGAACAGTTGTAATTTTTTCACTTGAAGTTTCGATTCTTTTTAATGCCTCGAAATCCTTTCACGCCTCACTGAATCTCGGTTAGCCGGGGTCATTTAAATACTAGGACGCAGTATTCAAAATTCTTAAAGGGGAACTCCACCCTCACATAATGTTTGTCTTAAAACTTTGTCTGTCCCGTGAAAATATATATGCGGCAATTTTTCTGTTTGTTTGATTCAATATTTTCACAAAAAATGAGTTGAAATGCTGCAGCTAGGGCATCCGGTGCTTAGGAGCAGGAATATGTCAGCGGCTTGTATTTGACATCATATCGTCAATTGCTACTCAAAGCTCTATGTAAAGTCATTGCACAGTCATAACAAACTTGACTCAAAATGCTTCTCCTAATCACAAAATGTTTCTTTTCGAAACGTCAGAATTTTTAATTCTTAGGTATATACACAAGTAACTTTTATAGCCTACATGCAAGTATTGAGCTGGTTATTTGTATTCTGTTTTAATAGAACGGTTTCACATCCATAAAGGCCATCATCGCACAGTTTCCGCACTACATATAGAATTTAAATATCGATTAATATTATTTTTTAAAAAATACGAAGGTTTATTTGTGTGGAAACTGTGCTGTAATGCCGTTTGCTTCGTTTGCTTGTCCTGCGAATTCAACCTTAACAACAGTTTCTACTGATGTGAAACCAGTCTATTGCCACGAATAACATTGAACAATAATAAAACATGGTTGTGTGATTTGGATTCATTATGGTTAAAAAATAATCCTACATAAAACCATTGTAAGATTAGCCTTTCGTGCATAGAATTTAGGTGTAGTTTCCTTGACGTAAAGTATGAACTTATAGTTTCCCAATTATTTGTACATAATTTCCCTTTTTTAAGTCACATTTGAGACAAAAATTGCCAGTGCTATGAAAAACAAACACCCTCATATTGATCACCAATATGATGTGTGGCATTTGTCTAAATCTGTAACAAAAAAACTAACAAAGGCTAACATTAAGGGAAATGATGACTTGACCCATTGGATTAAATCCATTTCTAATCATCTTTGTGGTGCTCTGCAAGTTGTAACAAGAATGCAGAAGAATTGGTGGGAAAATGGAAGTGTATCCTTAACCAACAACAAGCATTTCTGGAGAGGGAACACATATTTTCATCAATGTTGCCACCAACAACAGAAAGAGAAACAAGCAGAAGAAGTGGTTATCTCCTACTTCACAAGCATATATTGCTGCAGAGAAGGTGAATTGTGACAAGAGGCTTCTAAAAGACCTGCAGAAGCTATCTGAGTTTTGTCACACAGAAGAGTTACAGGTTTACAATTCCCTTTTACTGAAATACTGAAATATAGCAACCTTTGCATAAAAATAGAACTTTTAAGACCAATATTATGTGAGGGTGGAGTTCCCCTTTAAAACAAAATAATCTAAATGCAAGGAACATAGCATTGAAACAGTAGCCCACCTTTTAAATGCCAGAGAATTAATAATCAGCATTTGTTCAAAAATATAGTTGGCGAAAAACGTCAGTACAGTGGTGTAGATAGGGTGTAGAGATACAAAAAGTAAACAAATTTCAACGACCATGGATTTAGCCAAATATCTCACAGGTATGTGTACTTTAACATCCGCAGTTCAATCTGACACTAAAAATAAAAAGATAGTTCCACCTCAGAAAATGAGAGAGTGATTTGCAGAAATTGAATTTGGTAGAGCTGGTGCAAGCATGAATGAGGTGTTAAAAATCGATTTTGATTTCATTCTTGCTTGCACAAGCCCTTTAAATGCGGTTTTTGCAAACCGCTCTCCCATTTTTCGCGTTTGAATTGTGTGTTTATTTTTAGTGTCAGAACCGAGGATGCTTAAGTATTCATACTAGAACAAATATATGACATGTTTGGCTAAATTCAGTATACCGAGCCTTTCAACATTGTCTACCTTTTATACCCCTGTAGTACAGCATAGTACAGTATAGTACAGTTTAGTACAGTTAGCACTGTTAAGAGGTTGATCTATTCAGAAAGAACACATTGGCATTTCCTTTTACGCCAACAAAAAATTTGGTACATTTGTTAATCTCAACATAGACAGCCCAATGTCTATGTAATGGACTAAAACATTAAAAAATTAAACAATACTATCATTGCATTGATAAAAAGAATTGGAAGTACTTGTCAAATGCGACAACATTTGAGCATATGATCAAGCAAAAAAATGATATTTTGGTCAAATTCACGAAGGCAATTATCATTTGCTTAATCATCAATAATTTAGTTCCTCACAAGGCCATTAGGCTGTTTACGATTTCCTCCAGTTCGTTGATATGTTGATAACATTTAAAGCCATAAACAGCAAATAAATGACAAAGCACCGTATCTAAGCACTGACGCACTGAACTTTAGAACTACTTATATGGAGAAAATATGCTGTAGCGTATCCAATGTAGGTCAGAATACATTACTACGAATACATTTCCAATTTAATGAAAATACTTTAAAGCTTATCTTATTGGCAATATTTTTGTCCTCACATAAATTTCCAAGCAATGTTTGTTGTACAGAAAGACGAATTTCAAATGAATATCTAGAAGGTATATTTTGACCTACACTGGACAGGGGACAAAATTGGAGACGTTTCTACAGCAGCATAGCACAACTAAAACCTGAGCCAAAACCCCCAACGTTTAAGTTTTAGTCCTTCTACGCAAATTTCACAACACATGCATTATTCATTTCTTTAAAAATCTTTTGTTTTTTGTAGTTGGTGAACAGAGTACGATTTATAGAGTATAGGTCTAAATACAGTTAGGGGCCACGGGCTACGACGCTGCTTTTCTATGCAAGTGCACACTTAACATTTGTATGCTGTTGCTTCCTCCAAAAACGCTACATAGAGGTTGATCGCCATAAATACCGGTCAACATTTTGTTACATTTGACAGAAATACGTAAATGCAGAATTAATAAAATGAACTAAACGCTATGACAATCGAAAACATTCATCCGCACTTCCACTTTCAGCAAGAAATTTCCCTTTCAAGTGAACGAATATCATACAAATGATATCCAAAAATCAAAATCAGAAAAATTTACGCATGAAAAACACGCATATGGCACTTATAATCATGACAAAATGGCGCTTATAATCATGACAAATCTATATTTGTCAGGATTCATAAAAAAAACCCTATGACGGCTAGCAGAACTTAGCTACAGTATCATACGCACGATCGAATTGCTACGTACCAAGGTACATCCTTTTGCGATAAATGTTTTTAAATGCGAACAATTTTCAGATATGGACCTCACACCATTTCTAGAGATTTGTCCGCACCAGGATAGATTGATGTATTCCAGTTTGTTGCATCCGTTACTGCAAAGACAATAGCACGATCTTCAGTCAAAACCCATTCAACGCAACGTGACTGGAATGCTACCACCTGACAAAAATTTGAAGCCAGCATTCCAACTACTGTATTTGCTCTATTAAGCGCCCCCCGGAGGGGTTTATACGACGGGGGAGCTAAAAAGAGGCTGGAGGATGAATAAATTTTCATGCAAAATCGCTAGCACCAAACAGCAACTCGCAACGAATTTCGTTGCACGTGAACGACACTGCGGCCCCAATGACTTAGAACCCAATCTACTAGATAGCTGACTCTGCCAAAAGTCTATAGTAAAGAGTGAGGTAAGCCGCCTTCTTGAAAGGTTTTGAGTTTTTCTATTTGTTACCTTTCAAAATGGCGTCATTGCCTCGGTAGTTAGACATCTAAGGGACTGGGTTCTAGTGCAGCCCACGCTCAATTCATCCAACAAGTACTTCAATATCAATATGGAGTCATTACCCAATCCAGTAAGTGCATAAGTGCATTTTGAAAAAAACCCCTGAACGTATGAACATGAGTTTGTGAACGAGTATACGAATATGAGAAGACTGATCTTTGGCTTCCTACACAACACTCTTCAAGAAAGATCGGGCGTTTTGTAGCAAGATCCTTTGCGCAACCGACGATGAAATGTTACAAATTTACAACAAAGACATCGATTTCTTAAAATTTTTGTGATTTCGGCATAATACTTGACGGATTTTTAAATAGGACAGCTAAAACTGCCTAAATAACCTTCGATGCAATGACTAACTACATTAAAACACAACGAACATATATTGCATTTACTCGACCTCCCCGGAAAATTTAACATCACGTTTGAACGAGACGCCACTCATCACAATACCGCAAAGTTCACATGGAAACTTAGCGCAAAAAGCACGTGGATGACTGATCAATCTTTTACACGGTAACTGGTAACTAGATCGTTATTTCGTCTGATGAGACCGACAAACCTGAACGCAGTACATCCAGTATCCGTTATTTGAGGGCAAGACGATAGGTCCAACACTCTCAGATTTCTGCTGTAGTTTCTTAGATTAGTGCACGTCCTAGAAACAAAACAAAACAAAAAGAAAGCAAAAATGATTTTGCTCACAACGGTATCACTTCGTTGCTGATGTTGTTTTACAAAAACTGATTTGAAAGAGGTAGAAGGAGAAAAGTTCCAGGTGGGCGGGCAGGGGTGGATTAAGGGTAGTGGAATTTTATTCACCTTGCAGGCAGACCAACAGCTTAATCATGTATATTTACTCATCAACAGGAACATGTCAAATAAAAGACGCACGCTTTTCTATCACATAAGAACACTTCAAGTCGGTCCGAAAACTTCAACCCCCCAGTCTTATTTTTTATTTCTTTGCTGTGGGGTGGAGTGGCGTTGTGCACTGTCGGGGTTATTCAAAAAACACAAGGCCGAGCCTTAACAATTAAAATCAGTTTTGACACGTTGCGGTGTTGCGCTTGATCTACATCGCGGTCACTAGCGGATCTAGGGTAGGTCAAAATAAATCATAGGGTCGTGTTAAACTCAAATTACTTCTGTAACAACGTTATGGAGTAGAAATTTCTAAAGTATATTTAAGGCTAAAATATTCCCCAAAGAGGATTAGCTGTGGTAAAAGCTTCAAAAAATTTTGATATACGATAATATATATAAATAGCACTGGAAGTGGAGAACATCCTCAAATCAACAATTAACCATATTTCTGCCAGGGTTGAGATTCATCAACCGACATGAAAAGAACGACTTTTTTACTTCAAAAAATCTTATTTTTGCGCAGCTATGCTGCTATATTGCTCGCTAGAGCAAGGCAAAAGTGCGGTTTGCACAAGTGTCGCACTCTGCGTACGGAATTCACGTCTGAAATATGTTAGTTTATTGCAACAGCCACAATGAGAGATTTTGCGCTGATTTTACTCTTGTAGATGTAGATACAGCAGAAAAGTAAGCTGAATAACAAAAACCTCGCCAAACTGAGCGAAACTTGCACAAGTTATTTGAAACTGTCGTCGCACTGCCTTTCACATTATCAAAAGATTTCTAGGCCTACTTACTTATCTGATATCTTTTTACATCCCTCAAGAATCAACTCTTCGATGTTTCTACATTCATATGAAAATGTCCTATAAAGAAATACAAGGATAAAACACATCGAAGAAATCGCAATTTCACGAAACAAGAAGATGAATACTTGATGAAAGTGATGGAAAAGTGCTTAAGAGACATTGATGGACAATATGCTTAAGAGAGTGTGATAGAAAGTGGTTAAGAAAAAGAAGTGGAAAAAGCAGTTATGTAAAGTAATGCAAGAAGTAATTAAAAGAGCATGATGAAAGAAGTGGTTAAATTTGTCTAGCGCAAATCGTTTAATTTAGAACACCTTCCGGTATGCTAAATGCAACAACATAAACGCACGTAGCACTAATTACTAGTCTTGACTACTTCTTAGGTAGTAAAACTTAATTTTCAAGGACCATTTAAATCAGTACATCAGTAAAATTAGAGGGCTAATACACACGAGTAATATAAGCATGAACGTCAAAACTTTCGTTTTTTTTTGCTCTAAAGCTTTAAAAAGATATAGACATTAGAATTTTGTTCGAATCTTGTTTTGGTCTTCTTTCAGCTTATGCTTGACTTTTTCCCCTATGTGTATGTGCAATCATGAGCCTTATCATATCATATGTTTAGAGGACAATATTCATAAAGAAATATATGCTAATACATCTAAATATGCGGATGATTGCACTCAGGACCAGATTGTTGAAAGAGGTGAATGCAGTTCCATCCAAAATGTAATCCACGAATTACGGAAATGGGCTGATAAAAACAGAATGGTTCTGAATCCGAAAAAAAACAAAGGATAAGTGGATATGATTTAAGGATTCAATACAAGAACCACCCCCCATATTTATTGGTGACGAAGAAATAGAAAGAGTTAATAATTTCAAACTTCTCGGCGTAACATGTCAAAATGATCTTAAATGGAATAAACATGTACACCAAATTACATGCAAGGCAAATATAAGACTATATCATGTTCGACCTTGTAGGAAGTCTCAATTACCTTCAGATGTTGGATCATTAACATATACATCAAAAATAAGACCAGTATTAGAGTATGCATCGGCTGTCTGGGCAGGACTTCCACATTTTTTACAGCAAGTCAATTCAAATACAAACAAGAAGTCTACGAATTTTACAACTAGATAAAAACTACTTGCCATCTTTGAAAAGCAGGCGTGAACTAGCAAATACCCAAGAGATCAAAAGGATTATAGTGGAACCTGATAATCCATACAAATTTTTAGTACCTTATCCCAAAGAAAATTCGCACGAGCTGCGTAATAGTAAAACTTTAGTATTTTATCTCGGATCAAACGCCATAAACAATCTTTTACTGCTAGATCTTGTAAACATATGTAATAAATTTAACATGTAATTCTTAGTATGGTATGATAAATATGAATGTTTTATGCAGTGCGGTGTTTGAAATTAAATGAAGATATGATCTTCGCACTTTCATACATTCATACGACATTCCTTTCACGAGAAAACATCAGCCCAACAATATTGACCTGCTCACCACTGTGTGACTTCATAGCTCAGTTGGTCAGAGCACTGCACCGGCACCGCAGAGGTCATGGGTTCAAATCCCGTTGAGTCACCTGATTTTTTCAGGTCCTGAGACGATTGCTTAAATTGTGCAACAAAGTGCGAAGATCATATCTTCATTTAATTAGTATGATAAATATATAGAAAATCAATGTAAATTCATCGTACTTTTTAATCTGAAGATGGATAATAAACACCTTTCATATTCATAAAAAATATTCATATTCATATGCTTCTTTCATTGTATTGGTTTAACGTGTTGTGTTCGGTTGTGATTATGCCGATTTTACTCGTGTGAACCGGGCTCAAGACAAATGTTATCAAAATGACAATTTAAAGATCGTCCAAAATGTCGCATTAGGTAAAACGCTGCAACGAAGCAACATGCCTCACCCCTTTTTTCAAGGAAGACAACATATCCTACGTCATCACACAAGCAAGGCATTATGCTATACGTCATCACACAAACAAAGGAAACATGTATTACGTCAACACAAAAAGGCAACAAATCAAACGACAAAACACAAACAAGCAACATGCGTTACGTCATCACACAAACAAGGCAACATGTATTACGTCAACACAAATAAGGAAACAAGTCTTATTTCACCACACAAACAAAGCGACATGTCGTACCTCAACGCTCCATCTCCAACGCTTTTGCATCCCTTCAGCGATAACCTCCTCAAAAAACCGCCACAACGCCGAGAGAGATTTTGTACGACAGGTTCCTATGATCGTAATAACGATAAATCACAGATGAACGTCCAACTTAACATGTAACAACTTACATGCATCGTGCATAATCACAATAACTTATTAAAAACCATAAGTGCGCATGCGCATGAAGAGTGCAACGACACACAAAGAAGCTGTATTTGAATTCGAGCAACTTCATGTAAGTTTCACGAATACTTTTGCACGATTTCGAATCGGCATCTCAGTCTTGTTTTTGGCTGGATGAGATTTATTGCTGAAACAGTACATGGATGCATTGAATGCTTGTTCACCGGAAACTCGTTGACCAGATTACATCATCAAATAGCATCGGTCAATGAACGTGTAAACGTTCTCAGTTAAAAAGACAATTGCATTCAGTAGCTACAGAGCTACATCCTCAAGACAATGATCTCAACAGAAAAAAGCTCGGAGAGAGAAGTTAAGGAACTGAGGAGAAATAGACCCTTACGCTTATATCTGTCTGGAATTCTAACAGATCAACTCTCTGCCAATTGCTTCCATCCAAAGCCAAGACGTTCCATAGCTAAAATACAAATGATACGCATTTACAAATTACACATCAAAAACCAAGAGGGCCGACTCATGAATGAAATAGTTACAAGATTTGGAGCTATTTAAAAGGTTTTAAACATGCTTGGTGTAAACTTAACATTATTACGTCAATTTACTTGATATCAAGGGAAAAGATATGGCCTGTTTGGGTATCTGGCATAACACATAAGGCAGCAGCTAGGAAACACCTCTTAAAATAAAGTTATTTAAACAATTGATAAGAGCTCAAATGTAGCTACAGGAATGCTTCGCAATATCCGCGAGTGAAAAAATGAGAAACTGTGAAAGATAATCCACACACACCATCACATGTACTTGGAATTATATAAGCAAAGATGCCATTGTAAGACGGATTCAAAATAATCTAACAAGTCCTACACACCTTTGAAACTTGTGCACAGCGACAAAGGGAAACTACGTCAAGGAACGACAACACTCTACATCAACGAAAAAAACAAAAAAACGAATGAAACTTGCCATCTAAAAAACAAAGACCGCTTTCGACGGATAGCACATTATCGATGTTTTTGAAAACGTTTCCTCCTTAAATTGATTGCAGGATGTAAGCAAGAAAGAGTCTAATGGCGAAGACAGCAAAAGAAATTTTAAATGTAATTGCATATAGCAGTTACAATTATCAAAAAATAAAGTTAAGACCAATGAATTCTTAAAAATGAATGCTCGAGTAAAAATACGCACTTCGCAAGCTTTCACAAAACTGACACGCTCGTCACATAAAAGAGGCTCGAGATCAAATAAAAGATGCACAGAATCGAATTCGATGAATTTTCGAAATTAGCTAGTTACAAAAAGGTAAGTTCTTGTAAACCTCCCTTACTGGTTTTGACAATTCTCGATAAAAACAAGCAAGAGGTTGATTAAAACCTTATTAAAATGCATTTTAGACGTTCACGATCACACTTTTTGTTTGTTTCAGCGGAAAAGACGCTAGCCATGGAAATATTGTCGACCGTTATAGAAAAGTAAATCGTTTTGTTTACGTTGAATTCGGATGAAGGAAATAACGTTTGCATTAAATATCGAACTAAGCAGATCAGCCTTAAGTAGTTACGGCTAAAATTAAAGAAAGCTTGCCGTCAGCTTTTTTTCCTACCTCGTAACTTGATGAATTACAGAAAAGAATATGGAGAATTAAAAATCAAAAATTGAGGTGCACAGTCCTCAATAAATTTATAAATGATTGCAAACCGTTTCCTGTTGTTCTTATAGCTTTTATGCGAGGTAAAATTCCCTATCAAATTACGAGACAGCAAGGAAAGACCATTGGCAACTTTGTCATGTTTCAAGCCGATCTCCTAAATCCGATTTGTGATGCAAACATCAACTCTTTAATCCGAATGAAATGCGATTGTTAGTCGTACTTCATGCATATTCAACGAATACTCGAAATTGATCCCTTATCCGACCTCCAACCAATATCACGAACATAGCCTAATCCAATGAGATTAAGAATTCTAAAGTAAATGGTTTGAACCCGGGAGTATTGTTACATGCTTGTAAATGTAGATCGTCCAGGTTGGACGATCAGGTTGGACAACAAAAACAGACACTACTAACCTGGGCGATCTACATTTACAAACATGTAAGAATTCTAAATTGAATGGTTTGAACGAGGGAGTAATGTTGGATGTTTGTCGATGTAGATCGTCCAGGTTAGTAGTGTCGTGAGAAGGACTGTTGTTGATGTTGGCGTTGACAGACGTTTCGACAACCTTGGCGATAAGTCAACATCAAAACCAACGATCCACATGTATAAACATGTAATTAATAGTGACGGTTAGCGTTAGAAATCAATTTGGCGAAATTGTAGAGCACGGAAATATTACCATGCACACCTCTAAGACGGACATTTTCTGTCAGACTATTTTTCTAGTCAATGAATACAAAAATGTTTGAATGGTATAGGAGTGAAAAACAAACTGGCTTCGCAACTTAATGTCGCTAGAAACATGAACAACAAACAGACAAAGAAGACATTGGTTGAAACAAATTGTTACAACTTGCAATACGTTGTCTGTATTACAAAAAAGCTTCCGACCTTCAGCGATCCAAGTTTTTCGCGAAAAACACAATCTCATAATCTCTTGGGGAACCCCACGACCTATGCCGAAGTTCGTAGTTAAGAGGCACCGACAAAACGCGTGCTGCTCGCTTCACCACGCGATCGTCGCAGGTGGTGAACAATTGATAGATCAATTACCAACGGGAAATTGCGCATTTTAAGACTTTTCTTTGGCACTAATGGGCGCTTGATACTTGAATGATAAGCGAATGCCTATTTTTTCATTAATTTTTTTCGAAATATCAAAAAAAAAACAAACGAGAAGACGACGCGTATGTTGATTGCAGATGTCCCAACATGAACACCGACTTAAGTCATAAGTTTTTTCCACGACAGCTGTTCGTATTTCATTCTGCTATTCGAGCGGCTGTTTTCTGAAAACGTAAACGATACGGCAAAAACGCAAACTTTTGAACGATGTAGAGTTGCTTTAGAACTGCCTTCCCAATGAAGTTACATAGAGCAAAACTCTTTCTTCCTTTTAAGCAAAAATCGCTGCTCACATTGATTGTTAAAGTAACTTAGTGGTATAAAAGGAATATTACAAAGCTGTATAAGACTTAATTTCAAATAGCTACATTGAGTAAACAACTTAAATGAACTTTTTATTTTTTATTGTTGTACATTTCTATTCCACGCGTCACTCGTGGAAATCAGCATAAGTTGACGAGATTGGCGTGTTTGAATAAAATTCATCCATCTTTCCGGCAAAAAAGTCAACATTTAGTGTATAGGTCATAAATTTCACAAAACATTCACGAACTACTTTTCAGTTGAAACAATCTCTTTAAAATATAACAATGCTCTTCAATAATGCCTTTTGTCTATGACTTTTGTGGTCTCGTGGAAGTTAGATTTAGTCAGAGGACCGCACACGCGTGAAACGCTAAGTGACGTGACGGATAACACAAATTCTGGGTATATGTTAATGAGGGGCGCACATTAGGGAACGAACACAACTCATTTTCTTTAAAATGCGTCTAAAAACACCAGAAACTGATAGAGGACCAAAGTGCTATCGAAGATATACACTAAAAAGTCGATCCCAGGTCCCACAACATAGAACACCGCCCAATTTTTTGCAATATTATACCCTCGACTGTTTCCTATCTATATTTATCGTCAACACTTTGAGTGTATTCTATTTTTGGACAAGACAGGTGTCTCAAATTCACATCTGAGCTTCCGTCTTCCAGTTTGACGTAATTTTCATTTGACAGGCATTGTTTATTTTTTGGAAAATTATTGCTCAAATTGCCGCAAATAAACGTATAAAATGTTTGTATAGCATGGGTAGAAGGTGAGTAGCCACTTTTAAATTGTACCTTAGCACCAACTCTCCCGGAAGCTTTCTGTTGATCAGTCCTGTTGAATCATCATCAGGGTTTCGATTTACTTGCAACTAAAAAAAAGATTTCAACAACTTCAATCTTGGCAAAGAGAAGCCTAAATCGATGCCGAATTTGGGAGCTGTAAAAAATACATCTTTATCTGTTTATCAAGTATGCGCAGCTTTTGCAATGATAGTCAAACGTATTTGGAGCATACAATTTCACACAAGAAACACATTTTATAAAAAATCCAATTTGCGTAAAAACCTACATTTTTAACAACTGCTGCGTCTGTATTTATTGCTGATTGTCGATTGATCGACAAAAACGACTCAAAAAAGTTCATAGATGATGTTTGATGAAAAAAAAGCTTGATCGTTTTTGAAATTATCTTAATGGAAACACTTAGTGATATATAGAGTTAAATTTTTGCACGTTGAGTTGAAAATTCAAAAGTTTGACCAAAATTTATTTTAGTGAGATCGGCATGAAATACACCTCACAAGCGATTTTATTCTGTTACAAAACTATCATGAAATGGCGATTTATATTAAAGGCAATTTAAGTACTAATAAATTCTACCCAAATTGTAATTTTTGATGCACCACAATGCCATCTCTTCAGTCTTCACCAAAACATTTATGCTAAACCTTACCCCGAAAGTCCCTAGTACCCCTTAGCATGCTTGCACCTTTGGTGCTTGGCTCAGGTCTTTGGCCCTCGTTTTTAATACTTGATATGTTCATGATGCATTTTTATTAATGACATCCTCAGATAAAATGTTCCCGGCACATCAGTGGTTGTGCCTCCTAACGATTTCTTTTGAAAGCAAATCACTGGAAGAATTAGGCAAATTACTGTCAAAAGAAATCAGTATGGAACAACTGAATATATGAATGAACACACCCCCTCCCCAATTTTTGAGATGGTTCAGCAAGTGTTAGGCTATCTATGACTTTCTCCATCCCTCTCCTTAGCCACGAGCAGTCATGTGCAGTTCGGAGTAAAGAACTACATGAATGAAGGCTTTCCTGACTACCTAAACAGAGCTTTGTCAAACACAAGTTGTTGTCAGTGTGTTATGGGACGACAAATTTGTGAATTTAAATGCAAGCATGGATAATTTTAACAAACCAAAACAAAGCGTAAAGATTGACTAAAGGAACTCATCATGTATTTTACATTATTTATCCTAATGATGTATAGTGACAATAACTCCACTGCAACAAAAACCTGATAACATGAATATCTTGAGTGACTGAAAAACAATTAAATTAGATAGAGGGCAAATACTAAACACCCAAATAATCAATCCATGGGGAACATACACCAGCATTATTAAAAACAATTACAAATTCAGCGTCCATATACTATCCATTGTTCCATCTCCAGCACATGTCACGAAGTGTTATGAAGCACAAACACCTCGACGAAAAATATAATTCGGAAAAAAAACAACTAAAACGCTAGTCACACAAACATAGGATGCTCGGTAAAGAAAGATAAGATTTTACAATCACGATAGGTTTGAAAATCTCTCACTTATTTACAGCAAAGAAATATGTTAATTCAAGTAAACATTATAGTTTCATTATTCGGCATTGCAGCTGTCTGTCTCATGTAACTTTGAATCGTATCGAGAAATACTTAAAACAAACTATAAGTATCACGCAATAACTGCACTTTTCCTAAGGCAACAATGTGCAGCCAAAAATTTTTCAAAAAGCAAACGACACATTAAAAAATATATGAAAAACTGACTGCCAATGTGCTCGGCAGCTGTGAAGTTGTCCTATGTTTTCCACATATAGCGTCGAATACCTGTATTCTTATATGGTCAAATGAATACGTTTTCGTAAGATTCTATTCACTTTTTCTATCACATGGAAGAGAATGTGTTTCCACAAGCGGCATGCATTAAAAAAACAACAAAAGCGATAACGGGCAGACCATAAGTATACAAGTCGACCGTTTAGATATCGCAAAACACAACAAACTGGTAAGCAGACATCTGATAGGAGTATTTGCTATGTAGTATAAAGAACCTTCAGCCTTTAGCGTGTGAATTTCATAACACCCACAGTCAGCAAGTTGTCGCAATTCGTTCGGCATTGCTGAGCATTCGATGAGAAACAATTCTCCCATCAAGCAGGAAACAACTTACACACAATTTAAAAGACACAAGCTTGTTGTTACGGCAATAATCCAGTGCAATATTCGTCATGGTCCAGAGATATCGAGAAATTCTTTATTGGCAAAACTGATCGTCATTTTTACATAGTTGACACGTCTTACGAACGGAGTCGTCGTGTTGTGTGTGTATTGAAATTTAACGATTGTGAAAATGACCAGAGAACACTATTGTATTGACAATAATAGACCATTCGTATTATAGGCACGCACATTCAAGGCAAATCAAAACAATTCTCACCTCGAATCGGCTCCTTGAACTGTTACGACTGTGATTGCTATGTGGCACGCTATTGTGATTCGAAAACATCAATTCCTTTTTGGCCAAATTTTAGAGAACGGGAGTATTTTTCGGACGTTTCCCTGAAGTCATTATCAAAACGCAATATTTTGTTTAGATTCCTCGTACCACGTGATGACCCTCGGTTTTCTCCGGCGTAATCGGCAAACATCGACATGGAAACAAGAATAGAACATCGCCGGTGAGTGGTGCAAGTCAAGCTTTATCGATGCCATTGATCCAGCTTTTAAAACTGTTTGCAGTCCCACAAAAATTCATGTTATCAACAACTACGAGAGATTTCAGTTACTAAATTGAATTACTAAAACGCACCAAAGCATCAAAGCATAAAAGAAATCAAACTTATATAGGTGTCACGGTTTCACCTTTCCAGTCTATAGCAGATGACATAATTTCTTGCGCCAAACTTTGCACGAAAGCGCAATCCAACATCTCATCCAACATCACATACTGCTGGTGTACTTGTTTCATTTCCCGTTTCGCTCTTTTCATAAGAATTAAGTTAATATCTATCGTTACCATACTTACCACATGATTGTTAGGTGCAAGTACGAGCACCCTCGCATACTTTTGGGTTGCTTAGAGTCATGGTGTCGAATAGAATATCTCGCATTCTGGACTGACCACCGCACACTTACATCTTATCACATAGAATACTTTGACGAAAATGTCGAGAAAAAAACTTTTAACGCTCTGCTTTCGAATGTTTTGGACAACGACAAGCTACTTACACATTCTTACCTTACTAGGTTCCAGGCCGCAACTGGTTCCTCTGATACAAACCTTGGTCCTTGGTTACTATGTAACCTCATTTGACAAGAACATTGCAGCGGAATTTTGCCAAAAAATTTTGAACAAAAAAAGAACAAATTGATGCTGACGAAGCAAAGGTTATCTTGATCTAAAGTTAATTAATCTGACCAAAACTTTCATAGAGCAACGTTCGTAAAGCCATAAAAAGCACATGTCGTTGGACTTCTTTTGAAAGCTGTACGTACAGCTAGAGCCCAAAATTCAACAGCTCAGAATTTTACACTAATGCTATTGTTATCCAAAAATTAATCTTAAACTAATCCTAAGCCTAATTTTGCGTAATGTTTTATGGGTAAAATATGGTGATTATGGTGATTGAGCCTGAAAACGGGGAGAGTACGAATATTGACTTGAGAAAATTTTTGCTGGTTCTTAAATAGAGTGTCCGGAGGCTTCGTGACCTATAGCTTTCCTCTAATTCTTTTAAACCAAACTGATATGGACATGGAATTTTTCAATTTGGGGTTTACGGTCAAACATGAACAGACGTTCAAAAAGTAAAACCGTAGCGATAGCTCTGGAAAAAGTTTAATTGCATCAAATTGTAAAGAAAATACGTGTAAAATCCTGCTGTATTGCAAACCTTTCAGCGATGATCAATCAACTACTAGCTACGTTGACCACTGGTCTTTAATAAACAGAAAAAATGACACTACGTTTCAGCGTGAAATTTATTTTATTCGGCTGTTTGTAGCCAGTTAAAAGCTTACATAATTTTTATTAGGCGATGCTTTGAGCAAATCAATGCACTGCAATAGCTTTTGAGATTAGTCGGTCGGTCAAAGGAGAATTACTCTTTAAAGCTTTTCGTTCCGCGAGCAAAGCTCTGAAATAGACATAAAAACTGTCAGTGTCAATATTTTGATAAAAACAATGCAAAACAACAAATTCCATACAGGAAACGGCATCGTGCCAACAGAACTATAAATGATCACCGAAAACTTGTAGTTTCTAACACATTGCAAATTTTTAGATAAAATAACCCGTGTGAAACTATACTTTTATCGAAGTGAATGATTTGAGCATGGGAGTATTGTCACAGGTTTGTAGATGCAGATCGCCCGGACGTGGTCAGCAGTAGTCATCTTCAGAGTGAGAAGATGACAACACACATTTTGGTGAGCTACCCTCCAAGCCCCTAGAAAGTCTTGCGCCTTTGGTGCACACATCGCCACCCCCCACCCCCCAACCCGGGCTAAATCAGAAGAACTTGGAGAAAGCACTGCACGGATCACACGAAATGACGGTTATGATCACCGGTAATGGTTTTTCATTACGTATTTTTAAAGATGTTTGGTCAATAACGTACCTTGCAAAGCACTGGTGAGATTTTCGCGGCGATCGCAAAGCCGAATGAATCAAAAACTGGTTAAAAATGTCTCTCTATACATAACAATTGAAAGCATCGAATGAAAATGAGATCGTCCACGATATACTTCATGGTAATTTTAGAAAGAATTTAACAAACCTGAGCATTACTTCCACCAATTTTCACGATCTTATATCGAAGTGGAGCAAGCAGGTCAGTGGACTTCTCATAATCTTCCTAAGAAAAGAGTTTGGTCAAGATATCACTCAAAGTTACTCGAACGTCATCAGTCAATAATAATAAGGATTGACATGACAGCGCACACCAAGCAAAAATAAAACATAGCTACAAGTCCCTACAACGACGACGGCGCGTTTAGGTAGGTAATCTAAACACGCTCGGCTTTATTGGCAAAATTGAATTCTGTCACTGTCATTTGTACGTGAAATACACGTGGTTCAGACGACCTTTGAACTCGTACTAATCTAACACTCTCTCTACTGTCGAGCTACCAAGCTCACAGGGACTGGAGACGAGTCAAATTTCTTACACGCACATAGACGAGAAATTGTTGTTATCGTCACGACAGCAGCCTTTTGATGGCACCGTTTTGCGACCATACTCCAAAACCAGCATCAGAGAATCAGAAGGAGAATTCATGTTTTTCATGAGCGTAAAACCGTGTCAGAATTCAAATTCTGATGCTGTCATATGATGGCTTTGGAACAAAGTCGAATCTTTATGGTCAAACAAATGTTCATTCCATTTTACCATTAATGCACATTCAACACGACAGCCGTGCAAGAAATTTACCTTATCAAAGTACTCAAAAGCCTCGCACATTTTTAAGCCAACTTCGTCACACACATCGCGATTATTTCCTTCGCGTTCCCTCGAAGAGAAATCGAACAAACATGTTATTTCTTCAACGCAGCGTTGAAAATGATATATTCGTGTTCTTACTGCATGTAGTCTTTCAACGACTGCATAATTTTCTTCGTTTCTTCTTCGTCCTTCGACCTCAACGTGCACATCAGTAAATGCAAGTCATTAAAGACCTGTATATTCAAGCAGTAAAAGAAAAATCAAAATGAAATTCTCTACGAGGTAATTCAATGGATGTGATTTAATGGACGTAATTCGTACTATATTGGTGAAACCACACGATATGTAGCCACAAAGATAAAAGAACACCCTCCTTGTTTCACGATCCTAGACACTGCCAACACTCCATTTAATATCAAACTCAAAGAAGCCATTTATATAAAGAACTTACACCCAACCTTAACAAACAAGCCCAACTACAACTTCCTTCTGTTCCCACTTTCCTACTGCACACATCCCGGGTTCTGTCATTCACTCATTACAATTTGTAAATGATTTATCTATATTCACTAAGTTGTACATCACTTGTGCATCATGCTTTTTTATATTATATATTCCACACTGCAAATAACGTATTCATTCGCAGTGAAGATGTCTTACAGTTGAGTCGAAACACGTAAGCAATTAAAAACTTCAAATATATTGTCATTTATTTCTGTGTAACCTTTACAAAACGTCATCAAGTTCAGAAGCCACATCCACCTTACAGCCGAATGTAACATTCGAAACTATATAATACATACACTGCTTCAGTCTGCATTTTAACGAGAATAACGCTTAATGAACGGCCCACAGACAGACAAATTAAAACAAAGCCAGAACTTCACCAAGATAGATACATAGCCTATAGACTAGCTATAGCTACTCATACACAGCCTGCATCACAACAGGTTCCACACAGCTAGTTGCACTGGAGCTAGTTGCTAAAGGTTCAATGTAAATTGACACACCATTCACCAATGCTAGGATTGGCTTATGTGTCTTTGCGTCATGCCACGTGGTCTATCCTATTAGGAAATTAAAAAGGGCCACTTATTGCATACACACATGTGTAATATCAAATGAAACTAAACTTTAAAAAAATTTTTAAATTCACCTACTTGTGTCACAATTAAAGAATGGTTAAAAGAAACATAATGGTTAAAAGAAACAAGGCTCGGGAATGGGCAAATACTTTTGAACAAAGTCAAAGTAATCAGAAACGGAATAACTTCTCTTTCTTATAACACTTAACTATTTTACTCAGCTAGCAACGGTTCTAAAATCTGAATTTGTTGTGACATGTATAAAGTACTGTTTACGACGATAGAAATCCGTTAATGTTTCATAATACAACAATACAATAAAATCTTTATTAAAAATGCGGGAAATGCATTCAGAGACTAAGAAGACTAAATTTCTAAATTTGGCGAGGATGGTTTTCATGGGCCCCGTGACAGTTGAAATGGCAATTAAAGCCCCTTAATTGGCGCCGCTCTGAGCCTCGCAACTAGCACACCAACAAGCAAGAAATACAGTTAACCATCTATACAGTAGCAGAGAAAGAGGAAAGTCTATCCTATCACGATATGCAAGAGAAAAAAGCAGATGTACAATCTTTACTTTGATAAGCTTTACATACGTACAACCTTCCAATCAACGCTCCTCACCCACATTCAGGTTGTTTATACAGGCTAACATTCACATTCAGGCAATAGTCCAACAATTTTGACTGACATTCAACAAGCTGCACACATATCTGGAGATTACAATCCAGCAAACTGGGCTTGTTACAAACGGGAAAACTGTCGCAACAGAATGACAATAATTGAAAGCATCGTGCCTTGTTCCCATCACGAATTACGCCATTTCTATAAACTATTCATGTCACATCACTGGCTAAAGTTCACATGGATCTTTGAAAGACATACACCTACCAATACATGATCGTCAGCATGCTTGTCACCCCAAAGCTCGCGCATTTCCCGCCACCTGTCCTTAACATTGACACCTGCAAAGAAGAAAGGTATTGCGTACAATGCGCAGCCATATTGAACAGTCCCACTCATAAGATTAATCCGATCGCAATGAATTTTGGAGCGCATTGTATTAATAAACCCTATAAAATATTTCAACGTGAAGATAGAAGCATTCTCTTGCGATAGTATCTCTCAAATGGTGTCACGCAAATTTTGCAATACATCCTTTCTAAATAGTACAACTGCTTCCTACATTTAAGCTAATAAATAGCAGATTTGTCATCGCACCATAAGAAACGCTTCTCGCAATATTTCAAAGCAGAAATTAATATACTTCGTATGTCAACATCGTGAAGTGAAACTGTTCACTAAAGCAGCCTTGCGGCTTCAAATTCAATTTGTGATGCGCGATCCATGTAATATACATATCACTGGGGTAGGTTTCGTTTGGAATAATCAAAGACTGCTATGGGGGTGTCCGGTAGCGGATCCAGGGTAGTTCAAAATACACAACTCAAAACATTTTAAAATACTTTACATCAAATCATATTGGGATGATTTTAGCTCAAAATATTCTTTGAGAATTTCTAACAAACAGCGTTGTAATAAAAGTACTTTCAATTTACAACGAGCTTTTTTAATTTATTTTGACCGACTATAGATCCGCCACTGGATGTGTCAATTTGGAAAACATAAAAGTATTAAATAAAAATATTTGGTTCATCCCATGCCACTTTAAGGAAGTTGGAGATATACACTACATTCAAGCAATGTAAACTACTGATATCAAAAGCTACACGATAAAAACAGCCCGTCGGTATAACAGTCAAGCAAAATGTTTCGTCGCAGGATCTTTCATTTTTTTGGGGGGTGGGAAGCACAAGTCTACTTGCCCAAACTTCTAACATACTCAAAAGTCGGTGAAGTAATTGATAATCACATGCAGGTTTTGAATTTTGAATCAATTTGCCGAGTGAAATAACATCCTTTTATGGCCGTAGCTACCAACTTGGGAGTGGTAAATTTTCTATATTGCAAACGGACAAGGCACGATGTTGCGGATCCTCTACTCTAAGGGATCCGAGGGAAAGGGGCCCGAAAGGGCACTTTTGACATCCTGAACCCGCAAATCACCATTAACCATATCATGAGGACACATTTAAACAAAAAATATGGTAAAAAAAAACCAACCAGTAAAACAGTGAAAATAACCAGTAAAAGACTTTTTCTACGAATTTGAAACAGCCGCGAAAACAAGCTTCCGAATCTCTGTCACTAGCTGAGCAAAAAATAGCCTCTTCGTAAATTTGGAGGGGTGCCCCTCGTGCTTAATCATGCATGGTGGCCTCATCAATCAATCATCACGACGTCAAGAACAACGCACTGTTTGCATGATGTCTTCGCTAAACTTCGGTGTACCAATACAGTTAGAGACTCACATCGTACTTGTATGTCATTTTACAAAAATTTTTGCCTGATTTCCGTGACTATTTCCCGAATTTTTCAAAGTTTTTAAAATTTCGGGAGGCAGTTGCCCTACCGCCCCCCCAGCTCGTACGCGAATGAGCTTGGTGCATAAATGTAAAGTTAGAAGTAAATTATGTTACAGCATATTCGAGTGAAATTATTTTGCAATGTTGCAACTGGAGCTCCTGCTTTTCTTGGTCTACCACCTTATTGTGCAAGGGATGTTTGACGACACAAAATCACGCGAACCATGCAGAAGTCAAGAAAAGCCAACGTGATATCTATATTTGTTCAAGCAGTCACGTGGATACATGAACGTACCTTCGAGTTCCAGTCTGTACAACAACGATGATCCATCGACGAGATCGAGCATTGCTCCTGATTTGCATCGCTTTGATACCTATACAGAAATAAAATTCACTATCTAGTGGACAGCACCATACATGCTTCGGAAAAATGTCCCAGGCTACGTTTTGCATCTTCGTGAGGAAAGGAACAAAAACACTAACCTGCTGGTCGTAAATGTCAATGGCTGTTTCATACTCCTCCTAAATAACAAGCACAAACTTATCCGTTAAAAGACATTCAAAAATTACATGGGCACATGCGACACAGGCACTTGTTTTTGAAGTTTATTTTCGAAAAGAAGCGTGTGATTATTGAAGTGAACGAAGAGTAAGTCGATTGTCCAAAATCAAACCGGTTTGATTAGGGGTGAACCGTATATAGCGCGCTGGAGGCCAGCATAGCTCAAGTTTTCCGAGAAATCGTTCGAGCAACGATCGGCATGATTTTTTTTGGAATACTTCACTCGATTTATTCATTGAAAAATCAGGCGGATTTTGTGACTACGCCTAGCAAGGTTACACTGTTACAAGGTTATACCGTTGCCAACATATCCTGACAAATCCCTTGGTAAAATAGTCTCTATAAATCTTTCAAAATACACCCCACTTCAACCAAGTTGAGCATAATACTGCTGCCAGCCTCCTCTAACAAAACTCCTGATTTGCAAAATGATAATCGTCACTAAATTATTCAAAATACACTCCCACTTCAACCAAGTTTAACAGAATACTGCTGCCTGCCATGCAACCTCTCTTAAAAACCTTGATAAAATAGTGACTAATCTTTCAAAATATGTATTTATGAAATAATAATAACAAAAACGCTTTCGCTGATTGGTCTATAGTCATGTTTTCATTAGCCTTTGCAAACTGCAAAGCGATCTGAGCTCAAGAAATCGAATCAATCAATCAATCAAAGAGAATTTGCCAATCAATTAAGGAGGCATGGTAGAGGTAAAATTAAAACGTTTGCTCTAAATTTGTTTGTTTGAATTATAGTTATTTTATAAAAGAAGCAAATAGAAGATGTTTTTCGTGTTTGCACTGGCTTAGTGCAATGATCAACCTTCGAGTTCTCCCCAAGGTCTCCCCGATTTGGATAAGCAAGTGCAAACAGGGTAAACATCTTAAGTATTATAATATATTTTGATACATTCAATATGTTCAATCATAATGAATCAAAACCTATATACCTTTTCAATGTGGTAAAGAGCCCAATGCCAGTAGTTATGACAGGCGAGCATTTCACCTCTCTAGAAAATACGTAAAAATTCAGGCGGTCGCGACGTCTCCGACGAGCGCACGAAGGTAAAAAGAATGAAAAAGCTTCACTAACTGTCCAATATTCTTCTGTATCGTCCAAAAACTTAATTCCTTCGTCGTTTCTTCCCTCCATCTCTATCACATGGCATAGCGCATGCGTCGACCAGCAGTCGTAAGGATTTATTTGAAGACCCTGTAATTATCACGAGTGAAAAGTTTTCATAATTCTTCGGGCGATGAGTCGCACCCGTTAGGCCGTTATAGTGTTGAGTTCAGGCGATGAGTTACGTGTGTACATCATAGTTTTATTCGACTGACATATGATTCAAGTTGCATTACATGACAATGTGCGGATGGATGCATTTACAGTCTAACCTCTACATAAGGACACCTCCAGTAAGCGGACACTGCCTGCAGGTACTTGCTAACACGTTATTATCTTTTATAACCACACATGAGCAGACACCAGGTCGTGGTCTCGAGGCTGTCCGCTTACGAGAGGTTGGACTGTATAGCTGTTTCTTTCTTAATAAATTACAACATAAAGAAATCAATCATAGCGCAGATTGATTTTTTGAACGAACTCAAACGAATTCTTCAAAAATTATTGTGCAGCCGAAATTCTACTTTATTTCCGCAATGCTTGCTGGGATAGGCACTGTTGACTACTCGATTGAAGATTTGGGTTATTGGTAAACAGTGGCAGATTCGACGTTAGTCAAAACAAATAACAATAGTCAATTTGAATTCAAAGCTTTCAATGATGTTTGAAAGAACATTGGTGTTTGTCGTAAATTTCCAAAGAGTAAAATTTCATCAAAGAATTCATAAATGTAGATATAAAGTCTTAATGTAGATTAATATATCAATTTATATTTTTATCGCTGGATCCGCCGCTGTTCATAAACATCGCTTGCTATTCACAAGCTCTCCATTCCCTCCATTCAATAAAAAAGTCTTACCTTCTTCGCATAAGTTTCCGCCTTGTTGTAAAAATTCGTCTCCACCAATCCGAACGCATACATTCCATTTAAAAATCTACACGGGCATAAACAACACCAATGTTATGATGCACTTAAAATTTTGATTACTCACTTAGATATAAGCCATGAAAATACTATAACTAAACCACGTAAGGATTCTTCTGGGTTTAACGCAAGAAAAAATCATAAACCGTATGTCCTGAAGCGCCTATTTCCTTCTGAAAATTTACAAATGACAACCGACTTTTCCAAAAAAGCGACTTCACCCATACAAAAGTTCTTCAAAAAAGCGCTTCACCAGAAAAACATGTATTACACACCACAAAAAATCAACTTGAATGGCAACCCGTTGTCTTATATATGTTGAAGACAAGTGTCTTAATAAAACAGAAAGATAAAACGCATGCGCCGATTAGCTTATAACTGTGTTTGAATTGGTCTGAGTTAAGCCAATTAAATCAATTCACAAATTAATCATGAATACATGCTAGAGGAATTATTAAAACGTTTGCCTTGTATTTGTCTTTTTCGTATTATTGCTATTTTAAAAAAGAAATAAAAGATGTTTTTTGCGATTGCACTTTGCTAATGCAAACCTCGGAGACGTTTGTGAGAACTCTCGAGCAGGTGCAACCCTCGACCTTCGGTCTCAGGCCTTGCATTGATCTGCTCTCGAGTTCTTCCAAAGATTTGCTCTGTCTGCAAATACAGTAAACATATTTTATTTCATGAATGTGTACCACATTCTCTTGCCTCACCAAAAAAACGAACATGTCGGAAATGATGGGACCAAAAAGAAAAACTTGCTTTACCCGTAAAGGGGCATCGTTTCATTCCAATGGGGCATTACTTTTGCGATAGAATCACGTAATTGTTCCTGATATCCAAGATAAAAGTAAGAATCGTGAGCAAACTTCAAGGCAGTCACGTCAGTCGGATATTCATTCAAGATATCTTCCCAAATATTGCCAGCTTTTTCGACAAAACTGTGTAAGGAAAGCGATAAAACGTTTCACAAAACATCACATTGCTTGTCAATTGTCTATTGACATTTTTTTTCAAATTTGTCAAGTTTTGAGATGTCCTTATTCGTATTTCAAAGAACATACAAAATGACTTTACATTCCTTTCCGTTAATGTGTTATATTTTATTTTTTTCTCGAGATAGCTAATTAAATTTATTCATAATTCAAATAACATGTTATGACATCGCAGTGCATAACATTTCAAACACCATCAACTTTCCACATCGTTAGAACATGCACAAATACAATAGTTAAAATCAATAAATATATGTGCCAAAATTAGATAGCTATTTTAATGCTGACTGTCGAAAAAAAGCTTTCTATTTCCCAATACTAATTATGCAATGTGATGTCATAACGACGTTATTTGCATCGTGAAAAATGTTGAGTGTATCCAAAAAGAAATAAAATAACACAGTTCTATTGAAGAGTTTATCAAGTCATGTTAACTTGCCTTTACGACGCAATCAGAAAACTCTATGGTAAAATTTGGTGTCATAAACACCGAAACGTTTTACCAAATTTCAATTCCAACATAAAGAACGATTCGCTGCTCAAGAGAAAAGCAACAATGTTGATTTTTCATTCGTTGAAATGGGTTACCTGAGCTTTCGAGTCGAATGCTGCGAGGCTGCGCAGACTTCCCACACCTAAAATTACGACTGCTGAAAGTCCAAATTACAAGCAGAGTAACACACAAATTGGAGAAATTTAGCAAACACAAAGAGTGCCGATGTTTGACTCAGTTGTCGAGATTTTAGGTATCAGAAGTTGCGACGGCCTCGCAGCACCCAACTGCAAAACTGCAAATTGTGTCGATGCATTTCTCTGAATTGGAACAAAACACCACTCGACTGCATATCAGATGCCAGTCATTGTTCTTCACTATCAAGAACTAAGCTCTCGTGAGCGCAGCAGAAATGGAGAGATTAAAATGAGTTTGTGGCAAAGCAAATTTGTGCACACTTACTCCCCTATTTTCATGTTGAAACAACGCCCAAGAAGACAAAATAAGAATTTTATATAGTGTACAATGTATAGCGTGATTTGAATTTGGCCTAGCAGGCAAACTTTAATTTTGGATTTGACCAGATAAAAATTGTTGATTGCCTCTGTAATTCATTCCCTCCCGAGCAATACCGTATTTTATAGTAGAACATGTTACATAGCTATTTTGGCAAACAAGCTAACTATTTGAAGAACAAAATTTCAAAAATAGTTACGTACCCTTGCGACCAATTTTGTATGGCAGTCACGTGCTTTCTCTCGCGATCGGTCAAAATCGTTTCTGGCTTTTCCACCAACTTTACCATACGGTCAATGGACTGCCTCAGACCATCGTTCTTCCAAATGTTCGTCCCAGTTCCAATGAGTTCCAGGCCGCTCGACAAAACCTGTCCCATAACTACCAACAAAATAAAACGAGTCAAATGTTATTCAAGCATCACAAATATAAAAACACTTCGATATCTCGTGAATGAAAAATATTTTCCATTCATTTTTCAAGAGAGTCCAGCGTGAATTTAAAAGTTCCATACACGAGTATGAAATCTTAAACAGCCTATTCAAAGATGCATATTCATTTTTCTAACCCATTGAGCCACCCCACGCCTCGTGCATTTTCAGTGTTGAGATGGCTTACCGAAATCGGGATCCCCTTCCATCATCTCTTTAAGCGAAGATTCGAGTCCACCGACATTGGGGTCGTCATACCAGCCGAGATACTGAAATAAAGACAGGTAAGTTTGATTTGCAGCTACGCATCAGACAGCTAAATTGCTAAGTTCGTAACTTGAAAAGTTGCAATTGGAAAAGTTTGAAAACATTTACAGATCATGATGTAGAATATACATTTATACACTAATTCGTGTAAAACCATTTTTAAAACGGTAAGTATAAAACACGGCAAACTTGCGTGTAATCGGCCATGTTTCTAAATAAAATTGCTATTACGCTTCTCAAGAAGAAGAAAATGCAATTTATGGTTTTATCATTCACAATTTTCCAAAAATTGGACCGACAAAGATTATGGCATCTTTGTTTCGGACGTGGGAGTAACTTTTACTGAATAAAATTGTGAAACTCTAAATCTTTAGGGCGCGCTCTTGAATATTGGTTCATCAAACAAAAATCGAGCAACGCCAAAGTTCAAACTTGCCAGCCATATACTTCGAGACAGATCTTATACAAGTGGTATAAAGAGCAGGGTCGTAACCCCAATTGAGGAAATCGGACTTGTTCTGGTGGCTTTATTTTCATCCACGTTAATGCTTCGTACGCTAGCCACATTCGTACGTTAGCTACATTCGTACGCTAGCTACATTCGTACGCTAGCTACATTCGTACGCTAGCTACATTCGTACGCTAGCTACATTCGTACGCTAGCTACATTCGTACGCTAGCTACATTCGTACGCTAGCTACATTCGTACGCTAGCTACATTCGTACGCTAGCTACATTCGTACGCTAGCTACATTCGTACGCTAGCCACATTCGTAGCTACATTCGTACGCTAGCTACATTCGTACGCTAGCTACATTCGTACGCTAGCCACATTCGTACGCTAGCTACATTCGTACGTTAGCTACATTCGTACGCTAGCTACATTCGTATACATTCGTACGTTAGCTACATTCGTACGCTAGCTACATTCGTACGCTAGCTACATTCGTACGCTAGCTACATTCGTACGCTAGCTACATTCGTACGCTAGCTACATTCATTCGCTACATTCATTATTCTTCATTACATTCGTTATAGCTACATTCGTACTTCGTATTCGTTCATTCATTACATTCGCTACATTCGTACGCTAGCTACATTCGTACGCTAGCTACATTCGTACGCTAGCTACATTCGTACGCTAGCTACATTCGTACGCTAGCTACATTCGTACGCTAGCTACATTCGTACGTTAGCTACATTCGTACACTAGCTACATTCGTACGCTAGCCTCTGTTTAACTTGGTAACTACATGCACTTTAAATGAGACTGCAGAGAAACAAACAAGTGGTCGGAGTTCAGTAACATAGGAACCGTTTTTATTTTTCCAAATTCAACCAGACCATTTCAATTATTTTTATAACTTTCTATGTTGAATTTCCAAAAAACGAACTCGTGGTTACACGGGAGAGAGAGAGAGAGGGGGGGGGGTTGCAAGTGCCCCCAGTTCACATTCCCAAGGTTACAGGCCTGAAAAGCGAGAAATGATGCATAATAAAGACAAGCACATCTTAGAAATCGTATGAAGTAAAGACGACGGAAGACTTTTTATACTATGAACATTATGTGAGTATTAGCTACATTTCAGTACTAGGTACTTGATACCGGACGATGATACCATTGTCTTCTTTATTTGAAATTTGGGTGTTAAAAATTGTCATGGCGAACAAATATTTCACTGTGCTTATGTGCAGCACTGTGGAGATAAGATGACTCTTCAACCATCGATAAAAATTTTCCTTCAAATTCCGCAATCAGACTTGTGCAATCAAGACTGCTTCTGAAAAACCTGGGTTGAAGGCAAGTAAGTTGAAAGCGGAATGATAAATGTACCGTGATTTTGGAAAACGGGAAAGTTAGCTACATTCAAAAACTTGTGAAAAACCACTGGACATGAAGATTTCCTGCAACATGAAACAGCAGCAGAGTCATGCCGCGAGTTATAGTCCTTTTATGAAAATTTCAGAGCATTATCATCGTTTATTTTTCAGAAATCTATCGTTTTTGCAGTGAGTGAAAATTCAAGTCCAAAAAGCAGGACAGAAGTTGCGGGCTGGCCTCGCCACCGTCCACCATCGGCCAACCTTCACGAGATGAGTCAAATTTTTTAATTGTAGCTCAACATTGACGGTCACAGAAACTCCATGGATGGAACTACTAAAAGGCTTAAATGTATACAGAGGCGTAACTAGAACGTTAATGGGGTGTGCATGTTCATATATTCCGTTGTGCTCTACTGATTTCTTTTGAAAGTGATTTGAATTTCAAAAGAAATCAGTAGGGCAACTGAATATATGAATATACACACCCCAATTAACGTTCTAGTTTCGCCTCTGCATGTATAAGAGCATGCACTGCCTCGATTCCTTGAACATCACAGGGAACGAATTGGTGCTGCCAGCTGGTACAGTGTGACGATAGCACGTGCTCACGTGCAAAAACAACGAGGATGACACGGCTTGTTCACCTAAGTAATATTGCGTCAACCCGATGGCTGATGCGTTTCTAAGCGTGTAAATCGCGTGTTCCATGACTTCCTTCGAAAAGACCTCTGCATTTGCTCATTTCTCTTATGTAGATCGATGATTTCGATAGATCACGAGCGTGATAGCCACGCATGAAAGGCCAGAGGTCGACTGTCGACAATAATAGTGAAATTACACATTCTATCATCACATAATACTAACATAGTTGAGTTTTTTCCAGTGATTTTTGTGTAAGCGGTACACACAATGGACACACCGTTCGCCAGCACAGGAAATAGAACTGGATGTATGACATTCTATCGCTTATATTACTGGTTCTACAACACGCGAAATTAATTACTAATTCAATCCTTTAGCCCACATCAAATATCGGCCATAGACAAGTGCTATAAGATAAAGGATCAGGGGTAGGGATGAATTTTGTGTACTTGTAGCTAACGAAAATTTAACCAGGGGGAGAGGGATACCTCTGTTTCTTGAACTGGAAATGTGAGAGGCGAACGAATGACGCATGTCGCTTACACCAAAATTATAACACATTTCAAATTTTCAAAAGATAAAGAAATTTTACACAATTTTTAAAGAAGCGAAGCCATAACGACATCGTTTACGTCTAATTTCGATTTTTCCAAGGTGAACATCTGAAACGCCCCAAGTTCGTTGGGTTTGCAGTTTGCCTTGGACATATAATAGTAAATACATAACAGTTTCGACATGACAACGCACCTGAGTCACAGCAGCATCAAAAAGCTTTGCAGATCTATCGCTCGTTGTTGATAACGACAAACCTTCACTTTTCCATGCCTTTGAAAGAAAGAAAGAATAGATGATGAACTTTCGAGTTAGCCGTGAATTGTTACCCTTATTTGTATCATATCCAACGAGAATAGAAATTCAGTGAACATGGCCATTCATTTGCTCTGTAGATGAACTTCATCCCTTCAATACGCAGCTATTGCCTAATAAATCAATACTTGCCGCAAGATCCCGCCATTCTCGATGTTTCGCAGAAGACATTTGCTCCGTTGTTGCACCTCAACACGAAAATTACAAGTTGCATGTACCCGTGTATATTGTGTGACACATTGCGTATTCGGAGAATGCTCAGAGCAAGTCAGAGAGGCCAGGGCCAGAGGTCAACCTTCCGGAAATGAATACTTAATCACGTGTGACGAATGAAATGTTATTCAAATCCAACGCGGACAGAATTTGGAAGGCTGAAGGCCTGAAGCAGCATTAAGCCACGTTGGTCTTTGCGTACTTTTAAATATGAATGCTGATATGGTCACTCGTATGAACACAAAGTTTGCCAACCAGGTAATAATGACGGAAGAGGAGTTGGACGTTTTTATTTCAAGATGAATATTTAATTTGGCTTACACCTCTTAGGGTATACAAAGCACTTAGGAAGCGAGGTAGGGGACAAAAAAGCAAAAGCTGCATGTTTATAATCAGTGGAGACATGGCTGTGGACAATTGGGGGTATGGGGGTTTATGGGGAAGGGCTCATATTCATGATATGCATGTTACAGTAAATGGTTACAGTTCGTCAGAGCAATGGGAAGAATCGTATTCCGAAGAAAATAGATACAAACTTAATTTTTCAGACATACGTCGTTTTTCTTGCAGTTTGTGAAAAATTTTGCGGCAAGCAGAGCCTTTTCTTGACGTCGCAATGATATTTTATACTGCATGGAAAGCTTATGGATACGAGCAATGCAAAAGAGCATCAGTTTTTCCAAGATTAATCCAGCCCAAACAAGTCCAAAACGACGTCTCACCGACAATTTTGAATAATATAGGAAGTAACAAAAAATGGGGAGAAATGGGGTTTTTTTCTTTCAGAAGAAGCTACAATGAGAAAATTTTCGACTGGACATGGTTTTTCGGTACGAAATATCATCTGTAAATGAATACTAGCTCCCATAATTATCGATCTTCACGGCTTGTAAACTAAAATTAAATAACAAAACAAATAAACAATGATCCACCTTGCAGCTTCCGAAACACGTAGTGATGTTGATTCAATATTCTTGTATCGTCGGCGTCTCGCTGTCATACTTTGTTTCTAAAAATTATTTTTACCTTTGTCTTTTGAAAAATACTTTTTGGTGTTTGTTTTTAGTGCTTGGCACACTATAGGCACACTGGTCCGCTGTCAGAAACTGTCTTGGTCAGTGGTCATGCTACATCATTACCTTTTTGGGCGCATGCGCGAAATGATGGGAATGAGTGTTAGTGAACGAAACTAGTCTATTTACAAAATACAATTATAAACACTGTTAAATCATGGATCAACGGTAAAATGTACGGCAGAAGATACGTCAACTTTTTTTGATTTTTTGCCAATATTCAAAAAAAAAATGTGTAAATATCACTTGAGGACGATGAAAGTTTCGGAAAGAGCATTTCGTGTTCGTAATAATTGTCTTGGTAAGGTGAAAGTTACACTATATTAAAGATAAGCTGTGGAAACACGACGATGCCATTCATGAATAGACGTTTGCGTTTCGACGAAACATGGCAAGGGATATCGTCAACGGTCGATGCTGTCCTGGGATTGCGAAAAGTCACGAGAAAAGATTGGAATGAAAGATTTACATATCCTTTTTTCCCCTAAACGGTCATCTGGTAGAGTTCATACTGTCCAAAGTGCAAAGTTATGCCATCAAATATTGCGTTGCATGGAGATAAAATGTTAATACACGCTACAAATGACTTGCTGCTGTATAAATTGATTGAATCAATTTGCATGAGTTGATATATGTATGTATATAAACATTTGTGTTTTTTTATTCCTGGCCTTTTCCTACAAAAAAATGTCATCATTTTATTCGTCCTCTCTTTATTTTGAATTTTTATGTTGATGTTGAAATGTGAGCAATCCTTACTTTCAACAAACTTGATAATGGTACAACATATTTTGTCAAACAATCAATCAGATTTATCCATATTTCAGTCATCGTTGATGTTTGTTTGTTTTGCTATTAAGTATTAATAGGTCAAAGAAATCAAATTCATTATGCAGTATCAATTTCAAAAAATCCATAAAAATGTTTCGTATACAATTTATGCTGTGACAAATTTCTTTGACCGTATCTTAAAGATGTGTACTCTTTGTGTGTTGCCTATCCCGAGCCTATGGTGGAAAAATTGTATGAAGAGATCAAAGCTTTGCTAAAGGCGCATGTCAACAGAATCTATTGTGTAAGTTATATGTATCAAAGCAAAGTTCTAAACAACACTAGAGGTGGTTTCATGCTGGTGTTCTTTGGGGGAGGGAGGCACTCCAGTTCGAGTTCAATGTTGGTGGCCACTTGTTGCAACACCATGTCAGACTTTTTTTCTTAAATTCTTTTACCTTTTTTATTATGATTGACTGAGGGATTTTTGAAAGTGTGCTCCATTAAGCACAAGTCAAAGAATTTTGCTAAAATTTTTTGGTACATAAATTAGTTTTTGAACACACATCCCTCCATGTACCAACGCAAGATTCATCCCTGTACCAGACTGGTATAAGGATGGAACAATATCTGTTGTTATATCCTTAGAACAAGAACAGTTTACAACTATGAACAAATATGCAGCCAGCATTGCTCATGCAACATCGCTCCATTCTCTCACAGTTTGTTGGATGATATCATATTCATAATGCATTATCCCATCTATCAACTTTAATCATCTTATCCTCACATCTGTTTTTTATACTTAATTTCTAATTCATTGAAATAGGAATTATCATCTGGCACATACTATCTTGAATTGTACCACAGTCATTGGTCCCAATATAACCGAAGTTGTGAATACTTGGATTTGCTGTTTCGGTGAGTTTTATAATCAACTTATTACATGCAGGCACTGTATTTATACTGTAACACATTGCATTCATTGTGACCAATGCATTATTTAATTTTCTGGTCAAAATTCGCTTGCCATCTTTTGACTTACTTAATTTATTTTGAACTTACCTTTCTTAATTTCCTAGTGTCTGGATTTGTGCAGGTTTCAATGTCATAATGAACTATTAATTTTAAAGTGTATAGTGTGAACTCATGAGTATCATTAGGTGTTTGTGGTCGTAGATTGTGCAGGTTTGTGCAGTCCAAAGAATGAATGTTGGTGTTGGTACTGGTTTTGGTGTTGATGTTGGTTTTGGTACTGGTGTTGTTGATGTTGGTTTTGGTACTGGTGTTGGCATTGGTGTTGGTGTTGATGATGGTGATGGTGTTGGTGATGGTGGTGGTGTTGACGGATGTTTTGACAAACCTAGTGGTAGTCATCGCTAAATGTCAGCGTCACCGTATTTGTTGCCTTGTTGGTATCTACGCCATAGTATTGTGTATGGAGGAAATATATGTCTATGTTATTATCTTTTTTGTATTGTTGTTGTGGATTAGTTAAAAGTGATATTATCATCATTTTTTTTGTTTCTTTGAGGCTGCGAATTGTTGTGATCGTCTTAGCGGGTTTTGTTGCACAGGGGTGTGTAAGAAAACTGTTTCTCTTTGAAATCACCCATAATTTAGAACTCGCATAATTCAGAATTAAGTGATCCCTTAGAAGGCGTAAACGCAGTTGAATTGAGGTATTGCAGTCTGCTGTAGCCTCAATACACATGCGTATTATTGTATTCAGTTGGGTTTATGGCTGTTTTGGGATCAACTGCTACTGAATCATGCAAATTCTTACTATTGGGCAATTTCAGAGGGAAGCAGTTTTATGTTGGTACTCCAATTTTCTTACGAGTCCCAGTCAATTTTATATCCTGTCGGTGGTGTTCGAAATTGACTGGTTTTGTCTTATGTCTTTGTGGCTTGTATTCGGTGAGTCGTATGTTTGAGTCCCATGCGAGTCTCGTCGATATTGTAGACGTGGCAGTTAGAGAAGTTTTAATTTGTAAACTGCATCCTTCCGCTCGTCTGGTCTCTATCTTTGACGTTCGTCAGTGCTTGTTTTCGTAAGGTGACTCTGAAGATGATTACCTCCAAGTTTATCGAAACGTCGTGCAACACCATCACCAACAGTCCTTTTCCCACCACCAGCAGTTTGTTAGTATCATCTAGGAGCAGTGACCGGCGCTTACTTTGAGGCTTTCACCCGTACAGACAAATATTCCATGCACTGATTCATCTGCATGCAACTTGTGTCGATGTTTTAATTGTGCATGCAAAGGCCACAATTTTCTTCGCTGTGCTGTTTTTATATAGAAAGGATGATTTTGTAGGATGGAGGGGTGCACTTGTTTGGATTAGATTTTCATGTCTACTTTATGGATATCGCCGTGCCAAATCAGCACTTACTTTGTTGGATTCTGTTACCTAGGCCGATATTTTGACTCGTGTCTAAAAAAACACAAATCACCATTGCTTTTGCTGAATTGCTTGGTGTGCTAATATTGTGTAGAGAAATTGCCACCCCTCCTGCAACCTTCTATCCAAAGATAGGAGAAGTGCGCTACCCTCTGCCACTCATCCCCCCGTAAATCCACCCCTGAATAAATCAAGAACGGACGCTGCTCTGTGTAAATTGTTTGATTCCTAGAATGTTATGTTGTAACTCGTGATTTTTTTGTCAATGTTTCACAGCAATGCTCATCAATCCCTCTTCATGTTTTTTTATATAGCCACCTGAATATACACATCAAAAAGGGAGAAGGAAATGGCAATGATATGACAACTTATTCCAGTGTTCTGTCCGATAACGAATGCAAGATTGAAGTGGGCCAGGTACGTATGCATTTACGGCATTTTGTTCATTTTTCTATGCGCTGTATCTACTTCAGCACGCTATTAATAATTGACCATAAGTTTTACATTACTGATTTATGTGTTTGAAAAACAAAAAATCGGTCGATATTTTGCGGAAACTTTTGTTAACAAACAACCAATCTTTCTTTTGATTATCGTCTGCAGTCAAGTCCGTGGGTCAGCGGCTGCTACGTACCCTTAAAGAAAGAACCTCTGCTGACGTCAGCATTTGCTGGACACTTTGATGGCGTGATAAGCGTGTATCCGATATTTTTACCTCGTGTCTTGCCACCACGCCATGCGCACAGTGGGTGAGATCGAGATCCAATCTTTGCCTACAGCAAGTTTATGAATTCTCTTCTTTTTACTGCACTGATTTTTACTGCTGCTAGCACAGCGTGCTTCCCATCATGTCAACATAATACGAAAACTCGCATTGTTGCATCTACACGTAGCCCGCAAGTTTCGGTCCACCCGTGGTTAATTTCAGTACATTACCATCAAACGATTCTTTTGTGGCTGTGGGTGCGCATGGAAATACTTAAAAAACACGACCAAACATGCGGGCTGGCCACCACCCTCCCAGGAAAACCATTCGGAGTATCAAATACTAAGTGATGTGATGTATTATATCATACATCAATTGACGGAAACTTATAGAAGATTAGCTTACACGGCTTCATTACCAGAACGTGCGGATCATCAACGTGATTTCTTTTGAGGTTGCTATTCTCTTGAGTTTCGCGAGCTTCTTTGCTTATCTGTGTGAGATCTGGACATCGTGCAACCATTTACTTTTTCGCTAATTTTCATACAAAGAAATACAAATGGAAATTATTGCTGAAAAAGAAAGAGCTATGGTTTCTTTGCAAGCTTGTCCGATGTCTTTGGCGCTCAGCAGAGGTTCTCACATGATCGCCATTGTGGCTACCTAAGCTACTATAGTGGGGATATGTGCATTAATCTGCCATATGGCTGTTGCAAGTTTGGCGGAAAAAAATTTAACATGTAATACTTTTTCGCTGAAATGTCCTAACTAGAAATTACTGCAACCAACGAAAAGGATTTATAGGCTGCGTTCTATAGTAAATGTCTGAATATAAGTCTCGAGAGTTGCTGCACTCTGTTACCATGTTGCACTTAAAATCTCACCGGAATATTTCTTGAAAATTCAAGACTAACTGACTCAAATTCGAGTGGATCATTTACGTTTGCAGCTAGCCTTACGAATTTGGAAGGAGATTGTTATTCAACGGATAAAAGAAAAACTAATTCCGGAAATTTTGGCTGAAGTGAAAAGGTATTTTGCAAAGTTTTTTTCCCATAGTTTTCTACGACAATACTTCATATATGATACTTCTAAGCCCTGGTCTTGTATAAGCTTGTAAGGGGGGTTGCTATATAAGGGGGGGCTTATACGCGTGTGAGGTTTTTCGTGGAATGAGTTGAGTGTTACGATGGTGATATATTTATTCAGGAGAGGGCTCACACGGGGGGGAGGGGCTTCTAGGTGGAGGTTTACACTATTCTACTATTACGCGAATGAGTCTATTAAGCTATTTTCTTCGACGGGAGAGGCAAATCAATCATGCTTTAGTTTGATGTTTCTTTGGATGTTATAAAATATTCATACTCATGCTGATATACACAAGACTTAAGTTTCTGCGGTCACGAATAACTGCAACCATTTCCTTGTGCCTTTCCCCTTACAGACTCACAAGGAGAATTTGTCCAAGACCTTGGATGGTTGTTTAAAAAGACGGAAAGATTGCACGTTGTCAACAATGCTTTCAGTTCACTCCGCGTGCGTTAAACTTTTCTAGGATTGCTATAAACTAGAGGAAATGCGCAAGGAGGGCGATTGAATTTATTCGCGATTGCGTTAAGTTTTGTCTCGTCACAGGCTTATCTATATAATATTATCTGCTTTATTATTAGTTACAAAATCAACCTGAATCCATCCCTGATTTAATCGCTTCTCCTGTCAAAGAAATAGCTCAACATTCTCATTCGCGTAACAATAGAATACAGTAAACTCCCCCCCCTATATTGTAATAAATACATCGTACAAAATTGACGATGTTCTACAATGGCGTTTGAACAAATAACAACTTCCTGCTGGCTGTGCAATATTTTAATATTCCCTATAAAATATTTTTTCGAAATAGGGACAGAGAGGGTGGAAATGCACAACGAGACGTAATTCAAGGAGCTATCGAGTCTTTGGGTAAGTTGTTGGATTGCTGTTGTGTGAATTATTTTTCATATGTGAAAGTTCTGTGTAAAAAGAGCTGTGACATTGCGTCACATCTTTTTCTCCGCAAGTAAGCCCTGTGTTAGGCAAACTGCCATCAAAAACTGACGAGTAAATTGTGCTCCTTCTACAATTAGACCGCTAGGCATCAAGGGTATTGGGTTATGAAGTATTGATACATGTACTAATTGTCTTCACTTTTCTCATCCGAATATCTTGATTGCGAGATTGTTAACATGAATGATGGTTTGTGGAGAGTACAGCTGATAAGCGAAATAGATGAATTTCCAACGTTGTCTTCATTAACAGAATAACAATTCACGTTTTCTAATCATTCCCTCTGACATCTTATCTTGTCGAACGTATCTTTTACGAAGATTTAGCTAAGTTTATGGATGTTGATGGTCTGGGGTAATGAAATCCCGGAAAGACGTCTAATTGATAACGTTTTCTCTTAGTTGCTGAAATTCGTTTTTTTAGTTATAGTACAGCAATATTTTGAACGTGGAAAACTAGAGGTATTTATCATTTCATGACAATTACATACCTTCAAATATATTGTAGCAAATTTATTGTTTATCTCTTGAGAATGTGGATGAGTTGGCAAGGTAGCAAAGCCAGGAATATTTTTCACTCGTGCTACATGTATATTCATTTGATTTTATAAATGATTTTTATTGAGCTTTCGACTCGGTGCTTCGAGCCTTCTTCAGAATAAGGAAGTTATCTATTTACAGTTGTTTTTAGCTTATAGACGTTTAGAGCGTCTAATTGGATTAGCGGGTGTGAAATGTGTTGCCATGTGTTTTGGTGTATTGTGAATGTAATTGGTGTTAATGTTATTGGAGTGTGTTGTTGTGGTCTTGGTGTTGTTTGTAGTTTTTATGTCCTTTTTCTTTAGTTGTGAGTATATGATGGGTATGTCGATATGTCTGTTTATTGTGTCGTTGTCTTTACTTTACCAAGCCTCTTTTGATTCGCGTGCGTGTTTAGTCTGTGCGCGTCCGAGTACTTCAGTTTCTGTCCAGTCGAATGTGTGATTAGAAAGGCCTTTTCATCTGCCATTGAGTGTGGTTTATTTTTAGTGAAAAATAAAGTTGGACAAATCTCAAAAGTTTCGACTGTGTAAACTTACTACAAACTGCTATATCAACTTATCTTTTAACGTTCGTGGTCACGTCAAACATTTTGTAAATTTAATGGACGTGCGAAAACATGCAAAACATTTTTCGTTTCTTAAATAACATTCCTCGTTTACCGATCAAAAATATATTGTAGAAAACATTGCTCGACTCTGATTGGTTTCCCGCTTTGTCGTTAAGAAGTAACATTTTAAGAAATAATTCTATACTGCGTTTGGCTGGTTTTTGTTTATTTTGCAAACAGCATTGCATCTGTTTCGAAAGAAGTTTTAATAAGAATGGAAATTTCTCTTACAATTTATTTCGCCAGTTGTTGTATGTCGTCTTTTTCATGGCCGTCATAATGAAGATATGACGATAAATGTGCGATCAATATAAATGTGATAAATATCACATTCATATTGATGTGATATTCAGTTTCATGTTTGCACCAGTTTCCTCCAGTGTACTCTTTCAGAAATTTAATTAGTACGTGCTCATAGAAGTGTTCGAGGTTGTGTGATGAATGCGTACATTTGCGTACAGTAGGGAGAGAGGGCTGCTAAACTGCCCTTTCGTGCAATTGACATTTTAGAATCTAATTTTGGTTAACTTTATCTAAGCGCAGCATCAATTGAACGTTTGTTTCAACTTTAAAAACTATCTTATGCCTGAGATCAAAGACTGCAAGATAAGCTATGTAATTTGAAGTACGAAGGAAAAATTTGTGTGCGTATCAAATGGGCGACCCCGTGCATACTTGAGAAAATTTTCTTCCCAAAGTATTTGAAAACATACTTGTTACCTCATAATCATGATGCAATTGTATGTGTCTCTAACTGCTTTGATCTTGTTTAGCTTTACGAAGGTGAATTTGAGAAAAAACTCTTGGTTGAAACAACAGAGTTCTACAAGACCGTGTCTTCCAATCTCGTGTCAGAACTCACGTGCTCAGCTTATTTAGTCAAGGTTTAACCAATATGTAATCTATATACGTATGTATGATAATGCTTGCCATTAAAAGAGTTTCGACAGATATCATTTTTGATTTCATGTACATAAGCTAATAGTATACGACTTATAGTAATATGTTAGATCATGATGCATTAGTGTCAGAGATATACTTATGTGTACAAATAGGTCCATCGATATGACTAAATATCCAGATACAGGTACTTGCTATGAACACATTAGTACATGTTTTTACTGTGTCATATTCACCACTGACTGCAAATGGATTTCATTAAAAAGCTTTCACGAACTTTAAATCCCCGTAAATAGTGGAAATTAGATGAGAATTTGTTTATTTTCACTTACGTACGATGCATACTTTCTCTACGAAAGGGAGTGTTTGCCGTTTAGTATTCATCATGTATCTGAATTGGATTCTCGCCTGGCAAATGTGTCGCAACCAAATTTGAGTCATTTTATTTTGATTGCATTTCCTCTTCAGGCAGATAGTCTTCTTCGCGATGAGAAAGTGCGAACCTCGCAGCTTTTCCATCACTCTTCGACGGAGAAGGTTAACAAGGAATGCGAAAGACAGTTGGTGGAAAGTCACGTGGCTTTACTCGAGTCAGAATGCAGGCAGATGATCAAAGAGGAAAACCTCGAAGGTTTGAACAGTTCTGCTTATCTCGTGGTATCTTACACCAATCATTTTGATCGATCGTCATCTCAGTATTTGCAGATAGAATGAACTTTTTCAAAGTAAAACGAAAATTCTGCTATTTTAATTACATTTTCATTCAAGAGAACTCTTAAAATGACAGTGGACTTTTAAAACAATTTATTCATATTCCTTTCTATCAACGAGGTTTTGAAGTTTTTGCAACTAAGTTTAGTGGTTGAGTAAATCGTCAGTGGCTGTTTAAATCGTCAGTGGTTGTGTAAATCGTCAGTGTTTGTGTAAATCTTCAGTGTTTGTGTAAATCGTCAGTGGTTGTGTAAATCGTCAGTGGTTGTGTAAATCGTCGGGGGGGTTGAGTAAATCATCAGTGGTTGAGTAAATCGTCAGTGGCTGTTTAAATCGTCAGTGGCTCTGTAAATCGTCAGTGGCTCTGTAAAACGTCAGTGGCTGTGTAAATCGTCAGTGACTGTGTAAATCGTCGGTGGTTGAGTAAATCGTCAGTGGTTGTGTAAATCGTCAGTGGCTCTGTAAAACGTCAGTGGCTCTGTAAATCGTCAGTGGTTGAGTAATTCGTCAGTGGCTCTGTAAATCGTCAGTGGTTGTGTAAATCGTGAGTGGTTGTGTAAATCGTCGGTGGCCAGGTAAATCGTCAGTGGTTGTGTAAATCGTCAGTGGCTGTGTAAATCGTCAGTGGTTGAGTAAATCGTCAGTGGTTGTGTAAATCGGACGTCCCAAAACTTCAATGTCTTTAGAATTGAAAGAGATACGCCTGAACTGTTTGAGAAAGTCCACTGTCTTCTAAACACGTTTTAAGAGCTCTTTTTATTGAAAATGTACTTGAAATGAGCAAAATTCTCGTTTTACTGGCCCATCGGGTTACCGTAAGCACAAAGTAAATCACAACATCAGAAAACGCCATTGTCCATCTTCTTTAGATCTTTCACGCATGTACTCTCTTATGAAGTTGAGTGTGCTTGGGTTGCGCGCAATGGTTCAATTGCTGGAAGAACATATCGAAAAAAAAGGTTAACAATAAATTATGTTCTCTGTTGCGAACATTAGGGGTGGGAGAGCTCTATGGATGTCGACACCCTTATCGTTTGGGAATTATAAATAAGAAGTCGGTCCTTATACTGATGAAGAACGAAAAAATTCGCTCCTGCTAAAATTGTTGGCTTTTTCTATTAAATTTGGACACATAAAAAGTCCGTTCCTTGTTCCAGGAATGTAGACCCTCCCACCCTCCCCAATTTTTTGGTTTGTGCGCTCCTGACTATTGGTATTTGACAGTTGATACTTTAGATATCACATCGCGTGTCGATACTCTAATCACTCATGTTGCCTGTTTAACTTGCTATCACTTGGACTTTTACGATCTGCATTGTATTGAAAATGAGATGGAGAAAGTTAGAAAAAAAACATCCGAAGCGCATATTTCCGACGTTGAAAGCTAGGGCGTAGCATTCCTGCGAATTTTATAATGCTGTATAATTTTTTCTGTGTTTTGTCTCTGTAAAAACTGTAGATTTCTATCAAGAAATGATTAATGCTAATTTTCTGAAATGTTTTACGTAGCAGCACAAAGAAGTAGCCATTGCTTGAAGCACTGTGACCTAATCTTCTGTTCACCTCAATTGATAATCGCAAAAGAATCCTGTGAAAGAGTATAGAGTAGTTATACTCTGAAAAATATTATTATAGACGAGTTTCCTAAAGTTTCCCATGCAACAAGTTTCGTATTTTTATGTCTTAGTACCATTTATTCTATCCATGCTTTATCCATTCATTTCTATTTCTACAGGACTTGAGGCGATTTGCTGTATCGACAAGGAAAAAGTACGATTTTTTTTTATTGAGTGTTAAAACGTTAAGTTATTTTTTGCCAGGCTGTTAGTGAGTAAAGATCCGTGCTGTAATTCACCATATTTTTTCTTTTTTAACACCTTCATTCGTCCAATCCATTAACTTGTTCATTGCTGATTTTTCTTTTTTGAAGTTTTTTCTCGACACATTAGTTTGTGGAATTGTGCTTATTTTTTTAATTTCAAATCATTAGTTTATATTAAAAAGGCGTCCTTGCCGCGTCCTGCATCATTTTGCTGCATGCAAATTCTACTTTTTCCGGTGTTTTCGTTGAGTTCAAGCATGCAGTATAGCATTCTTCGCTGCAAGATTATTCAAAACATCACGCCGATTTATCACTTATGAGAGATGACCATGAATGATCGTTATCATAACCAGCTCAATTGCTTCGTGTATGTAAAACATTCTGCATGTGTTGAATCCTTTTTCTGTTGCATTTCAGACACCTGCTAACTTTGTTCGTGCGTTACTTCAAGTACATCGAAAGTATCTCGATTTGATAAATACCACATTCAGCGGAGAAAAAGCCTTTTTGATGGCGTTCAATAAGGTAGGCAATGGCCATAATAAAGTTTGGCCATTGGTCATATTTGTTTCCAACTTTTCATTCACCGATAAATTGCCCATCCTACTTGTTGAAGGAAAGTGCAGTGTGATTAATCTCCAGTTTGCAAATATATTTGTCTTAATTTGTTTCGCCAATTTTCAGAGGGCTGTTTAAGCTTTTTAGCAAGAACTGAACGGGCTGCTGTCTATATTTACTGCTTTTATGTTCCCGAGTACTCGTTAGCTGTGTTTTGTTTTTTTCCGTCTTTTTGAGTACGTTTCAAATATTTCTAACATTAAATTCAAAAACTATATAGCACAATACAAAAAAGTTATCAAGCCGAGGCCTGATCATTCCTCAAAGCATTGTAAAACCGAACTCAACAATTTTTCTTTATTTTTTCCGAAAATTTGGAGAGTATCCAAAATAAGTTTTGGTTTCCTCACATTAAATGCTTGTTCACATTTTTCATATTGCACACTTGACGTTGAAATGTATTGTTGCCAGGCATTCTATGTTGTCGTTAACAGCGATAAATCCGGGCAGAAAAGTTCACAGTCAGCAGAACTGGTAAGTTCAGAATGTAAGTTGCCGTCGAGGCATCGAAATACGAATAGGTTACTCTTCCATCTGAGCGATAACTCAGCATTTTGAACGATTTTTACCAGTTAGCACGATTTGCCGATTCCATCTTGAAGAAAAACCAACGAAATATGAGCGAGAACGAACAAGAAGAAAATATGGCTGACATCGTATGTTAATTGTGTTTCAATAAACTATAGAGTCAGTGGAAAGCAAATTCCTTCTGATATAATGTTGATCAATATGTACTTTGAGCAGGGTTGCCTTGAGCGGGGTGGGGGACAGTAAGGGGTAATTTTCTCTGGGCTCCTGTCTTCCAAGGACCCCAATAGCTAGATAAGAACAACAATATATAGTTTTGGAAATTAGTGCAAATATAATAAGAGTTAACAAGTACATTTCTAAGTATTCCATATTAAGTATGATAATATTGTCTTATCACCATATTATATTATCACCATATTGTATTGTCTTATCGTCTATCACCATAGTGCAATGGTGACTCCTGCACTTAGGACACAGGATGTACGGTCGGTTACACATTGTATCAAAGTGTATAACAATGTGCCCTCCCAGTTATCACCATAGAGCAGTGACATATATATATATTCCTGTGTAAAATACAGTACGATTTTTTTCTATAGATACTCCTTTTTAAATACCTCGATAATAAAGATATTTTTCAAAAGGTGGGTCCACCAAACTTCTTCATCTGGTTCGAACGTACCTAATCATATAAGAGCTTGCGCTTTTGGTACGTGCTTATCTCTGGATAAGTGTATTAACCAACATCAAAACATTGTGGTCGTAGGACTTTGTGGCATGACGCTCCAGCTATTTCTCCCTGGAGATTGTTTATATTTCATGCATTCGTTGCACTGTTAACGGTAGATTTTTTTATAACACGCGTGTTTCAGTTTTATTCGAAAATGTTGGCGAAGCGTCTCATTCACAACACGTCTATCTCAATGGACGCCGAAGAAAACATGATCAACCGACTGAAGGTGAGTGATTCAACGAACCTCGTTTTATTTTTGCGGTGGTTTATGCAGGGATGGATTCTAAGGATGATTTTGTTAGCGCGGTGCTCTAGTTTTAAATTTTAATGTGGTTTTGTACTTTGCGGGTGCGGCGGCGGCATTTTTGGTTGAATTCTTGTGTTAAATTTTTACCACATACAATTATCGAGGGTTTTTTTTTCGAAGTTTTATACACAAATCAAAATTGCTTTTTCTTTATTGATTAGTGTATTGATATTTGGCAAGAAAAAGTAAGACTCCTTCTGTCCTCTAGGTGGGGTGTGTACCCTTCCCCAGTCCCCCCAGTAACTCCCCCCCTTGACTCACGGCAATAAGCAAGTCATCGTTTCCCTCAAAACGTTTTTTGGTTTTAACCATTACTCCGAATGTATAACTGGAAGGCTACATTAGAGAGTATGTAGCTTTCCAGTCGATAGTTTAATCTGTTTTTGTACATGGTAAATGCACTTTTTCATTTTCGAATTTATTATTTCAATCGCGCTGCCTTTTAAACGATTCATTTCGATCAATACGCTGACTGTGCATTTTGTTCCAAGAGTGGGCCTTTCATCTCTAGAGCGGATACAGGATTTTTTTCAGGATCGGGGTAATCATTTGGATGTGTTGAAATACCTTATTTACAAGCTATTTAAATATCCGAGCTTATGGATGGGTGCGTACCTTTTGCCCCATACCTCTGCATTCCACAACAGGGGATATATTTTACTGTACGAATTTTAACCATGCCAATATAGGCAATCTGGTATATGAATCGTCCTCCCCTTTCAACCATTATATCAGTTAGCTCATATTCATGGAACTATTTATTATATTTGAATTTTGTCCTTTTTCTTTTCGTAATCTTATCTCGATTTTATACCGTGTGAATATGTGTCCATAAGTTGTAGTTGGCCTGTCTTGTTTTGGTCTTACATTCCTCGCTAAAGTAGCTACATGTAGTCAGTTGAGTATGTCGACTTCCACTTTTCGCAGCATACCTGTGGTTACGAGTACACAAACAATCTACATCGCATGTTTACGGACATGAGTTTGAGCGAGGATTTAAACAAAAGCTTTTATGAAGACCTGGCTAGAAAAAACAGTTCGCTGGATATCACCGCTTCCTATCTTATATTGCAGGTAATTTGTTCTACGTGTTGTCGCTACTACCCGGCCGTTAATCGATACCTGCCGATTATTTTAAAAAGCATCATGGGAAAAATCGCAAAATGGCCGACAAACAAGATGTATTAATTGTACAAAGAGTTTTATTCGGTTTCCTTTTTTTTTTACAATATACACTATGGTGGATTAAATTCGTACTCAACCTTGCAGTCGAAGTTTAGTTTCAGCTGAAAATTATGACGTAAAATGAGGATATTGCAGCTTAATGTGAAGCTGGTATGCCGCGTTATTCAATATATAAATGCTTCCACATTAACTAAAGAAATGCTTCCACAAATATACATTTACACATGGCGGGCTATAATCCCAGTAAATTGTAAATAACATCATTCTTTTCGGCCAATCAGAGGAAAGCAGGTTATCGTGCTAGCACGACTCAAGACCAGTGTTTATTATGACTTCCTTAAATTTAGTCGTATGTGACAAAAGATTTGCGATGTGCGGCAAGATTGACACGCTTTATGCTCTGTATTTCATCTTGCAGACGATACCTGTGGTTTGAAAAAGTCTTCAGCAGATTATTTGACGATTAGCAAGACGTAATTTTTCGATTACCGATTATTTAAAAAATGGTCGATTAATCGATCGTATCGGCTCATCCCATCGTATCGGCTCATCCCATCGAACCAATTTTTTTTTGAAATTAAAAGATTCGTCGCTTTTTTTATACAATTATCAGTACCAACAATTCTTAGGTTTTCTCTGATGGTGTTTCGTCATACCGCACGATCTCGTTCATTAACCAATCACAAATTTTCTTCTATCCCATTCATTTTCTAAAGGATGTTGATATTTTTTTCTAGTCAGGTGCTTGGCCACTTGCTGTTAACACAGTTTCGTCGTTGACAATACCTCAAGAATTCGTCGACCCGATTACTTGGGTACGTCATGTTATGTTTTATCAGATAGATAGCATTTGGTGTCGGTATCGGTAATGTCCTGGAGATCAAATCAGGAGCTATCTCCACCGCACAATTTGTTCATGAAACGTTCACTAAGCGTTCGCAACACGTTCGTGATACATTCATAACACGCTCATTACGTGTTCACGATACGTTCACAACACGTTCACGAGACGTTCACCGCCATGCTATTCGTAGAAACCGGGCTTTAGGTTACGATGCCGTGTTTCTGTTTGATTTCACGCTGCCAATATAATGTGGCCTTCGTTGTATTTATAACTATGTGCTTCCTTTATCACAGTTTGAACAGTTTTACGGTAAACGATTTCAAGGAAGGAAGTTAACCTGGCTTCATCATCTTTCCAACGGTATGGAATTCATATTTGTGTGCACATCACAAAAAAAGCAACTTTGTCTTCATAGTGTGCAGGCATCGCGACTTGGATTGAACGATTTGCTTGCTCTGTTTAGGGTCTATCGTAACGCTCTCCTTCACTTGGGTAGTCCGACTTAAAATATTTTTAATAATTTTGCACGATATTCACTTCCGCGCACATATCCGCTCGAATGTGCGTCTTGCCCTGAAAATCGTTGTTTATGATAGCTACGAACTTCCTAGTTTCTATTCACCCGATCAGTAGGCTCCGTTTTAGTTACAGATGCTTGTGCAGTGTATATGTTGTTGATCGCGAAATCGTTTTATTGAGTGCTCAAGAGTGGTGCAGATATTTAACTGCATAAAATAGCTAACATAATTAACTTTTTTCACGTTCAGAGTTCAGACATTGCACGGCATGCTTTTTATAAATTTACTGATTGCGTGATTCTGTTTGGTCCATATAGCATTCAAACTGTATGTTTTTCATTGCCATATCATTGCAACTCTATTGAAAAGGTGGAAATTCAGGATACATGTTGTTTTCATTTTTCGCAGGTGAAGTTCGTTTGAATCATTTTCAAAGGCCATACATCGTCACCGCGTCCAGTTACCAGATGGCCGTGATGCTTTTGTTTAATCATTCGGCGAGTTTAAGTTTTGGGTAAGTAGATATACGATAGCTATAATAATGACTGCTGGCAAGAGTCCGGTTAGCTGGGATTCACTGGAACGTGAAATAATTTTGACGCTTAGAAATAAAAACGGCAATCTTTTATACTTAACGTGGAGCAAGCTAGCTGTTCTGAGCGTTTTATATTTAAAAAGTGCGAATTCATTGAAAATTGCTGATATAGATTTCTCAGATAAGAAATGTTTGATTTTTCAATTCGACAAGCCCATATTACGCTTTTCGCTGGATCCCGAGTACCTTTTCTCATATATTCAGCGCCTAAATTTGTCATAGTGGGATATCGGTTGTTCGAAGGTCGGTTTTTGCAATCACTGTTTTCCTGTCTAAGTGGCATTTCAGACCAGACCCCCGAACCAGATCTCGACCATGCAAGTACATGTGAACCGCTCGTTCGTTTCACCTGGCATTAGCAGACCTCTTTTTAGTTTCACTCTGACTTTCATGTAAATTTGTGTATAAATCTCAAATGTTGAAAAACTTTACTTTCCAAATACCCAAGTAGACAAGATCTCTGCTCTTGTTATCAAATAAATTGAAGTAATATCAGTAAATTTGTATTCAGCCCGTTTTAAATATTTTCAACCTGCTCCGAATCTCTTTCATCTCATCAGTTAGTCGGCCTCGATGGGCTCTGATCTATTATTTTATGTCCTGAATACGATCATACAAGTATTCTGAATTCAAGATAGCTAATACAGACAACTGCAATCAGTGCAATGTCTATACATCTGAAATTTTAATTTCAGCGAAATTCTTGCACAAACCGAGATTGCCGAGAAAGAGTTAGAAAGAACATTGAAGTCACTTGTAGATGTTAAACTCCTACTGTCTTTCAAGGTATGATGGACCAATTGCCATTCATATTCAAAAGTTATATCATGGCTTTCGCAACATTCAGTGTATTTTTGTGTGTGGTCCAATCGGGAAGAAATTGTATAATTTCTAGTGCTTTTGCCAATCCGAACTTCTTTCTGCAAAAAATTTGATAAAGTGGCTCGGGGAAGCGATTTTAAGCATAGTAACAATGCGCGGATTAAATTTTTCTTCGCTTGGTCACCATGTCCTTTTTTAACCTCTCTAGTTTTTTCTACTTGATGATCTAGTTTATTTATGGAAAAATAACGGCCGTTCATAAAATGAAAAGAAATTGTTATGTTGAAGGTGTAGCTACGACGCCTCAAAAAACCAACGGACTTCATTATGACGCAATACTCAGATCGGAATTTTGCCTGAATTATGGATCTTTGATGCAATGTAAAAATTTCTGTAAACGATAAAGGATAAATCTTATTAGCAAAGCTGAGTCATAATTTGTTCTATAAAGCTCGTAGCTACACGCAGGTTTCGACAATGACTTCAATATCTTCTTTCGTGATAGCTTAGAAGCATTTCAACCCTTGTTTCAAACTATTGATTTTGTCCATCGTTTATGGTACGAGACATTTTCGTCTTACATTTTCAGGACGCGGGCTCCGCAACATACACGTGCAACCCAGACTTTTCAAACAAAAGAACTAAGTTAAAAATCACCGTCCCTGTTCTACGAGAAACCACTCAGGTAAATACGGAAATATGTGTCAGCGGTTGTTTGTCCGGCAAGAAAAATACTTCCAACAGGTGTGTAGCTGCCTCGTCAATCTGTTTTAATGATTGTCATATCTTGGTAACGTTTTGTAACGAAATTTACTTGGAAAAATTAATAGGTTTACAAAGTGAGCTGAGAGCACTCTTTCGTATTAGTTTTATTGCACATGCACATTTCAACTTTGAAGTGTAGCTAAGTTTTATCATGCAGACTTTTCATGAACAACAAGAGCACTTGCTCGTTCGAAAGCGTTTCTTTGTCCTTCTTACTGTTTATACCATTCGGAATTCATAACATTTCCCGCGAGCATATTTTGTATTTTTTTCGAACGAAAACTGTTGTTTTAGCGAAGTCGAAATGCACTGCGAATTACGTGGGAACTGGTCAACAGCTATTCTTACCGATCGTTTTCTAGGAAGCTAATCGATTTCGCTCGTCAATCGATGAAGACAGAAAATTGTACATTCAGGTTTGGCTCCGTTTTCCCAAGATTATGTCTCCGCTTTCTCAAGATGATGTCTCCGTTTTTACACGATGATGACTCCGTTTTCTCACGATGAAAGAACTGTTTATATTCCTTGACAATGGCTTTGTTTGTGTCTTGTAGGCAAACGTCGTACGCGTGATGAAAGCTCGCAAAGTTCTTAAACATAACACGCTAGTCCAAGAGGTACGTTTGCTCATTTTTATATTGTGCAATCGAAGACTTGTGTCATCAAACCTGTTTCCTCGAGGAAATACTCCAAAACTGCGTGAAATGCATTGTGGTTATTTGAGAACCAATCTCGCCGCGTATTTCGTTTCGGCACGAAGAAAATTGCTCTATGGCGATTATATGATTTGTATTTGAAGCCAGAGGCCGGTAGCAAAAAGCCCAGACAACATAATCCTGTGGATTGCTGCTTTTTCGAGTCTCTTAAAAAGTTGTTTCCTTTTACTGCACAATAATGAAACTTTGATATGTTTGAATCATCGTTTTATGCCGTGGATTGCATAGTTTAAATCGTAACTTTTTTGCCTTCTAAATATCCTCGAACCTTTACGTACGGACTCCACGCTTATAATCTCTCACAAGCGGACACCTTCCGTAAGCGTTGGCCTCAAGGTTGTACGGTATGTACGGTATGTTCGAATTGACAATCGAAACAACCCTATTAAATGGATTTCGCTCTCCAGGCTTTATGCAGCTGGCCGCAGAATTTTTAAAATGATTTCTCTAAGGGAGGGGGGATTTGACAAAATGGTAGACGAACGTTTATTGTCAAATGAACTTTTTTGTGAATACGAGAAAAAATAACATAAATAAACGCGACACAAAAAGAAAGTCCCCCCCCCCACCTTTACGTAAATCGTAAGTGCTACATGAATGAATATCCATCCATACGAATAATCTGGACAGTCTTTCAACTGCTTTACAAGGATAATGTTGCGGAATAGCGAGTGGAACTGATTACATTACTTTTTGATGCTAATTTTGAAATTGGGTATTTTTCAATTCAGGAGACGATACCCCTTCTTTTAAGCACCACTGACCTCATTCTTCACATACCGGATAGCAAATTACATTAAATCTTAGTATTGCCGTATTTGATTATCTGGTATTCATTCATTTAGAATTTATGATAGTATATATATCTTCGAAGGGACTACTTTGTTTTCGTGTGTTGACTGTATTCTAGTACGGCGATGTTGTTCAACTGAAACTTATTCATTCACGACGTTTATTTACGCAGGTGATCAGTCAGTCAAAGACGAGATTCTCTCCAAGCGTATCTATGATAAAGGTAGGTGAGGAATGACTTACTGGGAAAAGCTTTATCACGGACGGAAGATCTTTTGGTCAAATAAAATGGCCGACGTGATTGAAAGCAAAACAATTCTTGCCAATGTTCGGTGATATTTGCCTGTGGCTGATTTCATATGAAGGACGGCAAGCATTGTACGACTTACATTTTTTCCCCAAATTCCAAAACTTTCATCGGTACATGTTTGTAGATGTAAATCATCCAGCTGAGTACGGGCCTGGGAAGGACTATTGGTGTTGACCTACGTTTCAACCACCTTAGCGGTAGACATCTTTTCACATCATTGGCTTTGGAAGCTTTTAAAAGTTGTGGGTGTCAGTTCCAAGCTCGATACATACCGTCACCTACAATAGATGATTTAGAAATGCAACTCTTCGATATTAGTCTGCTTAATTCGCTTTTCATTTTTGACGACCGAGTATTGTGGGTGTCCAGCAATGATTTGAACCCAATCCTCTAGATATCAAACTACCGTGTCAAGGTGAGGCCAACTTCAAAGGTGGCAAAACTCATGATGAAAAATAAGCTAAAAGAAGGTTTAAAAATCCAATCCTATCGAACATTTTAAAAATTAAACCCTGACTGTCAAATTTGCATCTGCGTACGAATTCAGGAAAAGTAGGTATTAGTCATAAATATTGTGAGTTTTGTCATCTTTCAAGATGGCGGTTTGTCTCGCTCTATGTTCTAGGTCATTGGGTTCTTGGGTTCTTAGGACTTGGGTTCTAGGTCATTTTTGTCCAGACACCCACGGCTCTTCAAGCCCCTATGTCTCCCTTTACTCAGAAGGTGGCCGATAAGGCTGTTCTTGGAAGCGTCTGTTACTCATACACCAACACCAGCAGTCACTAACCTGGACGATCCGCGTCTAAAGACATGTAACGATGCTCCCTCTAGTTCATACCATTTCTTGGGTACGAACCTCGAGTGTGAATAATGAAATATCCTTTGGCCATATGCCATGAACCCATGATGTGTACCACGTTCGTGGCTTTTAACGCGTGTATGGTTGCTTGTTTAGAAAGCGATCGAGTCTTTGATTGATAAGCAATATTTGGAACGAAAGAACGGCAGCAAGGACGAGTACACTTACTTGGCGTAGAATGGAAAGTTTAGTGCTCGCCAAGCAATTTTAATTTTATATGTTTTTTCAACATGATGAAACAGCTTCAATAAATTGTGAATTTATTATTCGACATACGTATGTTATTAAGTGGACAAATGCATCATTTTAATAAACGAGATTATTTTTGCGACCAACAAAATTTTCCGTAGTCTTTTCTGCCAATCGTTATGTTTCCCACGTATGGATGTGTGCTAAGTCTACTGTTCAACAACATGACAGAAGAACAGAAAATCACTAGCCTAATTGTAATGACAACAGAAAATAAAACTAATTGTGATGACAAAACCAACAGACCCAGGCTATGTATTGATCTCATATGATAGACCAGGGACCGACCAGACTTGCCCACTCTGCAGGTTTGCAGGCCACTTTGAAATACATCGTTCACGCATGCGTCAGTATCGCTCTCGTGTTATAGTAACCAGACCATTGGTGGTGACAATTTCGTGAACTCTACGGTTTGTTTGTTCTGTTGTGAAGAGTCGTTACCATATTTCTATTTCTTTAATTTTATTGAATTATCGTAGTCAACTTTAAAGACATGTCTCAAGGATCAGAGGTATTTGACCTGGTCTGATTTCAGTACAGAGATCGCCAGACTCCATTCGATTTCCATCGTTGCGTATAATTATAAACGCCTTAGGCCTGTTTCAAACGTCGCATTTCACATGAGCTGAATGTTAAATCAAACATCAGTGCAGCTTGAGCTTTTTGTTTGATTCCATTTTTTCTTTTACGAATGCACGTAATGGACAGAATGTTAATTTAAGGCTCAGCTGACAACATGTGATGATCAGACGATACGATGATCATGTTAACTTCTCCGAGCATGCCTTTATCACATTACTTGTGTCCTGTAATTTTTGCAATATTTGAGTCCTCCAAACCTTGTGCTCTTTATTAAAATTCTTTATGTGCTTTGCATTATTTTATAGTACTTACTCAACACTCCTATTTCCAATTTACAACATCTTTACTGTGCATGTTGTAGTAAGATTGATGATTGGGGGAACTAATATTCATTTATTTATAACATGCCGTATTAATTTCCTTTGAAATCCATTGTTTTTTACTGATTATAACATGCATGTCGATGAATATTACCCATCACTCTAATTATTGATCTTACTACTGCCCTACGTCTTTTCAATAATGCACATGACCCTGCAACAACCTAACTGATCGCAAATTTAAGGAGTTCCAGAAAGCGGCGACAGATGTGAAGAAGTTATCCCAAAAGCCCACAGATCAAGAAATGTTAGATGTGTATGCAAATTACAAGCAAGTGACTGTGGGTGACTGTAATACAGGTCATTGTGATCATCATTGCTAGACAATACTTTTGTCATAATTTGTATTTAAAGTTCAAATTAATTGATCCTCAAGATGGCAACTTTCTACATTATGTTATACACGGACTAAAATTGTAGTTGGATACTTATTTAGATGTTTCAATTTTTTAGCAAGACCGGGGTTTATGGATTTCGCTGGTAAAGCAAAGTGGGATGCATGGAATGCCTTGAAAGGTTGGATGTTACATTTTGATTAGGCATTTGATTTTTTTGTACATCTTATTATCTTCAACCTGCATTTTACCCAAAAGCTATTATATGGAAAGACAACATATTAGTGATGCCCCCATATTGATATTGGTATCGGCTCCAAAATAGAATTATCAGTATTGTTTTGCTCATAATACCGATATTTATACATTTCATTGTTATAGAAATACGATTGAAATGAACATAGTTTAACAATACTAAATAATATTACCTTCACAACTTTTAATACTACTTAAAATTTGTTAGTTCCGCTCGATATTAATTTCCATTGACAATTGTGTTTTTGAAATAAGGCTGCAGTGTAAATAACAATTTTGAATTTATATTTTGTCATCAAATGAACAGTCATTGGTGAGGCACAAAGTGGCATACTTCATGATGTTTAAGTGTCGTTAAATAGAATAAAATATCGGTATCAGCACAATAATGGCATTTTAATATCAGTTACAGTATTATAAGTGAATCATTACACAGATTCTGGCACACTGGATTGACACTGTATGAGTCTAATAAGTGCAATAAGAAAATATGTATATGTTATTCACCAGGTGGGAGGTCCGTACAGAAAAAAATATTTTTTAAGTACTGACCGACCTAAACGGTCCGCTTTTGAGACCTCGTGAAAATTTTTTCCGTACGGCCCTGCCAACCGGTAAATAATATAGTCTAGGGACATTTTGTCTCACTGAGTATGCTAATATATATATATATATTCACCTGGGGTTGCTTGATTGCCATTCCCAAGTGTGATCTTTGTGGGTCAATTTTTTCTAGGCAAAAGTGCAGCAGATGCAGAGAAAGAATACATAGCAAAAGTTGAGGAATTGAAAGGAAAATATCAATAAAAGTAAATTGTTATGACCAGATTTTATATAAGAAGTTTTCGTATAATCCAAAAATGATTCTAGACAATCTATTCACTATATTTACGTAAGACGGACTGCCAAGTGCAATTTTCTGACGAATTAAAATATGTACAAGCAATTTCCAGTACGCAATTGATTTACTATACGTAACATGGAGAATATTTATATTTCCACTTTCGACTGCGTTTGGCTGAATATCAACTAATAACAGAGAATAGCTGTAAGGTTAGAGTAAGGTAAAAATCCTTCCCCGCGTACAGAGCGTTAGTCTTTCGATTCCTAAGCAAATTTTGCTTTTTTGCTGTTCAGTTTTGCAGTTAACCAACTTGCAATATTAATCTTTAAATTGAAAGTGACTGTTCTCGCACTGGAGCCGTACGCAAACAACAATTTTGTCATTCGAACTGGAGCGTAAGTGCCAAAGTTTTCACAGTTGAAGTGCCGATGAAACGATAATTTTGCTATTTCAATGGAAGTTATATTAAACATAACTTTTAAAATGAAAATGGGCTTCCTGATATAATTTCTCCGTATCTCTTTTCACACTCAAAATATCGAGGTTTTTGTTATATTCAATTACACAACTAATGACGTCACTATGCCTGATGAAAATTTGAAATTTCAAGTATGTACGCCGATATGTTACTTCAACCTTGCAAAGTTGCCTTCATTTTTGGATGTATTGATGATACAAAAGGCTGCCTCGTCATTTCAACAAAAAGTTGCCGGGAAATTAAAGAATGTTTAAAACTTTGGGGCGACTCGTTAAGTTTACTGTTCTTTTCAATGAAAACATTATTTGATGACTGCTCGCGTACATTAAATATTTGCGTCCTTAAAAGTGATCTTTCAGCTTGTCGATCAGAGTCGTCGGTGTTTGACCTTCACATACAATTTTTGCCAGCGACGTGAACAACGGAAAACTGGCAAAGGAAAAAAGACGAAAAGATTAATTCGAACGAGCAGAGATTCAACTGCTTCGGCTTGCTAAATATGTTACCTTTGGATCAAATCCTTTTCCTTTATTGTTTTATACACTTGATGAAGTGTGGAAGGTCCCTGAAGTTTCTGACCGTTAAGGATTTCTTTCTCCAGATCTTCAAAACTCTACGGAAACATTTGAACCTTAAATTGTGGAACCCTTAAGGCTACTGCCATTTTATCACCAAAAGTCGAGAGCCGGTTGCACGAAACGCGGATAGCGGTATAAATTTTGCAATGGAGAGAATGACGTGTTTCTTTTAAAATTGCCGAAAACTGATGCACTATCTTGGCTACGAGGAGCCGACCTCTGGTGTCTTGGCGTTAATTGAACGTAAATTGTGGGGGGGGGGGCATATTCATTTATTCAGCAATGACAGGCTGATTTCTTTTGAAAGTGAAATGAAAACGTCCATTAATCCCCTCGTCGAACTAACGCGCGATTGAAGCCAGTGGTTGCGCGCGTGCTAAATTTGCTTATTGCTCTCGTTAAAATCGTTCTTTTTTGTGACGAGTACGTATATTGCGCGTAAAATGTTACCCCAAATTACGTTAAACGTAGATAGTAGATAAGTAATTAAATAGACCTTTCCTGTCCTGGCGAAGAGTTCAGCGCATCGTCGATTTCTTCCACCATAGCATGAGGCAATGAGATCGGCGAATCCACACGACTCGAAAAATATCTCCTTGTTCACCTCGCCATAAAATGTCTTGATGAACAATAATATTTCGACCATACCAAGACGTATAACAGCTGCCTTTGTGTTTTCCCCACATCTAGTAGAAAGATGACGCGAATGTACAAAAATGAATGACGGTATGGACTTTCGGTAAGAATGCCGATTCAGGGGCTGATCTAAAGGTAGGGTGCGCGGGGAGAGGGTGAAAAGCCCATCCTGAGCTAGGATGTTTCAATAGCTTGTTAAATTTTGCTATTTGAGTAATACTTCTATTCAAGAGATATTTTAAAACGACAATGGACATTCTAAACCAGTTTATGCATAACACTTTTAATTCTTGAGATATTGAGGTTCTTGCTTTGTCCGATAAATCTAGCTTGTGACGTCACATTGCACAACGAGAACTAAAATTATTAGGTGTATTTACCGATACTTTAATTCACAAGGATGAAATTCCCTTCATTGTGACGTGTTCAATGGTATAAAATGCTGCCTACTAGTATCAATCTAAAGTTTTCAGTCATTTCAAACGTTAAGTTTCAAAATTTTAGTTTCATAGGCTCTTTAATGAAAATATTATGGTCACAGTATAAGGGATATTCCGAAGAGCCACTCCGTTGAAATTTTTTGTGCCACGCTTATCTTATTACGCATGTGATTACCATTGTGGCAGCCTGTCAATTGTCGTTTTCCACCAAGAGGAACAAATCCGAAAGATGAGATGGCTAACCACAAAAAGTTGCACTGCGAAGCGGTCCTTCCGTACAGCGTGCATGACGAAAGAATTCCTATAGAAAGTGATGTATTTTTGATAGTTTCAATGCTTAGCCCATGTGTGCATAAAGTATTGCCAGTTATGTGCAAAATAAAATATTACGTACATATCTGTTCATAGCTAAACGTTTTCTGCACCAGTAGAATTAGCTTAGTGAGCAGGCATTGAAATTTTTACTAGGGATTGATGCCAAAGTCCTCTTTTTAATAAACCCTGTATATTCTTTACTCTGTTATGGTACACCCTGAACAAGACACCGCGTCCGCTCTTGTGATTCCCATACCCAGACACAGTTATTTTAACTTTATTATGGTCAATTCTATGCCGGCAAAAAGTCATAAAAATTGCAGTTGTTCCATCAGACCGTTTCTATTGTTTGTATTTAACCATTATTCAGTTTATTCTCTCTCAACGACACTCATAATTTGAAAAAAGATGGACCAAAGAAAATGTCAAAGTCAAGACAGAGATTTTTGTCACAGTGCACCATCTAAAATTCAGGAACCATTCACGAAATACAGCATTCAAAAATGGACACCATGCTATGTGTGGCTGACAAGGTTGAAAATTTAATCATTAAAATAACTTACTCCAAACCATCGATTATTCCTGCTCCAATGGCAACAACGTTCTACATAATTCACACAATCATAAGGTTAGTAACTTTGATATCTTAGTAATCATAGACAAAAGTCAAAAAACTCGATGACGACAAGTAAAAAGGCACGGTTTGTTTTGTTTGTTTTTACTTGGTACACTTCTCTTTGCTTATTGTTCGAAAGGGCTGGCCTAAGTAGCCGTAAGCATTCTTTTCTTTGAAATTTGAAACTTCATGTGAGCGCTAAAAATTAGCAGCAACATTGAAAACAGTTCATCTGCAAAGCCTTCGGTCCAATCTTCGGTGCAACCCGTTGGTTAATCGATATCAGTTTATGTAAACCAATTCCATTAATATCGTTAAAAAGTGTTCAACATTACATTTACGATCCAATGCAACCAATGAAAACTTCGCTTTTCAACTGTACGTAATTACGATTGTAACTCACCTTTATTGCACCACAGAGCTCCACGGTGACAGCATCGGTGACTGTGTTCACCTTGAAATATCGACAGTGAAAAAGATCTTTCAAAATAGGCGCATGTTCGGTGACCGTGCATCCTAAAAAAAGTATTTGTATGAGGTCGTCACAGCTTTGTTAAGCACAATTAATAACTGCATTCACTGGTTAGCATGTGCGTCATATGTCTTCCCAAAGCAGCAACAAAAAAGTGCCTCAGTCATCACGTCAATAATGCATGAACGTTGTCCTTTGCATTTACCACAGCAGTATTTTGACAACTTGAGTTGCAAACATTGAACTAAAATACATGGAACGCTACCTGCAGCAAATAATTCAAGCCAAATCTTACACCCAGACACGCGTGTGTAGTGTTTTGAGATTCTTAAAATTGATTGACTACACACGCGTGTCTGGGTGTAAAATTTGGCTTCAAGAGTTTATTAGGCTTTTCTATTACAGGTAGCGTTTCATGTATATTAATTCAATGGTTGCAAATGTTTACATTGCTCTCATGCATAAAGCAAACTCTCGAACCTATTGTTGCCTCGACAAACATCTCTTGTGCCACCTCTCCAGCAAGATTAGCACCCATAAGAACATGACAAGGCATCGATAGCTCCTCCTCAATCACTTTTGATACCAATGAAACACCTTCACTGGACGAGTCAAGTCCCTAGCAATAAAACATAACTATCCTTGCATACCTATATGGCATAAAAAATTAGCCATTCGTTCATGACTGTTACTCCACCCATTGTAAATGGTAATAAGAACCAGTCTATGCATAAGATGTAGGACTTTCAACACAAGGTACTCTTCCTGAGTGTACACAGATAATATAATCTCACTGACTTCAATAAATTTGGAAATACTAACCTTAATAAGGGAAATTCCAATGGCATCACTCTTGATGTTGCCTTTAAGTGACTGACAAATCCTACGAATGAACTGAAACAAAATGTATGTAGTCATTAGAAATCGCTTTCAATTATTTCCAGAAGAAATGAAAGCAGAGCTGGCATGAGCAGCATGTGACTTTATGCAGTCAATATTAGGTCATTAGTATGACTAGAATGTGCTAAAAATACATTAAAAAATACTTACAACATGAGGTACTACAAAAACTAGAACATCTGCATCACGTGCAGCCTCGACAACATCTGGAATAGCCACCTATGTATGTGAAAATACCAAGTTAGTCTACTAACATCTTCATGTATAGCAGTAGGAACAGAAGTAGGTTCAAATCATGCCAGGACCAACACTTAAAGTCATAATTCATCAAGGACCAAATTTTGTTAGTCTGCCTTCAAATCTCGTAGGGATACTTTAAGCCTAATATTGGCAACAAATATTCATGGCGTAAAGTTATTGATCTTGCCCATGTATAAGGCATTACTTGCATACCACATTTTCTGGCAATTTGATTCCGGGCATATATTTAGGATTTACGTGATCTGTGTTTATTATCTCAGACAACTTGCGGCCATCAACAACCTCCTCATAGACGTACATCATTATTGGAGAGATAAATCTTTTGGGCTTTTGAATAGCATTTTCTCCAGCCACTTTTGCAATTGCTGAACCCCTAAACACATATATCATCAGCATTAGAAAAGATTACCATTGTATAAAGGCCAAACTTTAATTACAATGATGTAAACATAAAATACGCCTAGAGTTCTCTCTTTCATCCGGAAATGCCCATGGTACATCCCACTCCCCTCAATCAAAAGTGTGCTCTGTGGCCTATGTAACAGAACAAAATGATCCCGAGGTGCATTCAATGCAGAATGCAGACAATACGCCAATGTTAATTAAAAACATATCAAGTACTTAAACTGCACACCGAAAATCTGGCTTATACTACAAGTAAGGTAGCCAGGGTTGGTAGCCTGAACTCGTTTCCCATTTCTCAACTGAAAAAACACAACCATATCGATGTTCATATTCTTGTGCTATGCCGATCAGCTATAGGATAACAACATTACCAATTTCCTGAACCAACGAGACATATCCTTCTCGCCCTGTCAGACATCGCACCGTTGCTTGCCTGACGCGTTTGCTTCGAAAATTCTCGGCAAAGTTTTAAACATTTGTCGAAACACAACCGGCGTGTATGCTTGCGAATAAATAATGCATTCATAACAAACAATACCGCGGACGTTGGGTGCTCACTAATAAATGCTCATTCCAGGAAGTCTGTTTTTGTGCTTAGCCTGCCTTGCGGGCTATTATTCCATCGTATTAACTTTTATATTGATATTTGATAAAATTTGTCGTTACGACGTTTCTGGTTATCACCGACGAACGAGTTAGTCCAAACTGTATATCTCCAAATACGAGACGAGGTAAAGAGGCATTAACTACGAAGTTATTAAACAAATTTTGACCTTTTCCCTGACCTATCGCAGGGAAGAAAGTGCCTTGGCCTGTTGGCCAAATGATCCATTTATTCTGCTAACAAATTGCCATATTTATTCTTAATTTTCAAACTGCGCAGTTTTTTGTAAAAGTTTTAGGTCATGTCTGGTACTCATCCTGATTTTCTCATCTTTTACCGAGTTGTGTACAAAATATATTTTGTCATGACTTCAGTCAATAGTATACCTTTGGTAACGTATTCATTTTGACATTCTTCGAGAGTAGAAACTGCACGAGCAATAAAGATACCTTAAGGTTACGGTAAACAACCCTAAACTGGAACTGTGTACATATATGCAAGAATTATATAAAAATATTTTTCTTGTTTATACTACATTAGCTGGCAAGTAATCAGTTCTTGGCATTTACTTCAGCAACAACTGAATTGGAGAAATTTTATATTTTACTTTGCGACATCCGACTATGACGTAAAACAGCATGCCATTAACTTGCCTAATCCACCCGCTCTCCCTTCTCCCCTTCGAATCCTTCCTAGAATCTTCGTTCTCTTTGTATTATACGTCCTCTCATCAACTGACCTTGTATCCCATTTTGTCCTTTTGTTCCAACAGATGACAAGATAAGAGTGTAATCGAACTCACCTTTCAGCCAAGTTTCATTTTGATACTAGCATAAACTATTCATACTAAGCTTTCACTCATGATATTTACACTCTTTGCAAGCGGTAATTTTTATGTTTATGTTTTTTTTTTGTTTCAGTGTTGCATTATATTTTGTTCACTAAACATTTTTCTGTCTGGAAGACCTTTAAAGATCAATTTCATTGAATCAATAACTGTAGAACAGGAATATTGCATTGAATTTTCCGTAGTTCTCCAACACACTCTCTGGTCGAGTGTGAAGACGCCGGTTTTTCCAGGCTGAGGTATGGGGTTCGTATCCTTCGAGAGTCAGTTGTGTTTTGAGTTGGGAGTGTTGTGCACTGGGAGACCCGAATGTCAGGATGTTGAGATAAACAAGGAAGGCAAAAAAAAATGGTGCGCAGAACGTGTGCAAATGCGATAATTCTCTTGTCGAGTTTTTAGAGAATGGAATGCGACACAGCATAATTACAGAAAAAAAGGAAGAACAAAGGAAATAAAAAGTGAGCGGTGTCTTGCACAAATTTTCGCCTTAAAAAAACTAAGTCATTTGATCGAATTTTTCTATGACTCCCTACGGCTGTTGGGTGTCAAATTTTTTTAGTCAGGAAATTTGAGGGCAAATAGATCCCCCCTTACAACCCCTCCTAACCAACACCTTGCACGCAATCCTTAATTTACAACCCCACACCGAGAGCGACACCGGGACGAACCAAGGACTTCGTGCATTGGAGGTCAGTCACAGCCAGTTGAGATATGCGCTCAACATCGTATGCTTCCTGTTTTTTGGAGTATTTACGCGGATTGGATAGGCACACATTTCTACACATCGGGAAAGAAAAATATTTCTAGACCTTTAAATGCGAAAGTTCTTTCATTCAGGACACGATAAACAACGATTGATCTATTTATCAACTTTAAAAACGTTTAAAGTGTTTAGATGTTCACGACAACTTCTTGCTCTTGTGGTACAAAGCATCCATGACTTTGCTCATGCTTTGAATAATCTCCAAACTATTTTCGTATGTGTTGTCGATGGGCGATTCATCGAAGATGATTAACACGCCAGAACCTTGGTCTAGAATACCTGAAAAGATGCGCAAATTGTTCAAAGATCACGCAAGACAGCTAAAATCTCTGGGAATTGGGCGGGGAGTTGGCAAGATTGCAGCACGTTTTAGGGAACAAATAGAAGTCCTACTCCATTGAGAATTTTTGTCTGAAGCATATCTAATTACGTTTAGTAATGCACGCGACTAGCAAAACGTCTTCCACTGAATTTCATTTTAGAGCAATGATTTAGAACCTACTCCCCTAGATATCCAACTACGCTGCCGAGGTGAAGCAAGGACGCCATCTTAAAGAGTGACAAAAAACGACTCTCTCCTTAAAAAATAATTCAAAAGAAAGTTTGAAACCAATCCTATCAAGCATTTTACAGAACCAAACGTAGACTATCATCTCTGCAACTGAGTATATCCACATCTTCAGTTTTGCCATCTTTCAAAATGCGGCTTGCCTCGCTCAAAACTGAATAATTTCGGTGGAGTTACGTATTTACAAATTTGCGTTGTTGGTCATTTTTTCCCACTAAAAACGCTGACGTGTCTAACCGCAGCCAGTAAGCATATTAAATAAAACAGCACCAAAATACATAGCAAAGTGTTACTGCACCGTTCATTCCACCTACCGGAACAGCACGAGAACATACGCAAATCGAAAAATGTTACAAATCCCTATCTCGCAGTTCATGATCAACATGATTAGATCAATCAACTATTCTATGAAATTACCGTTAAGTTTCTTGTCCAAAATCATTTGCGACAGTTTCTTTTCGACAACATTCTGGAGAAAAAATGAGCAAGATCGATAAGCGGCGATGCATATTAAAGAATTCTCCGTACAGAGTAGGCCCATTACTTATTATAGACATGGTAAAATTATTGCAGTATGATTCGTTAAGAGAAGCGAAGATTTCATTTATTGCACTGTTCGTGAATGCAACGACGATGACCTTGTAAAAGGAATTTTTACGACATTTAGTCAAAAACGCCGAAAGTTTGAAGTACGACTTTCAAAACAAGATCGTGGGCGACTTTGAAACCACAAGTCATTCAGGAATCAAGACTCAAAAAAGAACGTAATAAATCATTATCTTCCGGACAGCTCGAGTGCTAAATAAAACTCTCGATCAGAAAACATATGAATCGCTCTCAAGTTTCGCAAGGTCGCTATCCGTCCCTCGTTAGACGTATGACTATTGTATATCTTGTGTATTTTATACGTGTGCATGCTCTGGTTCATTATTATTTATTTCTAAATACTTCAAAGTTGTTTTACACGGCGATTGTGGAAACCAGCAAAAACTGACAATGTTAGTGTGGTCGAATAAAATTTATCGTCATCATCAATCAACACTCATTTAAGCCCCGTGCAAACACTCTCAACACATTGATTCGACACGCGCTCAACATTGTAGACTTAACATGTTGAGAGCATAGGCACGCCCGGTTGAGTGGCATTGAACGGCGTTAGGCTGTGTCGAATGCGTGAACTTGCTCACACTATCCACTTCAACAATTTATTTTTTGAAATACATGTGTCAATCGTGGACTGACCTTTTCCAACTTTATAAGATGGGACACGTGATCAACCTAAAACGATGAAGTAAAACAATAAACACTTGCAGAATTTTACGCAAAGTGTAAAATGCCTTTCTTCAAATCTTATCAAGGTAATGCCAAATATCCAATAGAGTGATATGTATAGTGTACATAACATGAAATAGTACCTCAACTTTTGAAAACGGCTCTACAATTCGGCAAAGATTCTGTTCGAGAAGGTTGTCGTACAACGTATCAAGATGCGCCTGGAAAAGAAGAAGATTTTTATTATAACGTGATATTTTTTAATAATTAGTAAACATTGTGTGAGGACTATGTCACAGAATAATGATTATACAGAAGGGTCACTCAGGTGTACAACGCGTCCTCATGTCGGCCATTATTCCAGCCAATTGATTAGGATTTCTCACTTGTTTCCAACCATTAAAATTACATGACGTCAATACGTAATAATGAATTCATTTTAAAGATTTGGAAAAAGTCTAAAACCCTAATCATCTGGCTGGAATAATGGCGGCCACCATGCGCGAGGACAAAAACATCAAAGGTACCGACACGAGTGACTCTTCTGTATATTCTTATTCTGTGACCATGTACGCTAGCAGTGTTTACTTACTTGGATGATCGGGTCGCCTTGCAGTTCATTCTCATAAGTCGCTAAGATCTGCGATAATAAATAGAAACCAGTGATTTCTAATAGAAAGATAGCTGCCGCGTGGAGTAGCTACGTTCAGTTTTGATTAAAAATAAATCGTTGAAGTATAAAGTTTATAACGTTACATATAAGACATAATTGTCAAAACCACCAGGGGCTATCGAAAGATCAATGATTGAGGAGGGGGGGAGAGTTAATATTCACATACGCACGTTTACCTTATTAGTTTCTACTAAAAATAACTGTGATTAGCGATTATAACATATTAATATATGAATATGAGCCCTTTCCAACTATAAATCTTCCGACATCCCTGACTACCATAGTAAACGCAAAGGATTGCAAAGGTGCAAACACACGTTTTTGGTTTTGTACAAACGTACTATTCATAATACTATAAAGTACGTCAGCACTACCGCTCTCGAATATATAGCAGGCTCAAAAGTTCATCACGAAAAAAAATTCAAATCGACTGTACCTACGTCTATAAGTCCTGGGCTTACATGAGTTCGTGCGCTAATATATGGAAAGCCTTATATACGGGGGGGTTGGCTTAGGTTTACACACGAGTCAATATATTTCAACGTCCTTTCTAGCTGAAACTAATGTCTAACATAGCCGAAGGAAAACCATGTGTGGGTAAGGATTTAAATGGATGAAATCAAGCTAAGATACGTATCAATACGTAAGGTTGAACTATTTACACCAACGAAAATATAATGACGAATGAGAGCTGTGTGATGATTATACCTTTTTGAATTCTAATAGGGAACGCTGATGGCTGGCATCTGCAATTTTCTTCATTGCCTGCAACTGAATAATCATTCCGAAACCGTTATATTTCAGGATAGCCCTACCAGTGGGGACCATTCAAAAGCTTTTCGACACAACTCTTTTAAAATTGAAAAGTAACCACATGAATTAAGCTTTGGAAACAGAAACAAATATTTTCACATTTGGCTACAGCAACACGACCGAGGACAACAAACAACGCAAAGCCACTGTCTATAGTATTATATTAAAACTTACTGGTGGACCCGAATACTTCAAACCAAGTTTTCCACTGATTATTGATTGAACATCTTCAGGGCTGTATTGAAAAAAAATCTTCATAAAACTTCACGAAACTTGAGAGGACAAATTTTTCATAAAAAATAAGGCCGTTTTCAAGTACACAGTTTGCGTTATACTCAAGTATCACGCAATCTGAACTCGATCGTGGAGTGGTTTTTGTCGACTCAGCATGTATTTAGCGTTACCTATTCAACATGATTTTGCAGAGCAGCATGTATTTTAAAGCAGACGGCGCTTTGGAATTCTCCAACGAATCGTATCCCTACAAAATAGAAATGACATGGAAAAGTTGTCAATGTTAAATCTATATTCACAATGCACAGGTTCAAGATATATTCTCACTCACAAGCTATGGAAAAGTTGACAATGTTAGGTCTATATTTACAATGCACAGGTTCAAGATATGTGCTCACTCACAAGATATGGAAAAGTTGTCAATGTTAGATCTATATTTACAATGCACAGGTTCAAGATATGTGCTCACAAGCTATGGAAAAGTTGACAATGTTAGTTGTTTATTTACAATGCACAGGTTCAAGATATATTCTCACAAGCTCCAGACAACCAATGTGATTTCGTTGAAAAAGGCAACGATACGAATAATAAAAACATCAGCTTCACTTCAAGCCTATCAACATGAGCTTCCCCACAAAGCTTGTCTCCAAGTTTTCATTTAAAATTACCCTTCAAAATAACTTATTGAATATATCGGTAGAGAGTTACAGAGATTGGTCATTGCAACGATAAACAAGCAGTCACAAGGCCTACGTAATTAAGCCCGTCAGGGCGAAAAGTGATTTTAACATATGCACTTGACAAAGCTTTTCGAAAGAAAATCTTTCGAAATGAACAAAAGCAAAATCATAACCATCGTGGATAGGTAATTTTATCTCAAGCATATACGTAAAAAATGGACTTAATTGGCATAAAAAGTGGAAATACGTCAGGAATCTGACCTCGAAAGCCTCGAAAAAGTAGGAATATGCTGTTTTGAAATCTTTCTCTTCTGCATGAAGTATTCCTATAATTCAGATATATTTCAGTTAGTAGCTATGAATCTCGAAACTGTGCGGCGTAAAGGAGTTCAACTTCAAAAAGAAAATGCGTTGAACTCAAAAGCGCACATCAAAAATTACAGACCCACCTGATTGCATATCCAATGATGCCTACAGGTATAATAAAAAAATCAACAGTATAAAACAGTTTCGCTGTATTGGTTATTGTGCAGAAAAAGACGAGGAAACCAGGAAAAACACGAAGCAAAACATGAAAAACTTATCGTCAACAAATCCAAAGTTTTTAGGTAAATTTTTGCACAGGCATCTCAAGTCAAATGCAGTGAGCTACACGTAAGCAAGGATCTGTTCACATGAGCCCGGTTATCGAGACATCCCGCTGAGCGAGCCAAATATTACCTTTCATATGATAAATACAATCCTGCCTGCCGAGACAAAAAAAAACAACATATTCCGAAGTGCCGCATTGACCGTAATTCTTTATATTGTACGGGTTTATCCCTGTCAATATCTGTGTTTTTTAAAACTGATACCAGTTTTATATTCAACTAATGAAGTAAACTTTAAATTATGCCATCATCCCGGCGTAATTGTTTTCTTTTTGATTTGAAATTTCGGCTTCATTCCATTGGTGGCCATGTCGTTAATATCATAATTTCATCTCGGAAAGCGGCTAGCGAGCTCATATAGAAAATTTTTCATCCCACCTATCTGTGATGTCGTCTCCAACAGCGGAGACCTTGGCAATTGGACCAGCCGCTATCTCGTACGAATACAAAGTAGCTATTGAAAACTGATAGCAAAGTTAGAGCTTAAATGTGTTGATGACCGGGCTCATGTCAATCTGGTGTCCGATTTCCCATTGAATCATTAAGCGACTTGCATCGCAATTTATTCTCTTTACTTTTAAGGAAAAAATCCCAGCTGAAAAATCCTGAGATACGGCCGGAGATATCAAGAAATTCTGACTGCCAAACTAATTATTCGTTTTGTATGGAAAATTGCCAGGTGTACCTGTAACTTCGGCGGGCAGTATATGGCGTTGGCCGTCGTCCTGGCCGAGGTGAGAGCTGCTCTAAAGAAGTAAAGAAAATTATTTCAGAATAGCAGAAACGGGATTGAACGAGACGAGTCCATGACTTTATATTTTAGTGTTTTCTGCGATTTCATAACAAAAGTCGTTCTGATGGTAGTTCTTATGCAGCACGAACGCGCAAAAACATTCAGGAAGGTTTGAAGCATCCTGCTATCGACTACTCACCTTGACTTAGGTATATTCTTTAACGTATGGTATATTTTGCTTTCCAGAAGTTGGACTTCGACCAGTAACATTTTATCATCGAGCTTCTTCAATTCTTTCAGTAGTTTCGATCCTAAATAATCATTCATGAACTTAATTATCAGGGAGGCGAATTGTTTCAATTTCAAAATTGATTCCTTTTTTCATTAAAGTCGAGCACTTGCTCCTGCAATCAAAAATAAATCGCCACTGTCACACGCTTGATTTTGGAGGACGCCCCCAAACGTATGTGTTTGGTTGCGTACGCACATCTCAACAAAAGCAACGTATTGTTTCATGTCTTTGCTAAACTTAAGTGTAATAAAGTAGTTAGAAACTCAAATTCAAAACTGCAGCATTTTTTACGAAGTGAAACTAAAGATCACGAGCACACCAACATCGCATATCACAAAAAACATTTTGTGGTTTTATAATACGTCTACACCCCTAGCTCGTACGTACGCCTATGGTAATTGTGAACTTTTGGCAAAGCTATCGTGATTTGACTTGTAATTCATTTTACACAACTGTGGCTAAAAAAGGACAACCACATTGAGACTCAACTTACCGAGAGACAATGCTTTTGGGTAATCCTTTACGCCATAATACAAACCAACAAGTCTTGACTGAAAATTTAAAAGGGCAACTTCAGATAACAACAAGGAATACTTCATTTTTCAACATCAATGATGCAAAGAAAGCACATCATCTCACAGAAAGCCAAAAGCTGTACCCTTAAATATATGCGAAAACTATCCCAAAATATCATCAAATACCTACCTCCAATGCCTGCCGCAAGAATACTCTTTTTTCACTTCTCGCCCACTCAATACATTCCATGCATAGTTGAACCTGTTAAATCAGTGGAAAAATCAGTCAGTGCACATTTTATTGAATTTCTGTTGGATATGCGATAGAAGAGAAACGGTTCGTGAAATCATAAAACAATTTCTGGTAAAATTCTCGAAAGTTCTCAGGACTGGCATAACTATGCACATCGCCTTACACAGTTTAAAAACAAAAGTTTCTATTTGCAAAACATTCATTGAACACACAATAAGATAAATCAGGGATGGATTTGAAGGAAGGGAATTTTCCTTACAAAATAACTTATGTACCAAACAAAGCATATTAATGTTGCTCAATGCCATAAATATCCCCATTGTTAGAAAAAGTTAACAGAATTGCAATTGGCTAATGATGCTGTTAATTTATAATTTTATCAGTAAATTACCTCAGTGCCGGTCGATACCTCCATATCAAGAAATAGATCCAAAAGTTCACGGACCATTTTTGCAGCTTTTGCTTTCGAAATGAGAAGCATGAAGGGCTGGATAAATTTTACAAGTCCTTCCAGTTCTGAAAATACGAATAAACAGAGTAGTTTTAAACAAAGGCCTGACCAATTTATTGCAGGCAATTGAAGCAAACACTGTCACATGTATTAATTACAGTTTTAAGGAACATTCTTGGATAAATTGGTTTGAACTTCGAAAGTATTAAAAATAAATTGCATACCAGCTGCACGACCACTCTTTGCCAGAAGACCACCAAGTTGTAAAATAGCCTGCTCTTTAGTTTTCAAATCATCCTCGTCACTGGGATCGACATCTCTTTTAACTGTGAGTGAATGACAAAAAATATTCTTTTATTTTAGTCTCAGACTTCAAGTTATTAAGCGCACAGTAATGGCTGCATAAGATACTCCAGCTCATCTTGCATTATTCTGGATAGTCAATATACTGAGATACGTTTATGGCTGAGTAAAATAGCACGTGGAAGACTTCATCAGTCAATGGTAATCAATTCAATAAATATCGACTTTTTTGATAGAAAACTCTGTTTGAGTTTTTACTAATTTATACAGATTTTATTCGCATTCAACCTCAACATATTTTAGGGAACAAATCGTCAGTAACACACACCTATAGATGATAAAAGTTCCATTGCCCGCTCGGGATCTTTGTGTGAAAGGTGTTCGGCTTTCTTCAACTCGTCCTCCATCTTGAATTTTTGTTGCGTTGTTGATGAAGGAGATTGGGGACAAGCTATGAAAAACTTTGCATTTTTGTTTTCTTACTAGGATAATAAATCTGTGGCCGTGGTTTCATTAATCAGAAATCTCATTTAAATTAAGGTAATTTTTGATCATCGACAGCTATGCATGCATGTATATACATGCACATATATGCATAACTGTCTCCTAGTGAGACGTTCACCGTTTTCGCGCTCTGCAAAGCTCACCCCTATAGTTTTGAGCACTGTGGTGACTTTACAAACAATCCATACAATGTGTAGCCGTACATCCTATGTCCCAAGTTCAAAGTGCAGGAGTCACCATTGCACTATGGTGATAGCCGGGAGAGCACATTGTTATACACTTTGTATATATATGCGAAGTATATAGTCGGCGAATCGATGTATATAGTCAGCGAATAATATGTAATCTGTCAGTTGCCTGAAGATCGCCCTACGGCGTGAAACACCGAGTAGCGACAGCAAACACTTGTCCATTTTATTTCATTTTATCTTACGCTCTTCTAGTATATAGGATATTGAGCGCTCTTTTATCCAAGAATACTCTCCATTAATATACGTACTTATATATATTAGATAATCATCAATATTATATTATTATATTTGCATATGAATAGAAATGTTCAATTACTGTTTATGAATAGACCTGTTCTCAATGCCCGCTCACTACGTAGTTACTACTTTCAAAACCATTCAGTTCTCTTGCTCTAAGCCTTTATGACCCAACAAGACCTATTCTCCAAAAAAACTCTCCTTCTTTCTTCTCTCTTCGTTTCGTTAAACTCATTCTTTGTCTCTTTCACTTGTAGTTTTCCCCAACAACTTTTCCGACCATTCTTCACTTCTTTCAGTGGCGGATTTAGACAGGCCGGTTTAACAAGTTTGCATAAACCTGCCAGATTTTCAGTGAAAAGTAGAAATGAAGTTACTATTTACAATTTATAGTATTCCCGTTAATGACTAATGATATCAGTTATTTATCCATAGCTGCGACGCATACACAAGCTTACAACTTTTAGCAGAAAGTAATACGTGCGTGTGATGTAAGGTTCTTAAGACGCAATATTGGACTGAATGATATTCGTTTTTTAATTTAAATTGTCTTAATAAGTCGCCTGTCGCCGGCAATTTTCAGTAAACCGGTTAGTATGGTAAGGTCGAACTAATATGTAAACCGGTTAAAACGCGTTGAACGTTATCAATGAGTCAATGACAAAGATAGCTGTAATGTAAATTTTAATTATATGTATTTTTGTCATACGACTATTGAAATTTATGCGCAACAAAACGGTGAAATAAAAATTATATGTCTAAAATTTCTGAGCACCTGATTGGATATATCATTTTCTTCACTAGTGAAAAACGTCATATCTGCATTCTAATTGGATATACCATTTTTTTCAGTAGTGACAAAATGCATACCAAGTTTTACCAATCAGTTTTGATTTCATTTATCAATGGCTTTGCAATTTGGCTAGACACTATCCGTAAGCAAATTCAATATAAATGTGAGAAAACAGCAGGGCATTGGATTTCTTCAATAATTTTCATCGTCGAAGCAACTTAATAAATATCGAAGCAAGTTTATTACGTTTCATTTTGAAAGAGAAAAAAAACGTAATACGATTTTTATTATGCACTTGTTGAGAAGGGTTGAAAACGTGCATAAAAATCGTACGCACTCACCAACCATGCAGTAATCTAATAATCACCCAGAACTGTTAGGTGTAGCATAAAACGTTTGATACGAAGCTATTGTGAGAAAATAACACTAAGGGAAATTTGAAAATAGCAGAAAGGGAAGGAAAGCTAGCCTGAAGTTAGTGAGCGGGCCATTTGAGTTGATGGTGTTTCGCATCGATCTATGTACTTGGACAATATCAAGCTTAGTATCCATAGCCTAGCGTAAGCTGGCAAAGGATTGAATTTGTCTTTTGCTCTTGAGGTTTGTACCGTTTTGAATGTTGTACTTGTAAAACATGTATCATCCCCAAAATAGATTACTGCGAACCTTTCAACAAAATCCTAAATCCGCCTTTGTCTTCTGACATACTGAAACAAGCCCAGCTTATCTTTCGCTCATGCAATCTTAAATACTAATCACCTGCCAAGCAGACAATTTTTGAAAATATTGGATGAAACATTCTCCGACGAACAAAGACATCTTGCAAACTCAAGATATGACTTACATAAAGCTTTAAACGACACGCAATTATTCAACTAGTGATATTTGTTTGGACTTTGAAGGTTCATAGATAAATATCTCCAGTTGAACAGCTGCGTTTTGTTTTTTCATGTAACTCATGGATATACAGTAGAACCTGTATTAAGCGGTCACCCATGGGGATTTCTCGTGTGACCGTTTAATACAGGTTGACCGCTTAATAAAGGTAGTACTGTACTAAGTTTACAAGATGTCTTTGTGTGTCGGAATATGTCTCATCCTAAACTTCGCGACATGAAAAATAGTTCTTCAATTCTTGTATTTCAAGATTGGGTTAATCTAACGTCTCTAACATCTGAGAATATTCAATGACGGCTATTCTATAAAACAAATCGAACGATCTCTCTGAATCTTCCACAAAATTTCTGGACTAATTTACGAACATGAAAGAATCGTTTGTTTGACCGACTTTCCCACTTAGAGCCTGAGGGTGATTTCCCCCATAACGTTTCATGCTAAAGATACTTATAATTATACCCCTGGCTTCAGCTTAATTGTGTAAATACTTTTTGTTCTTTCCCTTGGTGACGATGTCTTGGGAGGAAAGGGAAGCAGCGAAAAAAACCTCTTTGTTTCTGAAAATTATTAAACGGGTTCGTATGTGGCTGAAGCTTTTGCAATATTTGCATTTTGCATTCCACAGAGATAACTAAACAGTTGTCGGTGTCCTTGACTTAGAACAAAATTCGAACATCGATCGATCGAAGTAACTCCTTTAATATGGATGCGAATAATGATGCACCGAAAGGCATTCCATCTCCTGGTATTTCGTTCGTTGGAAATCAGCCGCTTCCACCAAAAGAAATAGCTTACCCATCATATTCTGCTCAAGTACAACAACCGAGGGGTATTGTTCATTCTTGAAAATATGCATGCAACAATCATTATAAAAAATGTTTCGTAAACACATCAGTTTAATATTAAAATTACCTGTCTTATTTTTAATTGAGAAGAATATATTGTCCATTTGCTCAGTGCGATTGAAACTGTAAACGTTCAATCCTTGAAGAGATCTAGATTAGTTTAATCTGTGATGAGGTTGAAAAAAAATAAAATGAGATCGGTAATCAGCTTTACCCAGACAGTGGCTTTTACGTTATGAAAACGTCGAGTTAATTGTCATTCGCATAAGTTGATTATTGGCTAAAATCCTATAAATGTTTTGGCTTGATAAAAACCTTAAAGTCCAACCCATTACACAGCTATAATAACTTTAATTTAATACCGAGACTTTGTCGTGGTGACAAATCTGAAAATAGTTCTAAAGATAGCAAATACCATTCGAATTAGAATTTCGAATATTTCGTTTAATTTAGAACTATCGGGTTAGTGCTCTTTACTTAAAACAGTTCTTTTAAGAACTATCAACTTATTATATTATTTTTACCATTCACTATGGTCTTTGCTATCTTTAGAACTAACTCTAATTTAGTTCATGTTTGAAGATCGATCTTACTAAATGAAGATCGATTACCGTTCAGTCTTTTTTTTACCGCCCTGTTTTTTGATTAATTTCATACAGGAAATCATGCTGCTCTTCGAATTGGCTTAGGATCTTTGGCACAAGCTGATCAATTGTTGTTAAAACAACGAAATTTTTGTATGTTATTTGATTGCTATAATTTGAAGTTAATAGGCAACAGGGACAGTTAATTAAAGAGTACGCAGGACGGGTCACTCTTGTCGAATAAATCTTTTATGTTTTTACACATGCGCTCTCTGGCTCAATGGCTGAAATAATATTTAATAACTTTGATCTATACCACATTGATACAAATTACTTTTTGTTTAAGCGTGGTTCAAAATACAAAATTCCATTGGACAACAAATTTACTATGCTACAAGAGGTAAATAACTATGAAACGCTGCATGCATCATGCATGAAGGGTAAAGATTCCTGTTTCATTTTTGTTATGAACTGTTTGGATTCCATCTAGTTAAAAAAACGACCCAGCAAGGGTTGGTGAAATTGATATATGGCCTCGAACTCGGCCTGGACCGAGCATTTGAGTATGCAGCCCCATCAGTTTGAAATAAACTAACATACAGAGTTACAGTCGTAGAGATTTAGAAGCAGTAAATCACTCGCTAATTTTAGTAAACTCGTTTATTTCAGTGAAAACAGAACGTTATTTTAAATCTTTATTATGAACATTTGTTTACATTAAATCTTTACTTGCCCTCTGCGCATGGATCATCACGTTGTAGTCGTGCAGGGGCTTAAGTACTTCACTGAAGGAAAACTAAGAAAGATCCAAACTCGGTCTCCGAACTTCGATGTCGAACTCTCGGAACCACACCTCCAAACTCTGCTGGCTTGATGAGACACAAGCTGGCTTGATGAGACACACATGGAGGTGTGACTACCATACGAAACTACTACTACTTTGCTTACCCTAATGTATTTCTTGATTTTGAATTGCATACATATTGTAATTAGCTCTTGATCATCTCTTTATGGCTATTTAAGACAATCTGCCCAAAAAGTATACGTATGTATCTTAATTTTTGTGAAGTGCTTTTAAATATTTTTATAATGTAAGCGCTATAAAGATTATAGATTCTTATTCATTTTATTATTATTACATCTACCCTGCATGAACTTGATGTGCACAAGAAGTAATATAGCTGTTATGTGATTTTTCTACCCATATCTCTAACATACCATATCTCTCATACCCTGTTTTCTCATATCGCTAACAGGTAGAGATTGTTTTGGTCCGTTTGTCGTAAACATTCTTGACAATACGAGTCGCGTAGTGATTAGTCTCACTCATTCATCAGCCAAATGCTCATCTTGCTGTTCATGTTGCTTGCAAGAAATGGAAGTCCAGTCACCCCCCGGTAACGTCATCGGTTACGTTGTCCAAATGTACGTAATCATTTTTCTACCATAATAATTAAAATGTTCGCCTGGTTTAGTGTTACGCATACAGCATTGCGGGCATTAAGAAAAGAAATTTTTACGCTGACACATTTTAAGCCTCTAATTTTTTTTAAAAATGATCCTTGATACGTTTCATCCAAGGAATCGCTCCATTTCAGTGCTATTATGTGAATTTATTTACGAGGGAGACTGATTTACAAGGATACAAAGTAGTGTGTCAAAAACACCCTTATTTTAATACCTGATGCACTGACAAATATTTTGCACAGAAATACGTTCTCATATTTGTTTACAGGTACTCGCTTTGCTCTCCGTGGTTTGAAATCATTTCTGCATCTCGTGAAACACTATTCTTGATTGAACGTCCATTCTGCATTGCTACATGTAGTGATGTTGAATTCAAGGTTTGTTTCTAAACTTCACATTTTAACATCAACTACATTATTGCCGCTATGTAGTTTTAACAGCCGTAAGCCAGATGTAAATTTATCTACCCACAACAATGCGGCAACGTGAAATGGACAAACGAAAGTATAGCCTGCTCGTTGCCCGAATTTCTTTACTTATTAACTAAGAAAATTCAGTCTGTGAGCAGGCTAACGAAGGTAGCCCACACATAAAATTATCGTAAGGTTTGAGTTTTTCGGAAGGCGTTTAATTCTGCCTACATGGTTTCCATCAAGTTCAAATCTGGTGACTTCGAGTTGGCAATTGGATCACATAAACCTTTTTATTCGTAAGATATTTCAAAGCAATTCCATTTGTGTATTTGGGGTCATTGACATGTTGGAACACTGATCTCACACAATCAAATATATTGCATAAACTTTGAGACTTTTCTCACCATCAATTGATGTATTAATGTTTTTAAGCAACCATGTAATTTTTTTAGGCGAAGGGCATTTTTGTTCAACCGCTGAATACAAAGAGAGGGAAATATTCTCAATTTATGTTTTTGACAGGTCCTTTCAGCTGATGGAGCCAATCTGGTAGGGACGATCTCAAAACAAGGAGCTAGATTTGCCATTACTTGGTGTGAGTTAAGCTTCATTCCCTGTTATGATTTATCGTAAAAAGTAATAGGAATAGATAATTTTTCCGCTCCCAAGCTTTTGCAATGTATTGACTCATCACATCATCATACCATATTCCTTCTAAAACACACTGGGGACGTTTAATAAATTTCGAAGAAACTTAATGAAGCGTGTATAGGAGGGAGGCGAGTAAAAGAGAGAGGCGAGTAAAAGAGGGAGGCGAGTAAAGTAGAGAGGCGTTTATTTTCGAATCAAACTCTCGCGTTCTCTTTAAAGGCTTGACATTTTAAAGCTGGAGAAATATAAAATGACTTTTGCTTGCATTAAGAATCAAATTCTCACTACAAGGACATCGCAAAGTCACCATATTTTAATACAATCGAAAAGAATACAAATCGTGTTTTTCCCGCTATTATTCTAATAAAACACTGTTTTCATAATAAAAAGGCGCTTACTAGAATGTGGCGTTTATCGTAAATTTCAAGCACATAGACCCGGTGACCATTACAGGGAGGTGCATGTGTATCAATTTAAGCGAAACATGTACTAAAAGAATTGTGGTGTATAAACTTGGGGGGAACTAGGCGTACGTTCATAGTTCAGTGCATGTTGAATACGTGAAGTCTTCATGCTAACTACCATTTCCCAACGTTAAACGACATGGAAACTGAACTGAAAGAACTATTCCCCTTCCCTTGAGTACTTATTTTATGCAGTGCTTGAGATGCTTTTTTAAAGTAAAAAAAACATTGATCGTATAGTTTCATTCGATCTTGACGTGGACGCCAAAGCAACAATGCTGGGAGCTGCTTTTCTTATGGTAAGCATCAATTGCTTATAAGTTACTGGCTGCACACGCATTCATATTACGACATGCACTCAAAGGAATGAATGAAAATTGTAGAATCTAGTTTCTGCTAAATGTTGCTTTCTTCCTTTTCTAAGCAACCCGTAAGCTGATAAGCTGCTTTTTATTATGTTCATGTAGGATTACATGTTTTTCCAAAGTAATGGAGGTGGAGGTGGTGGTGTTGTTGTTGGTGTTAGTGGTGGTGGTGGCTGTTAACTATTGGCTAATAACTCGTAAGACATGACACAACCAGTGACGAAGAGAAGCAGTTCTAGAAGACCTACATTTGACATGTTTATCCATATATGTAATTGTTTGTACTCATATTAATAACTGGTGTATATTTCATAAGATTTTATTCACGACAACGTTTTTCCTATAACAAGCAATGCTTTCTACACTCATCTTAAAGTGCCTGTATCAGAGTCTGGAATATTATCTATGTAGATAGAGTTGACGATTTTAAGAATGTTTGTAATATATTTTATAAGACGAAATTTGACCTTCCTGCGCAGGAAGGAGCCTTAAAAAGCCGCGTGTTCTCCAATGTACGTCACATCCGGTGAACTAGACCTAGTCACAGCACCTCACGGTCAAACACGAAAAAAGCCAACTATAAGACCCAAAAATCAAATTTCGTCTTAAAAAATTAATACATTGCAAATATTCCTAAAATGAACAGCTCTATCTAAGTACATTATTTGCCTGAGAGTGACATACGCACTAAGTTCAATTTGTATAATATTTTCGACGTTATATGCTCGGTATGTGTATCGTAATTCGTAAACGAATAAAAATATTTGGTAGTTACTGCATTACTATAATAAGTAAAGTCTGATTCTCAAGTAGTCATCCGAGTCGTCTCAGTCGTTACTAGAACGCACTCCGTGAAGGACAGGCTTAAGTGCTTCAGCTGATGTTAAGTGTAAACTAATACAGTCCAATGACCAGCGAACTTCATAAGGGTATACTTCATGTATATATAGCATATTCGATATATTGTAAATTTCTTCTTAACAACATGTCCTTTTTGTGAACGGTGTGTGTGATCATCCCTAAAGAATCTTAAGCAATCCTCCATTTATTTACATATGGCGACCTCAACAGCTGATACATTACATGAAAACTAGCCTTAGTAAGACATTTGTTGTTCTTCCTGTGGAGTATCTTGCCCATATCTGATTAATTAGTGATTATGCAAAATCCGAATCCCAACAATGGTTGTTGATATACACGAATGAATCTTGTGTAAGCCAGTTGCAGTGAGTATGAAGGGGCAGATGAGGGGGCAGATTATAAACTTCATCACCATCAATGTCAAGTAACAGGGACAGAAAAGCATCTTTTTTTATAAAGGGAGTGAAGCGATTGACTGCTGGGATTGGGTGCAACTAAAGCTATCGGGGACAATTTTCAAAAACTAAAAGTTATTGAGGCTACAGTCCCCGAAGTCCATTTACTTCTACGTGTATATGAAAGTATTGCCTCAGAGTTTGATAAACCATTTGAAATCCCTATAATTTAACCACTAAAAAGAAAATCAATCTCCTTTATTTATTTGCTAACTATATATTACTTTATCAGCTTAACGCTATGAAGATCGCTACACACGTGATGGCAGGCAATGAAATAATTTGTTTATTTATTTGCCTAGGACCTTGCTGTAAGGAATGCTTTTGGATCTTTAAGGAATTCACAATGTTTGTCTCGCAGTTTTGTTCCAACATTCATTTTTGAATAGCTTCCCATGTCGAGATATTCTTGTTTTTGTATGCTGTACTTCGGCCATTTTGGTAAACTGTCGATATTGTTCAACACAATTGGTAGTTTAGTTCTGCCCAAATTTGGATTTCTAGTAAAAAATGAGATTTTAGTAATTGTTTAGTTTTGTGCAAATGACAGGCTTGAAGTATTTTTTGGTAATCTTTATTTAAGTTGGTCGAAGGGCTGTCACAGCTCGTAAGCAAAGCATCTCATTTTTCTAATCATGGTAATTCAGCCAAAAAATAAAGTGACAAGATGGCGTTCTCTGCTTTGCAAATGAGTGTAAAGGCCTATCTGGGAACAAAAATTGGACATCAACGTGATAAAACTGTACCGAAGTCATAAAAGAAGCTAAAAAACTTGCCATGTTTCCATAGTGTTCAAGCGTAACTTTATTTAAAAATTATTTTTATTGGCATAGAGTCTTCAAGTCCTTAGCGTGTAGCTTCATGAAGTTTCTAACACACACTCTTACAAACTTCTATTAAAAGTTAAGAGTTGAAAAAATTGCAAATCATTAAATCTCGTCGAACAGGACGAGTAATACGATCGAACTAACTGAAAATTAGCGAGTAGATTCATGAAGTTTCAAACACACAGTCTTTAATGCTTCTATTAAAACTTAGGAATTGAAAAATTGCATATCATTAAATCTTGTCGAACAAAAAGAGCAATACAATGAACAAAATGCCACGTCACGAAAAAAATGTCTCTAAAAAGAACTCACCCTGTTCTGGCAAAATTTGTCCAGTATAAAACCATTCTCATTGCCAATGTCTGATCATCGATTAGAAACTGTTTATTATTGACAGGCCAACCAAATACTGACTAAAATATAACGTGTTCATTTTAAGAGTTACTAGAAAGAGAGTTTTTTGCACTTAGAACACTGGGCGCGCTTGTTTAATGCAACATATTTTACATGAATGCATTAAATTTTTCCCCATGTAGTGTGAAACACAAAAAGGAAACTTCAGTTTTCCGAGCTATGTTTATAAACCAACATTCTTATTCACAGGTTACAGACAATATGAACAAGCTACAAAGCCAATATAAAACAGAATGAGTTGGTTAAATTAGAATTTAGGAAAGAAAACCTTTTGGAAATCGGAGCTCGTGTAAAAAGCAGGCCCTAAAGCAATTGTTTTTTTACCTTCACGAGTTCACGAAGAGCGAACTATCAGAAAAAGAGGAAACTTACATAAACATCCAAACCATGAGTTGAAAACTCGAATATTCCATAAGGATACAGGGAGGTTTCATATGTTACCAACGGTACATGTGAGTACAGATAAAGGTACAAGTTGCTGCCGTTCATCATGTTTGATGAGATGTTTGATCTCAGCTTGGTTTCTTCCACGCTACTACAAATAAACATTACGTCGGACTCAAACGCTATACTCGGTTTCATTGCTTCCAAGAATGAAGGAATGCAAGCGGGTTTGTAAAACTCTCTCGCCTTGTCGTAGACGACTTTTGATGTGTTTTTGCCGAAATACGCCTCTAACTGCTTTTCAAAATAATTGAGATAGATACTTATATTTCGTGAGTGCGAAAGCAAATACTGCACGGACAAATACATTTCATCCTTGGTGACTCCAATTATGATATCTTTTTGTGGCACCTTTTTTTCTTTCCACAGTTTCTGCGGATGCTCAATGAAAAATCCTCCGTCGACGTAGGGCGCAGTTACAATTTCTAGTATATTTCTATAGTTCTTCCTGTTAGTGACTTGCTTCCATTTGACTTCGCTTACATTTTTCATACACTCCAGTAGAACCTCGTTATCTGGACACTTCACTTCACTCAGAAACCATTTCAAGGAGTCGTTCAATTGTTTGTCTGTCGCAGTTGCCCAGGGCTTAAGCATGTTTCCACTTTGAGCTATGGCTCTTTTGAAATACTTCGAACTTTCTTTTGATATTGTGTGCGCGGAAACGCTTGCACCACCTGCACTCTGCCCAAATATGGTGATTAATTCAGGATCCCCGCCGAAATTTTTGATGTTTTCTTTTACCCATTTTAAAGCCAAACGTTGATCAAAGAGACCAAGGTTAGCTAAAAATTGGAAAGGATTTGTGCAAAGATACAAGCATCCAGCTAGCTTTTGTCCTTACAACGTTACTTTTTTATAGTAGCTAACATTCTATGCGAATAGTGAGTGCAAAGGTTTCATGTATTGCTATTCTTTCAATTGAGATCGAGTGTATCAAAATATAACTAAACAATAGAATGTTACCTTTAATCTTTTTGTCGGGTGTTGTGAGAAAACCAAGAGCACCCAGTCTGTAATTGATTGTAACAAGAATAACGTCACCCAGGACGACAAAATTTGCTCCATCGTATTGACCCGAGGCGCCAAAACGAAATCCTCCACCGTGTATCCAAACCTGTTATGAGAAATAAAGAAGAATTTTGAGAATTTCAAGATTTATTATGTGAGCATTACATCGTGAAGTATTGCCTGTGGTATATAGACATTGATGACTAAGAAAAAGGTGATAACATTCATGTTCAATGCTAAAATTAATTAAATTAATTTCCTGTGAAATAAATTTCTAATAGGAACCTAAAGCTTTTCTCTGGCTACACCCATCTTGCTATACTGAGATTGCTATAGTCTTTTCACTATTGTTCTTTAATGATTACACATAGTAATTCGTCTGCACCGAAAGTATACTATTGGCTTACTTTAATGCACTACCTTTATGAGTAGGTTTATGTACTGTAGATTATGGTATTTTGAACATAAACTGAATTTAAATTTTTTAGGGGGGTGGGGAGGGTTGTGCTATAAGTTTTGGGAGGGTGTGTTGATTAAGAACTCATGTAAGCTAGACAAGGTGTCAGGCCATACTCTTGCCCCATAAAATCTGCCGGTGTTTTACCACAATTGTAAATAGTCATTTTGTACATGAATTGATGCTTCTTACCATGACAGCCAGTGATTTGTTACGTCGTGGATATGGTGTCCACACGTTCAAAACTAAACAATCCTCAGTTATTCTGAACCCGGGTTGCTGAGGTTGAAGACAAGCGATAACATCTTCAGTTAAATTCATCGTACCTTAAAATGTACGTTAGATCGTTAAGTTTTTAGTTTAGTAAGCTTTCCTTTGTAAATTTCAGAACTTCACAGTTACTCATTTCTTCAGTAATACATTGTTTTCCCAGCGAGTGAAAACAGAAAGATTTGCACAGTATAAGACTAAATAATGTTAATTATATTCATTTGCAACCAAAAGCAGTTTTTAGTGATAACTTGAGCAAGTAAAAAATTGAAATGGCCTAAATGACAAAAATAGACAAACGAAGAAGAAAAATGACTTCAGCTATTCAACAACAACTGTAAGTTTTCTTCAATGTGAAATTAAAAAACTCTATGAATATTTTGTGCTTGACATATTTTTGTACCACAAATATTTAGTGGATGAAAATTTTGGCTGAAGTGCATGCTTGGTCGTTCTTCGCATGACAAGTCTTAGGTATTTCTTTTAAAAGAATAGCTTATTAGCTGTAGCTAGTTCATGACAAAAATGAAAAAATGGTCTGCCATTGCAATCAGAATTACACCATGTTTTATTCTCGTATCAGATATTCCCAATCTGGTGTGTTTTATTTCATACCTCAAAACGATAGATGATTTTCGACAATTTTTGACTAGATGACCTTTTTAAAATAGTTTGCAACAGTATGTGACAAAATCGAATTTTTTATCATTTTTAGGCTATTGATGAACGAAACAAGTTCTTACCATTCCATGCCAACTTAGGTCTTGGTTTTTCAAATCTAAATTGACCAACTGGAGGCTCAGCATACGGTATGTTGGGAAATTTTAGAACTTCCCTCTCGTTTATATTCGTTTTCTTGACGATTCCTCGAACATAACCATAGTTGGTCTTGATCACTACATGCAAAATAGAAACCGATGCAAATCGAAATTTTATCTTGATTAATTTAAATATCATTTAAGCACCATTTTTCTTTTAATATAATTTTGTGTGTAGTCACAGTATGTATAGCTAGTCCTTTTAGCCAGTCAACACGTAGTCTTTTGAATTTTACACAGTTTAACGGCAGTTTTGCATTTATAAAGTTGTCAAACTTTATTCTTAAATTATATCGTAGTTAAATTTGGTTCACATTGTAAATAAGTAAATAGGCTATTAATTAAATGTGGAATCAGAAGATGATTCAAGATTGATGAAAATTTGTACTGTAAATAAAGCTTTTTATCCATGCCATTTTTTTTTCTTCGCAAATTATTGTTATGCTATTACTATAAACATAATGATGAACAGTTAACTAGCTCATTTACTGAGCTAAATAAAAACCAAACGGGTTTCTAGTGCATCTCTATAACACTTTATCATTAGACATGATTTGTGATTGTACTGAAGCTGTACATAGGGAAATTAAAATATTGATGCAAATTAAAGATAAAAATTATACAACATCAAATTTCTCTATTACCAATTTTGATGTCTTTTAACTTGTATTTTCTCTTCTTAAACTAGCTATACAATACAGCGTCGAGCTAAACGAGCGTTTAATACTCATAGCTAAAAGCTTATAAGCAGATTAGCACAACTGCTATGTATATATGTCAAATATACAGATTGACCGAGCTGCAAGAAATTTTCTAACAGACAGATAAAGAAGGGATGACTTTAACAACAGCCCATCAATTACGAGTTGGACTTTCTTATAAATTTGGAATGCCATCCAGACAAAAATGTATTATGCTAGTCAAGGATGAATAAACCCCACTCCCTCTGTGTGTATGTAATGATATTAATTCATGTATAGACTTGCCAATTCAAAATAACTACATGGCAACTTCCCAATACATGCAGAAAACATTTGGCATCGCGTTGATTGAAATGCCTTATAACCAGAATATAATCTTTTTAGAGCCAATTATCCCAACTAAAACAAAAAGATTAAAATTGTTTTGTTTAGTATAATCTTACTGATATACTGAAATGAAAGATATGCTGTTTATAGAATGTTAGTTTTTGTAACGTTCTGCATGTGCATTCTCTTATAATGGTCAAAAAAATATTGAATTATAGTTTATTCTTAAAGCTATGTAAAGGAAAAGATATGATTTGATGTTTTCTGGAATCTCGTTCCATAGAGAGACTGCGCGGTAGTAAAAAGTGCGTTTTCCAGCAGCGCTTCTAAACAGGGAATGCTCAAAGAGGTTGAATTTCTAATGGAACGTTGACTGACATTACTGATCTTTTTACAAATTGTTGAGATAAACATTTGGCTGCTGTACGACATCATTATACCCAAGATTTTAAATTAAAATCAGCACTTCTTTACCTTCTGCTTTATCGTCCGTAGCTGTACCCAGAAAAACCAATAATCCCAAAATAAAATTGAATCCTGTAGATCTCCACATTTCCTGAGTTCTAGAGATAATTGGAAATCAAACGTGGTTTTGTTTAGGCATTGTGCGTTATCAGATTTATCTGTTGAGAAACTATACGTCACACGTGCAAAGTTTGAAAACAAAGTTCATAAAAAGGCACGCAAAGGCAGAAGTCAGGGGCGAAGTGGCTTCTTCACATGATTCACAGGGAAAAATTTATAAAGGAGCGCTTTTCATAGACAGTAGGTATTTGTAGGGGTGGGGTGGTTGAAAGTACGTGTGCTGCTGTGTCGAGTGTAAATTATTCACAGCCGCCAAGTTACAGTGAAAAACCACAAAATAAACCAGATAAATACTCGAAAGACAAATAAGATTCTCTGTTCCCAGCACGAGACTACTGCATATAACTTCCTCATACCTTACGCTTTTGCATAAGATATAACGTACTAGAAGTGGCAAAAACGCTCATTAGCTACTATAAATAGTTAACTAACATTGACGTCTCAAAAGGAGCCAAACTATTTACTTTTGTCTTATGGACCAACTTGTTTCAATTCGATTATTGTCAAAAGTTCAGCTAATTGAAACTCAAACCTATCAATTCACTTATTCTTCAATAATATGCATACGCGCTGGCTTGAACAAGTCCATCACAACTTAAAAAATAAGATGATAGGCTCGCAAATTGCTTTTGAATTTTATCATTGCAGTAATATTATCAAGTCTCTGTTTTACTTCTACAAGTTTACTAGTCTTTCCTTTATTAATTTTTTGAAAAGGGGGCGCAAAAGAAGAGAAAGGCGCATTGAGAAATTTCTTGATGGTCTTATAGGTCACTAAGGTGAGTCCGTCTGGCTGAAGTGTCTTTCTAGGCTCAAGCAGATTTCTGATGTTTAACTTCTAAGTAAGGACCGTCATAATATCGATTTTTAAATGGGAAAATTCATGGCAGCGACACACAGCGAAATCTGTTGTTATCTTTTTCTAGTCAACTAACCAAACAATAGCGATTGAGCGTGCACAGAATGCAAACAGCAAACAAACTACAAAATTACAAATACATGGATATAAATCGTTTGCATATTATAAAAAGCCATTTGATTGATGTTAGAATATTGAACTTGATATAAAACAACTCACCTCAAATGTTCAGGCTCAAAAACGTCTGCTTAACTTAACTAAAAGACTGTACAGTTTCAATTTTGAAAGATGTGCGACATTTGACACTCTGATGCAGCTCTGACAAATAGTAGTTACGCATTGCGTGTATGTCAGTGGGAAGCCTGTGGATTTTATGGCCCAAAAATGATGTAGATCAATGAAACTGTTTCAAACAATATTGCATATTTCACATTATTTACACCAAACTTGTTTGAAATTTAGAAATGTGCTTTGTGCTCACTAGGCCGTATTCTGTATCAAGAAAATGTGCTAAAAAATGATTTCTTAATGCCGAAATTCATGACTACATAAAAATCACAGAAAACTACTTATTTTTAATGACTGAATATGATTTAAGTTGTTTGCATCTCTTGAAATTGCAATCTTTGGAGTTTCAGTACTCCAAAGTTTCATAATATTCGTCTTTACCTGTCGCCATCTTGTTTTATTTGTGAAACTGATGACAATATAGCAAAAATTGCGGGTGCACTGTTACATGATATAGCAACTACTATCATGTAATATCATTTATAAACTACTATTATATTATATTATATTACTAAGCATTCCATATTTTTATATTTTAACTTTAAAATCCATTTTGCAATGTCATTACTAATTAGGACATAATCTAGAAGCTTGCTTGCATGCGCTAGAAGCTTGCTTACATGCGTAAACATATTTTGAAACCGCAACCGCATTTATTGTTATTGTGGTTAACTATTTAGTGCTGTAACATACTGTATTGCGTATGGGATGTAGGTCACAAAACCACAATACTTCCCATTAGATATTATTTATATATGAGTAGTTTACACCACTGAGTACAACCTACGAGAACAACCTACGAGCACAAGCTACGAGGAGATAAACTTAGGAGGCATAGACTACCGAAGTAGTTTGACAAGCTACAATCTACCAGACAACTATCTTGGCATTTATGCCATAACTATCTTTTGGCTTTTGTGCCTTTAATCTATTTGGAAAACTGTTGTGAGTGATTGTTGGACTCACGAACGCTCAAGAATAAAGACTCACGGTTGTACTCAGACAGAGGAGATAAGTTTTATTCATACTTATTGATATTATAATTAAGACACTTATCCACTTTAATATTTACGCGTTGGTTAATAAATTGTTTGAGAAATATAACTGGTTCACACTATCTTTGTTGCGTGTGGAAATAGAACCAAAATTAATAGTTATTCTTTCGGGACCACAAACGTAACATGCACAATGACCAAAACAACAAAAAGGCGAGCTTGCGGGGATGTGTAATCCATTTTAAAGGTCAAAATGGGCCGTTGACTGATTTTACCGAGACATCTTTGAAAAAAGTTTTACATTGTCACAAGCTTTGGTTACTATACAATGGTGAGCAAAAAGACATCGCTGAAAAGAACAAAAATTTGATGAAAAAAATTCAGTCCATGAAATGTCCTTTGGCTGAGTACCGTGGAGAGTTAAAGTACCATAGAAATTGCCAGGCAAAGTTCACCAATGTCTGCCTGATTAGACGGGCTGAAAAAAGAATGAGCAAAAAGTTTGAAACTTCAGCAGCCACTGTCAATGAAAACTATATACAAGAAAATAAGTCGACAGATGTAAATGAGCCTCACACGAAACTGCTACAATCATCCTCGTTTTGTCATGACAGTTCTAAACCTCCGATAAGAACTATAGCAGTTTTTCCATCAATATGCATAATATGCAAGCAAGAAAAGTCCTTCGTCACTCAATCGGTAAATAATGTAACAAATAAACCAATATGTTACAGGTATTCCAATACCTGTTTTGTAACAGCGTAATGTTCTGTACTTAATCTACCTACAATATGATTTTACTTTTGTTGTCTTACTGATGGTGAGGAATGTCCAATTTTTCTACAATTTGGTAAAGATCTTTATTTATTGACAAGAGTTCAGCGATAGTTAATGCTTCAAGGTAAATACAAAATACATTTTTGCTACTATTGTCTTTTTTGCATTTGCTTTGTATTTCTTTCGGCACTAGGTACACTCTCTTTGCATCTGGCAAGTGTTCGGACGAATGCCTTCCCCCGAATGCAGATAGCATGCTTTTGCACATTAAGAGAGCCAACTACCAAGCAGCCATCTGGAAGAATAGTTTGCAATCGCACATTAATGTTCAACATCCTGTGAGCCATGGATGGCACATGAAAAATGGTCAGTTAGAGATTCTTTGGATTACTGGACCATCTGCTCCAGATACACTTATTGAGTGCGTGACATGCAAGTGTAAAGCTGGTTGCAAGAATCTTCGATGCTCGTGCGTAAAGTCTGGTTTGCAATGTACTGACATTTGCGGTTGTTCTGACTGCAGTAACTACGCCTCTGAAGATGACGGCTCAATGACAGAGCCGGATGAGTGCGATGATAGCGATTACGATGATGCCGACGATACACATGAAAACTTCATAAACGATTTCAATGAAATGTTCTATTAAGAATGCACTGCTCAGCAGTGTGTACAGCAGGAACTAGATGGCGACCAAAGGATTCTGAGTACGCAATCTCATGTGCCAATTTATTATCGTTATATTATTTACACAAAAAGATGAAGGACTCCTTCGCAATTCAATTTCAAGAATTGTTTTTTCATTTTTTAGTCTTTTTGTCCATCAAGCAGCTATGGAAGATTAATAGCTAAACATATCATTTCAAATTAACTTAGAAAGATTAACCCTTAATCATTATTTAGCACCGTTCTTTTGAATATGAGCCAGCAAATTTAGCGAATTTCACACAAAACAATATGGCGGATATAGAAAATAAATGTCGAATTTTTGATGGCTCTAGCTCTCTTGATTGCAAGTTTTCGGGATGTAAACAGGCAGATTTATGTTAAGTGAGTACATATCAGTACATCTATGTCGTTTTTACTTAGTCATGAATTTCTGCATCTCAACCTGAACAATAATCCACCATAGAATACGGCCTACACTGTTTGATGAAATGACCCAGTCATGGTCAATGCTTTATGCATTTACCCAACGACCTTTCCTAATTCGTTCACAAAAAATAAAAATTGATAAATTATCAATATGTGGAATGGAAATTCTGTACTGGGTGATATGTGATCCTGTACTATAAATTAATCAAAGCCTTCGAATTAATGGTATATTGTTTACACTTGATTCTTCCCATGTGATTGTCATTCTCTTTTTGTTTTGTTACCAAAGAAAATAAGCAAAGCTGAGATTTATCAACACTTGGGAGCGAATCATGTAAAATTCCACATATTGCGATCGTTTTCATGAATCCGAATAAATGCTTAATGCGTTGCACGTCTAGTGAGTCCTTTGCCGCCATTTAACAATCTGCAATTTTATGGATTTGAAGAACAAATACTAGCAAACTTTAATTTTAAACATGGCAATTTCTGAAATCCAACTGGCACAGAAACATTTAAAAACTTGTTGTACAATGTGTTCTGATATATCTAGTAAAAAAGGTAAAAGATGACTGTATAGTTTTATTGGATCTTGATGAAGTATGTTACATAAACTATGTTAGTTTATTTACAGAGATTGCTACACAAAATATGACAAGCAATGAAATCATTCGTTTATTTGCCGAGGACCTTGCTGTGAGAAATGCTTTTGGATCCTTGAGGAATTCACAATGTTTGTCTCGCAGTTTTGTTCCAACACTCATTTTTGAATAACTTCCCATGTCGAGATATTCTTGTTTTTGACTGCTGTACTTCGGCCATTTTGGTAAACTGTCGATATTGTTCAACACAATTGGTAGTTTAGTTCTGCCCAAATTTGGATTTCTAGTAAAAAAATGAGATTTTAGTTATTGTTTTGTGCAAATGACAGACTTGAAGTATTTTTTGGTAATCGTTATATTTAAGTTGGTTGTAGGGCTGTCACAACTCGTAATCAAGGCATCTCGTTGTTCTAATCATGGTAATTCAGCCAACGAGTAAAATGACAAGGTGGCATTCTCTGCTTGTACAAATGAGGGTAAAGGCACAGAATAGATATCTTAACAGAAGGTCCACTCGTGTCGGAACCTTTGATGTCCGTGTCCCCCACTTTCTGAAGCAAATTCTAAGGAGACACGCTTCCAGCAAGATACTTCTGCTAGATCGTAATGGAAAATATAGATGTTTTTACAAATATATTGTTTTGAACTACAAAAGCTTGGAACCTTATCGTCTTTGGAAGATGATAACATTTTATAAAAATATTTCGGCAAACTTTTGCTTTAAACGTGAATTATCAGTAAAATAGCATTCTTGTGCCATACTATTCTATATTGATTTTTTGAAAGTATCTTGCTGGGAAGTCACGCATGCGTATTGAAAAAATACGCACGATTTTAGCCGAGTGGGCCTTCTGTTAGATGTCTATTCAGTGGTCATAGTGTTCAAGGGTATAACTTTATTTTCATTTCCATATAGAGTCTTCAAGTCCTTTGAGAAGAACTTTTTTAAAAATTAACTGAAAATTAGCGAGTAGATTCATGAAGTTTCAAACACACAGTCTTTAATGCTTCTATTAAAACTTAGGAATTGAAAAATTGCATATCATTAAATCTTGTCGAGCAAAAAGAGTACTACAATGGACGAAATGCCGCGTCACGAAAAAATGTCTCTAAAAAGAACTCACCCTGTTCTGGCAAAATTTGTCCAGTATAAAACCATTCTCATTGCCAATGTCTGATCATCGATTAAAAACTGTGTATTATTGATTGGCCAACCAAATACTGACTAAAATATAACATGTTCATTTTAACAGTTACTAGAAAGAGAGTTTTTTTGAACTTAGACCACTGGGCGCGCTTGTTTAATGGCAACATATTTTACATAAATGCGTTAAATTTTTCCCCATGCGGCGTGAAAGAACCCAAAAAGGAAACTTCAGTTTTCCGAGCTATGTTTATAAACCAACATTCTTATTCACAGGTTACAGACAATATGAACAAGCTACAAAGCCAATATAAAACAGAATGAGTTGGTTAAATTAGAATTTAGGAAAGAAAACCTTTTGGAAATCGGAGCTCGTGTAAAAAGCAGGCCCTAAAGCAATTGTTTTTTTACCTTCACGAGTTCATGAAGAACGAACTATCAGAAAAAGAAGAAACTTACATAAACATCCAAACCATGAGTTGAAAACTCGAATATTCCATAGGGATACAGGGAGGTTTCATATGTTACCAACGGTACATGTGAGTACAGATAAAGGTACAAGTTGCTGCCGTTCATCATGTTTGATGAGATGTTTGATCTCAGCTTGGCTTCTTCCACGCTGCTACAAATAAACATTACGTCGGACTCAAACGCTATACTCGGTTTCATTGCTTCCAAGAATGAAGGAATGCAAGCGGGTTTGTAAAACTCTCTCGCCTTGTCGTAGACGGCTTTTGATGTGTTTTTTCCGAAATACGCCTCCAAACGCTTCTCGAAATAACTGAGATAAATACTTATATTTCGTGAGTGCGAAAGCAAATACTGCACGGACAAATACATTTCATCCTTGGTTACTCCAATTATGATATCTTTTTGTGGCACCTTTTTTTCTTGCCACAGTTTTTGCGGATGGTCAATAAAAAATTCTCCGTCGACATAGGGCAACATTACTATGTTCATATAGTTCTTCCTGTTAGTGACTTGCTTCCATTTGACTTCGCTCACATTTTTCATACACTCCAGTAAAACCCCGTTATCTGGACACTCCACTTCACCCAAAAACCATTTCAGGGAGTCACTCAATTGCTTGTCTGTCGCGATCGCCCAGGGCATAAGCATGTTTCCACTTTGAATTATGGCTCTTTCGTAATATTTCAAACTTTCTTTCGATATCGTGTGCGCTGAAACGCTCGCACCGCCTGCACTCTCCCCAAATAAGGTGATTGACTGAGAATTCCCGCCGAAATTTTTGATGTTTTCTTTTACCCATTTTAAAGCCAAACGTTGATCAAAGAGACCAAGGTTAGCTGAAAATTTGCAAAGATTTGTGTTATGACGCAGGCATGCAAACAGCTCTGTCCTTAATTCAATGATGGTTACTTTTTTATCGTAGCCAACATTCTATGCGAACAGCGAGAGTAAAGGTGTGAGTCAAACTTCACGCCCCTCAATACTGATTTACTTCTGATGGCCTTGTACATTACAATTGCATTTTAGCTTTATCCTGTAAAACTATTTCGGTTGCGATGCATTATATATAAAGACAAATATGTACGACCACGTGACAACTATTTATACAGGTCGTGACGCAGACGCACTAGGCAAGTCATATTTAAATGAAATGGAAACTAAGTTTTTTTAAACCAGTATAAGGTTGTTGAAGATACTATCCCTACCGAAAGCTTCCGCTATAGTTTCTTTGAAATAATCTATATCGAATGGCTACAAAATCAAACTGGAATGTTACCTTTCATCCTTTTGTCGGGTGTTGTGAGAAAACCAAGAGCACCAAGTCTGTAATTGATTGTAACAAGAATAACGTCACTCAGGGCGACAAAATTTGCTCCATCGTATTGGCCCGAGGCGCCAATACGAAATGCTCCACCGTGTAGCCAAACCTGAAAGTTGAAATGAAGAAGACAGTTGAGAAGCTGAAAGTTGAATAAATTTTAAACGTTACTCGGGCGAAAACGTGGCAGAACGTTTATTGTGAATTGGGAAAATATTTACGGCACCCCCCAGAAAGGATAGCTCCCGTACGTCTATGTTGTCTTTGGTACTTGAACATGGATGACTAACAAAAAGGTGATAACTCCTACAAAATTGATTCTTAGTATGTTCAATGCTAAATTGTTAAATTGATTTTTTACAAAATGAAACAGTCTATAGATTTCACCTTCATTTTCTTGCTTACCCTTAGGTCATTGCTTAACTAGAGTTTGTCGCTCTGTTGTTTGTACGGTGAGTGAATACCGAAACACTTGTACATACACATAGCACGACCAAACTTGCGGGCTGTATGCGTCTCTATTGCTACCTACTGCCAATGACTTAAGCCAATTCACTATTGGAGTCTGCGTTTTCTCATTAAAATTAACAACTGGTTTGCACCGAAAGTTTATCATTGACTTATCTTTACGAGTGGTGCATGCATAAGCTTCACTCTCCCGAATCAGAAGACAATGCTTCAGACCACCCCCGTGCACTTCGCTCACAAAAGTCTGTGGCAATTTAGCACAACTGTATAGCAGCCATTTTGTACATAGATTATGCATTTCTCACCATGACAGTCAGTGAATTGCGAGGTTGTGGATATGGTGTCCACACGTTCAAAACTAAACAATCTTCAGTTATTGTGAATCCAGGTTGCTGAGGTTGAAGACAAGCGATAACATCTTCAGTTAAATTCATTGTACCTTAAAATGTACGTTAGATCGTTAAGTTCTGAGATTTATAAGTTCTGGCGGAAAGTGCAGTATTTCTTTGAAAAAGAAAAGTCGATGAATATTTCGAGGGCCTTCAGAAGAGTCGCCAGTGCGTCGAAACAACGAAATTGCTTTTGTATTTTCAGGCAATTAATAATCAACATAAGTTCTTACCATTCCATGCCAACTTAGGTCTTGGTTTCTCAAATCTAAATTGACCAACTGGAGGTTCAGCATACGGTATGTTGGGAAATTTTAGAACTTCCCTCTTATTTAGATTCGTTTTCTTGACAATTCCTCGAACATAACCATAGTTGGTCTTGATCACTATACTCAAAATGAAATTTATGAAATATAAGTATAATATCAGTCACCGGCTGAACCGAAATATCATCATCTACGTAGGTAACTATGAAATATCATCATCGACGTTGATAACTATGACATATCATCATCTACGTAACGAACTACGAATAATGAGTAAGCATTTCAAAATGTCTCTATAAAATGTCTCTAAATAAAAGATATTTTGCATGATTTGCAGAAAAAAATATTAATGATTATTTTAACATGCTTTTATATTGTAGTGAATCTTTGTCTTATTTTATACAGTATGTTAAAACACAGTCTTATATTTTTGAAATATAGTTAACGGCAATCTTAAATTTATTAAATAATAGAATTGTATACTTGTATTTGGTGGTTAAATGTAATTCACATTGTACATTAATTATACTGTGATATGTTACTATTTTGGGCCCATTGTCGTCTGTCGGCCATATTTATCAAGGCTCCTGGCTTGAAGTAATGTTACTCTTCTTATGGCGTCCAGGCTACACGTCTTATGTTAGCAGTAATTTCCCGAAAGGATACAACTTTTTAAGGGAACTGTTTTGATTGACGCGAAACATTTTTGCGCTAACCTTACAACTATGGCAATTGGCAAGTATACAGGTTGACTGACATGATGTAATTTTAAACGAGCTGCATAGATTTTTTAAATGCACGGACAACCCTTCAATGGTGCAACGGTTGACGTTTTGAAAGCTTATGACTGCATCCACATTATACCAAATTTATTGATTAGCACGCTGAGATTGCAGAGAAATTCATTTTAAAACAACTGGAAGCACTTTGCTCATTCTTCCACAATGACTTGCTTCCGAAAGAGACACATCATGGGGTACAAAAATCTACGCGCGTTGGTCAAAACACATCCTTTGTGGACAGTAAAGCTGCTCTAAATGATGCTGAAGATCTTTTATTGTTTTTAAAGGCGCAAATCTTGACAGGCCAGTTTGCAATCATTGCAACCTTGCTCTAACTGGCAATAACAATTCCTGTCTAGTAAAGGCATAAAAGAGCCTTTTGATTGTTGAAAACATATTTGTGCAGTCAGTGACGGTAAAACCACTTTCAAATCTTGCTTCTATTTCAATCAACTGTGAAATTATTTCGAAAAGCTCGATTGAAGAACTTCAAGCGCCGTTTCAGAACGACAAAACAGTAGAATTTATAAATTAGTTTTGAATCATTATTTCTTCACAAATCGCTTACAGGGAAATATACCTCGCTATCTATTACATTGTAAATATATGGAAAGCATTTCTTTACAATTTTATCTGTTCACAGTTTTAAAACTCATATTTTTAAAAATTTTGTGGCCACACCCACGTGGCCTCACCTTGTTGTCCAGAATGGGTCTGCCCCTCTTTAGCAACTTCTTATAGCTACGCCACTGATTGGGCATCAACTCAAATGTGTATCATCACTGTATCATGTTCATCAAAAATGAAAATCCCATAATCTCCACGCGTATGTTTTTCTAATGGCGACTCAAAATACCTATGGCAACCCTCACAATATTAAACGCCTTTGGCATGAACCACGATATGAAGTCGATATCCTGCATTTTATCAATGTTCTTTTAAATGTAAATTGTTTTTACCTTTTGCATTGTTGTCCGTAGAAGTACCCAGCAAAATAAACAAATTCAAAATCAAACCAAGTCCTGTAATGCTCCACATTTCCTCAATTCTATATGAAAGGAAATCAAACGATAGGATGCACTACTTCGTTTTGTTTACAACATTGCACGTTTTACATACAAAATACAAGCGACTTAATAAAGTACGAATAATGAAACAAGCACCAATAAGATGATAAAAGGTTAAAGGGTTAAAGTAAAGCAATAATTTATGAAGCAACTATCCCCTTTACCACAAAATCGCACTCTGTGAGACTTTCTCTATAGCTCTCACCAATCAAAGACAAACTTATTTCTCATCAATGGCGAGATATCTGCTGAAATATTTCAAATCAAGCAATCAGCTTAGCGAAAATATCGTTTTGGAAGGTTTTGTGATGATATTTAGGTCCACTCCCTGAGTGTGAATGCAAGGAGCTTTTAGAACACAAACGTGCGTTGACGAATGTGCAGCGTTTGCAAATAAGGTTGAAGCACAGTTGTAATGTCGCTCGGTCGGCTGCTCGACATGCAAGTCTTGTGACAATTTACTTGTGGAATGTAACAGGTCCGTTTCAATATCAATTTTGTAATAGGAAAATTCACGACAGCGTCACAGCGTGAGCGAGCGTCTTTGGTGGTATATGTTTTAAATGCGTGTACAGAATGGAAGCAAGCTACAAATATAATTAGTATATTGATGAAACAAATGTCGCATATAATTGGAAAGCTATCCGATTGATGCTAGAATATCGAAATTGACATAAAACAACTCACCTCACAATGTCAGCTTTAAGACTTAATCAAGCCTATACGGCAGTACTGAACTACAGTTTGGAATAGGAAATGCGCGTGAGCTACACCTAGATATACGCATAATTATCATGTACGTCATAGTTTTTGTAATGCAAGCTTTGAGTAATTTAGAGTATAACCGGAATTTCGTCCGTAATTGCCATTATTTTACTCCCTTGTTATAAAAGGCCACCAAAGAACGTTTTACACAATTAAGTACTGACGTCTGGAAGAAAAAACATAAGTTAATGTAGAAAAGAGTGAAGACTATCTGTCTATCGTCTTTTTAATCGTCCCGCAAACCGAGGAAGGTTTAGTAAAAATCTGAGCAGCCCGAGGGACTTTTACTAAACCTCTCGAGGCACAAGCGAGCATTCAATCACTAATATCCCTGAACTGAAAGCACACTTTTACTCTGTAATAACATATGGTTGCGGAGGGAGAAATCAATGGATTAGACTCTTCCGTTTGACTATAATTTTATCAAATTTTTAGTTCACAGATTTGAATATTGACAACCAATGATGGTGCTCAAATGGTCAGCGATGGATTATAAAAATTCATCAAGATATATAATTTGAATTCTGTTTTTGAATTGGTTCTGTGAACCTGTTACTGTGTATAAATTTGCTTTGCAAATACGTATGGTAGTTCAATTATTATTGAAGTTATTGATGGGTCATCGCTAGTTTTCATAAGTTAGTGACAAGAAATTTCTTGACATAAGGGAAAGACGATTTCTGTGACCAGTGACCACTCAACGAAATAAATATTGAAGCAGAAATGAGCTAAGTCTTATAATGACGAGTTTGGCGATTTTCAACAATAGTGCGAAGGATTTACTCGTGTCTGATGAAGAATCGACGATGTAACATTCGAACAAGAGGACTTTCGACTTTGTAACCTTGCCTTCGAAATAGTATGGTTTCAAAAGACCTGGCTATGACATCATGCTATTGAAGTGGCTATATTACTCTCATAGCGGGGCGAGTGGCTGAATGGTTAATGGCGTGAGCTGTTAGCCAGACGGCGTGGGTTCAATCCCGGCTCGTGGCACATTTGGCAATGTGTCTGTAAACCTAGCCCGGGTTGACCAAAGCCATGTGAGGGAAATTTGGTAGAGGAAACTGTGTCCTCGGATGAACTGTACCTGCATCTGTAATGTTGCAGCCTTGTCACACTGTGTCACGCTGATATCAGCGTTGTAGTTGCGTGAAGGGTACGAGTGATTGTAGTCTGGTCAGCTGCCTTCACTATAATTTCAGTAACCAGGATGTTCCACTTCGTGGAACCCTCATACGTCGAAATCGACGGAGTCCATTATTATTATTATTATTACTCTCATGGAAATAATCTATTAAAAAAGAGTTGACCATTTTAAAAACGTTTGCAATATGTATTACAACACAAATTGAAAAATTTGATATTCCTTCACGTTTTTGGGCCTCCAAGTTTTGACCGTGAGGTGCTGTGACTGGGTCTAGTTCACCGGACGTGTCGCACATTGGAAAAAACGCTGTTTTTTAACGCTGCAGTTTATAGTAAAATTTGTAGCAAAGTAAAGAAATTAATTTTTATTAAACTTGTGTTATATTGTGCACTTTGTTGTTGAATCACACTGTAATTCTACAGCGTTAATAAGCAGCGTGCTCTCCAATGTATGCAGGTCACGTCGGTGAACTAGACCCAGTCACAGCACCTCCCGGTCAATTACGAAAGCCAACTTTGACGCCCAAAAAGTCAAGGAAGATCATATTTTCGTCTTATAAAATATATTGCAAATGTTCTTAAAACACTCAACTTTATCTAAATGGATAATTTCCCGGAGGATAATTGCGCTTTAAAAGACGTAGGGAAACTTCCCAGAGATTTTTGTCGGTCACACACGTGACATAGCATATTTGCGACGTTTGCTTTTGAATCTCTCAGAAACAGAGAGAAACTACAGCATATTTTTTCCACATAAATTTACTGAAATACAATTATATCCTATACTTTGTAAGGAGTATCGTGCAAATTATTGCCAACTCTTGAGGCCAGGAAAACGACAAATGACAGTTGTGCAACATCAGACAAGTTATTGGAGAATGGCTGAATCGTCCAATTCCGAGTGCTTATCACAACTCCTTACATGTAGAAAGTATTCTTCATGCCTTGGAAATAAAATTAAGCATCGAGAACTGAGAACTCTACCGGCGTACATTATGCTCCAATACACTTTATTATAAACTTTGCACTGGTGTCCCCCCTCAATTATAAAGTAGTCGCCACGCTCGAGGAAGTCATTCAAGACCATTTCAAAGACAATTTGTAAATGATTATTGTGTTCAGTTCCGCAAATAGGATGAACATACCGTCAAGTAATCATGATCATACCATATATGGTATGTCACGTGCAAACGCAAAAGTGGAATCTTCCTTTTCAAAAGTCAAAATGGACGCTGTCAGGCGACTTTATAAACGTCGTATTGAACAAGATGTTAACTCAGTTGGATTGTCGGTAGATCGGCCAAACAGGGTATCATACTATCAATCGTTCTTTCAGGTATCTATTCTATTCATATGACGTTTATTAACTTTATATTTCAAGGGAATCAGTACGAAACAAGTCGACTTTCAATTCATATTCAATTCATACGGTTCATATGCGTAATAGAAGTTTGAGAAAGTTCCTGTACACATCTTATCGTCACTATAAAAAATTTCGATATTTAGAATCTTTATTTTGCTTATTTTTAAGGTCTAAACGCGATAGTACATTTTTTCTAAGTATTGCATGTGGCATTAAGGCTTTTTAGAACAAACATAAATAGTTTACATTTAATGTAGGAGAACAAACAGGTTTGGATATTCCGTGTTTTACATTAGGTAAATTAATGTTTGAGTTTGAATTTGCTGTGAATATTTTAAAATCATAACATAGTGTGCCTCCAATTTACCCAGACTGTTTCGCCCTTTGGCTATGTGGGTATTATTTTGTAAAATATTGGATTGAAGGACCCATCAATGACGTAGATGGTCTTGTCTTAAGCTCGTATTCTTGAAATTGAAAGTATCTGCATTTAAGTGTTTTGTGTAAGCTACTTTTATAGCACTGTAGGGTATGATTACTTTGTCATGGTTTGTAAAAATATGTAATGCACCTTTGAAACAGTTGGATTTGGTGTATGTATGTGTATTTATGTTTGTCAATTGACCTGCAACCCTCTTCCCTTATGTATGTACATCTAATACATGCCCTTTCTCGAGGACTATGTTTATATTGGACTGCTCACAGATGGACTGCTATTGTAAATGAGCAACTTGTTTATCTTAACTTTTCTACATGTTTCTTTAATTGCAAAGAAACAAGGAAAATGTTTTCTATGCTGTAAAAAATTTCTTTCCATAAAAACATCATGCATAGCCAATATGCCAGATCTAAATGTGTGTGTCACATTCATAATATCACATCATGTTAATTTGTTGATTGCATATGGTTTTTTCAGAGATCCTCTGGTTTGCCAGTATATTTGAAAGGCCCAAATGACCAACTTATATACAGGTGATTTACTTAATTGCTTAGCTCCCTTTCCTTACGTATGTTAAGATATGTTGGTACTAAGTAGTACTTGTTTATAGCATGTCTTGTAAGTTCATTAAACTTTGGGTTTCAAACACAATACAAATGCACTTGGCTTTCTTAACATTTATGTGAAATACTTGCCGACAATCTTCATGGTTCTTACAATCCTCATAAAATAGTTTAACAGCAATCACTAGAATGATAAAAGTGCTTGTTGAAAAACTATGCATTGATACTAAACAATGCCAGCATAACACATCGTGAAATTTGGACTTAAAGTTTGTTTGGGTACAATTGATACATAAAGACCATGCACTCTAATGTTCAAACTTTGGAAAGTTCTCAAACAAAGATTCAATTTTATATTATATTATTTGCAGTTATTAACTCACCTCACTTTTTCATATAGTTTCAATACAATGAAAAATTAAGTTTGGGACCTTCGAAAAGTTGACCATGTTTGCTTTAGTAGAGGTGACTGTGGTCACTTAAATAGTATTTATTTTATGAAATTTTTGGAACATTGCCGCATGACCACTTAACAAAGGGTGAGAGCCTAATACTGTGCCACCTAACACAGGTGAGTGGTCTATACAAGCAATCTCTTCTACATTAAGGTCATGCATGATTGCTTCCGCTGCTGGTATTGGCATCTGCCTTGCTTCTATATACTTAATGGCAACTGGTTTGAAGAAAAAATGAACACAAGTTTGTTGACTCTAGTTATATCATTGCTGGAAATATTTCCTTTCACCTATTGACTGTAATAGTGTAAATAATTGAAACAGACTTAGGTCTGAAGTGTTATGATGGCTTTTTTGTCGACTATAAATTCTTTAATATACAATGTCAAGTTTGGCGAATGTTGCCTTCATTGTTCCCCCGGTTTGTTGTTCTCTCCACTCTGTTCATCGTTAATGAAAAAACTTTGCAACCGTCGGTACCACGATAGTTGCCCAGAGCTAGTGCTTGGTTCTGAGCAATCCTGTTTTAACTTGCCCAGCTTTCCTATAACGTAGATTTCCTTGCATTTAACTCGTAGCATACATGTACATTATCTTCACGATGTATGCTAACTTAACATGTCTCTAGAGATGTGTGGTGGCTCTGTGTCTCAAGAGACATGTGGTGATGTTTCGTCTCAAGAGACATGTGCTGACCTGCTGTCTCAAGAGACATGAGGTGACCTTCTGTTTCAAGAGACATGTGGTGACCTTCTGTTTCAAGAGACATGTGGCGACGTTTCGTCTCAAGAGACATGTGCTGACCTGCTGTCTCAAGAGACATGAGTTGACCTTCTGTTTCAAGAGATATGTGGTGACCTTTCGTCTCAAGAGACATGTGGTGACCTTCTGTGTCAAGAGACATGTGGCGACCTTCTGTCTCAAGAGACATGGGTTGAACTTTCGTCTCAAGAGACATGTGGTGACCTTCTGTGTCAAGAGACATGTGGTGACCTTCTGTCTCAAGAGACATGTGGTGACTTTCTGTCTCAAGAGACATGTGGTGACCTTTCGTCTCAAGAGACATGTGGTGTCCTTTTGTGTCAAGAGACATGTGGTGACCTTCTGTCTCAAGAGACATGGGTGACCTTTCGTCTCAAGAGACATGTGGTGACCTTTCGTCTCAAGAGACATGTGGTGACCTTCTGTGTCAAGAGACATGTGGTGACCTTCTGTCTCAAGAGACATGGGGTGACCTTTCGTCTCAAGAGACATGTGGTGACCTTCTGTCTTAAGAGACATGTGGTGACCGTGTGTATCGTGAGAATCGTGGTGAGCCTGTGTATCAAGAGACATGTGGTGACCTTTCGTCTCAAGAGACATGGGGTGAACTTTCGTCTCAAGAGACATGTGGTGACCTGTATCAAGAGACATGTGGTGACCTTCTGTCTCAAGAGACATGTGGTGACTGTGTGTCTCGTGAGAATCGTGGTGAGCCTGTGTATCAAGAGACATGTAGAGGGCCTTCTGTTTAATAAAACGTGTGGTAATCCCGTGTCTGGAGAGGCATGTGGTGACCGTCTGTATATGTGGTGACCAAGAGACACGATGTGTTCATATTAAAAGTTGCAAGACGCGTCGAATGTTCCAATATTTCATACCTGAACCTGCCGAACTGAGATCGATGACATTTTCTTGAGTTGAAATGTTTCCTTGCTCGTCTGTTACACGAGTTATCGTGTGTTCTTTGCCATCACTTCGTCTCGTTATTGTAACCTTCACGTGCACAAAAACACAAAATCATTTTGGAGTTAGGTATCAGCTGTTAGAAAATCAGCAGTCAAACCAGAATAAACCCGTTCCCCTCGGGGGTAGGGTAGGGTGGTAAGTGACAATCGGATTATAGCATTATAAAACTTAGGCATCCTTCGTTAAACGTGCGGTATAAGTTAAGAAATAAAAAAGGCAACATAAGCACCACACAGAAAGTTCTACCCTACAAATAATATTATAAATTCTCAGTAAATGAATAGTTAGATAATTAAAGACAGGGGCCGGTTGTATAAAAACGTAGTTAACTTTAACTATAGTTAGCGCTAACTACCGTAGTTAACTCCTTAACTGTAGTAACTTAACTGCTCGACTTAACTGCGTTGCACAAAACGTAGTTAGTCGGATAGTTAAGTAACTGCGTAGTTAACTTGCGTGGAAATTGCGTGGAGTGTTGTTTACATAAAATGACATAAAGTTTAATCAATTTATGCTTTGTAATGGCGGGCAAGTGAACTATAAAATGACTTTAAAATCATGAAAAATCTCTTGGCTTATGTAAAAATCTTAAAATATGGCAAACTATTGTCGTTTTTACGGATGTTGATGAAGCGAAAAGAAAATTTAATAAAAGATTCACGATGACATGGTAACCGGATTAAATTGTAGCATATACTTTGGACTTTTCTCAAGAAAATCGATCCTTACCTTCTGTGTAATACAGTACGATGTTGACGAATGATATGAGTCTCGGCAAGGACTGCTTTCTTTCATGTACCAATTATATAAAACAGACTTGGGCAAACGAAACAATGAACTCTTCTCAAATTGATTCATATTGTGTTCTATGTGCAAGGATTTAAATAATTGAATGGCCTCGCTTTTACAGAATTTAAAACTGAGAGATTGAGGGTAACAAAGGAAAAGGGTCGTTTCGTTTCTCTTTATAACAGCTGAGTAAAATGCTTGAAAGAAATGTGTTTGTACAGACATAAGTCACACATATTTCTAAAAGATGACAGTGATGGACTTTTTTATTATTAGAAAACATTTCTTTGAGTTGTCATAGTTAGTAGCCATGTAATCCAGCAACTTTCTTTTATCGGCTTGTGACATGTTATATTCACAGCTATACACAAAATACTTATTTGTTCTTAATTCTACCTTTCAAAAACTGAGTTATAAAAACTATTGGGTATATTTGTTAATGAGCCTTAGCTATGGAACTTTTATTCATGCCTTTGTGATTTATTAGCCTATCTTTGTCTAAAGCTTGGGAGTTTTATTCATTTTTTTCTACTTTTTAAGTCATCAAACAGTAGCTAGATCTTTATTGGCAGGCAAGATTGTATGTACATTGAAAATAAAAATTTTTACATAGGAAATACTTGATGAAATATCAATAAAACCCACTAATTGACTGTCATGTATATTTTCTTCTTGTATAATAAACAATATGCAATGGATAATGTATATATATCAAGCAACATGGACCTTCAACATGCATGCTGATGAAATGTTTTATGTATTTAAGAAACTAAAATCATTGTACCTCATGCAGCTGATACACAAAAGAGTAGTCATGAATAAAAACTGTTGTAAAGGTCATGTATCTATATGTATTATCATTGGTATACTTAGAACAACATTTATACTGTAGTACCTATTAGTTTTAACATAATCTAGCTTATTTTCCATAGAGCAAAGAGTTTATATGATGCATATGATATTCAATCAAGCAAAATGCATAGGGAAAAACCCGCAATTTGAATATTCGATACATCCAAGGCTATAGGATTCATTGCTCGAATAACATTCTTTGTTTTTCTTGTCATTGAATGAATTGTACGTATTTGTAAGACAATGTCAGCGAGTTATGTGCACTAATCTTAAAGAAGTGGCTCTATCTCAATTGAGAGTCTCGCTTATGAGTTGCAAAGAGCTACCGGACGCAAGAAAGATAATACAAAATGCAATTGCTCTTGTGTAAAAAAGGATTTGTTACGTGGATAAATTGTTTGCTGTTTTTTGTCAGCAAAACTTGGGATGTTTTACAGCACTGACGAATGTAGTACATTGTCCATAAAGCTCTTATTCTAAAAGCCTTTGCCATGGAAGATACATATGTGACTAAAAACTCAAGGTAAAACCTTGTTGATCAACAACATCTCGCCCATAATTGTCTTTGAGAAGGTAAGCCGCCATATTTAACTGTGTTTTGAAAAGTTAACTATGCTCCATAGCATAGTTAACTTTAACTACCTTTTAACTGCATTTAGCGCTAACTACTTTTTTATACAACCGACTTAACCGCGTGGTTAAATTTAACTACTTTTTAACTGCAAAAAGTGTAGTTAAAAAGTAGTTAAGAGCTTTATACAACCGGCCCCAGATAATTAAAGACAGCACCAATATCAAAGACAGTAATTTGCTAACTGCCAAATAAAGAATGAGGTCACTCGTTCTTTAAAAAAGAAGGTATTGTTTCTTGAATTCAAAAATACCCAATGTGAAAATTGGCATTAAAAGTACAGTATCATCAGTTTCATTCACTATTCAGCAAATGTATACGTTGATAACCTTCATCGTGTGATGTAGTTCGAAGAATGCTCAAATTATCGTGTGAAAACGGGGCAACCACAGTAAAAGGGAAGTATGCTCTCTATCCAAAATGTTTAGAGAGCTTGACTTATTGGCTGAATGTGTTTTGAAATATTGTTCACCTTCATATTCTGAAAGAGGAAAAAGCCTAGCCTATAACGTTGCGACAGATGCGTCTATTCTTTTTTCACTGTACGTCAATGTCCACTATTGTACCAATACCTCAAAAGATTACCTGCTCGTTTCCCCTCGAATCCCTGACAGTTTTCTCACTTTTCACAACCTACGTTGAAAAAGGGTACAACCAATCAAGAGAATCGATAGAAGCATGCCATTTGTATTCAATATCGGTGATATCTTTTCGAGCGAGAGTATATAAAGTAAAAGAAAGAGCAACCCCCAAATAAAATAAATTTTGTTAATATGAACGACGAACTTAACTGGATAAGATTTATTTATGATTTTGGTGCATTCTTTTGAAGATTGCACTGAAATATGATTTTTCAACAATCACAGCACGCAACATGTCATTTTAATTTCATGATCGTTGCTTATGATTTTGTTGTTGCCTATTTCACTCAGCCCAATTCCCATACCTGAACACCCCACCATATCCATGAGAAACGTGCCTATACATTCCTAACGAAATGATTCGTTAGCTAAACGCTGGTATTTGGGAAACTAACATTTCATTCTTTTAAATCGGTAAGATCGAAAAATCGATATCGGCAATTCATTTGGCTGAACATTTAAGACGAGAAAAAAGGGCAACGAAGGGTATTTGCGCCTGCTCACCATCTCATAGTCTTAGCGTGGATTGTTGCAGCTATAAAAGTCAGAGACGCGAGAAGACAGAGACTGCTTTCAGATCAGCAGTTGGTTTTTTTTTGAATTCTCGTACCGACAAAGTTAACGATTTATCGACAGAGTAACGATCTATCATAATACATACATACGTAAATTGGTGAGTCTGACTGTGAAAAACCGAATGGGCGAAATGCATTTCTCGATAGCAAAAATTTAAACATACTGACAGCTTTTGTTGAAAGAAAAAGTGACCATCTATCTTGAGCAAAAATCTACCATCCATTTTGCAAAACCGGGGTGTCGCCCTCGCCCCGCTCGGTACGCCACTGAGAAAAGCACACTTGACGTGGTTATGAGCAATTTTGCGACATACGCAGTAGTGGTTCGATCCAACAAATATTTTCAATACCAATAGTGCAATTGGGTATCGTGGTAGCGGCTAGCGTGCTTGACAGTGTATGGGCCAGTCATGCTTTGTAAATTTAAAAACAGTCAGTGATCACCGACATTTTTACATACATATGTATGACCGAACTTACGGGCTGACTATGTCACTGTTGCTCAAAATGTACATACACATAACAGTTAAGTGGTTCTCTGAAATAAACACACTATCTGTTGATGCTACAATTATCCAGGCCACTAGCTAAATGCCCTCTTCCTCCTTATAATGATAACGTTTCAATAAGCTTGAAAATATTTACACTCCACCTACCCCATTACTGTTATGTACGACCACAGAAGAAGAAAACGAGCCAAAGGGAAAACTTGGAATAAAGGAGTGGTTGTGAACAATATCACTAGGAGGTAGAATTTCGTCAAGAGTTTTATCTCCAGTTTTGACTTCTTCGTCGAGATCTGCCTCAAAAAGAATTGAAAATGCAATGATAGCAAAGGAAATTGCTGAAATAAAAATGCAGTAGAAAAACAATCATGAAGCAACATGTTTTAAAATCATGCATCAACCTCGATCTTCCTTAGTCGAGCCAGGCTCAATGAGCCTTCTGTAAGGTCTATGAAAACCACGATCTTTGAAGGTAAGCTAGGTAACAAAAAAGAGTTTGACTTAGAAATATTAATGACATGGTCCTATGGATCACCCAATATAAATGTTGTCAGGATTATTTGTTCGGAATACTCAGACTGATACACAGATTGAAATTGTTCAATTATGGAAATGAAAATTGCCACATAATGTTTGTGTGTGAACACAAAAATCAAGCCATATCACGAGAAAAGATAGTTTGGTAATATGTAGCAATCAGGCCTATTCATACATAGTACCACTTTACATTAGCAAAATTATGAAAAATACACAAAAAATTTGCATTGTTTATGAATGCTAGCCAATACTAGCCATGGTGAGTTTTGAGAAACATCAACCCTGGTAGTGACAGATCTAGTGTTAATCAGAATAAAAGATAGAAATGTGACCATATTCAAGAAGGACCTGCTGTAATTGATCTTGACATAGATCTGCCACTGAATTCTGATGAAATTAAACGTGCAAAGAAATGACACTATTATGTAGGTCAGGTTTGACCAAGATACCCTACCTGAGGTGCAACATCATTTGATTTATCTTGCTTCTTATCATTCAACATTCTTTCTTGCAATGTAGACTCATTGCCATGAACTTCCTGATGTGGAATGTTCTGCATTTCATGATCTGCGAGGAAATATGGATTTTGCTACATAACCGCAAAACTATTTGTTTATGAGGGTAAATTAAAGCATGGTGTTTGATTACCATGGTGTTGCGGAAAAGACATCATTGGAAATCCTTTGAAAAAATTATTGAACATTTCCTCAAACTCTGACATAAAGTCTTGTGGACTGTCAAAGAGGGAACCATCATGACTAGGGCAACGTTTGTCATAATTTGCACCCCATTTATATGGTAACTCATTATATAGATCATCCACAATGTCTCTAGTAAAAGCAGAAATTATGAAAACTTTCAACATCGTAGTTTGGTTATTTTCGGGAACATAAATTTAAGGCAAATTTCACAAACAATGCTACAGTAACACAGCTGTATTGTGTTGACTCCTGATAAAGCTGTCATCCTCTCATAATGCAAAAAAATTAGTTCATACTGAAATAATTGAATAAAATTTTAACAGAGAGTATTAATATATCTTTTGATGGAGTTTAGTTAAGTCGACTAAAACTTTTAAAATAGCATTACGTCATCTTTTATAAACGTCAACAAATTCACGTACACAGATGCCAGTTCGTAGGAAGAACTTACTGCGGTAAATCCTTGTCATGAAGATGCTCGGAATTCTTTCGAAACTTTTCAAAAAAATCACTGAAAAAATTCATCTTTTTACTTGTTGGATGGAAGAATAACCTCTCACGAAAGAGGATGACGGATGAGTGAGTTGCACTTGTTTATATATTATGTGACCTTATTTCGCTGAATGACATACGTCAATCGGCGAGAGTCGGCTGCTTTTAGCTCCCCGCGAAATCCAATAGAAAGCTGGAAAGACGAAATAATTTATTTGTATGAACAACAACTTCCGAAACAACTTTTTAATGAAAAATCTTTACGTTCAATGACTTGGTAAAAAGGAACAAGAAAAAAGGCATGCTTATTAACAAAAAATTTTGATCAATAAACATTGAAATGAACTTTGGCAACGCAATGTTAAAAGTTAAAGGACATGCCAAAATATGAAAAAAATTCTTTATCATTCGTATCACGCAGTCGTAAAAGGTCACCAGACGTAACTTGAAAACTAAATCGTGGGCCGACTGTACCTAGCTCGCAATTTTTGCAGACAAGGGGAGGACGGAGCAGCCCTTCTCCTTGTGATAGCAACTTCTGCTTCGTAAATGTTTAATTCTCACTCCTTGATGTATGTAAAATAGTATTTATGCATGCCATGCTCCGCCATCTACGCTTTCGCTTCGTTTGTTGGTGTTATTTGGAGCGTTTTCATAAAATTTATCAATATTTTCTATTTTGCCGCATGGAATGGGATATTTTTGCAAAGCCCGTGGAAATTTCGTTGATTGTACCTGTATAATAAGCTTACAGTGGGCGTAAAACTGAAGACTGTGTCCATTTCGTTTTAAATAAAATACAGTAATCATGGTGAAGGAAATGGTTGGCGGCTGTTGTGTTTGCTCGGATGAGCGAGGATGGGATGAAAATCCGCTTGTGTACTGCGACGGACATGGATGTAGCGTAGCTGTTCATCAAGGTAGCTATAATTTCATTTTGCATTGCGAACATTTGGGTTTTTTTTATCAAATACAATGCAGTCAAGTGAGTGCACCATAGCAATGTCAAAAAGCGGACATTGCCAGTAGCATTTGACTTGTACAAGGCAATTTTCAAGCTTATGTAAGACAATGTAAGTTTTTGGGCATTAGAGCTAAAATTATATAAGGACATTGATTTTACAGCATGCAAGTTGATGACCAATGACAATTATTAGTGACAATTACACACAACAATTAAGACCTTGAAGACCTCTCATAGCAAGTGTTGAAAAGATTCTTCATAATGAATTGATATTTTCTTTTTGAAGCTTGTTACGGCATTGTTCAAGTACCAAAGGGGCCTTGGTTTTGCCGTAAATGTGAATCCCAAGAGCGAATAGCAAGAGTGGTGGGTTGAAATGCTATAATGCAACATTGTGATAAGCTGAAAGAAGTTATTTCATTATGTATGCGTTTGATTTCTTGTTTTGAAGTATTTGCTCTTTTAGAAATGTGAGCTCTGCCCAATGAAGGAGGGGGCACTGAAACGAACAGATACTGGTGGTTAGTAGTTAACTCATTGATTTATTTAGTGATTTGTTTATTCTTTGCTTGATTCACTAAAAGGCTTCACCAATTATGAAGCTGCAATGTTCACTGTTAATGCAAAAGTTTTCGTAAAGCCCTGGTGTTCGGCTTCATGTAGTTATGCAAACGAAGTGTTATTATGTAGCTTTTAAGAATTTTTTTATAAACTTAAGTAAATTAGAAATCCTAGTTGCAAAGCTGTACAGTACTACGTCGAAGTGCATCTTTCAGCAAAAATTTTCACTTGCCATGTTAAATTTAAGTGTGATTTGAACGAATCAATACAAAAAAGTTTTAAAGTTTGTCAAATTGTTCCAGTTATATGGCTGTTTAAAGTTGACAAAAATGCTCCTTTTAATGGACCTTGTCAGTCATTTGAAAAGTCCGAAACGACTTACTTTGGGACGTCATGCAAGGAATTTCTCAATACAAGAAACATACGTTGGTATGTCAGAATTTGGCTTTACCTAGACTTCATGTCACGACGGAGAAGGTCCGTTGAAAAGTAACTTTAAACCTCCATAACAAGAAGACGATTTGACCAAATTAAAAAATTTTTTCATCCATACGTCAGACATTACACCTAGTTTTAATATCGCAAATAAAGGATTTTGCTGATGAGGGCGCTTTAAATAATCAGCAAAGCTTCATAAATTATACATCCAAATATTGCCAACGACGTGTCAAAAATCAAACATGACTACAGCAGTTGCTTTCACACATGACGAACCAGGAAGAGGGAAATAAAAGGCAAACGGGAACGAAATGACTGAAGATAGCTTATTTCGTGTTGAGTCATTTATTTCAATTTTATTATTTCATTGAAAACGTGCGTGATGGTTACTTAATCGGAAATGGTGATAGTATAAAATATGTAATTGCCTTAGAAATGATAAGCTCCTATTTACTCAGTATTACTACACAATTTCCTAGCATTTAAAAGTATTATAATAATAGTCTGTGTAATACCATGTTAAAGTTTTTTCTCGTGTGGATGCCATAGAATTTAGTGGGAGGACCGTGCTCCTCCTTGCACCACTCCCAGAAAATCTACCCCTGATAACTGAGTCTTCACCTAACTGGCCATTGTTGAAATGCTCGAACGTCACTCTCTTAAGCACGCCGTTCGTCATATATGTGAATAATTCTGGATTTTTTTGTCATAGGATGGGCACACGTCATCTGCGCTTTGTACATACCGGAAGTGAGATTTGGTAACGTGAGCACAATGGAGCCCATAATATTGTCCTCTGTACCTCACGAAAAGTTTCAGAAGGTTAGTCATATGTACAAGCATGGATAAAGTCTACAAGTCCACATTTTACATGTTTCAATGACCTTCTGCAATGAACAGAAGGTCATTGAAACATGAGCAGAAATATGTTTTTATTGACAAGTAGTCGAACGCATTTCAAGTTTTTGTGTGGATGCATATGCGTGGCTAACCTCTGTGACAATCGTAAATTGTGCGCGAGGATCATGCAACTAGCGTGACGTCATAATGCTGTGAAGCAAATTTAAAATGTACAGTCGCATCACGCTTTATTGACTACAATGTGGAAAGCACTACGAAAGCAGTTAGCACGCTTTTGAAACTCTGCAAAGCTTGTGTATCTTGAAAAGTCCGCCACATGGCAGCCTAATTCTAGGAAATTTTTTGACCTCGACGGAAATGTTTCAAAAAAAAAATTCAGTCGGTGGACAAAAAAGTAGCCCCTTGCATGGAAATTTCATGTTTATTCAAAGACAACGAATAGATATGTGTGACCGGATGAAAAAACTCGCTTATTTTAGTCTTCGCTAAACTAATAGAAAATTCAGTCTTTATGGTGGAGTTCTCTCGAAGACCCGCTGAAATATATATTTGACTACATGTTTGTGCTCGTTGCAAAGCTGTTATAAAATTTAAGGGCCTGCCAACAAAGATGTGAAATTTCTTTTATTAGCCGTACTTGAACCGACAGTAGAAGGATACGTGCATGAAAACGATTGTGGCTATTTTTCCTTTTTTCCAGCGCATATGTGATTGATAACCTTGCAAAACAATATTAGCACGATGCCTGCCGTTTCGTAAATTTTCTTTTCCTTTTAATCATGTGATTAAAGTTTGTAGTTGGCGATTGTCAAACTTACATTTTTGTTTCATTTTTATTCGACAGTAGGACTTCATTAGCTACAATAACATATCTCCAAGAATGACGAGCTATAAACCTACGTATAACGATGATTTTTTGTCCACCCCTTGTAGCTTCAAAGGAATTAATTAATTTGTCAAATAAAATAATACACTATATAACTTCTCCAAAATGAAATTGCAATGTCACTACTACAGAACGATACGGCTTTCACGTACTTAAATTATAGCTGTCTCAGCAAGTAACAAGTTCAAGCTAATGACCTAGAACCTACTCTACTACTTATAGATACGTATCTTTGCCAAAATTTTATAGTTACGAGAAGTGAACTCTGATCACCAGTTACGAGTGAGGCAAGATTGCTTTTCATGATATCCAATTGCAGAGTTGTTAGTCTAGGTTTGGTTTTTAAATGCTTGATGGGATTGGTTTTTTAGACTTTCTTTTAACTCAAATAAATTTTGAGTTTTGTGTTTTGTCACCGCTCAGATTGGCTTTTAAATCATTGGTTTAAGCACATGCAACAGTATGTTACCCAAAAGAGCTCGCAAAACTTGTTACTGACTATTGTGCAATATTTCAGTAACCTTATAATTTTGCCTGAAATTGTTTGCATTTATACCTGCTGCCAGGAAGAAAAATATAGTTTTTATTGGCATTCGCTAGGAAGACAGTTTATTTGGTGTACATTTATTACAACGGTAGTGTTCGTAAGTCATAATCAAGTCATACGCTATGAAGCTAGTTCATGCGCTATTCATGCGCTACTCATGCGCTACAAGGCCATGCAGTGTTCACAAGTCTGCAATATTATTATATTATTAGAAACGAAATGCAAGGTATCGAATGATTTTACAAAGGTATTTGTCGATCTGAAAGTTGTTGGTTGTTCGTTGCCGTTCAGTTTCCACATGAAATCATTGAACATGTATCTAAATTAAATTTTATTCGAATGTTGAGCTCAACAATGTTTCGTGTATGCAGTTCGAGGTTTTGCATGGGTTTCTTGCACATGATGAATCGAAACTACGTGAGGTGTATCCAATTTCGTGCTTCGTAATAAGAGCTTGTTGAAACTTGAAGGCAGTTTACTGATGTTGCCATATTGCCCAATTGTGAGGGCGCAATGTTGAGTATCTTTTTGGATTGGAGTGTTATCGGATGCTGCCGACGTTGTAATGTTTAGTTTATCACCAGTATGAAAATGCAAATCATAAAACGAACGTACGTACATTCCCTGCATGAGGTACGTAACAACTTTCTAAATGCTGCGTTGAGTGAAGAAATCTTTCATTGCTGTAGTAGCTACGGTATAAATTTGTTGTATGCAAATAGTACTAGATATATATTTATATATATGTTATAAGTGATATAGTACTAGTTTTATGTAAACTTATATTGCTTAGGTAACTTGCCGCATGTATTCAATGAAAAATCATATAGCACTCATAATACAATTGTTTGCATTAAAAATATCGATTCTTTCAGGCAACTGCTGAGTTGTTAGAAAAACTCAGAGTTGCTAAAACTTCACGACTTCCATTACACTATTCCTTATAAACTTGCCTATTTTATATGTTGCGCGTTACAAATTTTACTCTGATCTAACATTTTACCTTAAAATGTTTGTAGGTGTAGATCGTCCAGGTTAGTAGAGTCCTGAGTCCTCGATGTTGATAGTCAAGTGAAGAGTAAACGTGAGGTTTGCATGCATGCATCAGAGAACAAATACGGCAAGCTTCACGTTTACTCCTTACTTGATTCTGAAAATGATTACCGCTGAGATTGTCGAAACGTCAGTCAACATCAACACCAACAATCCTTCCCAGGACTTTCCTAAACTGTACGATCTATACATCTACAAACATGTAACGATACTCCCGAGTTCAAATCACTCGCTTTACTATTCTTACAGTTACCTAAATTTACAAGACAAAACTTCACAGGATCGAGTCATTCAGTCGTAGTGTAAACTTTCCCGGGGGTGTCGGACAATACCTCTTATTATGTTTAAAAATTTCGTAAAGATCCATTTATCAAACAACGTCGCAGTTATGTTTAATTTACATTTGAAATGACAAGTTTTCCGACTTTCACTGTATCATTTCCACGAGGTATCATATTTGTGTGTGAGTTAACGGCTGTTGTGTGTTAATTAACGGCTGTTGTGTGTGACTTAATGGCTGTTTTGTGTGAATTAATGGCTGTTGTGTGTGAATTAATGGCTGTTGTGTGTGAATGGCTGTTGTCTGTGAATTAATGGCTGTTGTGTGTGAATTAATGGCTGTTGTCTGTGAATTAATGGCTGTTGTGTGTGTTGTGTGTGAATTAATGGTTGATGTGTGTGAATTAATGACTGATGTGTGTGAATTAATGGCTGCGTGTGAATTCTTACTTCCTCTGGAAAATCCCCATTCATCACCCACCATCACCATAGCCATGTATTTTGTGTTTGGAAAGTCATTATAAAAATATCATGAGTGGCTGCTACGAAGCCGACGGAAACTTTTCTTATGACAAAACACATTGTAGGATTTAATTTTTAAATACAACATGTTGATGTATTGAATTATTAGTCAGTGGTTGCGCGAAACTTTGCACTGTCCTATGATCCCTGCTATTGTCGAAGAGAACCGAACCATTGTTTAACGGTCTTTTTTTGCAACAATAACCAGGACAATGGTGAAAGCAATGGTTTCGTGCTGCATAATATGCGTCTGATTGGATAAACGTCTTTGTCATTTTCTTCTAGACATGTTATTTGTGCGAAGAACATGGTCGAGAAAGCAAGACATCTGCTGGAGCTTGTATGCAATGTAATAAAGTTGGTTGTAGACAAGCATTTCACGTTACATGGTGAGTTTTGTTTACGAAAGACCTTATTAAAAGAATGTGTACGGTAGCTATATTCTTATCTCCTTCCTCCTCTAGTGCCCAGGCCGCCAAGCTTCTCTGTGAAGAGCAGCAAGGTGTATCGGCGAACACTGTAAAATATGTTGGATATTGTTCATATCATTGGAACAAGAAGGTATAAATGATTAAATTTTAGGTTCTTGTTGGTCTTTGTTCTTGTCTCAAATAATTTTTGACCTGTATTTTAACAAGAGCGTTTGAAATTTAGCTTGAATTTACATATAAGGACTACAAGTTGCACGTGCTAGCTGCTGCCTACGTCACTGAGTGACAATATGGATGATTATGTTGGTTTATAGTTATGCTGCATGTACTTGTGCTCGAAAGCCTCGAATTGTTTGAAGACATTTTCTCTTGCACCAAACTCTAGTGTTTGCAATGATACATTTCTGTGGCGTTCCATTGTAAATGTTTTTTTTTGGAGCAGTCAAAAAATTTCACTGTTAGCCTAGTGTTGTCGTAGTGCCAACTATAGCTGCGCGAATTTTTTGTTCTTAGCTATTCAAAACCCATTGCTCAAAAACTCTTGTCGGAAAGTACATGGGAGAAATTTCAATTTTAAAGTTTCCTAAGTGCGCATAATTTATTTTGCACATGGTTTGCAGTTAGTTTAGGCACTTGCACTTGCCGGAAGTAAAATTGCCTAGCTTTCGCCATATTTCGAAAAAGCAAGCAAATATATAGCTTTAAATGGTGGAAAGACAAATTTTCTGTTGTGTTTTCTTATTCATCCAAACCTTTCCACGCATGACCAAAAGAAAGTTCATCGGGACATTGAACGACGATATGTCCAGACTCGTGCCAGCTTGCATACAAGGACCATCATGTCTACCCCAAGGTCGCCTTCCAGTTATATATTCAGTTCAGTTTGTACAGTTCAGTTCGATCTTTGCATTATACAGGGGTGCATTTTTGAACTGCCCGTCTTGAATATGCTGTATTGTTGAGATTTGAGTTGTGTACTCAAAATAACACGACTGTAAAATAAAGTTTCTTTTCAAATTCCTTTCAAGGGAAAAGGCGATATCGTTCCTAGACCGAACGAAAAGGCCAGGTCAAAGGCGGAAGGGAGAAACCAACCAGTTCAAAAACCAGACATCACCAAACGTCCTTCGGTTATCGGCACGATGAAATCCAGTGAAACACCTCAGCAGGCGAGTTCGGCCAAACCGAAAAATCGAAAACCTTCGACGAAAGCATCAGATGGCTTCGTAGAAAACTCATCGGGAAACGAAGGCGCAAGCTTCTCAGATCCCCATCATTACATGAAAACACATAAGATCACGTCGCCTTTGAACACGCCGTCCTCCCGAGATCACGTGATCGGTTTTCCCGGCATGGTGCCTAACCACTTTCCTTTCCCGCATGGTCATTCCAAGACGGAGAGTACAGGGCATACAGTTAACACGATGGGGATTTTCCCACCCAAAGGCGATGCGTTAGCCGAAAACAAAATGCACAATGATGGCTGGCGTGCGCATCCAAATCCGCCGTCTGTCGTCGCTGTTAAGAAAACAGACAAACATCAAGAGACGACAGTGAATGGAGGAAAGAATTCGACACACGGTGAAACGAAGAACGGCAGCAAAGGTAGCACTGCCGGAACTATCAGCAAGAAACGCAAGAGCGCTAAATCGAGCGGTACTGACGAGGAGGGAAAGAAGAAAACGAAGACTAGCGCAAATCACGAAAGGAAAAATTCCTCCAATTCGTTCGGCTCCGTCGGCAAAGGAAAGATGCCCGTCTTACCTCCGTCTCCTTTCGTTTCCAAGTCGATTCCCATCGTTCGCGATGTGTAAGTAAAACATGTTTTTTCCGTAGTGACGTCATTTCCTGTCTGTAATTTATTTCTCCGTGTCTTTGATCGTACAAGTAGAATATGTAATTAGAATACTAATACGTACTATTATTCCCCGTTCTTGATAAATTATTATGAGCAGTGGCGGATCCAAGCATTCGTCAAAACAAATTATAGCTGCTCAGTTTTGAATTCAAAATTCTTTCAAAAATCTAAGATGCTTGGAAATGTAAATCTATTCCAAAATGTGCTGCGGTAATTTTTTGAAGTACTGTAGATCTTCCACTGAATATTAGTGCTAAATGAATCAATCCCAGCCAATTTCTAAAAGCCCAACAGCGATTGCCATGTTATGATTTGGTTATCTTGGCGATCTTCAACTGCTTTATACGATGACTTTTACCAACCTATAAAGTTGCAGAATAGTAGTGACACTGATGATATTACTTTTATTATATGACAAGCGTCACTACACTCAAATTGGCTTGCTTTGATTGGCTCAGAAACATTTTTGCTGGTGCATTATTTTCCTTAATGGACCACGATCCAAAACGCGTAATTTTACAGTCAAATGTAAACAAACTTCGTACGTGCGAATGTGAGTCAAAAGAAAAACACTCGGAAAACAGTTAAACTATCCAGACGATAAAATTTGAAACGATTTACTTTTTACTGACAAAAACTAGAAAGCCAACCAGTACCAAACAGCAAGGACGAGAAAGAAAACAAGCTTTGCTTCAGGTCAAATAATGCCGTTTATTAGCCTAGCTCGCGCGGTCATTACTGAGAAATATCGGCCTCTGTTTTTTTGTACAATAAAGTTCGGTGTGATATTTCTCCGTAAAGTCTAGAGGTCGGTTAATAAGGGCTTAATAATCCTAATTTTGAAATTGATAGATAATTTTAGATAACTTTATCAGTAATGTAATGTACTAATAGTTTTCAATCCTTGTTTAAACAAAGTCAAAATGATAACTCATGACCGAAAAAAACTTCATCAAGACAGTGAACGATGATGAAGGACTTCGCCTCCAGACTTGTCCAAACAAAAAAAGCTGCAAATTTCATTTTTCAGCACATTTATTTGCCTCTAATGCATCGTGTTAAAGTTGTTCGACTCTGTCCCAGTTGAGATGTAACTCGGAGTGAATGAGTTACATTTAGACCTGTATAATTTTTGCTGAAGCATTACGTGTATCAAGTGATTTGGACTAGCTGGGAACGACGTGCGTTCTCAAAAAACCGTTCTCAAAAATTAGTCCTCCTCTCAATAATTTATACCCAGAACGCTTATAAATTATAGCAGCACAAAAACTTTGATCCCCCCCCTTTTTACAAATAGGTACTTGCCAATGATTTAGAACCCAATCCTCTAGATGTCTAACTACCAAGTCAAGGTGAGGAAAGGACGCCATCTTGAAAGGTGGAAAAAAGCAAAATGAAGAATAAGATAAAAGAAAGTTTAAAAAACCAATCCCATCAAACATTTTAAAAATCAAACCTTGGCCATCAACTTTACAACTGTATTCAGATATTGAATATTTTATGGAATACTGGTGTCAAAATCGAACAAATTTTTATTTCAGAGAAATCCCAACAAAGTTAGAAGATTTCCTCGAGTTTCAATGGAAACAAGGCGTGGAATTTCTCAGCCATCAGCCGGGATACTTGGACGGTAAGTTGCATTGCGGATGGCTACATCATTAAAAATATGACGCAATCTCCATGCGCGTATTTTATATTACCGCCATACTAGTATAAGGATATGACATATTTACAATTTACGTCAATGACTAAGTTAACTTGATCCATATGCGATGGACGACTGCTGACCATAAGTTAGTTTGCCTTGTTGGCTCAAGCTTTTGCCAGCGTTTTGTGATGTCGATGTAGTTTCGTTAATTTCTTCGAAGAGATTTGTTTGCTTTGACCAGTAACGTTACAGTTTCGTATACCGATCAGTTAATTAGAAACTGTATCCTTAGAACAATCGCACGCAATTCCGACATCGACTCATGTACCACTGAGGGAAAATGAATTTTTTTTTGTATCTCGATTTTTGAGGACAGCGCATGAAAATTTTCTCTGTCGAAGAATTTTGACGGCTGACAGAAGAAAAGCTGTTTTAGATCGGTATTAGGTAGCGTTATATTGAGATCCTTAACTTTTTTGATATGTGCGTTCACCCTCTTATTTTTTAATCTTATCCCTAATTTGTTGGTCAATAAAGCTCGCCCTTCCATAGCTTGATTAGATCATGCTGATTGGAGGTGGAAGCAATGTCACTTTCTTGACCAGACTGCGATGGTTTGAAGACCACCATCTATTTTTAAAGAACGGGCTGTGCCACTTAGCCAGCCCGTTGTTTAAATTACAAACGTCGCCGTAAATTTCCTTGGCCATCAATATACATCTGCACTGCCTGGCCGTTCCTAATTACCGGCACTAGCTTAATTTTTTTTTGTAATATTCCAAGAAAGGTTTGTTGAATAGTGTTATATTAAGTGAGACACTTTTATCTATGCGAATTTAAGTAGTCAAAAGAGTTGGTCTGCTTGAGCTGATAACGGTCGAAGGAACCACAGAGCAATAATTATACAATTGTGTTTGCAATGCTTATGCAGACCGAGGAGACCTTTAGTTGAACTCGAGAGCAGATCTGTGCAAGCCCGAGACCGAAGATCGAGAGCTCTTTCAAACGTCTCCGAGGTTTGCATTAGCCTGTGGAAACACCAGAAAATGTCTTCTGTTTCTTTGATAAAAAAACTCTAATCCAAAACAGATAAATTTAAATAAATATTTTAGTTGTTCCTCTAACATCTATTCGTCACTAATTTGCAAATTGGCTTTCATTGATTTAATTGATTTAGCTCAGATTTGTTGACTCATGTAACTGTTTGTTATATTTTTATAATTGTAGTTGCTTCGCTTTTATCTTGTCTTCATCAATTAAAACACGACAACGTGAAATTAGAAGCACGACTTGCCGAACTCGTGAAGCGTCGAGATCATTTGCTCTTGGTCAACTCTCGGCTCTCGAAGCCTTTCGATCAAACGTCGACGACCTCTGGCTCAAAAAATTCAAAAAATAACGAGGCAAATGTGGCCAACAACTTCAAAAGTCCATTTTTGGCAAGAACAAACCAAAGTGGCCTTGTCGGAAAATCTACGGAAAACGCCGTATCTGCTGTTGACGTATCTAAAGCAGACAAGCACGACGAGTTTTCGAAGCAACCGGATCCTTCTGTTGCGCAAAAGCAAAACGAGGTTGGTGCTGCAAAGAAAGAGCACCAACGACAAAAACAATTCTCGGAAAATTCCTCCTCGATAAAGGAAAATCATCAACAACATCAACAAGCACCACAGCAAGTCGAAAAGAGAAGTCCTGTGAAGTTGGATACGCCAGCGTTGAGCGTCGATGAGAGAATATCGAGCCCTTCCCGGGCAGGTAAAGGCTCGGGCGAAGGAAAAAATGCCGCAGCTTCCAACTCAAGTGGTGCCGGAGAAAATCCACCGAGCAGGCAGTCGCCAAAAAGTCGAAAATCACCGCAAAGCGGTGGGGGTGGCAAAAAGTCAAAAGTACAGGAGCAGTTGTATCAGCAAGAACATCAGAAATTGTTGCAACAACAACAACATCACATAAAACAACAACAGCTTAACAGACAAAAATTTCAGCCAGCTCATTTGTTGCCGGTAAGTGGTGTAAAGCATCTCTATTTCGTATTCTGTTGTGCCATGGTGTTGTTTAGATGTTCTGTTTTTCCATGGTCTTATTTGTATATTCTACTGTTCCGTGGTGTTGTTTGGATATTCTGTTGTAGCATGGTGTCATTAGGATGTTATATTATTGCATTGTGTTGTTTGGATGTTCAGTTGTGCCATAGTGTTGTTTGGATGTTCTGTTGCGGAATTGTATTATTTTTGCAAATTTGGTGCAAAACTATGAATAAATCCACTTAAAATCGGTGTTTTTTCATTGTCGTACGATTTATATACACATTGGCTCGAATTTATACTCCTGCTGTTCGTTTTTTTTACAAAAAACTGTTGTGATGATGAACACAAAAATATTTCTGCTGTGTGTATTTCGTCAAAAATGGTTGGGTTGTTCACAAAAATAGTTCACTTTGTCGTTGGCTTTGTTTGAATTTCGAATGGAGATAGCTAATAGCCCACATGAACTCATTTCATTTACATCTTTGATTGGCAGCTCAAGCAAGCTAACCAACAGTTCGGACAGCATTTTGCGCATCAGAATTCCCAACTAGCATTCTTCAAGTTGCCCGGTTACAATGGGTCCGAGCAACACGCAATGCACCAGTCCAAACCCGGTCAGATTACCAGCAGTCCCCAGCAGTTCAATGGGCAGCCTCTCCCGAGACAGTTTCCTAACTTTGTTCCGTATATTGAACCGGCTGGCATACACAACGTACGTATGCAGGGATACATGCCTCTCTATCCAGTAGAGAACCCACTAAACAAGGTTTGTTCTTATGGCCATTGTTTTTATTTTTTTCCAAAAAATCGATGTACTGCCCTGTGAGGAAGTGGCAAATATAGCTTAAGGCAAAATAATGAAGTAATATTGTGATGCCACATCGCAGTAGAGGAGCAGCTATATTCGATCACCGGCCAAAGAGCTTCAATAAAATCATGGACGCAGCAAGATCAATAGTTGTGGGAGAGGGTGACATTCTTATATGCGCGAAATGTCGAGAAAGTTTATTTAAAATTCACTGTATTCTACTGATTATAACCTGCATATTTGGATACCCCCTCCACAACTTTCGATTCTCTCTACGTCCATGATTAGAATTATGATTATCTTCTATTGATACACCGACATGGTGGCTTTGACGTCAATGCAATGACTTGTTTATGATATTCTAAAGAAGAAAAGCTTACAAATCAATTTGCTTCTAAGGTTTGTTTCCAAATGCAAAGTCGGGGGGTGAGGGGTATATTTTTTGTTACTTTTCAAGCGGGGGAGACTGTTAAAGTTAAAGGGCAAAAAAAGAGGCCCGGGACTTAAAAAAAGAAATGCGGTAAATGTTCAGTTTAAAATCTGTTGTCTAAAACTGGATGCACGAGTTAGTAATGGATAGCAAATGAACATTGTCCTTTCAATGAAATTCATAATTCTAGAAGTTGTTTACATATGACGTACGGAGATGGCGTGTGTGCATTGATTTCCCGTTTAAAAAGTGTCCATAAATTTTGCTAGAATTCGATTTTCGTCTCTTTTAGGCAGTAGAAGAAAAAATTGAAAGTTCTGGAGCGGCTATGGAAAAAACAGACAGAAGAAATTGAACCAAGGCCCGGGAACATTGATAATTGGGGGGCTATTGTTCATATATGCATGTTTTACTTTATCAGTTTCTATTGAAATCAATAGACACTTAGTAGTCATGCACGTGAAAACATTGCAATATGGCCACTAGCAAAAGTGAGTTTACTGCTGTTCTTAGTCACGTTTCTGAGTCAAGAAATTCGACTGAAGGCCATAATTCTTTTGAGAACTCTAGCCCGGGTCTTCTAGCTCAGAAAGTCACGGCAAATCTGCGCCAGACGATTCGATATTTGTTATTTAAAACGATTGCCAACTATTGTTCCGAAAGCCACAAAACCTTCTCAAACTAAACCTCGTCCAACTGAAAAAGGAAGAAGTTGGACGCCTTTTGTTGGAATTACAAAATGCTTGAAACCACGCAGATTGTTTTCTCAAGTAAACTCTCAATGCAATTGCAATGTTTTCATGCGCATTACCACTATAAGACTATAATGCAAGTTGTCTATTGTGTTTACAGATTATAACATATGAATATATGAATATAGCCCCCAATTACCAATGTTCCGCCGCCCTTGAATTAAACATAGCTCGTGAATCCTATGGGAGTGGAGCCCTTGTATCGCGCATCCTCTGACTATTTTGCTGCTCATTAATGCGGATTCTGCATTCTGTGGTATCTGCGTTACGATCTACTGTAGCTAGCCTGCAGACGTAGGTGCTCAACCTAAATTTCAAATCGTTTATTTGTTTTGAAACTGATTGTCAGAACAGTCAATGAACACCAAAAATCCTGCATGGCCAGAAAAAACGTTTCGCCGGCCACTCTTTTGAAGATGGTTATTCAATGGCCAATCATTAGCAGTTTGCTTGGAAAGGGGTAGCTTAATTAGTTTTGTTGTCCATGCGATGAAATGACGACTTTGTCATATAAAACCCGTCGCTTACGTCTTCATCACATGAAATGTTGATTTTTAACACCAACTTCTTATATTTTATGCATGATGATTTAATACGAATGTGTGATTGTGACTGTGTCTGGGAGTGTTAACATTGCTTGCAGTAAATGTTCCAATAAACGCCTCTTATCTAATAAGCACCTTCCTTCGAAAGCGAGTTTTTATTACACGCCTCTCTCTACTAATTGCTCCGTCTGTAATGGACACACCCACCACATTGCTATTAAATCAATATAATAGTGGGTTGTGGATTCTGCTCAAAAAACCGTATTATTAGTCTTAGTTTTGTTTGTTTTGTTCACACCAAATTGATAGAAATGATATGAACGCCACTCTGTATTAAACGCTTTGTATTCATTTGACTCCCCCCCCCTTCGAACTGTTTAAATTTAATAAACGCCCTGGTCGTTTTTAGATCATGTACGTCATCTCCCTCGTTAGTAAATATCTGCTTCCTAAACTTTTTAATGGCATTCCTTGCTGAAATGTCGGAAATTTTTCGGTTCTTTCCATTAATCCATGCATTTTATAATGGACGTTCATCAATATCACTAATACCATTTAGTCAATAAATTTTTCCATACTTTAACATTTGTCAATCGTAGCCTCGCTCAATCTTCAAATCCGAAAGACAAAAGTCCTTTGATCATGATCCGACCATCTCAGCGATTGTTAAAGAAAAAGTGGAGAAAGGGAAAAGAAAAATGGAGCAGACGATTGAACGAGAAAGCAAATGAGGCAATAGTTCATTCTCCTTTGTTTTCTCCTGCATGTATCTCCTGTCTTACACTACTTAACTTTAATACTGAATTCTAATTTCATTTAAAATTTCGAGATTACGGCATGTCGAAAAAGCCCAGCCTAGTGAAAAATTTACTGAAGTCATAATCTTTTTCAGGAACGAATCTATTTTGTTGTACTTCCCTTTGTTGTTTGACGACAAATAATTACGTTTTAAAATGAGTAAACCTGTTCAGGTTCACCACAACCAAGAGAGCCCTATGCCACTGTGTACAATAACGACTTTTTCATATTTCGTTTCCTATATGAATGACGACGTTTTGAAAGATAGAAAAAGTAGATAAACGTAGATCGAAAAGTTGATACAAAAGTAGAAGCAAAGGTAGAGAAATTGGTAAACACAAAGGTAGAAAAGAAGGCATATCAAAAGGTATACAAAACTTAAAGACAAAGATAGACAAAAAGGTATCGAAAAGAAAATAGACAAAACGGTAGACACCAAATTATGACAAAAAAGTAGACAAAAAAAAGAGACGCACCACACGGGTTGTCAAAAAGATATTTCAAAAAACGAAGACATGGAGGTAGATAAACAGGTACACCAAAAGGTAAACACAAAGGTAGATAAAAAGGTAAACTCAAAGATATGTAGGTAGTCAAAAGGTAAATTTAAATGTAGACAAAAGTTAAAGAAAAAGGTTGACAAAATGGTGGATAAAACAATAGACAATAAGACATGAAGGTAGACACAAGGTTGGAAAGAATATAAACAAAAAATAATCATAAAGTGGACAAAAAGATAGACAATTATGTAGGGGTGTGTGTATTCATACAATCAAAAGTCAGACCCGGTTCAGTTAAGTTTTTTTGAAAGTGAACTGGCTTTTAAGTCTTACTTACTGCCCTACTGTTGGTGTGAATGTGTATTTAGGTAATTGGTTCTGTAGTGATGTGTACTGTATTTGCATGTCATTTATGTACATTATATTTAAAATAATTTGCGCAACAGGAAGAACATATTCCCAACAGCGCAACTCGAGCACAATGGTGCTGCATGGCAGGGACTTTCAAAAGATGATGAACCTACTATATTTTCAGTTAAATGACAATCAATGGACCGAAAGAAAAATAAATTACATCAACTTATAAATTAAATAATTCTTTTACAACAACCAAGCAATAAATAAAAAAAACACTCAGTTGCGAGAGAAAACATTATCATAAAACATACAAATAAGGTCCTGTAGGATTCATTTGTGTTTCGTTATACTAAAGCATATAAAAGTGCAACTATAAAACAACCCATGCAGATCAAATGGGAACTGAAATCAACAACAAAAAATGCAATGGCAGAGCAATAGAGAAATTGAATTTGACCAAGGAGCGATTGAGGACTTGGGTACAAACTGGTTAACAGCAAGAAGTGTAGATAACATACCCACGTGGAGAGAAAACCAAGTTGATGTTAATGAAGAATAAAGTAGTGACTGGAAGGGTGCTCGACGAGAATGACACGCAAATTATAAACTGTACACGCGAAATTACATCAACATTCAAAAGAGAAAAAGCTAACATTGGATAAAACTTATCAAATCAAAGCATTTGATAGCCATGCTGTTTAGATAGAAAATATCACATCGAGTGCCAGTGTAATGTAACAGACAAAATATTGTAGAACGCCGTCCCAATATACACAGTGGTTTCTTACAACTGATTTACTGTCTTTATAGAGATGAATTTGGATATAACATTTGGACATTGAGGAGCTATGGCCGCGTTTAGGAAATAATAGCTACCGTGAAATATGTGGTAGAGAAAAGAAAATTTAATTATATGGTTGATCATTTCACCAGTTCTAGGAGTCGCACCATATTAATCAAATGGCAATAGCAAGATTTAACATTGGAACGATGGCAAATTGTATTACCTATTATATCAAAGATCATTTGCTCATAGAGGAGCAAGCAAATAGAACTCGTAACATCATGCAAAGACGCTATTTACAGCCAATTCCTGGAATGTTTCAACAAGATATATGGCTGCTTCAAAGCTTGATCCACAGGGATCAAGCCAGCAATGTGTCATCCTTATATTCAACTACGACATACGACATTTTAAGTATATTCAAACTAGCTTTGACAACAGCCGCTAAAAGAAGATAACTATGATTGTATATCTACCTATAGCTAGTAACTACAAGTGTATTTTTATTGTGTGAACAGATTTATATTAACATTTATACTAAGCTGTCAATCTTTATACCTATACTCTTCTACTCCTTATTTTAACCTTTATGTTTTTTTTTATATTTTCCTCTCTAAACATTCTACAATCCTGGTCAAGCTATTAATGGCCATTTTATTGCATGAATTTGTTCATATCAGAAATATATACATTAAATTTTCCAACGACCTTCAACGCACTCTGTGGTTGAGTGGTGTAGTAGCAGGTTTTTCAGGCAGAGGTGTTAGGTTCGTATATCCTTCGGGGGTCAGTTGTATGTTGAGCATTCGACTTGCAACAATCGGGTGTGCATACTTGAGCGTCAGGATAGTAAAATAAACAGGTACAGCGAAGATAATGATGCGCATGAAGTGTTCAAATGGTAATCTCTTGCTGAGTTTTTAGAGAATGGAATGCGACACTGAGTATATTTTCAGAATAATTCGCTCCCCTAAGGGAGAGTGAAGCAAATAAAAAAAGAAAAAGGTCTGTTGCACAAATTTTTGCCTAAAAAAACTAAGCCTTTTGATCAAATTTTTCTATGACTCCCTACGAGTAGAGTGTCAAATTTTTTATAGTCAGGAATTTTGAGGGCAAACAGATCGCGCATACATCTCCTCCTAACCTCCCACCTGCACACAATCCTCAATCTACAACCCCATACCGTGAGCGACATCGGGACGAACCAAGGACCTCATGCATCGGAGGTCAGTGGTGGCCAGTCGAGCTATGCGCTCAACATCGAATGCTATCTGTTTTTTGGAGTATTTTCTAATTTTCTTAACTTTGGATAACATTTTTCCCGGACTTGGAGCAAGAATAATAAGATGGATAGGATTGTAATTTTACCCGGATTTACGTCACATTTTTCGCACCAGACTCCATAGGCGACTACTTCGTCATGAGCCAAGATTGCGGCAATTTTACGCAATTTTGTGGAATGATTCACAAGGCCTAACGTCAACATTTCATGGCCAATTCAAACAATGCTTTCACAACAATTAATCCAAGTTTAAAATTTATCGAAAAATATTTGTTCAAAAAAAATAAAGGTCAGGTGCACTACAAAGAAAGTATGTCTGCGATGGAGTCTGTTGCATGGTTCATTGCTATTGAATATTTGTTCGCAAAATTTCCAGAATGGCACTTGGGCTTTTCCATGTAGCATGTAGGTCATTCAAACGATATTGAATATAAGAGAACAGGAACTAACGCCTTAAGGCAGGCACAGCTGTTCACTACTTTACAAGCAATATTAAGTAACACTGGAAATGTTTCAGCATATCTTTCTTTACGACATTCCATAGACTGAGATAAATTTTTCAACAGCACGCATTTCCATCCTAAATTCGCTTAAATTCTTGGTGGTAAATTTTAAGCTTGTACATTATAACGATTATGCTTAAACCGCGGGACCCCTCTTGACCGCCCGAAACGCTCCGCCCTCCCCAATCCGCTCCTGTGCGCATGCACAGAGGTACTGAATGCTGAAGTAAATTTGCGTGCTTGCTACCAAAGATTGACAAAGTTACCCGCCTTTTAAGACGCACATTAACTTTTTATCTTGTAACACGTTCCTCATAAAATTGTTCTTTCACAATTCGTTACATGGTAGAACACGATGCCACCTATAGCAACCAAACGGTTTCCGACAACGCACGAAAATATGCACGAGCTACGGTCACCACCCCCTTAAGAAAATACGCAAATCAAAGACGATCTTTTGTACATTATATTACATGCACAATGTTACAAAGAATTCAGTTTTCTGTGTAAGAGATTACAGATTAATATGGGATATATAAGGTAAACACGTCGATAAAGCTGTAGAAATAAACAATTTTACCAAAGTTGATTTGTTAAAATTACAACAACAAAAAGAGTAAAAGGTAAGAAAATACAACCGGTTATATTCACGAAATAAGATGGGGGTAGCAAAAGCAAGATAAAGAAAAAATGATCAGAAATGAAGACGTCGAGGTGAGCCAAGTTATTTCCTCTGCTGGGCTTCGACTTGGGCAACGATTTCGCGAATTTCTGTCTGTACTCCCTGAAAAATGATTTTTCAATAAATCTTTTTACATTTTCTTAAGAAAAAAGAGAAGATTCGTATCAGAATCTACACGACAATCTCAGGGCGCACATTCAGGAGTGTTGTGTGGGTGGAGGAGGAAGCGTAACACCCCCTAACTTCTCTGAAATATGAGTAAAAGTAGGTCGAGAAAACCGATAAAGGCAGCATGACGAGACTTGGTAATTTATACTACCAGATCCGCTCTGATGTGCTTGGACATTCCTAAGGACTAAGCCATGCATTATCGAACTAAACAAGTGAATTGAATTCTGTATGTAGAACTTTTCTCGGGTACTTTTAAACTGAAGACAACTGTACAGTACAGTTCAAGAAGCGGTTCTTGATGATAAAACAAATAGTTTGAGGATAGTTGCCAAAATTTTGGGGTGGTAAAACAAGTAGTTTGAGCATGAAAAGCAAATCAGTTTCATACATTGAAAAGCCATTGTCTCCAATGAAAATACGGCCTGTCAATGCTTGAAACCAATTTCAACTTCATTAAAATACTGTTTAATTTACGTATGGAGCAAACTAATTCAATATGTATGCGCAACTCTGTGCGTTCCGGTTTTTTTTAGGCACACTGTACACTATTACAGTTGCGGGGCACTCTACAAATACACTCCAGCAAGTGGTCGATATTCACCTGACTACCAAGATAATCCGAGACCACGCGGACGATGACCTCAGTTTCCTCGGGATCAATAGTACGCGGGACTTCAACGAGAGCCCTGTGTCGTCCTTGCAATGATCTTACCTATAATTACAGAGACATAATACTCTCTCCTTATTTCTCCGCAGATTATCTATTCAGAATACTTGGTTCATGGTTGTTAGCACGAATCTACATCAATCCGTAACTGCAAACGACGCAAACAGTTTTCTCTTCGATACGAATGTGTTAAAGGGCAAACACAAAATCAAGCCATTTTCTCTACTCCCAAAAGAAAACCTTTCGTCGATGTCAAGAACGCCTGGCTAGGGCTTAGGTGGAAAATATTGCCAAGATGGCATGGCGACTCGCAAAGTACAAGCAGTCAAACGTAAATTTGCTGAATTTGTTTGCTAAAAGTAACACGACCAAATCTTTTACAGCATGCTGTCAGCGCTCAGGGGATCCCGGCAACAGACCCGTTGGAAGCTCGATAAATGTGGGGGAGGGGAAGGGGGGTTCATATTCATACATGCACGTTGAGTCACGAGCAAACAATTGACTTTACAAACAACTGAATCGGGCAATAGCGGCATATCATGCATATATGAATTTGAATACCCATCCCACCCTCAATTATCGATTTTGTTATAGCCCTGGGGCCGGTTGCACGAAGCCTGGATAGCGTTAACCATTGGATAGCAAGTTTTTAAAACTTTTATAAAGCCTTTTAAAAAGAAGAAAAAATGTAAGATTCGAACTGAGCAATCACTGAAATAAAATATTGTTTCGAAGATTACGAAATTTCTTTGTCGTAAGACAAATAGAAACACCTTTTTTACAAATTTGAAAATTTGTGCTATCGAATATACAGAAGGTGACTCGTATCGGATCCTTTGATGTTGTTGTCCTCGCGCATGCTGTGCCGCGCATAGTGGACGCCATTATTTCAGCAAGTTGGTTCGATGAAGGTTTTTCACTTGTTCCCAATCACTAAAATGACCCAACGTCGTTTCTTATATTGAAATACTTTTGATTTCACGACGAGTATATGACGTCATGTAATTGCAGTGGTCGGAAACAAGTGAAAAACCTTAAGTATCTTTTTGGAATAATGGCAGCCATGAGGAAGCGGTGCACATCTGAGTGACCCTTCTGTATAATTATCATTCTGTGCGTGCTGTGTAAATTTCAATTCATTAGCATAGTGCATCTCTTTAGAAATTTATTGTTTTTCTCAGTGAGAGAACACCAAAATATTTACATAGCAAGACGAAACTTGCGGGCTGGCTACGTCACTGCCTGTAGGTTTGGAAATGCCATGATCATCGTACGTCAAATTTACCTTAGATCCTCGTTTACCGATTATTCGACCTACAGCCTCGGGTGGAATTTTGATTTCAGTACGAAGTTGGACAGTTTGATTGGGATGACCAGCAAATCCTTGTTCCTGTATCTTTTGAAAAATAGCTCCTTCGGCCTACAACAACAGTCGTAAATATTGATTTACTTTATGATCGTATTGACTTACGGAGCATTCAAAATTTCTCTTAAAAAAAAGTATTGATGAAAAAGAGGCAGAAGACAAAATACTCAATTTACAACATTATAAAGTAGGCTGGAGAGGGTCATGGAAAAAATCGAAAACAGCGGAGAGAAAAAAACAACTTGGAAAACCAATTTTTATCTCAAATTGGGAAAGCTTTTGTTCTGACAAAACGGGGTCCTGGCATTGGCTATGGGATCCTAATGGGGTCCACATGCAGCGCCAATTTCCCTTAAAATACTAATATAAAAAACAATTAAGAAAACGCAATTGTGATTAGAGTTAATAAAGAAAAATTCCAAAAATCTTGCAATCATAATAAGATTTCAGGTCTGACTTGCTACGTATAGAAGAAGCCACCGTAATCTCATCCAAACTAGAGCCCCCCCCTCCCGCAAACCATCGCTGATCCATCCCCACCCACAAAGCAATAGATATAATACATGGTGCCATTGCAAGCGGTGCTTGCATTTAAAACAAAGATGGACCACTAAGTTTAAGTGTTGGTCCAAACTCCTCTTTTTATGTTAAAAATTATTTTCGATCAACTAAAGAGAAAGCAGATTGTTTTTAATTCTTAAATTACCGATTCTTGTTTTCGAGGAAATGGAAACGATGTGTTTATGGTACTGTACAATTGTTCATGGAATAAACTTATTTTTTACTCACCATGGATAACTGATATGGATAGCCGCGGAGCTCTACAAGGGTTTCCATGGCATCTTCGTCACTATTCAAGACTTGAACTGAAGCACCAGACGACTGTCTTATACCGTTCACGACGGAGCCTTCGCGACCAATAATAGCACCGACAGAATTCTTTGGAACGGCTATGTGTATTTTTTCAATCTACAAATAAACAACAGACACTCATCGAGGTGCACAGTCGTGCAGATTTCCTTTGACCACCAGGATCGGATTAACCAATGGGTAAGACTGGGCAGCTGCCCAGGGGCCTTCACAAATAAGGGCCTCCACATTATTCAAAGGACAATTAAACATTGTTGCTTTACAGAACAAGGAAAAATATTTTGCTTATTCGTTAGATCGATTTTAGTTTATGAAGATATAGTTTATAGTTTTAAGTTTATAGTGATATTTGTAGCAAAGTCGAGGAATGTATTTCATTATCTTTTGTTGTATTGTGCACTTTATTATTGAATCAAACTATAATTCTACAGCCTTAAAAAGCAGCGTGTTCTCCAATGTACGTTACACGTTAGGTGAACTAGACACAGTCACAGCACCTTACGGTCAAACACGATAAATGAGAACTGTGAGGCCCAAAAAGTCAAGGAAGATCAAATTTTTGCCTTATAAAATATATCACAAATGTTCTTAAATTATAAACTCTACCCAAATAGATTATTTCCCAGAGGGTGATATAGGCACTTTAACTTTGACGAACTTATCAAAGACTGCCGGAATCAAATCCCATTAAGTACTCTATCCCAAGTAGCATTCAATCATCGAATGCAAATGCTTTACACGCTATCTTCCAAGTTTATACTTTTATCAGATGTTTTACGAAATTTATATTTAAATTTTGCTGTTGGAAAAATTGGCAGCCCATGGCCTTTAGAGTAAGGGAAATGGGGCCTTTACGTATTTTTGATGCCACGGGCCTCCACACATCTTAATCCGGCCGTGTGCCTTTGACTGTTTGTTGTCGTTTTTCTGGTCTGAAATAAGTTTCATTTCAGCTTCATGCCTGTTTAAAAAAGATCATCAGCTATTCCTGCGCACGCACATTCGGCCGCTTAGCGTCCTTCCATAGAGAGGTTGTTCTCAGCTTGGTCCAGTTTTCCGGAAAAAAGGACAAGACTACAAAAAATACTAAACTAACCAATCCTTTAGTATTATGTGATTCCACGTATGACCATTAAAGGAGTTGGGCACGTATGATTTCAGAACATATAATGGTCTAACGTTATCACAAAATATCCACCTTCTTGTTATAATTTATCGTATTCACGCGCCCTGGGTTTTAGTAAATTTCCAATCATTAATTTATTCACAGCAGTGTAATGTACGAGAATTTGTGAACACAATTCTATTGTAGAAGTCATTAAGTCATTTTAAATGGACTTTACAATGCAATCAAAAACACTGTGGTAAAATTTCGTATCATAAAAACTTCAAATGAAATATGATTTGGTCTGACTGTAGCCACCAAAATATCATCCAAACTAGAGCACCCCCCTCCCCCTCCCACCTTACAGTACCATTGTAGATGATCGCCTTGACGAGCGCATGACAATTGCAAAGGACTTCAATTTTCATCTCTTGATGGCAATCATATCGGCCGAAAAAATACAGCACGAACCTTTTGACTTGATGTGTGGTGAGTATTTGAAGGAAGACCACCCATAAAATTACCAGGATTCATACCATTGGCCATATAAGCTGGAGGCTAGGGCGAAAAAAATGTAGCTACATCAAATATATTCAAATGGCTTTAGCTTTAGTAATAAAACCAAGATAAGTACCATTCCATTGAAACCACGTCCTCCGGTCAGTTGAGCGATCATTGCCATTAGATAAGGATTAGAAAAAGGTCCCATTACACTCTATAGCAAACATGAAACGTTATACAAGTAAAAGACCATATTAACATTTCAGTTGATGCAAGAACTACCTGTCCCATGCGACCATTCATGTTGGCCATGTTGTTCAAGTCGTCTTGATAACTCTTTCGAAGAATTCTACTGATCTCTTCTTCCGCGTTGCTACATTTTTCTACGGGATTCTCTAAACTGGGATCCTCGATCGTTATAATTCTTTCGTTGAATACGGGCGTCACGGGATCTCTAAATGAAAAATAATGGGGGCGGATGAAGTAAATTGAATTGGATTTCTGGTTTTACGCCAAACACGCCACTGTGTGAAGTGTTTTGCATGAAATCCGAACTTTTATAAACCTATATCAAAACATCTTTGTAGAAGCAGATCGTCCATGTTAGGAGAGTCCTGATACTCCCGGGTTCGAACCATTCACTTCATATATAAAAAATTAAAATTTAACATTCTAAACACCACACAAAAAGAAAGTCCCACCCTCATAACAAATTATTATAAGTCAGTCTCTAAAAGTCCAAATGCGATTGTAATATTTTGATATGGTAATCCGGGCAATCTTTAATCTGCTCTACACGATGACGATTACCAACGAATGTTTTCGAACGGTTAATGAAACTGACGACACTACTTTTTTGTGCTAATTTTGTTAGAAATTGGGTGGTTTTGAATTCAAGAGACGATACCGTTTTTAAACACCAGAGACCTCATTCCCCAAGGTAGTGAGCAAGTTATCTTAAGTTTAAGTAGCGCTGTGTTTAATCATTTGGGATTTATTCATTTAGAATTAAAAATATATCTGGGAGGGAGGAGAGTTTCCTTTTGTGTGGTGCTTATAATGCATCCAAAAAATTCAGCGGGGACAGCATTTCCTTTCGTCAATTCATGACTCTTTCCTCATTGTCGTAGCCGCCTACCTGGTTGCATCTATTTTGGTACTGGTCTTTACTTTAATTTCTTTTAAATTTTTGCCACCTTTGCCTGTGAAATTTAAATTAATGAGCAACGACATTCAATAAAAAACGTCGTTATTTTACAGAATAGAATAAAATAAAATAGAAGGGAATGGACGATAATGGATGCAATAGAATAAATGGAATGGAACGGTACAGAATAAAGCAGAATTGAATAGAATAGAATGGATTGGATTATAACGGAATGAAACAGAATGGATGGAATACAACAGAATAGAATAGAGTAGAATGGATTGGATTAGAATGGAATGAAGTAGAATGTAATATAATGGAGTACAGTGGAATAGAATAGAATGGAATATTACGGAAAGGAATGAATTGTGGAATAGAAAAGAAATGAATTGGAGCAGAAAAGAATAGATTGGAATGGAAAGAAACATAATGAAATGGAATAGAATGAAATATAATAGAATATAAGACAATGGAGTAGATTGCAATAAAATGAAATAGAATGAAATGGAAAAGAAAAGAAAAGATTGGAATGGAAAGGAATACAATGGAATAGAATACAACAATGAGGAGTGCAAAATAAATTTACAAAGTATTATTTTGCAGGTATGCACAGAAATTACAAGAATGCAATCTAAGTATTCGCAACGAACGAAACGATATTAATAAAACATCTGTTTACGAGTACCTAGGTGTTCACATGCATGTACACATTTCAATCTACATTTTAACTGTCAAATGTCAATTGCAGGTAGCGATCTTTTTTTGAAAAGAGTTTAGTGACGTGCACCCCAGAATTTCGTAATTCTTTTGGAATTGAAATGCAAAGGAATGCACCGCCACACATAAAACATTTCTACAAATGTACGTGTTTATGATAAATGAGACTAATTGAAAGGTTATAGACTGCAAGTTCACTAAGAGAAGAACGGAGTGAGTGAATTTGGACTAAGATTATGTAAAAGCTTATACATCCTTTTTACTTTGCCCTGCCCCCCATGTCAGTTTACCGAGAGAAGGTCTTTCTTTCCATTTCAGAAAGATGCTGCTTAATTATAACTCTTACGCTTTCTCAATTTCTAATTAGTGAAAGGGTTTGTAGTCAATTTTGATTTTTAAATCTGAGTCTGGTGTGTTTCCGATCATCGGTTTTGAGTCAAGTAGTATGAACTCTGTCTTAGCTACATCTACGTGGTTTCGAGTCAAGTAGTATGAACTCTGTCTTAGCTACATCTACGTGGTTTCGCGCCAAGTAGTATGAACTCTGTCTTAGCTACAATCTACGTGGTTTCGAGCCAAGTAGTATGAAGTCTGTCTTAGCTACATCTACGTGGTTTCGAACCAAGTAGTATGAACTCTGTCTTAGCTACATCTACGTGGTTTCGAGCCAAGTAGTATGAACTCTGTCTTAGCTATATCTACGTAAGCTGAGTTTGTTAGATGTTAGCCTCTTTTTTAAGGTTTTCTAAACCGAAGTTCACTGCATCAACAAGTTTTGTCGTGGACTAATTTGCACTTAATATATTTGTATCATTTGCAAATAGTCGAGCCTTAGTTTTGCTATGACACTGTACAAGGAAAAATAGTGCCCATAGGATAGAGCTTCGAGGTACCCTAACATGATTCTCCCGTCACGTGCACGGCATTTACACGACAATTCTACAGTTATTCTTGGCTCTGAGCATGGACCATAATTACGACCTTACAAAGTATATATTTATTGCGCCCAAGGGGTGCTTTATTTGAAAACATAGGCCGTTAAAGTTTCACTATTCTCGGAAATAAAAAGGCAAACATGTTACGTCACGTGTGTGACCAGGCCTTTTCGACTTGTGCCAGACTTGGTGAACATTGATGTGGCAAAGTAATGAAAAATACTTTTGAAAAACGATTGGAAAAACGCATCTTAAACTCGGGCTTATTTTCGGTATCCCGAGTAAAAAGGTACGTCATTTTATTGCGCAAGTATAACAGCATAAAATAGCACACGCATGCTGGTGAAGATTTTCAACATTTTTGACCTCAAACAGATGATGCAACTCAAAACTAATTAAAATTATCATTATCAATATGATTAAGCTGCAAACATAGTTATAACCAAAACAATTAAAATTCATAAAAATCAGAAAAACTTACCAATCACACGTCCCATGAGCAAATCCGGCGCAAGCATTCGCATGGGTACACTAATCTGTTCTTCGTTACTTTGAAAAATGAAAAATACGAAACGCACATTAATGCAGTACGGTCTTAAAGTCGTTTATACAGAAGACGATAAGTTTTTTGCAAACATGCGACAGTGAACAAATACGTATGAGGAAATATTTCGTTTTACAACTCCACGTTCGAACGATTTCTTTCCGAAATCAGAATAGAGAGCCGAAAAAACGACTAAAGTTCGGTCACTGAACGTGGTTCGCATGAAAAGAAGTCTGACTTCGCGTGAAGGCAACTACTGCTTTCATAGACTAACACAACCATCATACCCATCCAATTTTTTCTTCGTTTCTTCGATGATCTTCTGGTGAATTTCTCTAAATGCAGCACTGCAATTTTCCCCAGGTCTTTCGGACTGACCGGTTATAGTAACAGGCTTGGAAAACAAAAACAGGAAATGAATAAACCAAACGTGCAAAGTTTCCAGCAAAGGATTTTTCAATCGGGCAAGCGTACACTGCTTCAAAATAGGAAGCCTCAAATCGACTGTTTTGAAAAAGATCGTTTTTCTACGCATTTAAAATGTTTTTACTCATTTTCTCCGAGGCTATAGCTATATTACTTCGGATGTAATATGCAAGCCTACAATTAAATAATAACAAGATTAACTCTTTGTCTGATTTCTCTGATTCCAGCCATTTTACGAACATTTCTTGAAACATGTACTTTTACAAAACAATCGTGTCGTACTAACAAAAAAAGACATGCATGGTCGAAAACGAATAATTCATAGTTCATCCAACAATGTTCATTGGCAGTAACACAATTTTATATGAAAAGTAGCAACATTCCATCAGCTTCTGAATAAACAATTTTGAATAGAATCTAGATGCTCATAAAAATGCAATGAATTGACGAAAACCTACAGCATTGTAATCGGTGGCGAACACTAGGGGTAGAGTAGGGATAGGGGCGAAGCTTGAGCCCACCTCCCAATAGTTTTGAAAGATTAAAAATATTACGCCAAATCCCTCATATCACAACTGCATAACATAACCGTGATGTTAGATAATGACTACTTGATACACTTCTGTACTTTTCACGTACCAGCAGATGCATTCTTGTGAGTGTAGGAATATGTGCACAGGCAAACCTTGTGAGCGTATGATTATGTGTACGTAGGAATCCTTAAGTTAAATTTCCGAAGATCAAATGTTAAAAATATACCTATAAGGCATGTCCCAGGATCTTCCTAGAAATCTCAGGCTTGGAGGACCCTCCCCCCCCTCAATTAAAAAATCGTCCGCCACTGTTTGTCATCACGCTGCTTGAAAGGTTTGAAAAGCTGGCAAGTCACGATCATATAAGTGATATCTCAGGTAAACTGTGACGTTATGTTTAATGACCAACCTTGAAGCCGTTTATATTAACAGTTCTATGTACATCAATTCTGCAAGCAAAACAAAGAAAAAATCACTAATAAACTTCAAAACTGAGAGTTGCTTCAGATGGACGAAATACAATAGCATTCAGTTATTCAATAAAGATATTTATCATATCGAAGCATTTTTTTCTGGGTGCGTTGCAAAACAAGTTAATTGCACAAACATTTACACTTTGTGTATAGAGCAACAGTTAACCAAAGCTTTGTGCTCTCCAATACGATTCGCAAAAAGAGTTCAAAAATCACAATGCGCAATCTTTTCTATAAACTTCGGCATATTTCTAGCAGCCTTAAGGAAAACCGCAAGAAGCTTTGTTACAATAAATTCAACTGAACAATTAATCCGCGTAAGTTTCTGGGACATAAGTACAACGGCACGCAGGGATGGCTTTAGGGGAGGTGTGGAAAGAGGCACCAATTTCACCACAAAAATCTTCCCATCAAAATACAAAGGAACATAACAAAAAAGATTGACGTGGCACGGCAACACGTACAAGCAACCAAAATCTCATCCAAACTTAAATAAACTCTCCCACCCCAAAACGACCATACAGGAGTTGAAACAATTTACGTGAATGAAAGACGTACCTAGCATTCGTGTTGCTTGACATTTTACGGACGGCTTCTCCGCCTTTTCCAATCACAGCTCCGACCATGTCAGCAGGAATCAAAATTCTGTAACATCAGATTGAATGTCATGGCGATTGTGTTTGCATGTCAATTCGAAACTAGTCACTTTTTCTTTTTAGTAAATCCTGCTTGATGTTCACTTTTAGTATACAAAATCTTTAATCCAACACTAAACTGCTTCCAATTTGTAGTTCCGTACAGTAAATGAAAGAATGCACTTTAGAATTCACTTTGCAGGAAAATACGGGCATTCAAAAAGTCTATTAGCTTGTTTTTCAACGCTAATCGTGCTTAGTTGAGTCGACGACTAAAACGATTCTACTTTACAACGCAGTCACAAGTCATGAATTTAAATGTCATGTGTTAAGGCTAGGCGAGAGTGGTACAAAATTGGTTATCACGCGGGCGTAGAAAGTCAAACTTCGTTTGACGGCACTAAAATGAGAAGTTAATATGATATTTTCTTCGCGAATGATGTAATCGTACAACTGCAACGTGTTTTGTCCAGCATGTGTAATTACACTTTCTCGTCGTCCACTATAACATCTCGTCATCCCATCGGGGCACATCCAAAAGAACTGGGGTACTACGCTCTGTGTCCAATTTTTGTAAAGTACTTAATAGAAAGATAGCCATTATTTCTGCTGGACCAACTTTTTCTTCCTCTGTCATTTCTGAACCGACTTTTTATAGATAATTCATAAAAGCTGGGATAGTTCAACCGCCTACACCCACCCCCGGATTCACAACAAGGTTCATATAACACATGGCTACAAGATGTAAATACATATCTCATACACATATATTTTCCATTCATCGGCAACGGGTGTGAAAATGATGACCATTTAATCATCGAGTCTCAAAAAACACTAACCTCAAAGGCATGTTGGCATGACTGTTTTGACGATTATACCGCGGTCTGTTCCTCCCACCGGCACGAAGTCGCTGCTTCGCCATGTCATCGTAAGCGGGCTTACTCTCTTCCTCGAAGTAAGCTAACTATGAAAGGATGATCAGAAGTGAATTACGTGGTCAAAAACACTCGCATTTTTTAAGTGCAAGTATGCAATTGATCATCTACGAGATATAAATTCCAAAATTGATATAAAAGCCATGTAAATTGTTCAAGGAGAAAGCAAAATGCATTCAGATGGTAGTTATCATAGCGAGAGTGAATTTTACAATCCAGAAAGAGTGAACTTCAGTGGAGAACAATCTAATTTCAGTCTCAACAAGCCACATCGACCATTTTGCAACGTGAATTGCTTCATTATAAAAATAACAAATCTCAGTTTAGCAATCGTGGTCAGTTCAAGACGATGGACACTTTTGTTAACGTAGCAGGTTATGCAGATACTAAGCAGAAAGCAAACTTTTAAGTCAGTAGTTAGAAAAAAATACAAATAAGCAAGGCAGGATACAAAAGCATAAGAAAGGCAAAGAAGAGAGCTCATTCAGAGGCGGACTCTAGGGGCGACGAAGGGGCGGTTTTCTGTAAACGTACCAGGAGACGCATTAAAACTTGTGTGTGCAGGATTATGGGTACGTAGAATCCTTAAATTAAATTTCCGGAGATCAAATTTTAACAGTATACCAAAAGGTATCCCAGGGACCTTCCTAGAAATTTCATAGGTGCTCACTCACTAGCAAAAAAATAAATTTCAAAAACAATTAAGAGCGATCCAAAGGTACATAGCAGTACCAAAACCTGACTTATATTGTCACAAACTTTGCAGCTTTTTCAATTGCATAATTATTCAATCCTTTTCTGCATTCACACAATCATCGGAGTCAATCTTACGTTAATTGGAGGGGGGGGGGTCGAGCATATTGATATATTCTGTTATGCCAAGCTCAATTGGAAGTCGTTATTTTGTTCACTTTTACAAGCGCAACTAAAACTAAAAAGTAGCGATGAAACGTTGCACAATTTTGGCTACGACAAAATACACGGACAACCAACAATCGTTAACAATCCATGCTAAATGAAGTATACTTACTGAACAAGTACAATTAGAAGAACACTACGTGATTTCAAGCTTGTTCAAACACCGATGGAAAGTTTCAAATCTATCATTTTTTTCGTCATCGTATAACAAAAATTCGTAAATAGTTACTCCAGTAATTATGTCCGTAATGATATTAAGGACAGTTACTTGATTTTGCAGGCAGTGTATCTGTTCTTTTTGGGCAATAGTAGAGAGTGCTTTTCCCCAGGTTTCTAATATCACATCCACTCACCTCTAATCTGCTTCCATCAAAATCGATACCGTTCAAATCATCAGCAGCTCTGAACAACAATAACGGCGAGGTTAGCAAGTTTGCACTTTTTGATAAAGATAACGTGATGAATTTGGCCGGAACAAACATATGTTACGACTTCTCAAGATACCTTTTTGCGCAACTTGGGTCAGCAAATTCAACAAAACATGTCAACAAGGATTGGTCATCTAGAAAGCGGTAATAAAGAAAATAGAGAATTGCTGGCAGTAGAAAAAGAAGATACACATTAATCACAACGTAGTGACAAAACAACACAAGGAAAACTCCTTCTCCGCATTTCAGAATTTTATTCAAGCTGAATGAATGGAATGAATAAATGGATAAAAGAATGAATGAATGAATCAAAGAATAAATAAATGAAAGAATGAACGAACAAATGACTGTCTGAACGAATAAAGGAATGGATGGATGGATGAATGAATGAACAGCAGTTTATTTAAACACGCTTACAACGTCGACGAAAGCTGGTTTCCACGATGGGCGCGAACATGCAAAAAAATATACATTGATAATGTCGAAGTAAAAAGACAAAATGAAAAACAAACCAACTATACTACGTGTGAGAATGTTTACATTTGCTCGTTATGAAAAGCGATTTTTCTTTCAAATCGTGTGGCCGATTTACTTTTTCTGACATTAAATAGTACGGAATTCCATGCAAGAACACCACTGTGACTGAAGCTCTTTTTCAACATATTTGTACGAGGGATAGGCATAGGTAGGCAGACAGTGAAAGACAGTAGCAGATCCAAGACAGGTCACAATACATTACTGAAAATCAACTGTCATTTTAAAACACTTTATTCGGATTACTTTAGTTGTGTAAATATTCTTTAGAATTCGATAATTTATTATAGTACGGTAGATCCACCACTGGTGCCAGAAACATTTCAAAGATCGTAGTCTGGTGTTTGAATGCTTTTAGGAGCAAATAGATTTGAAGAGCATTTTAGACCTCGGTCGTTTAAACACAAGATCCGATTTGTCGGATCCTAAAGAACAGATCGTGTGAACAAATATGAAGTGAGCTTCGGCTAGTCGGATCCGTCAAACTGAAAAATCGGATGAAAATTGAACTTGCTCTCAAAGAAAGCCGACTAGTCCCGAGCCTCTCACTCTCAATACTTTCCAAGATTTGGTGCAAAACATTACATGTGAAAAAGACTTGGAAATAATAAAAATACGCAAAATATATTGATATATGTACTGGATAACATAATGTCTGCTCCCACGACTTTAAATATCTGAACGAATATAGATATCAACAAAATTATCAGACCGTCTGAACAAGCAACTAAAAGTCGGAACCGAAACAGTCGGATTGAACAAATCCGATCGTGTGAACGGGCCTTAAGACTTCATTTCTCTTTTTCGTTGTTATATTCAAGTGTTTGCCATCCCATTTTTATGAAAATATTTCCAAATACGTATATCCCAAATTTTACAGCAATAGTTAAAGAATGCTGTACAAAAGCGTTGTATACTGCAAGAAGTTAATCTTTGTCAATTTTTCTACACATTTTTAGTCGTCTAATAGCTCCGATACCTGAAATTTTCTCGCATTTTTCAATAGTCTTTCCCAGGAATGATTTCAATCATTATCTAAATCTAATGCTTTGCATTCAGAAACCTTTCTGATATTCCCATCACATACGTATTGCAATGTTTCTTTGAGAGGTCGACTAGAGACTAGTTCCATAAAGCTCAGATTTTGGGTACGTAGTTCCATAAGCCTACACTTCAAAGACTAGTTCCACAAAGGCGAGGAGGAAGTGCCTTACTCAAACAAAGAAAGTAAAACTATGTTTAATTTTCTAGCATTTAGACAATTCCTGTAGGAGTGAAGCCAGATTCAGATGTAACACACATGCTATCCCTGCATTGGCGTAGCTATCCTGCAGTTGTGAGATGTAACACACATGCTATCCTTGAGGAAGGTAGACAGACTGACAATTTAACACAAATCCTATCTCAACATTGGTGTAGCCAGCTTGCAGTTGTGAGATGTAACACTCATGCTATCCTTGAGAATGTAGACAGACTGATAATTTAACACAAATGCTATCTCAGCATTGGTGTAGCCAGCCTGCAGTTGTGAGATGTAACACTCATGCTATCCTTGAGGAATGTAGACAGACTGACAATTTAACACAAATGCTATCTCTGCATTGGTGTAGCCAGCCTGCAGTTGTGAGATGTAACAATCATGCTATCCTTGAAGAATGTAGACAGACTGATAATTTAACACAAATGCTATCTCTGCATTGGTGTAGCTATCCTGCAGTTGTGAGATGTAACACTCATGCTATCCTTGAGGAATGTAGACAGACTGATAATTTAACACAAATGCTATCTCTGCATTGGTGTAGCCAGCCTGCAGTTGTGAGATGTAACACTCATGCTATCCTTGAAGAATGTAGGCAGATTGACAATTTAACACAAATGCTATCTCTGCATTGGTGTAGCCAGCCTGCAGTTGTGAGATGTAACACTCATGCTATCCTTGAGGAATGTAGACAGACTGACAATTTAACACAAATGCTATCTCTGCATTGGTGTAGCTATCCTGCAGTTGTGAGATGTAACACTCATGCTATCCTTGAGGAATGTAGACAGACTGATAATTTAACACAAATGCTATCTCTGCATTGGTGTAGCCAGCCTGCAGTTGTGAGTAACACTCATGCTATCCTTGAAGAATGTAGGCAGATTGACAATTTAACACAAATGCTATCTCTGCATTGGTGTAGCCAGCCTGCAGTTGCGAGATGTAACACTCATGCTACCCTTGAAGAATGTAGACAGACTGACAATTTAACACAAATGCTATCTCAACATTGGTGTAGCCAGCCTGCAGTTGTGACATGTAACAATCATGCTATCTTTGAAGAATGTAGGCAGATTGACAATTTAACACAAATGCTATCTCTGCATTGGTGTAGCTATCCTGCAGTTGTGAGATGTAACACTCATGCTATCCTTGAGGAATGTAGACAGACTGATAATTTAACACAAATGCTATCTCTGCATTGGTGTAGCCAGCCTGCAGTTGTGAGAAGTAACACTCATGCTATCCTTGAAGAATGTAGGCAGATTGACAATTTAACACAAATGCTATCTCTGCATTGGTGTAGCCAGCCTGCAGTTGAGATGTAACACTCATGCTACCCTTGAAGAATGTAGACAGACTGACAATTTAACACAAATGCTATCTCAACATTGGTGTAGCCAGCCTGCAGTTGTGACATGTAACAATCATGCTATCTTTGAAGAATGTAGGCAGATTGACAATTTAACACAAATGCTATCTCTGCATTGGTGTAGCCAGCCTGCAGTTGTGAGATGTAACACTCATGCTATCCTTGAGGAATGTAGGCAGACTGACAATTTAACACAAATGCTATCTCAGCATTGGTGTAGCCAGCCTGCAGTTGTGAAATGTAACACTCATGCTATCTTTGAAGAATGTAGACAGACTGATAATTTAACACAAATGCTATCTCAGCATTGGTGTAGCCAGCCTGCAGTTGTGAGATGTAACACTCATGCTATCCTTGAGGAATGTAGACAGACTGACAATTTAACACAAATGCTATCTCTGCATTGGTGTAGCCAGCCTGCAGTTGTGAGATGTAACACTCATGCTATCCTTGAAGAATGTAGACAGACTGATAATTTAACACAAATGCTATCTCTGCATTGGTGTAGCTATCCTGCAGTTGTGAGATGTAACACTCATGCTATCCTTGAGGAATGTAGACAGACTGATAATTTAACACAAATGCTATCTCTGCATTGGTGTAGCCAGCCTGCAGTTGTGAGATGTAACACTCATGCTATCCTTGAAGAATGTAGGCAGATTGACAATTTAACACAAATGCTATCTCTGCATTGGTGTAGCCAGCCTGCAGTTGTGAGATGTAACACTCATGCTATCCTTGAGGAATGTAGACAGACTGACAATTTAACACAAATGCTATCTCTGCATTGGTGTAGCTATCCTGCAGTTGTGAGATGTAACACTCATGCTATCCTTGAGGAATGTAGACAGACTGATAATTTAACACAAATGCTATCTCTGCATTGGTGTAGCCAGCCTGCAGTTGTGAGAAGTAACACTCATGCTATCCTTGAAGAATGTAGGCAGATTGACAATTTAACACAAATGCTATCTCTGCATTGGTGTAGCCAGCCTGCAGTTGCGAGATGTAACACTCATGCTACCCTTGAAGAATGTAGACAGACTGACAATTTAACACAAATGCTATCTCAACATTGGTGTAGCCAGCCTGCAGTTGTGACATGTAACAATCATGCTATCTTTGAAGAATGTAGGCAGATTGACAATTTAACACAAATGCTATCTCTGCATTGGTGTAGCCAGCCTGCAGTTGTGAGATGTAACACTCATGCTATCCTTGAGGAATGTAGGCAGACTGACAATTTAACACAAATGCTATCTCAGCATTGGTGTAGCCAGCCTGCAGTTGTGAAATGTAACACTCATGCTATCTTTGAAGAATGTAGGCAGATTGACAATTTAACACAAATGCTATCTCTGCATTGGCGTAGCCAGCCTGCAGTTGTGACATGTAACACTCATGCTATCCTTGAGGAATGTAGACAGACTGACAATTTAACACAAATGCTATCTCAGCATTGGCGTAGCCAGCCTGCAGTTGTGAGATGTAACACTCATGCTACCCTTGAGGAATGTAGACAGACTGACAATTTAACACAAATGCTATCTCTGCATTGGTGTAGCCAGCCTGCAGTTTTGAGATGTAACACTCATGCTATCCTTGAGGAATTTAGACAGACTGACAATTTAACACAAATGCTATCTCTGCATTGGTGTAGCCAGCCTGCAGTTGTGCGTTGTAACACTCATACTACCCTTGAAGAATGTAGACAGACTGACAATTTAACACAAATGCTATCTCTGCATCGGTGTAGCCAGCCTGCAGTTGTATATAATTGTATTGGTACAGAAGCATGGAAATCAGCTTCGATTGACTAGGCCAGCATGTCAAAATAAATTCATTTATTCATTAGTTCAAATATGACATACATACCGTCATCCGTCTGAGATGATGTTTTCAAGATCTGGCCATAGGAATCCAAATGAGTTTGAAATGCCTGGGAAATTAAGTAATCATAGTGAACACTTGATATCAAATAGCAAATGAATATTGTGTAAGCCAAACTCTAATTTTTAGTATGACTGGATGATTAATCAATTGGTTTTTGAACGTTTTCAACCAAATTATTTGTTAATTTTATCATCATCATATCTCAAGTCAGTAAAACACTACACATCCTCAGCAATTTATGATAGTAAATTTTTCTTCCCTTTATTGCTTCTTACTCCTATTCACTTTGGGTGATTATTAATCATAATAAACAACAGATGATAAACATTTTTTGAAAGTTACCCCGAAATCAACAAGATTCCCAAGCTAATAAATACCTGCCAATTGAAACTGGGACCAACTTTTGAAACCTGAAGCCTTCCCCTGAAAAATAACATGCATTTCTTCATTAGTTTGTTCTTGCTTACCTCATTTACCACATTTATCAAGGGAATATACTTTTAACAAACCAAAAGTTGCACATCAAAATAAAAAAATTTAAACATATTGCAATGCATAGAGAATTTACTGCAATAGCAAACATATGAAGTTTACTTTGCATTACATTACAAGATAAATTCAATATTTAGTAATATAACAATAATTCACTTCAAGGGCAATGCTAGTGCAATACAAAAGAAAACTTTCAAAAAGAATGGCAGATACTTCTAATGAACAGAATACAAATCATATCAAACAAAAAACTTAATAGAGATTTGCTGGATAAATTTTGCATTCCTAATGTCGGTGAGTTTCTAGTTGACTTGTCTCATTAGATTGCCCAACAAGGTTTTAGCCAGCAGCCAAGGTTTGGCAATACATCTTGACCCCACATGTCCCTCATCCACCACAGTTACAATCAAGTTACTCAAGCGTGACCAGACTTGGTAATTTTTAATAAAAAATTTTTATTACCAGATGTGCTTGGACACTCATCTAACATTTCAAACGAGGAAGGAGCAATGTGACCAGATCAATGCAGGTTTGGTAATAAATAATGCATGAATGGTCACACTTCTCTACTCCTTCCTTGTTCATCCTGGTAGGAGTGAAAACTTCTTGACTTTTGACCTCTCCACCAAAGGGCCAGGCTGAATTGGGAAGTGTCATAGTTTATCAAACGTTTTTTAAAAATATCGCCTTTTCCGGTAGGCCATCATGGAAGCGCCAACACAAGCTCAAATATAAAGGGAAATATTTACATCCGAAAACAGCGCTAGGAGGCAATACAACGTCTTTTCAACATACAACGTCAATTCAACGTTTTTTAAGAACGATTTCCTAATTATCAAGATTACAAATCGATTTCGGATGCTCGAATTGAGTTTGTACATTAATACCTTAAAGGTAAAGAATTCTGGCCGGATGAACCCATGAACTCCTGACCTAAAAAAGAAAACATTTAGTATAAATCGACATAAAAGCGGTTAAAATGTTTCGAGCGAAGTCACGCCAACACACAACAAGTTGTAGAAGAAACGCCAGCCATACAAACAGCAATAATTTCACGAATATATCAAAATCTCCTTTAATACTGTCACAGTTATATATAATTCTAAGTAAAAATAAGTAATTCCGGATAGTTGTTTACAAGTACAAGAGGCAGTCCAACGGCAAAAAGTTAAAAACTGGCCTCTAGGCACACGTGTACGATCTCTCTCTTGCATATAACTTTTGGTAAACAAAAACGTCGACAATTCCTTACCCATCGTTCAAATTGCATAGGCATCAACTCATTTTTCGCATGAGGATTCTTTCGTATTTTTAACGGGCTAAAACGACAAACCGCCTTATGAAATACTGAGATGGCACGGCATCGATTCGTTTGTATTGAATGAAATCTGTTGCGCCTGACGCGAGCACACTCGTCAAATTCGCCGTGACGAAAATCCTATGGTTATCGCTCGTAAAGTACATGCAAAACCTACCATTTAAATCCCCCATTGATTATTCGCGAAAAGGCGCTGGAAAAACGTAATAAAACACCAAATGAGACAATGAAAATTCGAGCGTGACAAACGGTAAATTTCAACACAAAGCTCCGTGTCAATCGAGGTTAAAAATGGCCTTCGAAGTAACTTCTCATAAAAACCTGGAAAGGATCCGTGCGATAATTTCACGCCATACAGTTTAAAATAATATAAAACGATGAAACCCAGCAGCAAACGTAGAAATCATAGTAAATTCCACACACACGAGGACAAAAATTACAACGACCCACGTGCCCAGGTAAAGCAACACTAATCACGTGATTACGGGTAGCTGTGCTTGTACAGTGGAGTACATTGTAGAGTACAATTCGATGTGAAAAAATTTGCACATTTGCACGACTTTTTCATAACAAGTACACGTGAGCATATAAATCGTCTGACGTTTTACACACATCAAAAGGCACGCATTTCGTAAATTTATGATATTGATGAAATTTATGAAAGCATATTTTCATGCAATAATGACGAATAAATTGCTCACAGGTTTTAATAAAAATCATGTTGCGAAACGGTCGAAAGTCAATGTCAGTCAGTCCCTTTCGCTACCTTCTCTCCGCCCGATGAAAAGCAGCGAAGCTTGCGGAGTGATTGTCTTGTGAAACATTGCATTGCGCAAATGGAAAACAAAAGTTCGCATTGTAAAATTGCAAAACTTTCAACATTCATGTTATTGGACGAGGCAGAAATGCCAATAAGTGTCGACACCTTTATTCATCAGGCGGAACGGAATGCTTGATGCTTGTCATATGCTCGCAAGATCTCAAAATGATCTCAATTTTCAGACAGCGTTTGTTTGATCCAGGCACTTTTCCCGGGCATTTTTTCTAAACAAGACACAGAGTAATTAGTCACATACAGATCTAGCATGTTTGTGCTGGCCTATGTTGGCGAGAATATCGTGCGTAACTGTGTCGTGTGTGTAATAAATATGACATTCGAACGTGCGCATTGTGAAAATGAGCTCTTCTAGATTCACGACTGGAATTGTTGTCGATTGTCTGTTTTCTCAAGTTGGGCGAAACACAAATTTACCGTTCAGCACATTGGGATGGTTAACACTACATTAAATGAATAAAAACCAACACATACACACACGGCGAATTGTACACAACATGATAAATCACGATCACACTCACCTTTGGACAAAAGCCTTTCCAGTCTTTCGAAATCCATTACATATTGATTACTTTTAAAGGTATTTAAAATTCATGGCAGACAAGAATACAAAAACCAGTTGTAGCAAGTACACCTAGACAGTTCATCGTGAAGAGTGTTAAGATAGCTAAGCAGTGCGTTTCCAACACATCCCTCAACTTTTCATCGCGTACAGTGCAGTTTTTCATTGTCAAACATTTTTATATTTGCACGACAAGGGTGAACATTTAAATGGATGATGACGATACCAAATGACTTAAAAAACCAAGTCCGCAATACTTCGAAAAAAGACATCTAGTAAACCGAAAATAAAGTCATGGCCACGATAATCTACATAGCAATATTTCGGGCTTTATTTCAAAATCATTATCAGACAGATGAAATAAAACCGAATTACTACAGTTTGAATCGCCTTGTGTTTTTTTTAACTTAAATTTGAGTTTATACAAGATGTCTTTTTTTCGGATGATGTATTATTTTATATTTTATGAAATTGTGGCCAACAAAAGATGTGATTGTTGAAAGTCGAATTCTCGAGCACCTTACCAAAGTAGCGCTGTTGCTGATAGAGCTTAAGCATGGGTGCTGGTTGCCAGAAGCCTGTATAGTGTTTTCCATTGGATAGTAAAATTCTCATGCATGTAAAAAAATTCTCTGTTCTTTCCTCTCGACGAAGAAATTTTGTACTCTTAGAAGAAATATTTTAATTCAGTGATTGCTCACAGTTCGAATCGTATATTTTCCCCCTTCAAACAACTTTTTAGTGTTAAAAAAGGCTATCCAGTGGATAGCGCATTCGGCCTTCGAGCAACCTTCCCTAGATTTTCAGAAGAGAAATTAAAACGAGATACGCATTACCGAAGATTCACCGTTGCTTAACAGGGCTCCATAGAGAGACAATGCGAAATCTTTTACACGCTCGCGGACGATTTCGAGCAAATTGTTTCGACAAATGATAAGGATGTACATTTCACTCTTTATTAATCAGCTATCATCTAGACCACGGCGTGTATGGGTGTAACATATAAAAGTTTAGCTAAAACTATAAATTTCAGAAAATGTCTATAAGAGGAAACTGACTTTCACGAAACACGAAACGCGGTGATGTAAATTAAAAATAAAGTTTGCGCGCGAACAAACCATTCTTCAGTTCCCAGGCGATATTCTTCCGTTTCAAAATAATGCGACATTGAATGAGCATGATGATACCTTTGCCAACAACAATCACCAAATTTCCACAGTTTTATTCCAATACACGAGGCACGATCACTTATAGCAACGTACCAATGGAAATTTCGAGAGAAAAATGTTCATGTTTCAGCTTTTTATTTGCTCAAGGCGCTAAATTTGTTGTCCACAACAATGTCGGTTCGACGATTTAAGGATTGCTCCGTCGTCACTCGTCCTCCATGTTTCACGTCTTGAAAGTTCGTAGATGACGCTTCGCTGTGGGGAAAAGAACGAGATTTTATGAATTAACTGTCTTAAAGCAATTCAAAGATTTTTATTGCTTTATAAACATGTGACGTCATACAACCCATGGAGCTTTTTCTGTAATCATCTGATCGTAATATTCCTCAATGTCGGTTGCACAAAGACCGGATAGCGCTATTCACTGCATAGCAATATTTTTGAAGGCTTCAAAAATCTCTGGAAAGGGAACAATGAACGATTTGAACTGGACAATCAATGAAATACGATATTGGTTCTACAATGGCAAAGTTTCATCATCGTAAAGACAATATAACCATGTATTTTTTTCACAATTTTGAAAATGTTACTATCCAATGGATAACGCTATGCAGGCTTCGTTCAACCGGACCCTGATCGTAATATTTCTCAAAGAGGTAGATTTTAAAAACAATATCTGCTGTAACTTTATCACTTACCTTATGCCGGAGGTAGCAGACGCTTGAAGCGTAGGGAACGCAATTTCGCTGCCGATTTCAGGAGGCCTACGCGCGTCCCTTTCTCTCCCGCTTCTGTATTTCCACGACTGATCGTTGGCAGGTACCTCTTTCGCCATGGCTTGCCTTCTTGAAGGAGGAACGTACGCTCCTTTCGTGATCTCCTTCTTCACTTCTTCTTTCACCTCGACAGGAGCTGAAATTATCGACGCACGACATTCGTTTTGATCTTAAACTTTCGCTCGTATTCTAAAAGCTCGCCCACACTTGCAGTGACTGGATGCGACAGAAAACTCACACTCTTTCTAATAAATGACAAAGTCAGTGGTCCATCGAGATCGATGGCGAGATTTGCTCTAAACTGAACATTTCATATCAAGCAATGAGTTGAGCGAAAATTACGTCTTCGAATAATTGAGGTTATTTTTAATGCCTCGCTTCGTGAGTGAGAGTGAGCTTTTAAAATATGGCGTTTTGTATCAAAAGGTTTTGAAACTCGAGCCCCGAGAAGGCAGGTGCGGATGAATGTTCATTCGACCGGAGGGGTGCAGATTTTCCAAGAGGAATGCATCGTTATCCTAGCTAAAGTTACACGAGCCTCGGGCTGTTGTAGATTTTTGGGCTTACAGATGATTGAATCTTGCGTGATGAAAGTGTTATGACATTTTTAAAACAATTTTATATACTTTTTTTTAATGTAATTTTATATGTTTTTCGTTCATGAATGCGCAATTAGTAATTCATTTCAATTTGAATACTTCAATAAAAACGCGCATGGTTATACTCGATTGTAAATGTTGGTAGTAGAAAATGTGTAATTGCCTTTGAAATGCGTTCTATCTTTACTTAGTCTTACAGCAAAATTTCATAATCCCTAATACTGTTATATTAATCGTCTACAGTACGTACGTAATACCATTTTAGTGTTTTTCTTGGGGGGGGGGCTAGAAAAATTATAGGGGGTGCGTACACCCCTCCCCCAGAAAATCCACCTCAGCAAAAAAGATCAGTGCATGCAGTTAGGCAGGTTACATATGAATTAGTGCACTTAAATGCTTAACTTATGAATAAGAGAGAGCTTTAGCAAGTGCAACACAAGGTATCGTGATTGTATTTTTGATTTAAAAAGCAGAAAACTTAAACCTAAACATATACAACCAGTCGGAAAAGATTATGAACTGACAAGAAAAACAATTATACGAACCTGATGGAGGTGGTGGGGTAGCTACTTGCCAGACATTGGACAACTTATCTTTCCTCTCGCTATTGTCTAAAAAATACATTTAAACCTCTTCTTTTGATATCTTGCACTACAAATTGAACAATGAGATACTCCCATTTACAAGATGACAAACAGAAAAACAAAAAAATTTTCAAAGAAACGATTAGATCTCATTTCTGCTTTCTCCACACGTCTCATTCTCCTGCTATTCAGCAATTTAGTTTTCTTATCTAAACTAAAAATTTTTGTCTCTTTATTATAGTTCATCAAGAACTAAGGAAAAGTAATTGGATTTGTTACTCTACACTCAAGTGTGGAATCCACAGTGGATTTAAAGCCTAATTCACACTTGTCCTAGCTCCTCAGAAATGGGTAGTCCATCATCATTGTACTTTGTTGTTTGAAATAAAAAAGCAAAGGTTTATGTCAGGCTCATGGTTTTGAAACAGATTGTTTCTGCTCAAAACTATATTTTGTGCATAAGATATTACTTGTTCATACCTTCATCACATTCATCAAAATTCTCTGTTCTTTCTTCATCATTTTCATCCGTCTTTTCCCTAAGAAAAGCATAGAAAACTTTTTTTTCTGAATACGATAAATGCATCAATCAATACAATTCATCTATTCTTATTCAATACAAATAATAATTTAAAAAGCATACGAATTTCAAGTAAAAATTAAGTCTGAAATTCCTCAACTAAGAGTTGAAGTGATGTCCACCAAGAGCACCATCAAGTGCATCATATCGAATAAAAATATAGACAATTCAGACAAGAAAAATTTATGGTTTGTGTACACAATTTGACTATTAAATATGAAAATTATGTATATAATTACGTTGGGTTGGGTTGCTTTTGTTTAGCTCAGTGTGCAAATTAACAGTGTGCAATGTGCAATTTGCACATCGTTTTAGCTAAAATGAAAACAATTGCACATCACTTTTTCAAATGATGTGCAAAAATCAGCAGTTTTAACAAAAAACACTGTCGTAAATCATACGGATTTGTTTCTATAAAGAAACACTTTTGTCAAAAAAATTGCACATCGTTTTTTCTGAACTAATTCGCACACTGAATTAGCTGAATAAAAATGATGAGAAATTTCTGGGAGAAAGCATAGAAATACTTGGTTCAAAACTGGATATTATAATCATGGCTTCTAGTATTAACTGATCATATTTCTATAAATTCATTCCAATATGAGTTATGCAGCTCATTCAACATATACGTAAAAAACTTTACATACATCGTTTGGAAAGACTGAACTTTCAGTCCTGAGTAGTCTTTTTCTTTTGGTTCATTGAAGTCTTCCCATTCATCTTCATTCTGGTAAAAACATCAAAAAATTTGTTAATCATATTGAAACAATCTTCCCGACAATCGATTATCATCTAAAAATTTCAAGAAACCAGCACTTTAATATTATTGCCCGCATCAAACAATATCATGATTTACACAACAACACTGACTTCAAAAGGGCTAATCAGGTTAATACTCTTGCAATTATGCTGTTTGAGCAATACAGGTTGCAATAAAACCTCTCAAACTGAAAGCAACGTAAAAACAAAAGTTCAATGAAAGATGTCACATATTCGACTGTGTCTTTATCACATCATTATATCATTTGTAAATCTGCTCAGAACAAAACATTTACCATCCATGTGCTTCTTTAGAAAACATGGTTAGAAAACATAGAAAAATTAGCTCAAAATGCATAACAAGAATTCATGTTCAAAACATTATTGACAAAATATTATTTCAAGTACAGCCAGGTAATGTGTAAACAAGAAATGCTACTTTCAATGTTATGTTGGAGAATTTTTTTTTTGATGTGAATTTGTGTCTTATAACAATTATATAGCTTCAGATTAAATTATCAGTAAGCAATTCATAATTCCTGAAAGTCCACAATGAATATTAGCAAATTTATGAAAGCATACTAATAATTCAATGACATCATTTCTTAAATACAAAATTCTTGGTTTTATTTCGACTTGACAGAAAGATAAAAACAGAAATAAACCGTGAATATTTAGACCATTAATAGACGTAAGAAACGTTTTCATGTCATTTTTGATAGTTGAAAAACAAGTAACGACCTATTCACACATCCCTCGGGCGATAATGCTTTTTATGTTACATTAGGGGATAAAAGCTAAATTTTCATGATAATTGCCACATGTTTAGCTTTATTGGAACAAGCGAATTACAAAGACAAACTTTCGTACGAAAAATCAGTATTGACCACTTCAAATTCACCTGAATATTTGCAAGCTGATTCGCTGTAGGTCTCTGTTCTTTTGCTTGTTCATTTGCTGGTTTTTGAGCCTTGTCAACTTGCTTGGTCATTGCCGAAGATGTCGTAAACTTTCCCTTGCCTTTCGACTTTCCCTTCTTTCCTTTATCTTTCTTCGCGAAAAAATCATCTAAAGACTTGTCGTCATCACCCATTTCTTCTATCAAAGACGATGGAAAGGCCGAAAAGGCCACAAGGGAAAATAAAACTTTGATTTACTGATCGCGGTGCACAACAAGAGAAACAATGAAATTAAAATTGAATTCGTTGATTGTTCATTCGGCTGACCATGTGGCCATGAATGCTCCAGCTTGACAAGATTGATCCCACATCATACCTTGTTATCCAAATTATTCATTGCCTTTCATTATAGATAAAAATGGGTACGCAGTGCGTAAAAAATAAATAATGCTCAAAAAATAGTCCTCTGAAAATGAAATTTACATGAGGAAGGCAAAAATATACGAAACATCATTAGTGAAGTGCAAAGATCATTTCTTTGATAACGAATATCCGTTCAAATATTAGCAACGCTAACAATAAATTTGTATCAAAATACTACAAAAGGAAAAAAATAAAGTATTCTCCCTTCTTTTTTGTCACTTTCCTTTCGCGCAAACAGGTGCTCTGAGCTAACGGTTTATTCATTATTTCCTGGACGCTTTCACTTAATTTGCCTTCCAACTATTTCCCTCTTGCAAAATGAGCTTGCCACACAAACAAAATAACAACGATGTCTTCATCCTCGCAAAGTCTCGACAATTTTTATGACAAATGTCGTAAATGAAGGTAAAGTGAACCAAGTAGGATAATGCGCTGTATGTTTCTCTTTGGATTGTTTGGAGGAAAAAGGGAATGTGTGTACGTCTTCGTTTTCTCCATTGCAAAAAGAAATGGAAATCATACTGAACCATCATAGGCATACGAAATTCCCTTGTATCTAGTCATTTTCTAGTCTTATTGTTCTAGCTCTCTAGAAGTTGTCGCCTCAACTCTTCAGATATAAATCATATTTGATCGAAAGACGAAATGTAGATGCCACTTTTTATAAAACATTAAATTTTGTTTGTCTTGATACTGTTTACAGCAACCAACACGCGTGACCCTGAAAATACTGAATTTTCAAATTTACTGATATTTAAGCATTAAAGTGTACTTACAAGAGAGCTATGCACTAGTAGTCAAGTAGTTTGTGTATTTGATAGGTTTTATTTGCAACTGTCATTGTAAAGATGATTATTAAATATTGTGTCTCGTGCCAAAGCGATGTTTTCACTTTTCAATTTTATACATTTAACAAGTGCTATGAATAACTGTCATTGTAAAGATTAGAAGATACTATATCTTGTGCAAAAATTATGTTTTTAATTGTATGCCAGCTGAAGAGTATGTAGCTCAAAGTTCATGGCCACTTTCAGACCAAAATATGATTTAACGTTGCAATAGTAGTTCACTTATTTTAAAGGTTTTATGTGTAACCAAGGGAAGATTTAGCTATAGGCAAAATAAATTACCACAGCACATTGATCGGTTATATTTCATTCTTTTGAAATTCACAAGCAATGGCCTACAGAAGTAGTATTTCAAATTTAAAATTACCGGCTAAAATTTATACCCTTTATATACCGTAAGTAACTGCCATTGTCAAGAATAGAAAATGTTGCCAATCTTGTAAAAGAGATGATGTAAATTGTATCATGGCTGAAGTTCGTGTGACTTGAGGTTCATCGCTTCACAAATGAAGTTGCAAAAGTGGGTACGGAAAAATTTATCCATTCCTTTCTTTCCAAGATTATTCTTACCAAACCTCATGACGTCGTCGCAATGGACTGTGGGATCCGTTAAGACGTACTGCGTATCGTCTTTCACGCCTTGAAGGTCCACAACCATCAGATATCTATCGCAAAGGAAAGACTTGTCGATAAAAAATGAGATAAACGTGTCATACCTTAATTTAATTCAACATGCAATACAACATGGCAATAGCCGCCGCATATTCACTAGTGATTTTATGACGTAAGTGCCACACCGTTTAATGATCTTATGCAGTGCATAAAGCTACAATTCATCTTATTGACATTCTCTATGTGCAAATTCCTCTTGTGAAACAACGTTAAAATGAAGTAAAGCATTATCATACCCATCCGTAACACAATACGTCCAGTGACTAAATGCACTCAGGGTAGCTGTGTACACATTTTCATTGACAAAACCAGCACTGTTGTTGAATTTAACGTATTTTCCAGGAATGTAACGTTCCATCGTATAATGAATCTTTCTTGCATATTCAGTAACCGTAGCAACAGATAATTGATCAAAGCTAAGTTTAACTTTGCCAACTGACTTTGGATTGATAGCATTGAATTTATTCGCTAAAGCTACTGCAACACAACGAATTTCCATCTTCTCTACATAACTCGTTATTTGACTCTTGCTTAAGTCTTTAAACTGCTTTAGGACCAACAAAGGTTTGCCGTAGTCCTGTTCATATTTACCATAAAAAGCGATGCATGACCTTCCTTGAGCGAAAGGATTAGGAGCAATCTTTATGTTACTTTCTACGTCTGTGCTACGTTTCAACTCTTTTTGCAAGTTGTTTGAATCGTCGGGAATTTCGAACTTCGATACCAAAACCTTTTTTGCAGTAATTGAGAACCAATTGGGAATTCTTTCTTCTATTTTGAACTCTCTATCTTCGACAACTGGAAGGGATGGGTTGGGAACATTTTTTTCCATGATTTCAACGGACACTGATATTGAGCCCACTACAGTTTTAGCGAGATTATCGGCGGAAGACAAATCGATTTCATCGATGCTCATGAGGCTTTGAAAAACTTCTATCATTTCATTAGTTATGTCGCCAATTTTAGCAAACCAATACAGAATGTTCATCTTCTGCAATTTAGATAGCAAATCTTCTACTTTTAAGCCATGTGGATCACCCTCAGGATAATTATCCTGGACGCTCATTGTGTGAAAACGGTTTCCATGGCAAGGAGCGTCGGCTATATGCAACATAATTCGTGTGTGTTTGCTCCAAGATAGTTTGGTAACCTGTTCAATGCCCCCAAAAACATCTTCTGCCCTATCACCACCACCCCCCTTAGCAACGATAGCTTTCACGAACGTTTCAAACTCTGATATTGACTCTCTAAAGTCCAAAAACACAATTCTATCATCACCATCGCCGTGATCACGATAACCAACGAATGCAACAGAAAACTCAAAACCAGGGAACATGTTTTTACATTTGTTCACCGCTTCCTGAATCTTTTCTTTAACACCTTTGATGTACGATGACATGCTTCCTGTGCAATCAACAAGAAAACACAAATTCATTGACTGTGCTTTTTGAGTTACTTCAAGCTGGCGATCTATTTCTTGTTCTCTTTTTAGGCGTCTCGGTTCTAATTTGTCCACTGCTTTCATTTCTAAGGCAGCCGATTGATTAGCTCTCTTAAGCTTTAACTCTTTAAATGTTTTTGCGATATCGCCAATTTTTCTGCCCATGTCTGCACTTACGTCAGTTGTATCCATGCTGTTGACTCTACCGTACGAACTGAAAGTGTTTGACCTCTTACCTAAAAGTAAATGACGAGCAAGGCACATGAGTTTATCATTGCAAAAAAGGAGCAAAAAGTTGGAAATTTTGAGTGCAAAACCGGGCGGTGAAATTTCGAGAAAGGTAAAACGGAAATCGAAAGTCAATTTTGATTTTGACATTGAAAATGCAGTAAAAATATACTCCAAAGAAGTGATACATCCAATTTGTGCGAATCACTGTAATTGCTGAAATTGCTATAACGATTAAAAAAGGATTCGTATTTCTTTCAGGAACTTTGACTTCATCTGATCCCAGCCATGTAGTGAACCAGCATGGAACAAGACGCGTAAATGGCGGAGTAGCGACTATGCACTAGTTTAGAGTAAAGTTTGTTACAAATTGAAATTGTTTGTGCTGACAAGATTTTGAGGGTAAGAAGTAAGTTAAAGATATTCGAGAACCAGATCTATACAAAGCATTGTTCCACTTCGCTATTCATCGGTTCATTTTTCTAAAAACCTATGCTTTAAAGAATTGACCGTTCTGATGTGATACCTGCAAAAGGTTTTTGATGGAAATATCAAAGAGTATTGCCTTGATAGTGCAATTTTAACCCCTGTCTTCATTTACACATTCTTAAGAAAATTTTCACCATATGCAACATTTCTTAACATTATTCGGTCTTGCAATTTAAGAGCATGAATGCGTGAAATTGCTTCACACGTTAACATGCACTTGATAAATTCATGTTTCGCAATTTGTACTTTGGAAACATTTCGGTTATTCGCAAAGTTTAACGATTAATCCTTCCTTAAAACATTCACAGAAATTTTAAGATTTCTGATTCTGAAAGAGATCGTTTGCGCATACTTATTTCCAACGTCACTATACAAAGTATACAAATATCCTTCTTCGAACAATCCACTACTGCATAAATTATTTAGAAGTCGGAATGCACAATAAGGAATGTGCTGGAAAAAAGTGAAACTTGTGAAACGCCAAAGCTGATATGAAAACCATAATTTATGTCACTACGCTATTTGCTCTTCGAACAAACTGAGAAATTATATCTTTCATAAGATTTAAAAATAACAGCTTGCATTCACACAAAGCAAGCTAAGATATTTAAATTAAATACATACTCACTCAACCCCATAAAATGTCTGAGTGTCGAATAAAACAATCCATATAAACTACATATGAAACTTTATCAGCTACGGTTATCGTGTCAAAACTAAGCATAATGTACTAAATACATAGCTATATGTAATACTATAAATAAGGCTGTCAAAAATGAAAACGCTAAAAGTGAAACTTGAAAGTGAAAGTGAAAGAAAAGTATGTAAGATAAATAAAGAAATAAATAAAATACTTACATAAAGCAAAGCAAATGTTTTTTGTCGTGCTAAGCATATATAATAGAGCCTTATTATATTCTTCGTATTTGTTAATTCATAATTGAGAGAGGAAATCATTTGTAGTTATATCTTAACCGACCTACTGCGTCGATAGTAATTTATCAATGGTTTTATGTTTACTATGCAACGCTTCTAAGATAGAAAGTCTACTTAGCCACCTCTGCCACTTACCTTCCATTTTCCCTATTTGTATGTTTTTTCAAAGAGCCTTTCAAAAAAATTCAATCACTTATATCCACTTTCGCTTTGATTTCAACTCCGCTACACGTTTGAATGCACTTTTTCTTTCTTTTGCAATTATCTGACACATACTAAAGGTTCAATTTCACAAGACAATGTGGAATTTCACGTAGCCAATCATGTGCACAAAAATTCGAACCTGAAATAGCTATATATTCTTCAGTCACAATTAAATGTTTTTATCCAAGACAACGAGTATTTCGTCTCCAAGACAACGATAATTTCGTCTTTTAAATGCATTAACAAAACAGTGACGAAAAAAAGATGTTGCTGAAGCCTTAAATACTTATTTTACTGAGATTGGCGAAAACCTTCCGAACAATCTTAGACAAAGTAACAAACAGTTTGTTGTGTACATTCCTCCGATTAAGGAACATATTAAATTTGATGCCACTATAACGACTTAGAGACAGTTTTGATGTTTTTAACAAATGGAAATTTGCTAATGAAGCCTGCCATGACAAAATGTCGGCCAAATTACTAAAAGATACATCCGATATTATTGCACCATATTTAGCGGATGTTTTTAATTCCTCTATGTTTTCGGGTTATTCTGTTAAACAATTTAGTTAAAAACTCAACCCATCCTTCTCCTAAGCACTTCACATGTATATCATCGTTCACTTCAAGACACTGCTAACGTCATCTTTACTAAACTCATATTTTTAGCCATAATATGCCTATTATTTAGGCTTTTCCACTCCTACTTTAATCATATGACGTGCCTTTCTGAACTTCTGTTTCCTCTGTTTTCTACCTTCGGTCCTCTTCTTATTCCATTTCTTCTTCACTAATCGTTTTCTCTGTATACACTAGCTCCTGCACTTTTTCATTCCATAACAAAGCCTCCGTATCTACCGAGGACAAATCGAGACTCAAATAGAGTTTGTCAACGTTTTCACGAAGGATACTGTTCCAGACGTAACCCTCAGCATTTCTTCGGACCAACACAAAAGGGATACTCTTGAAGCTGCACTCCTAAAATTATTCCAATAAAGGAAAATGTTTAACTTTGGCAATCCTCGATACATTTTAACGGATCCCGCGATTCATTGTCATGACACACGAGAGTTGGTAGGACAAACCTAATGGACTCCGTCGATTTCCATTAGGTTTGTCCTACCAACTCTCGTGTGTCATGACAATGAATCGCGGGATCCGTTAAAATGTATCGAGGATTGCCAAAGTTTTCATCTTTCACGCCTTGAAGATCTACAACCATCATATATCTACAATGAATGATAGAGAAGGATTAATTCGCCGTGTAACATGATAGACGCAGCAGCGTCATCGATGACGTTAATGCGTAGCAAACGACACACGGATAAAATAGATTTACGTAGATAAGATGCAATATTGTCAACAAAGTTTCGTCTGTTCTATGAGTTTATTGTTTGAAATTGAATTCAGTAAAGGTAAAACAAAGGTAAAACTTATCAAAATCATACCGTACCTGCCAGAAGCTAGGTAAGTCCAGTGACTAAATGCATTCAGCGTAGCAGTGTATGCATCGTCACTACAACAAAACCTAGGTTGTTGTTGAATTTGGTATTATTCGCAGAAATGTTAGTTTCCATCAAGTAACGAATCTAATTCTCATCATCGTTGACTGTAACAACAGACACGTCAGCAAAGTGAACAACATCTCTTACTCCCTTCGGTTTGATGTCATTGAATTTTCTCGCCAAAGTTATTGCAACACGTTGAGTTTCCATTTCCTCAACACAGCTCACCTTTTGCCTTTTACTTAAGTGCTTGAATTGCTTCAGGACCAACGAACAAACTCCTTTATCTGTTCTAAGTTGACAATAAAAAGCAATGCGTAAAGTTCCCTCCGCGAAAGGATTGGGCGCAATCTTTATTCTCCGTTCAGACTCCTCGTAAACAACATACTTTGGTTTCAATTTGTTCAAATTATCAGGAATTTTGGCCTTCGACACAATAACTTTCTGCGCAAAAATTTCCATCCAATTAGGTGTTTTTTCATCTATTTTGTACCTCGTCTCCAATTGAATGGAAAGAGACGGGTGTCCTTTTCCAAGTACGACATAGAAGTATTCATTGAAGCTAAACAAGGTCATTGCTGGATTTCAGAATGATTTCGTTGACACCCTTGATACTATTAAAAACTTTTATCATTTTATCAGTGGCATTGCCAAATTTAGGAAACCAGTACAAAATATTCATCTCCCGCAACTTCAACAGCAAGTCTTCTATTTTAAGGCCTCGCGGATCACCGTCAGGATACTTGTCGCCCACGTTTGGATTATGAAAACGGTTTCCATGGCAAGGACGGTCGGCCATATGAAACATGATTCGCGGATATGTTTCCAAACAGTTTTGTGACGAATGTTCCAAACTTGATATCGACTCTGTGAAATCCAAAACAGCAATTCTGTCTTCACCATCTCTGTGATTACCATAACCAACAAATGAAAATGAAAATTTAGATTTGGGAAACAGTTTTTGACATTCGTTCACTGCACCCTCATTTTTTTTTCTTGACACCATCAATGTACGATGACATGCATTTCCATTATGCATGTTCATGAAAAAAAAATGTATTACGTCGTTCGATTTCTGTTTGAGACTGTTGATTTTGCTGTTTTTTGTACGAACTGGACGTGCTACGACCTATAAACGAATGACATATAACTTAAAAACTCAAACAAGAGACTGAAAGCCAAAGATATTGATCCTGACTTTTCAATCAGGTCTTCTTACTAGCATCTATGCTTCATAACATCAGCAGAAAATTAGACTTTCATCATTGTCGGCTGTCGTTTTGTATGACGCTAAATGAACAATAACTAAGGACACATAGTCTGACACCTGGATTCAGAATTAGTCGTATTACTCTCGCAATTACTGTATCGCAAAACATTTCATCTGCAAAAATAACAAATTTCAACTCGTTGAAAACAGCTTGCCACCAGAAAAACCTAAACATAACACAGCTATGTATAAAATTAGGAGCGAAAACAAAACATTTTGCTATACGCACATTTCGATTAAAAAGACATAAAAAGTACACGTTGAGCAAGGTTTACAAAATACAAGCGAAGATATTCCTATTTAGCATATCAAGCGCATTGAAAAATCATTTACAGGTACATTTACATCGTTTAAAAACTTTATCGTATTTAAATTGTGTACTGTAGAACATACTTGTTTGTCATGTGTTAAGAAACAATAAAAAGGAATGCATTTCAAAAACGTTAGTGTTGAAAGCCAATAAAAGTAAAAATGAAATCGAAAGTATTTAGAATGAGCAAAGAGCGCATGTCTGTTTTGTGGAGTACATTTTCTAGGTCGCATGCAATGTATTTAATGTGCTTATCGATAATCTAGTACATGAATACAGGTATGCACTTCAACCCACCGGCTTCCTGTAACGCTGATATGCTCACAATTAATCAAAGTATATAATCCATCCCTAAACCCTTCAAAAGTAATTAGTCAGTTTTACCATGCACTTACTTGCCATGTTTCAAAGTTAAATTCAGTTTCTCGAAAGCACCTCTGACCTTTTCGTGCAGAAAACATCTGCTGCACAACACTAAACGAGATTTCAAAATTCTTATGTCACTCGTTGATCGGAATGCATTGCCATTTCTTAACTATCTTGCTGATCACTTGTACTTAAACCAAACAAATGTAGATTTTGTCGTGACAAATCAAGCGCGAGATTTTGTGCTGCGAACAAACGAAGAATATTTCTGATTTTCCTTTTAAGTTTTCAGCTAAATGCTTTTGTAAAATGATCGTTATTTTATTTTTATCGAAGGAATTTTCAAAATGTAAATTACCTCTTTAAAATTACCTCTTTAAAAATCGTAGGGATGGAAGATTACCCATATTCCCTTTCTTTACCCTACGCTTGTTAAGCCTTGTACCTCGAATTCAAATCACTGAAAGGATAACGTCAATAGATTGAAGCTTTTGCTTCAAGTATACACATAATAATACTATTTTTACAAACCTTTTTATAAAGTAATTAAGTAAATAGTTTGAACCCGGAAGTATCGTTACATGTTTGTAGATGTAGATCGTCCAGGTTAGTATAGTCCTGAGAAGGACTGCTTTTGTTGTTGTTGACTGACGTTTTGACAACCTTAGCGGTAGTCATCTTCAGAGTCATATATTATATAAGTCAACGCTGGATAGTAAGCTCTCATTTTCGAGACCAAAGTACATCAAAATAAAGTGTTTGTTTATAAGGGATAGGTTATAACCTCGCTTTTAGCGTCGAGCTATTTCGAAAAAACTACACGGAAAAATTTTTGTAATGAAGGAAAATTTGCAGTTTGAAGGAAAAAAAATTTGAAGGAAGAAAATTTGAAGGAAAATTTGAATGAAAAAAATTTGAAGGAAGAAAATCTGAAGGAAAAAACAGTTTTCTTATAGTTGGCTATACGTAAATAGTTTTTACAGTTTTATTGGTATTTTGACCCTTCAGTACATGCTTAGGGCAAAATATCAGTTCAAAAACATGTCTGAAGCGTTTCTTTGTATCTCATGGTCACAGTAAGATATCTACTAACATAAGTAGATAAAATTTTTCGGATGTTTAAAATCTTTCCATGAAGAAGATGGTATCTCACGTTATGACGTCACTCGTTGGACATGACGACATCACACAGGCGTGGTACCAATCAAAGGCTGGGAATTCTTTTAAATATATAACTTTGATGTGTCGTAGATAGATAAAATGTTTCAGTATAATTGAAAATCACGCCACTGATTACGCTACAAGAACGCTACAAGATAAAATGAACGATTTAGAGAAGACGTAGCTGCGCAGCTACAAGGTATATCACAGTGTTCTTTTATCTCGTTTATGATTTGCAGAAAAAGAGTCGGATGATTTTCGATATTCTCGTCATTTCACATGCCTCGATATCAGTATAAGAGAGCTATTAAATATTGTCTATTTAAAAGAATTCACAACCTTTGATTGGCTTGTACGACTGCGTGATATCCTCATGTCCAACGAGTGACGTCATAAATTGGACTGACTTTCCTCAAGCACGCTATTGGTCATATTGTGCACGGTCGACGCACGACGTCGAACGATTGGCAAGACAGTAGCCAATGATTTATAACCAAATGGACGCCATCTTGAATGGAGGCATAAAGCAAGATTATCGATTGAAAATAAGAATGTTTTTATGCAGTGCGGTGTTTGAAATTAAATGAGATATGATCTTCGCATAGCTGGACAATTTAAGCAATCGTCTCAGGACCTGAAAAAGGAGGCAATGAGTCACCTGATTTTTCAGGTCCTGAGACGATTGCTAAATTGTCCAGCTAAGTGCGAAGATCATAACCGATTGAAAATAAGTTAAAAATAAATTTAAAAACAATCCTATCGAACATTTAATAAAACAAAGCCTAGACTATCATCTCTACAACTACATATATATTAACGAGAAAGAAGCAAATCTTAGTCGCACATAGGGTCAGTTCTGCCACTTTTCAAGAAGGTGCCTTGGCTCAGACTCGCACATAAAAATCGAACAGTGTATAAAACGAGTCGGATATCTAGAAGAATGGGTTCTACAGTAAGTCATTGACAATAACACAATCTCAAGTGAATGGTTTGCCAACTATGAAGAACAATTCACATTGTCGGTTGCTTTGTACAAGGACAGCGAAAGAGTGATAATCGTGGGGTGGGGGAGCTTCATACATACATGGGGTATAATCCGTAACTAGAAAAGATATAGCCCATCACGAATATATAGATATTAGCCCTCCAATTATCAATCTTTCGCCGCCCTTGAAAATTGTGCTTTGCTGCATGCTAAAAGTTCAAGACGTCACTTGGCACATACCAGAATTTACAACAATGCACCTTTAATATTTGAGACTGATCCAGCATTCCCACCAGTATGTAACTGTTACCCACTTATTTCGAGGGGGAAGTAAATGTCGACGACCTTGTACTGCTGACGTATGTGCTGATGGCGGATTGCAAAGTTCTGCTCTCCTCATTTCGTCTTCGCGCTGTCTCTTCAGATCCGTTTCTCTTGCCAAAACCTTTTGTTCCAAAGACTCGATTTCACGAGCTTTTCTGCAAGCATATCTTTCTGTTGTCTTTCGCGGTTCTTCCTGTCCACTTCTACATTCATAATCCTTTCTTCTAGATCATTTTTCATTCGCTTTTCAGACTCCAACTCCACTCTCAAGCGAGATACTTCCGCCACATTCTTGTTTTCTTTCTGCCGCCATTCATTCTCTGCGGCATCCCGTTCTGCTTTCAAGTCAAAGGTCCTTTCTCAATTGCCCTACTTCCTTCTGTAACTCGGAAATTTGAGCGAGATACTTATTTGCTTGAGAATGAAGTTCATCACGCGAGTTTTGCAACGTATTTAAACGATCTTCGTATTGTTTCGAAGACAAGCGTTGTTCGTGCTTAAGCTGTGTCGTCGTGCTCAACATTTCTTCCTTGTGTTTCAGTCCGTTTGATACCAACTCGGATTTCAGTAGACTGACCTGTTCTTGGGCTTCAATTTTCTCCTTCTCAACACATTCAATTCTACCTTTCAGTTTGGCATCTAACTCCTCGTAATTCACACGCAAATGCTCCACTTCTTTTGCGTTTTGTCCACGAGTTCAACCAGAGCCCGTTCGTGGCTCGCTTTCAGATCTGTCATCGCATTCTTATGCTCCGCAATCGCCTTAGCGATGTCACTTTCAATTTCAAAATTGAATCTTTAGAAGCGAGTTTGTGTTCCTTCAGTTCGGCAAGTGTAATATCAAGCTTTGACTTTTCTTCCTTTAATCTTTGAAAATCGCTTTCTATGGCCGTGCGCTGAGCCTTCTCCGAAGAAAGCTCGTTTCTAACATCAATCAATGATTTTTCCAAGGTTGATATCTTGTTGTCTTTGATCGCTGTTTCATTCTTCAAAGACTCCACCTGCGCTGAAATCTCATTAAAAGATGCTTCACTTTCTTTCAAAGATTTCTTCAATAGATTTATTCTGTCGCTACTTGATTTCGACAGCTCTTCGTTTTCTTTTCCTTGTGCGTCAAGTTTTTTTTGCAACATGGAAACCTGCAACAAGACGACGCCAATCTCAAATCTACAGTGAAGTTCTCAAAATTTACAGCTGGCATAGTTTGAAAATGTTTAGTTATACTTCTACGCCGACTAACAATAATAAAAACGAGGGCATGAAAGGCTGCTTTATTTATTTAACTGCATTCCCACTGTGTCCCAATTTAGTTAGCCAGGTCAACTACATGGTAACAGGCATATGCGCTTATCCAGAACACACTTATAAGCTAATTACCAGTTAACACAAAGATATCATTTTCCTACTGGTAGTCACTAAGAAGCAATATGAGGGATAAGAGCCTAAAATTCAGTTTTCCAAAACCCTTCGGAAAACAGTATTTGATAGCTATGACAATTTAAAATGCAAACCTGCATTGTATTTTCAAATTCAATTTTTCAATGGTTTTCATCATCTTGTCCGTCCTCATTGCCTCCTCGTTTCTTGCACTTTCCCTCTCAGCATTCAAATTTAATGCAACAGTGATGGCCTTTACAATATCTTGAGGCACATTGTTTCCTAGAACAGTAATGACACTCGATATATATACCTCATGGCAGACCAAAAAATAAGCACAAAATCTTAAATCTCAATCTTAAAGCAATTTCTTTCCATGTATTGCAAACAACAATTCAGAGTTTCAATTTGTTTAATCGAGACTGAAAGTCTGTCAAAAATGATGGAAAAGTATATAAAAAAGTCTTAACTAATGAATAGATACAATTCTAACTTGTGTAAATTCTCAATTTTTGATGAGGATTTATCCTTAAAAAGAGGCATGAAAAGTCCCTCATTGATTAAGGGAATCAACAGGGATGTGAAGCAGGGGAGTGAATGGGGTAGGGGCCTGACTACCAATAATTTTCCACCATTTTGGAATATCCCCCTGGATCCCTACTTGCACTTCAACTTCTGCTGTGGATCCCCAATAAATAATATGCTGTTCCCAATCTCTGATATAGTCCTTCAATAAACTTGTTTCACATACCATCAAAGCACACTCTACCATAAAACTTGCAGCCCTAAAACCAGGCTCTACCTTGCAATTCCAAGGTGGTCAACGACTTGTTATACTGCAAAGCTGATAGGAAAGCACGAGCACCAAGGAGACCAGCATTATTCCACCGCAAAGTCAAGTGCCTTTAATGTTGAATTGCTTTTGAGTGCCAAAGCCAATTCCTTCGCACCATGATGAGATATTTGATTATTCCTCAGATCCAGCACGAGCAACGTTTCATTTATAACCAAACCCTCTGCCAACTTGCCAAGTCCACTACCCCAAAGTCCCAAAGAGTTCCAATCCAAACGCAAGCATCGAACCGACGTATTTTTGGTGAGAAACAGGCCAACGATTTCTGCACCAGAGCTTCGTAAATTATTCCCCTTGAGGTCCAAGTTTTTTAAGGATTTTGTGTGGAAGAAGCCACACAAGAGTATCTTAGACGAATCCTCGTTCAACAGGCAGTCGGTGAAACGCACATCTTTGAAGAACGTATCGAGCGCAAATGTTTTTGCTAGTGCAAAACAATCTTCCGGAGAAAGGCTACAAGATGACAAATCGAGAATTCTCTCGCCATCCTTGTTGTGAAGCTGCATTTGAGAATCAACACATTCCAAAGGACTGACGTTGCATTCTTTGCAAGCACGGAGATAGCGATTATAGAATTCTTCCATGCCTATTGCCTAATACATTTTAAAGCTACAATAGAATTATAGGAAAAATAAGAGAGCCAAATTCACAAAACAACGCATTTGATATTGGTGAATTTACATTGCCATAACTTTTTGAATGCGATAAATTCATAGAACAGTGATTTGTAAACACTCGTATTGTTTGTATATCTTTACTAGAGGTTACTACAATAGAATATGCTGCCTAAGAATTGCTATGGCAAAAGTTTCACTTCAGAACTGCTGTATTTGTATGTATGTATTATTACTAATATGATATAATAAAGCTATCTCTTTCAGTTTCAATTAGGTCATTTGAAGGAAGTATTTCATGTATTTTTCATTACTTTTCAATATCAAAGCTCACAGAGAGTGAGTTTAGTTAAAAGGAGTTTAATAGCAAACGTCAATTTTTCTGGTCACACACGTGACGTAGCACGTTTGACAAGCTTGACTGTTTTCCCGTATCGACATTTAAAGCTTTAAATTCACCGTTTGTAATTATAATATCGCCATGTAAACTTAATCACCCTAAGCATGAACCGAGCAGAACTAACTCTGTCGTCTTCTCGGATTCGATGCAAGCTAAACCGAAGAATATAAATACTTATAGGTCTTGCAGTTGTATTCGAAATAATGGGACACTCTTTGGTTACGCAACATTTAACATACATCACGCTGAATGACTTGAAGGACGACTACAACAATGTCATCCTGAAATCAATAGAGGCAAAGGACTTGTTATCTTGAATAAAGACGACTACACAAGGAAGATGGACGTTATACTATCAGGCATACCTTAAAGTGGTTATATCACAGAATTTTAGCCCCTTTTTATTAGCTAAATTGAAAGACCTTGTTTCAGTGATTTTAAATCTGCAATTATAATTGAAATTGGATTGGTGAAAGTGATTTTACGGACGTTCAAAGTCACGATTTTCAGCATTTTTTTTGCGAACTTTTTGATCGGTATGCAAATGACTTGTGACGTAGAAAGTTGAACCATATATCAACATGGCGTATTCTACTAGTAATCTTAATAAGAAACGCGGAGGAAAACGCTGTGTTGCTGGCGAACCTAATCAAATTAGTTGCGCCAATGATTCAAAAACAGAAGGAATGTCGATGCATCTGTTTCCTAAAAAAGAAACAGAGCCGCAAAGACATAGAAAATGGATAAATTTTGTGCGTAAATATAGACCGGGTTTTGAGGCTTCCTCTACCTCGTGTCTGTGTTCTGCGCATTTTGAAGATTCTTGTTTTGACCTTAATTTGGCGTGCAAGTCAAGCTCAAAGGTTGAAGAAGATGCTATCCCAACCAATGACGTGGCTGGGATTCCTGAACCATACAGGACGAAATAACCGATCGAAAGCGAAGACAAGTAAGTTTACGCTTGTTTATGTTAATTTTCTTTTGTCATATGTAAATTCGATATAAGTTTTGTAGATTATAAATTATTCGACATACTCTCCATAAGCCATCGCTGAAGGAAACATGTTCTCTCAATGAGGAAATTACCATCTACTAGTGATGAAGCTGAGCATGTTTGGTATGCACTGGGGAAATAAACGATTCGCCATTTTGAACGGCTTGCTATTTTCCATTTTACATTTATGTTATGATTTAATTCCATATATTTTTCTTTTGTCTTTTTCCCAGACTGACATTGAAGAAAGATATTCTTTCATTTAATTCTTTCAGCAACCTCTCAGTAGTTGCACCAATTTGTTTTATTGTTTACTCTTGTTTCAAACCATTAAACTGCATGTCAACTTATATAGTGCATCCATGTATCTCCTATTTGGTTTTCATCTAGGCATATTTCCTGACCATTCCAAACTCAGCAAAGAAGGTCAACAGTCTCTACAGTGCACAAGTTAAAAGACTATTCCATCATCGCCCTCTGATGGTATGTAACCTGTTGTGTTACCACTTGGATATGCTTTCCGAATAAAGTGGTAGTACACAAGCAGGTAAACCGATATTCTCCCATCCCATAGACCCACAAAACCATGCATCAACCATCTGTATGCCACAGCTCTCAAGTACCTGAAGTAAATAAAAAGGTTGGACTAATTATTGTTGATGAAACAATGTTGATGATAACATTGTTTCTCATACAATTTACAATCTTACATTCTTAATGATTGTGATGCTTGGCGGCGATAAGCATGTCCATTCCTATCTCTCAATAGTGGCCCGACGTTTTCAAGGACAGCCTCATGAACTAAAGGCCCAAATTTGGCATGCTGTGTTATGCATGATATTTTCTCAATGCTGCCATCGAATATCATTTTCTGCAAAGCTGGTCCTATTTCCTTACAGCATCTGTACTCTAATGCGCCTTCTAACAAATCGGTATGACAGCATTGACAACTACACCTGAAACGTAGGAGCATTGTGGTTTATAAAGTAACTTTATGTATATTACAAACAGGAGAAAACAACAACTTACCATTCACGAGTGGAATTACGCCATCACTTCGTTGTTCTAAGGTCGCAGGGAGAATTCCATCGGGATCATCTGGAGTATGCACTTCATCACCATCTCCTGCAAGCGGTTCATCGTCATATGCGAAGTCGTTTAAATGCTCGACATAACCCACGGATTCCGAGCTCGAATCAGATACGCATTCAGACATCGAATTCGAATTATCTGAGCACTGATTTGAGGCCATACTTTCCGGACAACTTGTTTTTTAATATTTTATTGAAAATACTGTCATTATTTGTTTTTAAAACAAGAAAAACGACAACAAAATCACCTTCCATAATATAATATTTTATTGACGGAAACAGACGTGTTCAACTATCTACGTCACAAGTATCAATATGGCGTCGTAAAAAATTCGCAAATAGTACCCGACTTTGGAGGCAAAATTAAGCAACTTATATTTATCTGTTTAAGTCCAGCGACATGTCATAGTTCTTCAAATAATCCAAATTTTCAATTAAGCTCATAAAAAAGGGGGGCTAAAATTCGTGATATAACCACTTTAAAATTAAATTAATGTGTTTGACTATCATGTTCACAAATTCTCATTGAAAGTTCCTGATCTCTTGCAGACAGGTGTGACTAAAATATTAATCCGGGTGTATTCCAAATCACATTCAAAAGAAATAAGTTGGGCGCAATTGAATACATAAATAACCCCCCCCCCCTCCTAATTAACGTTCTACTGTTAAGCTCCGGATCTCTCGATACGATTTCACACAAAAATTTAATATCATAAGTACACGATGGATAAAATTTGTTCGCCGTGGTTTGTTGTGCCTCATTAATGTTTGTAAAATTTGTTTACCAGCGAGGAAAGCAACATACAATTGCCAACTCAATATTATGGAAGTTGATTTTAATGACTACTTGCTGTCGCATATTTGCAGGCATCTCGTATTCCTGTCATCTTGCAGTTCAGTTCTTAACCCCTCCCCATCAACAAAAGGTGCAAGTTCTGCCCCTGCAAACGCTTCAGATACTTTCACCATTAATTGTGCGACATTATCATAAAACATAATCAACTTCCTGTTTCAGTGGGCGATGTTCCATTTTTTCATGCAAAACAGTTAAATCAATACGAGCAATTTGCAAATCTAGTGCAGTCGACGCTGCAAACAACAGTCCTTTTTTTGGGAGACGGAATTCAAATACTTCAAACATGTGACTTCAGACTAATTGATTATATTATTAATTAAGAAAAAAATAAGCATGTTGGCTGTTTGACTTCTGTCTTTAACTAAACTCCTAAGGTCAACAAAGTAAAGATAATGATTACGAAAATAATCCCGAGATCTTTCAGTACTTTTTAAATGGATCATCAGACAAAGTTGCCAGTCTTACTTTGTCAGAGTGTTTGTTGAATCTATTCATTGCTTCATTTATATTTTCCGGATCGTTGGTTATCATTCCATCTAAATCAATTTCGAGATATTTTTCAGCGGTGGACACTCGGTTAACCGACCACGTGTAAACTTTGCTAAAATAGCCTTTTTCTTCTCTGTATTTGACTTGCTCCTTCAATTCCTTTAGATGAAGTTTTGTAAAGAACCAGTTTGTCGCTCCGATGCTGAGCCATGCATGACCTGACGGGACGCCAACTTCACGGAAAATCTTTTCCTTTTCTGCCGAGCTCCTATCGTCCTCGCTAACATCAAAGCCAACACTTTTTATCGTACCGACATCGTTCAACCACAGTTTCGTTAAGACGCCTTTTACGAAATCCTTTTGATCTAAATGTGGAAAGCTCACGACCACTTTCATGTTTGTCGTGTTGTTTTTGTACAACGGCATCAAAATTGTACTGGCAAACTTCTCTCCAGCTGATTTGAAAACGTTGGGCTTCAATTTCTTCAACTTCACGTCGAACATGACCAGTACCAAGTTCTTATTGAATTTTCCACTTGAAGGGATCGTTCTTTCTCGAAGTGCATCGATGTAATTTCCAACGAGCGACGAGCGACTGCAAAGTCTGCCGAAATCACATGGCCATCCATGATAAAATTTTTTAGGTGTTCCATCCTCATCAAATTGAACATCTACTTCAAGTGCATTCGCTCCATATTTCAGCCATGTGTCAATTTGGCTCACTGCATTGACCATGTGACCTATGTTGTAAATAGGGCGAGCACACTTCAAAACTGAAACAAGTGACACGACAATGATGGCTGCAATACGAGCGAACGTGCAAAGACTTCGACATGATTCTTCAGAAATCCAACTTTTTTATTCTCGGTACTGTTGTCAAAATTCAAACAAACCAACCTCTTGCATTAAATAACGACAACAACGTCGGTTCGTTACAGGCCCGCCTTCTTGTGTACTGTGTGCTTACGAGACAATGATTTCCACAATTTATATGCAATGTGACGCTGTTACATTTCCGAATGAGAACAATGCTGATCTTTGTTGTAAGGCCAATTAAAATTTTATATATTGTATGTCTGTCACTGTAGTGTGTTATGTTTACAACAAAACCTAATGCAAAAGGAGCAACGATAAAAGCAAAATAGCCAAAATATAACTTGTTCATGCACATTGAGAATGATACCATCCATTTTTTGCGTTCACATTCCTAATAAAAACAAGTAAGATGAACAACAAAACAAAGAACCATTTCAAAAAGTACAAAAAAATGATTCCTACAAAATTACCCAAGCAAATTCCTAGCCACGGAGTTTTGAAGACAAGGGTTATGTTTGTGTTTAGCAATTACATAGTAGCCAAAGACTTTGCTCACTATTACTTCTTGTTATTTTTTATGAGAACTAGGCTTAAGCAGCACTTAAGATGGCAAAGTTGCGGAGTCGTTGAAGAGCGCATATCAAAAGGACGTAATCAACTCACACCGCGAAGTTGTGAATGAAAAAAACAGCTAATGCAACCGAAAGGTATGTAGAATAATCATAAAGAACTAAGCCAATGAAACGAGGCTGGGAAAAATCTATGCTGATACAAAATACAATATCATGTGGAAGATGAAGTCTTTCATTGATCATGGAACGGATGGTTGATTTCACAGAGAGTGCAGCTATTTTGAAAGATCTGATAATATCCCACAAAAAAAAAGCAATTAAAAGAGATTCGAATCAGAAATCTGTAGGCTGAGGACAACGTGGCCAAATGGCAAACATAGATGACTTAATTATTTGAATATAGACTATGAACGAAAGCGGTAGTCAGAGTTGGAACTTGGAAGTGTCTTTGACCGTTTAATAACGTACCAATGTCATCTCTCTTGCACCAATCAAGCGAGTCACCTGTTCGCATTGCATGCTATTCGGCATTGCATGCTATTCATTAACGTTTAATTTTACTTGCTCTAACCTGTAACTCTCTGTACAGTATTGTAAAAATCGTCATCTTTACAAAGCTTATTATGACAAAGACTTCAAAATTTCGTAGTATTCCACGCATGAGATTAAACTAATTATAGTTATAATATAATTATTCAAGTCATTTAAAATGTCGTGCATTACTTGTTATTGTAAGAGACACACATGAATCTTTTTTGCATGCTTTCAGAACTTTGAATCAAGCGTGTCACTTTATCATATTTGTCAAGAGTTAACGCATGCATTCTGTTGAAGTATGACATAATTAAATTTCTTAGAGGGGCTGTTTGTATTAGCCCTACAGGCTCATGAGTTAATGTTGGCAAATAAGAGCTTGCCCTGCGAGGCAACAAAAATTGATGCATATTGATAAAAGATCGTTTACATAGAAAGCAGTGGAGTAATGGCTGGAGGAAGGTGTGCGCCAGAACAAAGATAGGAAGGGGGGAGCTCAAAACTCATCTGTGCAGACTCACCCTCTGAATTTATATTTTGAAACAAAATTTAAACCAATAAAATTCAACGTAGAATGTGTGCGTTTCCGCCAGTTAATAAATGCATTAACCATTGGCAATATGTTTAACAGCCGATTTTGGACTGTTAATGATTTAACAGTGCACAATAACATACTAACATTGAGTATTAAAAATGAAATGAATATATATATGCTTGAGGTGGTCTGTGCATTCAGTCTACTACACAACCAACAATAAAAAAAAAATATTCATGCATCGACTTGCATTGGCTTAAACTGTCAAAAGCTCTTCTTTAACGACATTAAGTCACTATCTGTGTTGTGTTGTCGAATAGTTAAACCACAAAATAGATATTTAAGAAAACGTCCACTCGTGTCGCAAGCAAATTCTAAAGCGGATACGCCTTCCAACAAGATACTTCCGCTAGATCGCAATGGAAAATATAGTTGTTTTTACGAATATATCGTTTTACACTACAAAAGCTTAGAACCTTATCTTCTTAGCAAGATGATAACACTCTGTAAAAATTGTGGCAAACGTTTTCTTTAAACGAGAATTATTAGTAAAATAGCATTCTCGTGCAATACTATTCCATAGTGATTTTGTGAAAGTATCTTGCTGGGAAGTCAAGCATGCGTAGTAAAAAAATACGCCACGATTTTAGTCGAGTGGGCCTTCTGTTAGATGTCTATTCTGTGATTAAACTAACTGAATATGAACTATATTTCATGAATCAAAACACATGTTCTTCATACGGGGGAGGAAGGAAAAAGTAACCACCATTACGAAATTTTTGCTATTGGGCTCGTAGCTCGTCATTCTTTGGGAAATGTTATCTAAATGAGTCTTACTTTTCAAGAATAAAAGAAAGAAAAAAGTAATGGGTTGACTATCGTCAACTGTAACTTCAATCACCCAATTAAAGGAAAAAGAAAATTTAAGAAATAGCTGGGATATTGTTGACGTCTGTGACGGAAGATGAAGTCTTTCATTGACCATGGAACGGATGGTTGATTTCACAGAGAGTGCAGCTATTTTGAAAGATCTGATAATATCCCACAAAAAAAAAGCAATTAAAAGAGATTCGAATCAGAAATCTGTAGGCTGAGGACAACGTGGCCAAATGGCAAACATAGATGACTTAATTATTTGAATATAGACTATGAACGAAAGCGGTAGTCAGAGTTGGACGTTTGACCGTTTAATAACGTACCAATGTCATCTCTCTTGCACCAATCAAGCGAGTCACCTGTTCGCATTGCATGCTATTCGGCATTGCATGCTATTCGGCATTGCATGCTATTCGGCATTGCATGCTATTCGGCATTGCATGCTATTCATTAACGTTTCATTCTTAATTATTTGAATATAGACTATGAACGAAAGCGGTAGTCAGAATTGGAACTTGGAAGTGTCTTTGACCGTTTAATAACGTACCAATGTCATCTCTCTTGCACCAATCAAGCGAGTCACCTGTTCGCATTGCATGCTATTCGGCATTGCATGCTATTCGGCATTGCATGCTATTCATTAACGTTTAATTTTACTTGCTCTAACCTGTAACTCTCTGTACAGTATTGTAAAAATCGTCATCTTTACAAAGCTTATTATGACAAAGACTTCAAAATTTCGTAGTATTCCACGCATGAGATTAAACTAATTATAGTTATAATATAATTATTCAAGTCATTTAAAATGTCGTGTGCATTACTTGTTATTGTAAGAGACACACATGAATCTTTTTTGCATGCTTTCAGAACTTTGAATCAAGCGTGTCACTTTATCATATTTGTCAAGAGTTAACGCATGCATTCTGTTGAAGTATGACATAATTAAATTTCTTAGAGGGGCTGTTTGTATTAGCCCTACAGGCTCATGAGTTAATGTTGGCAAATAAGAGCTTGCCCTGCGAGGCAACAAAAATTGATGCATATTGATAAAAGATCGTTTACATAGAAAGCAGTGGAGTAATGGCTGGAGGAAGGTGTGCGCCAGAACAAAGATAGGGAGGGGGGAGCTCAAAACTCATCTGTGCAGACTCACCCTCTGAATTTATATTTTGAAACAAAATTTAAACCAATAAAATTCAACGTAGAATGTGTGCGTTTCCGCCAGTTAATAAATGCATTAACCATTGGCAATATGTTTAACAGCCGATTTTGGACTGTTAATGATTTAACAGTGCACAATAACATACTAACATTGAGTATTAAAAATGAAATGAATATATATATGCTTGAGGTGGTCTGTGCATTCGGTCTACTGCACAACCAACAATAAAAAAAAAATATTCATGGATCGACTTGCATTGACTTAAACTGTCAAAAGCTCTTCTTTGACGACATTAAGTCACTATCTGTGTTGTGTTGTCGAATAGTTAAACCACAAAATAGATATTTAACAGAAGGTCCACTCGTGTCGCAAGCAACTTCTAAAGCGGATACGCCTTCCAGCAAGATACTTCCGCTAGATCGCAATGGAAAATATCGTTGTTTTTACGAATATATCGTTTTACACTACAAAAGCTTAGAACCTTATCTTCTTAGCAAGATGATAACACTCTGTAAAAATTGTGGCAAACGTTTTCTTTAAACGAGAATTATTAGTAAAATAGCATTCTCGTGCAATACTATTCCATAGTGATTTTGTGAAAGTATCTTGCTGGGAAGTCAAGCATGCGTAGTAAAAAAATACGCCACGATTTTAGTCGAGTGGGCCTTCTGTTAGATGTCTATTCTGTGATTAAACTAACTGAATATGAACTATATTTCATGAATCAAAACACATGTTCTTCATACGGGGGAGGAAGGAAAAAGTAACCACCATTACGAAATTTTTGCTATTGGGCTCGTAGCTCGTCATTCTTTGGGAAATGTTATCTAAATGAGTCTTACTTTTCAAGAATAAAAGAAAGAAAAAAGTAATGGGTTGACTATCGTCAACTGTAACTTCAATCACCCAATTAAAGGAAAAAGAAAATTTAAGAAATAGCTGGGATATTGTTGACGTCTGTGGCGGAAGATGAAGTCTTTCATTGACCATGGAACGGATGGTTGATTTCACAGAGAGTGCAGCTATTTTGAAAGATCTGATAATATCCCACAAAAAAAAGCAATTAAAAGAGATTCGAATCAGAAATCTGTAGGCTGAGGACAACGTGGCCAAATGGCAAACATAGATGACTTAATTATTTGAATATAGACTATGATCGAAAGCGGTAGTCAGAGTTGGACGTTTGACCGTTTAATAACGTACCAATGTCATCTCTCTTGCACCAATCAAGCGAGTCACCTGTTCGCATTGCATGCTATTCGGCATTGCATGCTATTCATTAACGTTTCATTCTTAATTATTTGAATATAGACTATGAACGAAAGCGGTAGTCAGAGTTGGAACTTGGAAGTGTCTTTGACCGTTTAATAACGTACCAATGTCATCTCTCTTGCACCAATCAAGTCACCTGTTCGCATTGCATGCTATTCGGCATTGCATGCTATTCGGCATTGCATGCTATTCATTAACGTTTAATTTTACTTGCTCTAACCTGTAACTCTCTGTACAGTATTGTAAAAATCGTCATCTTTACAAAGCTTATTATGACAAAGACTTCAAAATTTCGTAGTATTCCACGCATGAGATTAAACTAATTATAGTTATAATATAATTATTCAAGTCATTTAAAATGTCGTGTGCATTACTTGTTATTGTAAGAGACACACATGAATCTTTTTTGCATGCTTTCAGAACTTTAAATCAAGCGTGTCACTTTATCATATTTGTCAAGAGTTAACGCATGCATTCTGTTGAAGTATGACATAATTAAATTTCTTAGAGGGGCTGTTTGTATTAGCCCTACAGGCTCATGAGTTAACGTTGGCAAATAAGAGCTTGCCCTGCGAGGCAACAAAAATTGATGCATATTGATAAAAGATCGTTTACATAGAAAGCAGTGGAGTAATGGCTGGAGGAAGGTGTGCGCCAGAACGAAGATAGGGAGGGGGGAGCTCAAAACTCATCTGTGCAGACTCACCCTCTGAATTTATATTTTGAAACAAAATTTAAACCAATAAAATTCAACGTAGAATGTGTGCGTTTCCGCCAGTTAATAAATGCATTAACCATTGGCAATATGTTTAACAGCCGATTTTGGACTGTTAATGATTTAACAGTGCACAATAACATACTAACATTGAGTATTAAAAATGAAATGAATATATATATGCTTGAGGTGGTCTGTGCATTCGGTCTACTACACAACCAACAATAAAAAAAAATATTCATGGATCGACTTGCATTGACTTAAACTGTCAAAAGCTCTTCTTTGACGACATTAAGTCACTATCTGTGTTGTGTTGTCGAATAGTTAAACCACAAAATAGATATTTAACAGAAGGTCCACTCGTGTCGCAAGCAAATTCTAAAGCGGATACGCCTTCCAGCAAGATACTTCCGCTAGATCGCAATGGAAAATATAGTTGTTTTTACGAATATATCGTTTTACACTACAAAAGCTTAGAACCTTATCTTCTTAGCAAGATGATAACACTCTGTAAAAATTGTGGCAAACGTTTTCTTTAAACGAGAATTATTAGTAAAATAGCATTCTCGTGCAATACTATTCCATAGTGATTTTGTGAAAGTATCTTGCTGGGAAGTCAAGCATGCGTAGTAAAAAAATACGCCACGATTTTAGTCGAGTGGGCCTTCTGTTAGATGTCTATTCTGTGGTTAAACTAACTGAATATGAACTATATTTCATGAATCAAAACACATGTTCTTCATACGGGGGAGGAAGGAAAAAGTAACCACCATTACGAAATTTTTGCTATTGGGCTCGTAGCTCGTCATTCTTTGGGAAATGTTATCTAAATGAGTCTTACTTTTCAAGAATAAAAGAAAGAAAAAAGTAATGGGTTGACTATCGTCAACTGTAACTTCAATCACCCAATTAAAGGAAAAAGAAAATTTAAGAAATAGCTGGGATATTGTTGACGTCTGTGGCGGAAGATGAAGTCTTTCATTGACCATGGAACGGATGGTTGATTTCACAGAAAGTGCAGCTATTTTGAAAGATCTGATAATATCCCACAAAAAAAAAGCAATGTTCATGTTTTTTTTTGTCAGTATTTTAGTAAGAAAGTGTTTTCTCTGCAAGAGGTTTCAATTCTAAGATTATGTGAGGACTAAAATAAATTAGATTTTCAAAACCGTCAAGTGAATCCATTGATCATTTATGTATTTGTCCACCTTTATTATTTATAGCACTGTAGGGTAGTTTGAAGAAGTGTCGGGCTGCATAGGAGAGGGCTCGTCTCTAGTGTTTGTGTCGTTTGCGTTTTTGTCAAAGTAATACGATTTGATGATTTTGTGTATAAAAGGTGAGGAAGGAAAGATTTTGTTCAAGATAGTTAAAAGGGAAGTATAAGTCATGATAATATTGAGTTGAGTAGTTATTGATTTTCTGTATGCGATCAATAAGAGTTTTAATCATTTGGGTCTTGAAGTTTTGCGAGGTACAACTATAAGTGTTAAGTATAAGTCCGTTGTCACTTAAGTAATGAGTATGTCTAAAAATGGTAACACAATGTCCGATGTTTCTTTTCCATAGTAAAATTAATCTGTTAGTGTCCTTGTGATGAATGTTTAAGTTATTAAAGAAGGACAGAGCACCATCCTCCTTGTTAGAAATACAAAATATGTCATCTACCGTCTGTGGCGTCTGCAAGTATAAAAAAATACGTTAGGTCCGTCATAGTTCTTGATCTAATTCTGCTCATGGTATCTTATGAAAAGATTGGCAAGAAATTGTGCTATAGTGTTGAGCCCATTGCGACTGCATCAATTTGGTTCATGTCCGTTAAATAAAAAAATGTGCTTTTAATGTGGCGACAGGTCATGATTTTTAATAGTAAGGCTAGGCTGGTGTGAATATAATGCAATGTCTATGGTTGCAGATAAATTAGGAAGATCGATAATAGGGCTTTGAACGTCAAAAGAAACGAAGAATGGTTGCTGTTGTGGTTTAGATTGTGGAGTTCGTAAACAAAGGTAAAGGAGTCTGATGTGGCGTATTCTTTGGGTATAATAGGATTAAGTAGAGTGCATAGGTACTTAGAGAGGCCGTAGTTATAAGATTTAATGGATAAGATAAGTCGAACGGGAGAGTATGTCATATTGTTTTCTTTATTTTTATGAAGTTTAGTGGGACCATAAGAGCGAACAGCATGATTGTGAGCCTCTAGGAAAAATTGAAGGGTTCATATTGTTGTCGATGGAGCCCTGTTTCTCAACATCTCACGGTAAGCGTTGTAATCTGTCTTCTTTGAGTAATGTGGGGTCGTTATTTAATGGTTTGAGCATGAATTTATCATAAATTATATCTAAGCATGCATTAATATTCTCAAACTGCTTCATGTCATTTGCAAAAATATGTTCTTTTAATTTCTAATGCTCTTTAAGATACAGTATTTTTCGATGGTGAAGGATGATGAAGAAATCGAGCTTTGTGGATTGTGTATGAGTTCGTTCTTTATGTGAATATAATTGTTTTTTGGCTTGTTTATAATGGTGTAGTGAATTCGTGGAGAGGATGTCAGCGTTTTTAAAAGTTTTGGAGGTTTCATAGAGAAACAGAGTCCATTCTTTAGCAAATCAAGATCCTCAACTCTGAGTGTGGGAAATGAAAAGATTGGTAATGGCTTCTTTATGTGCATGGGGAGAAAATTTTTTTCTGGTGAGGTTTCACAGTTTCTTGTGGTTATATGTAGAGGGTTGTTGATTTTCTAGTCGACGTTTTTAGTTAAAGTTTTGTTCAGGATATAAAAGTCAATGGGACTTGAGATTTCTCTATTTTATTCATTATCGTTTATACTATATTGTCCTGTATCTATGTAAATTTTGTAGGCACTTTGCACTGAAGACGGCATAAAGTATATGCCAAAACATGCTCGCTGATAAAAAATTGTCGTTCATATGAAATGTCAAACGACATCCTGCGTTTTTGTATCTCTAACACACATTCGTCATACACGATGCTTTGCAGTATAAAGGATATTACATTTTACCACAACAAATAAATGAATCGCGCGAGTCACGTACAATTTAGCTGGCCACAAATGTCACAATAGCAAAAGATTTGGAAACCTCGGTGGACACGCCCAACAGCGATTCATCTTAGGACTCGGTGCACTAGCCTGGACGATAAAATTCAAAATCTTAGAGTATGATTGAGTTGAGAAATCGCTTTTTGGGAATGGCCACAAGGAAAGACATCAACGTGGCAAGGGCACATTGCCTCATATAAAGGGCAAAAAGTGAAAACAGCTAGTAAACCCTTAGATATTGAGTACACTCTCCCTTTTCAAAACAGATTTACGCCCTTGAACGGGAGCTTACACGCAGGAAGAAACACTAAGATTACAAAGAGCAACAATTGTTTTGATTTTTTTCTTACTTCCATTGTGTATTTAGCGCAAAAGTATGTCGTGAAAGCCCAGCTCAAAACAAAAGAGAAGTGCTAAAGCAGCCCTGCAGGAAGACTAGTCTTTTTCGGAAAGTTCATTTAAACAGCCCTTTAGTACTTTAGGTGAGCTACTGTAGCGGCCCAAGGATCGGCAAAATGAACTATACATATAGGCGCTAATCAGTCTAAACTCAAAACATCTTCGTATAAAACTGCTATTTGGTTTGACTTTTTCAAAGAATGAAATCTCACCTATAGATTGGCTATTGTGATTTATTTTGCATAACGCTGGATTCGCTCCTGGTGATCGGGTTACTGCAAGTAAAAAGCATGCAGCGTTTGGCAAAAACTATTTTTTGAGAGCTTAGTTGACTTCAAAATGCTTTTGTTGAGGACTGCATTCACTGCATGAAACTGGGACGCGTCGTATTCCAAGGTTTTTGTCTTGGTGAGTGAATATCGTCATATAAGAACTCATTTCCTGTGTCCGAAAATAATTGTTTCGGTCACGTCTGTAGGTCAGAAACAGTTACTCTCAATAAAAAATATTTTATTTCGGATTTTATCTTGATGAACTTTGCATGTATATATAATTCAACTAGGGATGTTTTGCAAATTTTGGAAGTGGGGGAACGCTTTATAAGGTCTGGTGGCATTTCAAGTTGCTTTTATTAGAAAATTTCAATCGAAGCACAGTATCATGTGGTTGTATAACAAGCAAATTCAGATAAATTATCTTGTATAGAATATGGGTTTAATATATAATATATATTTGCTAGCCACAGTATGACATTACGTGGGCTGGGGAACGCCGTTCCTCCGCGTTAAATCCCCTGCAAAAAAAAGCACTGAATTCAACTCGCTGACCATTGTAAACTAAGCTTTTAAAATGAACAAAGACAAAAAGAAAGAAATAGTCTATAGGCTTTTAGTACTTTGCAAAAGGATCATCGCACAAGTTTGCCAATCTCACTTTGACTTTGCCTTTGTTAACTTTCTCCATTGCTTTCATTACTCTTCCCGGATAGTTAGAAACCATTCCATCTAAATCAATTTCCAGATACTTTTTAGCAACTGATGTAAAGTCTACAGACCGCACGATAACTTTGCTAAAATAGCCAGTCTCTTCTGAGTATTGAACTTGCTTTTTCAATTTCCTCAAATAAAAGAAAGGAAACCAGTTGATTCCTCCGGTGCTAAGCCAAGCGTGACCCGAAGGAACACCCAGTTGACGTAAAACCCTTTCTTTTGCTGCCGAGCTCCGGCCATCCCAGCTAATATCGAAGCCGATTTTTTTTATAATATCCTGATTATCAGTCTTCAGTTGCTTTAAAAGTCCACTTATGAAATTCTTCTTACCTAAGTTCGGAACACTTACAACGACTTTCATGTCTGTGGGATTGTTTTTATATAACGGTATCAAAATTCTACTGACGAACTTCTTCCCGGCTGATGTTAACGTTTTCCCTTTCAATTTCTTCAACTTTACGTCGAACATGACCAGCACCAAGTTTTTATTGAACTTGCCACTCGAAGGGATCGTTCGCTGACGAAGTGCGTTGATGTAATTTCTCACGTACGACCATCGATGACAAAACCTGCCTACATCGCATGGCCATCCTTGATAGAAATATTGAGGTGTCCCATTCCACTTGAATCTAACATCAACTTCAAGTGCATTCGCTCCATATCCCAGCCATGTATCTATTTGCTTCACGGAATTCACCATGTTAGCTATGTTGTAAATAGGACGATCGCAATCTACGTCTGAAGCAATTGACAAGATAATGATGGCCATATGAGCGAATGTAAGTAAACATTTCGACATGATCCGACTTTTTCGATTCGGCACCGCTCTCACAATTCAAATACCCGAAATACGTAACTTGATAATGTACGACAATTTTAGCCTGCTTGTTTGTTTCTTGACAACTAAGAAAGAATAATTTGTGTAATTTACATGCGATTTTTTTTGCATTTCCGAATCATGACATTGCTATCTGATAACCAATTAAATTTCGACATGTTCAAAATTTGGTAAGTCACAATAGTTGTTCTTAGTTATTTTGCTTGCAAGTGTGCAGAAAACGGATAACTTACCAGTTCAGTTTTAAAAAAAAATTATATAAAAATGGCGATGATCAATATCCAAAAATATGTCAGAATAAAAGCCTGCGCAACAATCAGCGTTAAGACTTCTCATAAAAGTAAAATGTTTTATCTAATTACAAGTAAGGGTTTTAAAAATTTTGTCACAAAATACTACCTCAGAAATTCCCTGATATCCTAGTTAGCAAGAGAGCAGTATTTATCGTGTATCGCTTTCCTTTTATAAAATGGCATCGTAATTGATAAAGCCTTTGCTATTTAGTGGGTCTGGCACGGAATCTGCATGAATAAGAAAGCTATTTAATCATGTATTCTATGGATCAAACAATGAATAATAAGCAGATAGCACTTACGAATGAGCTGTGAAGGGAGAAGCAACTATTTCAAAAGACAGGGTGTACTAAATTAAAGATTTAAGGGACAATTAATCAGGACGAAACGAAGCAAAAGCAGACGAAGCTGGCAAAGATATAGTTTTCTATTGACTTCCACCGATGTACGTAATACGAAGATCAGAAGAAGCTTTGTTTATTGTGTTTCATGCACAAAATGAGTTTTTCTGCCACGCAATATGAATATCAAAAGTCTTTGTCATTTGGTGTTTTATTTGGAAGACGAAGTTTATTTGCTACGTAATCAGTGATTGAGTTTTTCTTGATGATGAATCAATTGACTCGTTACGAACCCAATATTGCGATTGATAGATCTGACAAAATTTCACAGAATAAGCGACCAAATAGCGATTTATACGCTGGAGCTAACGAAGGGCACAGATGGCTTAAATGAAGACTTTATATGAGTCATATGGTGGAAATCACAATTAAGGTCTTCGATGATTAGTTGAGCCACAATAGAGCATCATCCGGTTTTTTCATGCATGTCAGGTATTTCCATCACGTACAAACTTTTTATACATTTGATATTCAAGTCAATCATACGAGTCACGTGTTTTGCAAGAATTTTGCAAGCTATCTATGTAAGAGTTTTGTTCGCTCTAAGTTTAACTTATCGGTAACTGTAAGTATTTTAGAAATCGTCACAATAACTTTACCCAAGCTTATACTTACAAATGATTCGAAATTTGGCAGCATTTCGCAAATGCCATACATTAATTATATTAACTAATAAGTCCGATGAATTCTGTATGGCCAAATTACACTGTCCATTTCTATTGCATTGTATGAGAAAGAAACTTTTTAAATACTTTCCTCATGTTAAATTAAACGTGATATCAACATGTCACATTTGATAAGCTTTGCTTCATAGCCGTAAGATCTTGCTAAACACATTCTGTTGAAGTATGACCTGGCATAATAGAGGATACCTAAACATCGAGCTAAGGACTCGAGCTCAGACTCAAGCTTGAACTCAACTTTGGACTCAAGCTATGATTTGACCTTAGACTCTCAAGTATGGACTTGATTTTAGACTCTAACTCGGTCTTCAAGTCTTCAACTAAATTAACGTAGTGCGTTGCGATCGAAAGTTAACAGCAAAAATATAGCTCTGCCTTATAAGATCACAATGAGAACTAACGAATCCGAATTTATGCATAAAGACAACGAAACACTTGCATGATTTCCTTTGCGAGACAATTATAAGAAAACGTCAGAAAACGCTTTTGAAAGATAATCAAGATGATATAATGAAGTATTTTAAATCAAAAATGGTTTGTTGTGAAAACGATTGTGATTTGTCGTAGAAGTTCGTGAGAAACCTAACCGACTTACTCCGAATAGAACTGACTTTTAGTCCGAAGTTGACTCCTAGCTCGAGTCCTAGCTCGAGTCCTAGCTTGAGTCTGAGCTCGATTCCGAGCTCGAGTCCTAGCTCGAGTCTGAGCTCGAGTCCTAGCTCGAATCCGAGTTCGAGTCCTAGCTCGAGTCCTAGGCCGCGTTCAGACTGAGTGCCGGAGAACGATACCCGGGTTCGGGCACAGATCTGCAGGCTGTTCACACTACGAAGTACTTACTAGTTTCGTCTATGTTTATTTTGATTTCTTCCATAGTTAACAAGTTTTAAAACCATGTGCAATACGTGCCTCTGCGTACATTTCACTCTGGTTATGGTATGTTTGATGGCGGCCGTATCTATTGTAATGTTTCACCATAATAAAGCAGAGTCCAGCAGAAGATTGCAGGGTCATCGTGCTTTAGTTTTACATGTGACAAAAGTATTTTGCAAGACAAGATCTTTAATTCATAATATTATTGAATCAAAACATCATAATCGTTGTGGACGTGTATGGGCCTTTCCTCGCATGAAAAACATTTTGGACAGTGAATTCACTGGCTTGAGCGAAAAAAGATGGCTGGAGAGTTATCGTTTACCAAAGCGCCTAATTCTGCAACTAGTAAATTCGATGCGTTTACTTGGTCGACAATCCACAAGGCTGCGACCTGCTATACCAGTTAACATCATTGTAGCAATGATGTTAAAAGGCTAGGAAAGGGTCTTGATTATCGAGAAATCGGAGACAAATTCGGAGTAGGAGCGTCAACAGCTTGTACAAAAGTCAACGAAGCTCTGAGATTTTTGATACGTACAAAAAAATATATGTTGAATCGTTTACAAGAGCGTAGAAATTTAAAAGAAATAGTAGATGGCTTTGCCAAAAAGTGGAATATCCCCCAGTGTTTAGGCGCAGTAGATGGCACCCACATCCCTATTAGGGCTCCTGTAATGCATCATGCTGATTACTTCAACAGAAAATTTTTCATTCTGTAATTTTGCAAGCTGTTTGTGACAGTGAATGCCACTTTACAGACATTTTGTTGGCTGGCCTGGCAAATCCCATGACGCACGTGTTTTCAGCTGTTCAAACATTGGACAAAGAACCATTAATGGGAATTTAATCGAGGGTGGTACTTTAACCAAACAAATTAATGGAAAAAACATTGAACCGTTCCTTATCGGCGATCCTGCTTATCCTTTACTGAAACACCTAATGAAAAACTATGCTGGTGCTAATTTGGGACATGAGAAGGAATATTTCAATTATAGGTTAAACCGTGCACGCATTAAAATTGAGAGAGCATTTGGCCTTTTGAAAGGTCGGTGGCGATGCCTTCTACATCCTTTAGAATGTGACATTGAGAAGGTTTCACTCCATGTTACTGCCGCCTGCATTTTGCACAATATATGTCAGGAAGGTAATGCTGAGTATCGTCAAGAATGGGATGACAGGAATAATGATGATTTGGATTACCATTCAGAATCAAATTCAACAAGAGAGGAAAATGAAACTGTTGAAAATGCTGAAGATATTAGAAAAGTACTAACTCATTATGTCTCTCATTATTGATGGCAACAGCTAAAATGAAAATTCAATCAAGTACTTTGAAATTTTTGATGCTTAAAGATAGCCAAGAAGTGTTTTTATTGCAGACTTTCACAAATAAACATTCTTGTTGAAGAAAAACAGTAAATTGGAGAAAAATCAACCAGAGTGACTGACTGGATGTTGGACTACCTGTTGTAGTTCCATTTAAGCAGCATTTAAGCAGCATAGTTTAGCAAATTGAAAAATTTACCTACTTGGCTCACAAAAGACAAAAAAGAAACCTGCAACTTTATTAAAATATAGACAGATTATACATGTACAAGCTAAGCATTTTACTTTATCAAAGAGTTGTTCCTGTTTAAATTCATCATGTTACCTGGTTTCTTATGTGTAGGGACAAAACAATCAATAACACTTGTCATTCTTGCTCACACTCCAGTCCATAACAGCCTAGTTTAATGCCCTTATCTTTATACCCACATATCTATTGAGAATTTGGAAGGCTCTTCAATAGAAAAATAAATACTGAACAAAAGAATACATTGTTAGTTGAGTCAAGGAATCATCAAATTAAGCAGAGTTCATTAAAGATGAGGAAGAGACTGCAAAGATTTGAAAGAACAGCTTATTTATTTCTCAACCTCTCAATTGAATGCATGAAGCAAAAAGTACACTTAAGAAAAAGACATGGTCAGTCATTTTATTTTTTACATTTCTGATAAAATGTCTATAATTGCACAATAATTGAACAATAACACTATTAAGGCTAACTAAGCTTTTTTCAACATAAAAAATGAATTACCATCACTTGTATTTAGAAACAAAACTGTTTACCATTGCACCTTTTAATTAATATGCAAAGCATTCAAGAATCCAATCAATGCAACAGTTGATCACTTAACTTAAACTTAACAATCTATATAGTCTGACCTTCACATTATATGCTGACATGTAAAGTATGTTATCCTCGTGAGAATTTTAGTCATGCTGTGCAAATTGATCTAAATCAATATCTTCACATGATGAAGTGTAAGGTGATGGTGTCGCTCTATCCGAAGGACTGCTACTATATGGCGATGAGCTTCTTGATAAAACATGAGGTTGAAAACCATGGGTCATGTGATGAGAAAATTGAGTATTTTGTGGGTATATTGGATTGCCGAAAGGTACGTGCTGTGACGCACCATGACAGGCCTGTGTCAACATTTGAGTCATTCCAACCATTGTGTTACAGAGATTAGAAAATATTTCCTTAAAAAATTCTCTGTCTTCTTGACGTTCAACCTCGCGCATTTCTGGAGTTAAAACACTGTTTGACAATGTCTTCTGTAATTCTTCAAATTGATCATTAGAACTCTTGACCACATCAACTAGTCTAGCTCTTTTATTGGATCGTCTTTGAATTGATTTTCCAGCTCTTTTCTTGTATTTTGTACAGCAGCATCGTGACCAGCAGCATCATGATCAGCAACATCGAGATCAGCAGCATGATGATTAGTAGCATGTACACCAGTGACCAATTGACCAGTACAATCCTGTCCAGAGTCTTCTGTCTGTACCACACTTTCACTTTGAAACAACTGATCCTCAGGAGGATCATTAACCGGCCTAGTACCTTCATATTTAATCAATAATTATGTTTACATCAATTGTTTTCAGTATTTTCAAAACAACATATAACTGGTAGAAAACAAAGATTTTAGGTAGAGCTGTGATAATGCTATCTTACCGAGAATTCCATCCAGCAAGTCCCAGTGCTTTAAAGCCAATTTTTCCAAGTTGCTAAGAGCGCTTGAGAAGTATGGGTGTTCGGATCCAGATGTTTTCATTCTGTCCTTCAATTTTACATATCCACTTCGCAGCTTCTTCAGCTTTGTCTTAATTTGATCTACAGTCCTTTCTGTATGCGGCTCTTCTTTCATGGTTCTTTGTATATTGTTAAACAATTCTTTATTTGAGCTCATACTATCAATGTTTTTTTGCACAGTTTCCGAGTTATAAGCGTTCAAAAGAGCAACTGTTTCCTCGTTCGTCCATTTAGCACCCGCCATCTCTGTTGTGACGCCGTTCTTTGCGTTCACATTGGTGCCCGTGCCTGAGCACCGTACTCGGGTACTACCTAATTTGGGGGTGCCCAAACCCGGGCACTTTGACTCAGGCACCATCAAAATGTTGTGTTCACATTGGTGCCCGTGCCTGAGCACCGTACCGGAGCACTCAGTCTGAACGCGTTGCTAGCTCGAGTCCTAGCTCGAGTCCTAGCTCGAGTCCGAGTTCGAGTCCTAGCTCGAGTTCTAGCTCGAGTCCTCGGCTCGGTAAATAGTATATCTCGGCATAATAATTCTATAGACGGTTTGATTGAGTTACTATACAAGGTACAAAAAATTGGTAATCATTGCGTATACGTAAATAACTACACAATTTGATAGTGAGAAAAAGAAAAATTGTGAAAACTGAAGATTCTTTCTTTCATATCAGTCGCTTTTCTCTTTTCAAAGTCGCGATTCGACAGAATTCGAGATTACATGCTTAGTATAGTTTCCCACCCATATTTTCTATGAAAACATCACATGATACGAAAAAGAACACTTAACTCACCCTAATCATGCAGTATTTGAAAGAGATTGACATTGTTTTGTTGACATACGACCACTATATTTCTCCTACCTTCTCCCCAAAAAACATATTTTCCGCCATATCGTGCCGTCTTGTATGCTTTTCTTGTTGAGTTTTGCAAGCATTTGTTGATTTATGTACATTTCAATAATAACTGATGACAAGATAACATTTTATGTACTTTTGTCACGTTTCTATGAAGTGCAGTGTCCTTTATCTTAGAAATTTTGCACACCAACATTGTGTCGAATTTGTCGCCATTATGAAGTATCGTCCCTTCTCTGCATGATAAATCACGCTTCTCAGACTTCATATGTATTTTAATTGTAATAACGCTGAGCAAATCATATTGTAGTTAAATGTTAATTGAATGAATTGAAAAGATTAGAGCCTTTAGAGGTACCTGTAACGGAAAAACCTCCCATAACACAATTAGGAATTAGGATCCCGTTCAAACACTTAAGTAAAATATGTGTCACGAATGATGGTGAACAACTTTACACAGGGGAACATTTTAATAAGCGTTTGCTTTCATGCCAATCACTGTGCCAATGTAAATCAAAGCAATTGTTATGTTTATCATCATAAGTTTATCACTCACAAAAACTAAAATGGATGTGGAGCTAAACAATCGACGTTTCAAGAAAAGAGTATTTCACACGATTTTACACCGATAAACGATTGTAATGTGATAATTTTTTGTGCTGACTGCCAAGAGAACAAACCTTTTGTGAATTAAAAGTTCCCCTGTCAAGTTTTTTACGCGAGTATTTCTCGAAGATCACGCGTAACGTACATGTTATTTTAAATGATTAAATTGCTGTGTTTTAAAATTCGATCCTAAATATGCTACGGGAGGTTTTTCCGTTACTGGTACGTCTAATCTTTTCAATTTTTCTATTGGGACTTAACTAATATGTATTGCTCAGCGCTACTTTAATCAAAATACTGTAAATACATACAAAGTCCGAGAAGCGTGATTTATCGAACAGAAAAGCGAGGAGAATTTGCAATGGCAGCAAAATTGACACAATGTCTGTTTGGGATGTCGGTGTGCAAAATAAAAAGACGAAACTCGCACAAAATGTTGTTTTCTCACTACTAATCATGAAAATGTACAAGAATCAACGAATGCTTGAAGGACTCGACAAAAAAAGCATGCGGGACGGCAAAATATGGCTGAAAACGTGTTTTGGAGAAAGGTAGGCGAAATATAGTTCATCGTATGTCAACAAAACAGAGTCAATCGCTTTCAAATAATGCATAATTAGAGTGAGTTAAGGTTAAGTATGCTTTTTCGCCTCATGTGGATTTTTGTGAAGGTATGAAAATTCAATCTCTGCCAAGAATATTTGTTGCAAAATTGAAATTTGACCAGGGATATGTGGGCATGGTAATTTTCTCAGTAAATATTGATCTTATGCAATTTTTCCTCCCATGACCACCCTTAAAAGTGGACCTTCTGAACACGTAAAGCACTTCAAAGAGGTTATTTATAGTTGTTTTTTAAAGTTAGAGATGTATTGGCACTGCCATTTCAGATGGAATTGAAACTTATGCAATGTGGTTCACCATGGTCATTTTACCTAAAGCAGGTTTAGGTTACTTTCGGGATATGAATTGCGTAAAAACTCTTATACAGGTCCTTCACTAAAACCAATGTAAACAAATTTCGTAAAGCAAACAGCAAAAGTTTTGAAAACGCAGCATGAAAACAAACAAACCATGCACAAATGTGTGACGAAGAAAGAACACTCGAAGATTGAGTTTCACTATCCAGATGACACAATTTCAAACGATTTATTGTATACTCACATAAACCAAAGGAGTGAAAGCTAATCGTCAGGTCAAATAACGCAAAATAATAAATGTTTTATTAACCTTGCTTACTCGCTCTTAACCGAGAAATATCCGACCTCGGTCTGATAGTCTAAAACTGTCTTCATACAACTTCAAATTTTTCAATATGAAGCCCAACATGAACTACGATGCAACAGTTGCTCCTGCAAAATTAGTGTAAACAGCCGTTGGCTGACAGCGATGAAACTTGAGCCCCATCGCTTTGCAAATGCTGTTGCAATAGTGAGTGCGGAAAAAATTATACATGCCTTCTCTTCCAAGATTTGTCTTACCGAATCTCGTGACCTTGCCACAATGTACAGCAGGGTCGGTAAGAACGTATCGTACTTCACCAGAGCTTTCGTCTTTCACGCCTTGAAGGTCCACAACCATGAGATATCTACGTTGAAATGTATAAGTGTTAAAGATATCTGTACTTCTCAATGGCGTGCTCTAAAGTGTACATGTAATACAATTTTTGTTGAGCCATGCAATGGTACGTCATGCAGAAAACTTGGTAATATGAGCGTAGCACAACTGTATAAGCATAGACAGAAATGAAACTCCTCAAGAATGATGAAAGAATTTTCTCAATTTTACAGTAGACTTAACACACTTAAATGGCTGCCAAAATTATTAATCATTTCAGGTGAATGAGGTGATCGTCAGTTTAAAATGGACTTTCTCTTAAACAAGTACCCGGTTTCTTCCCTCAAGTCAAGTAAAATCTTTGTTCTTACATAATAATGGGAAGACCATGTAAATCGTGGCAAATCGAACTCTTTGATTTTTTATTAAATGTATTTGAAATAAATCCCTTTACACTTTTTTATGTATGTCCCCGACTGAAAGATTTCAATCAAAGTTAAACATGACTACACTAGATTACCTATTTGAAGCCCAGTATGTCCAGTGACTAAACGCGTTCAGCGTGGCGGTGTACGAAAACTCATTGACAAAACCCGAATTGTTGTTGAATTTGATGTATTTTCCAGGAATGTAATTTTCCATTGCATAATGAACCTCCTGAGTGCCTTCGGTAGCCGTAACAACAGACACGTCAGCAAAATGAACGTCTCTGGTTCCTTTCGGCTTGATGGCATTGAATTTCCTGGACAAAGCAACTGCAACACATTGAATTTCCATCTGTTCTACATACCTGTCCAATTGGTTCTCGCTCGTAAATTTAAACTGCTTGAGCACCAGCGGTGGCTTGCCATCATCATTTTTATCTTTACCATGAAAGGCAATACGTAACTTCCCTTCGGCAAATGGGTTGTTTGCAATTATGATGCTCCGGTCGTCGTCATTATAAATTTTGAATTCCCTTCTCAGGTTTTTGACATCATCAGGGATTACAATCTTTCGAACGGAAACTTTCTTGGCGGTGATCGACTCCCAATGTGGAAGCTCTTTCACAATTTGGAATTTCACCTCTCCCGTAACCCCTTCTCGGACGACCTCATCACCGGCATTCTTTTCCATGATCTCGACGGAAACCGATATCGAGCCGACCACAGCTTGAACAAGATCATCAGCGGACGCCAAATCGATTTCATTGATGCTCATCAGACTTTGGAACTCTTTTATCATTTGATCGGTTGTGTTGCCAAGTTTAGCAAACCAATACAGAATATTCATCTCCTGCAACTTTGCCAGTAAATCTTCTATTTTAAGGCCGCGAGGATCCCCATTAGGATAATCATCGCTAACGCTTGGATCGTGAAAACGGTTTCCATGGCAAGGACTGTCGGCTATGTGGAACAAAATTCGTGTGTGTTTACTCCAAGATAGTTTGGTAACTTCTTCAATGCCACCAAAGACATCTTCTGGCGCGTCTCCACCACCTGTTGCGGTGACTGCTGTCATGTGGCTTTGAAACTGGATTATCGACTCTGTGAAATCCAAGATGACGATTCTCGCATTACCATCGCAGTGATCTCTATAGCCAACAAACGCGACCGAAAAATCAAAATTAGCAAACATTTTCTTCGATATGTTAACTATGTGTTGAATCTTTTCCTTGACACCATTGATGTAGGACGCCATGCTCCCTGTGCAGTCCAGAAGAAAACACAGGTTTACAGACTGCGCCCCGGCCATTAACTTTAATACACGATCGATTTCTCTTTTTCTTTCTTCCTCGGCCAGAACTTCCGTTTCCAATTCGTCGATCCTTGTCCTCGTCACACATCTGCTCGCTGTATCCTCCATGTTAGCCTTTTGCTGCAGAAATTTCTCATAAAGCTTCTTCTCCTCGTCCTCCGTCAACAGATCTGACTGCGAACGCAACATCTCTTGGAATCTCTTTTCCATGCCGGCAAAAAAACTGGAGAACATACCCCCTCTAGGAGCCTCAACGGTCTTTTTCTCTTCACTGTCGCCAGAGTTCATATCTATATATGACAAACATTGAGTTGTAAGAAAGTACGTAAGGATATGAGCTACGAGCATTCATTGCGTATATTGAATGCAAATAGAACCTCTTAAAGTGAAAAGGATGATTTTGATCTATGACACCGTGTGATCCTTGAAAGTCAATAAGTATACAATACCTCCCTCCCCCCCCTCACACAAACACTTAATATTCCAGTTGCGACCTTTACCATGCAGGGATCACAGGAGTAATAGTAAATTAAATAACCAAAGTGGCAACTACTATAACATTCCACAAGAATGACTTTCAGCAGAAATCAGTCGGGCACAACTGAACGTATGAATGTTAACCGGCCCTGACCTCGGTGTTCTCAAGTATTTCATTCAGGAAGAGAATAAACTAAATTAAGAGAAAGGACAGGAAAACCAAAGTCGATGAACGTCAAAAAAAGCTGCATTGATTTTTCCAATATAGTTCTGAAAGACATGAACTGGAGCATTGTTTCAATGGACTCGTTTATTTGGAAATGAGTTCGAGTCGTTTGAGTTTAAATGGATTGTGTTAAACATTAAAACCTGTCTACTAGACCTCTCCCATCCTGTATCTTTACTCCACCTGAATTATTGTATTTCCCTTAAGATTATTCTAAACACAAAATGTCAATTAGACTAATCTATAATTTTTTTCACCATCATCTTTTATTCCGTTAATATGACCGAACCTTCTTTGTATCATGCCAATACTGAACAATTGAAACATATTGTTGAATAATTGAATCAAGCAAGAAGCACGACCTAACTCTCGGACACAAAATGTATGACATAGACACACAAGAGCTTCTCTTTTTGAGGAGAGGGGAGAAGGAGGCTGTAGCTTACTTTCCCATGTTTTTAACGTAATGTAAAGCTGTTCCATGAATTGACTCATAGCCGCAAACTGGTTTTGTGTTTTGAATGAATTGGCGCAAACTGATGTCTATTTTGTATAGGAAATTTGACAGTGCTATCCCAACCCTCCTCAAATCTTTTTCATTTGCCTATGCCCTAAAAGTCTCTCTTCAAATTTGAGTGAAGGAGATTCGAACCCACCCTCCCTTGCTCGTGTGACAACCGTGAGAACGTGTGTGAATTTCAAAAAATCCCTTGAAAAGCTTATTTGGCATGATGAATCGCAGCTATAGCCTAGGAGGCTGTCAAAGAACTTTTAAAATACAAACAAAAGATAAACAAAATGACTTAATAATCGTAAAAGTCAAAAAGTGTCCGTTCGGTAGTTTCAAAAGACAATGTTATTAAGCGATTGTCGACATTAGACTTGAAGGTTCTTACAATCCATTTGTTGTATTAGTTCAAGCCGACGTTGAGAACCATTAATTGTGCTACATGCAAAAGTTTAAATACAAAACTGACAAGTTTATTGGTCCAAGTCTTTGCGGTCGTGCATTAATTTGAAACGCACTTCTTCATTTTAATACACGTGAATAATATTTCTTGAGATTAGTTTTGTTAAGGTTAGGTGAAATAAATTTTGATTTTCACGAACAAAACATATGGCAAAGAACGAGAACAAGGTGTTGATAAAGACCTTTCCATCCAACTACTTGTTCGTTTTAGTTTCGTTTCAGCAAACCAAAAGAGTAAGTTCAACGACACGAATGACTAGTTGACGTTAAGTTAAACATCGCATGTTGCACAGGTTTTAAATTGTTGGGAAGGATTTTAGTCTAAGAGTTGCTTACAAAATACGAACTCAATACGAAGGCTCGTGCTTTAAGTACCGGATGGGAAATATGAGAAAAGAAATATCAATAAGAAATGAAAGAAATCCAACTTTACAATGGTTTATCGATACATTGCGCTTTAATGTAGGATATTCATAAGTTTGCGACAAAGATAATTGTGAAAGGTTGAAAAAATGAAAAATTATTAAAGTTAAATTTATTTTAACCCGTAATAAACAGATAACGAAAGCAAAACCCGAAAAGCAGAACAGACTTTAGTTGAAGCTCAAATTGTTTTTCTTGCGTAGTTATTTTCTGTGGACAGAAAAAACTTCATACACATTAATCAACACATGTACCTTATAGAACGTTTTGATAATCGATGATAAAAAAGCGGTGCATTGATTTCACCGACAAAATATTCAATGTCTCTGCATGTAAAGTTCAATGAGCTAATATTAATTGAATCAAGATAGCTTCAAACATACCGGCCATGATTCAAAATCCAATGGAGTATAGTTTATTACTGAATGCCCTCTCTAATTCTCTTCAACATTCATTTGCTTTTCCTGTGATTACTGTCATGCCCGTGGTTCGGTTAGAGCAAGGAAACAGTCACAATTCAGCATAAAACTTATTCTTCTTGGAACAACTCCGGATATACGTCATACATGCATAAGTTTAGTGTCACACCAAGCACCTGTGATATATTAATCCTAACACAGTTTTATATGCACATAAAAAAATGTGATTTCGACGAAATTTCATGTGCTATAAGACCATGTTAGGATTAATATATTATATATATTTTCTGATGATGGCTTTGAAATAAAGTCGAAACACTGTGCCATCCAGTAAACTGCTATAGTGGCGAGAATCTCTCGTCCATACGCAGTTTAAAAGAGATTTGACTTGTCTCCAATCCCTGTGGGCTTGGTAGCTCAACAGGTAGAGCGGCGGACAAGTGTCCCGAAGGTGCGATTTCAAATCTCGTCCAAGTCGCATGTTTTTCATATGCATATTAAAAACCGTGAGGGTGGGCATCCTCTTCACTTTTTAAATCTGACTTGCAATTTATTGGGAAAAAGTCCTGGTTCCACCCACCTCTCTCACTCTATTTCAAGCTACTAAAAACCCGTAAGAAATGGCGGAATTGAAAAAGAAATTTACTTATATATGCGGCGCATAAAATAATGCCATTACCGCCCGTGCTAAAGAGCTATATTTGCCCAGCGGTGTAGAGTTGATGTAGTTGTCGACGTCGTCAACGCACAAGTTAGTATTGACAAAAAGATAAACAGAAAAAAACTTCGAACGCGATATTGACCAATTGATCAATTCTATAGTCGTTAAACAGTACCATGCAAGATGTTAAAGTAATTTTTGTATTCAAATGAAAGATATGCCTATTCACCATATATCGAAATTCTAACTCTAGTCAGTGTAGGCTCAATTTTCGTATCACGAAAAAGTCACGAAAACAAACCACATAATCCGCAATAAATCGTTATATAGCTACCGCCTAGTCGGCGTGTCGTTTTATTCGGTTCAGTTGGAGTAGTGTAAATATATCAAGTGGCAATCCACATTCGAGAGAAACTAGCCAAATAATCTATAAAAAACTATGCTATTGCTATGGTCATGGTCAAAAACGTTGTCACACGTTCGTTTCATTCAGCGACTGCTTCTCCAGATATACGATTTGTCTGCTTTGCTTCGGTGCTACTGAAATTGGAATGTTGTATTCCAAAGGCATCGACAACAGGATTAGAACAAGGTTCATGCCGGAACCGGTGAGAAAGAATACGTTTGCAATAGACCACGCGTACAGTTTGTCAAACTTGACGCTCGTATGCACGCTCAACGTAAAGTAGACAATGTTGGGAGTGTAGCTAATCCAGCACGACAGAATTTGCAGGATTAGCAGCGCGGTCATTTTTCGATTACCGAGCTTCAAGATTTGCATGCAATAGGTGTTATTTCGAGCGATCTTAATGACAACGTAGCCATGGGCTATTGTAGAAGACAGGATGGGAACGACCATGATAACGATTACGATCGACAGGAAAAGGACCTTGAACGTTTCGTCTTTAAAAACCGCTTCGCAGAAACCTTGCGAATGAAGCTTGAATATGAAAAACGTGGGTACGGTGAAGATGCAGAAACAAATGACCCACAGACCAGTTAAAAGTGCGAGGCAAATCCGTCTAGAGCACAGTTTCGTCGGGCTGAACTTCACCTGATAGGCGCGAAAAATGGCAAGCAAGGAGATGCTAAAAAGTGTAGCTCCCTGGAACGTCTCCTGCATTTGTACGACATACTTACACGTAAACTCGGTGAGTTTCAGTGGTTTAACAGTGTTCTCGTAAATTTCGATAGGTATGGTCACTGTGCATACACCCAAGCAGGCAAAAGCAAAACTTAGTGCGAAGTAGTTGCTATTGTGCCAGGTGACGTGTCGTCGTCTGAAAGAGCCGGAAAAAATTCCCAAGTTCGCGAAAAAGCCGACGGCCATGACGATGCTGTAGGGAACCAATTGCACCTTTTTGAAATGCTCCGCGTAATCAAATATGTATTTTGTGTCGTTTGGCTTAGTTTCGTTCAACATGTTGTCCTCTTGGTGATACTTAAGCCTTGAAAGAAAAAAAATCAAATCAATATCATTCGCGAAGGCATTACGCAATGGCATGAATGGAAAATGAAAATCATTGCTGGAAAAGCAGATATCCGCAAATTTTCCTTTCCAAGCAAAATTTTCGTAAGTGGAAAAGGGCCTTAACTCTGAAATTTCATTCTAACATCCCAACAAAAACCAGCAGATGTGAAGCAGACAACTGAAATAAAATAGCGTACTTGTGTGTTAATACAGTATAAATAAACAGCGTTCAGTTGTCCCAGTCTAACGCAAACATGCTCTTTTTACAGTAGTATCAAATTCGTTGCTGGACAAAAGCCTCTTGAATGGAAAAACGAGTTTTCGATACTTGTAGACTACTAGAAATGCTTCATAGCTACGTATTCCAACTACGAACGAATTGCATCAATTCATGAAGAAAATGTGTATTTTCTTACTTACTTTTGGGTCGCAATTTTCTTTCCAATAGTAACCCTACAAGATGTCGAAAGATGACTCTTATGAAGAAAAAAAATAGTTTCGCTGAGAGCATTTACTTCGCTTCAATGCATTCAAAGTGTGCTAACAGAAGTGTGGTCAAAGTCTCAAAGCACAATTGTGATTGATAACATAGACATCTAGGATTACGCTTTTATAAGTGCTCAATGATATCTCAAGACATGCCAATGTGAAAAATTATTTGAAAATTAGTGCTCTGGCGCCTGGCCACTTGAGTATGAAGTTGATTGGAGACATCTGGCCAGACAAGAGTAAGTTCGTAACCCTGCACCAGGCTGCAAACTTTTCACTCGAGTGCTTGATGTGTTATTTCACAGTCCACCGGGGAGAGAGAGGGGGGGGGGTTATGCTCAGGTGACATAGGGTAAAATCATAAGATGACTATGACTTTCAACAAGTGGCGGATTACTCAATAAGTTATACAGGCTGAAGCCAACAGGTCCGGACTACAGACTAAAGACCCCGTAATTAGTAATCTGTCATTGCTGTCAACATTGCATGAGGGGCCAAGTCTGAAATGATAAGATCCCCGCAAAAAATTGTAGTGCCGATGTTGCTCCAAGTGTTTAACTTCCAGGAAAAATAGTAATGATAATGAAGCTGGAGTAGTCTAAAATCTTTTAAATACTCCATTTTACGGGTGTGTTGGAAAAAATTGTAATAATCATGGAGAATTTAGAAAGAAAATGACGATTTATTAGAGTTAGCGGGAAAGGTGCTACATGCATTCACAAAATCATTCGAAAACCTGCATTACCATCTATTGGCCAAGTCAAGAGCCATGTCTATGACATCTAAATCCTATAGAAAAGCCACCACGAGAGGTGACAAAACTGCTGCGCAGATACCGAAGAGTAGACGAGAATTCTGTAATTGAATAAAAATCGTTTGTCTTCTCGACAATGATAACGACAACGAGTGCCCTTATCAATTTAATCTTACTAAGACTTGAAGAAATAAACATTCCTTTGTTGCCATAGACCATGTGAATTACACAATAAAAATAATACCTGTAACTTGTAACGTAGATCATAAACAAATAAAAAGTCCTCGTATTTTCAGATGGATATTAAGTTTCAATTTCACAGTCTCTGTTACACCTACCTATCTACCTCCAAGACACAGCTTTTGTGTGATTATTTTGTCCTGTTGTCAGTTGATTGTTGAGTCTTGCAGAATGGTGAAAGCACTTGTGAATTCTTGAACATCGATTCTTGCAAGCGAATAGGATTTCAACCAAATCCTATGCATAGATAGTTGACACTCAAAAATGTCGCAGCTTATCTCACAGATAAATCCCGCGTCGTGATTGCGGTCGATCTTCGACTAAGACATTATACCTAAGTACCAATCGAAAATTTTAAAACAATAACTTAACTTGTTTGGGAAAAAATCGTTCAGTACACGTTTAGGATAGGAATCCAAAGCATATAAAAATAGGCACGAGTGCGTACTTGAGCTTATAGCTTACCCTAGGGTGTTGCGCGGTTTTTGACCTCGTTTACACTCTACCGGATTGCTTTTCTATCGGATTGATTTCCTATCGGATAGTAATTTTATGTGTGTTCACACTATATTGCCGCTTGGCTCTTTCGAAGTTTCTATTGTCATGGTAACAGATAGTCTTTCGCCTAAATTGCACAACATGTCTTCGAAAGCAAAGGAATTGAAAACTTGAAAGCCATCGAAAGACTATGAGATACTTTTCGAAGTATTTAAAAAATGTGCATTGCAGAAGCTTGAAAAATAGATCGACTGGGAAGACTGTGGGGACAATAGATGAAAAAATTACAAAAACATATCATACGGATAATACCCTAATATCGAAAACAGCAAGCATAAGAAAGACTACCCGTTCATATCACATGAGATGAACCATTGTAAATTTTCGGGCGTAACAAATATCAAATGTTGCGCCAAATTGAAGTTTCTATCAGATTGCACTCTTTACACTACGCCGCCGACACGTATCGCATTGCTTATCGTGTCACTTTCAAAGCGGAGCGATTTTCGCTACGCAAGACATAGCGAATTTATCCGACCCAGTGTAGACAACAGTCCAATCAAATACAAAAATCACGGCACGACGATGCAATCTGGTATAGTGTAAACAGGAATTTATATTATTCAATCAAATGAATTCCAGAGAACAGGACTTTATATTATTCAAAAACCTGTTTCTAGAATGAGTTGACCTTACGATTTTGAACGACAGAATCAGAACGAAATTTTTGTTTTGGTGCTGTAAGAGATGAAATTTATCCTTGAAATTTAAACAATGTTGATCTTACCTTTTAGCTTTGCATTTAATCGCATTAATATAATCTTGTGCACTCATGAAATGCCTGCAACTATTGGCAAACAAAAAACTATTTTCTACTGTCAGATATTGTCTTTGCTAAAACACGTTGGTTTCAAAAGTATATTTCTGGAATGGTGCAAGAAATTCCATGCGCAATATCTGTTATAATACCGACGTGACCACATCGCATATTCAAATCCAAGAACTTCCGTTAGAAAACTTGCTCTATAATTTCATGATCGGCTATTACACCAAACTATGACATTTTTGTAAGATAAATGATAAATCTGTGTGTAACTTTTAGAATTTATTGAGAGATTGGATTCAACGTTAAACCATACTTTTGAAGCAATTGAAATTCGCCAACCTTGATTAATAAAGGATGTCATCTAAAATTCTAAAATGAAATCTAATAACTAAAACGCAATTTAGTACATTACCCTCGATCAATTATTGCATGAGTTAAATCATCATAAAATAATTTAGCTGCCAAATAGTTTAAAACTTTTGAATCAGTGACGGATCTAGGGTACGTCAAAATAAATTACTGCTGCACATTTTGGCATATATTTACATTTATAAGCACCTAAGAGGAAAAAAATAGGTTTTTTGAGGAAAGAAACCATTTTTTATATCTGAAAGTACTTTGAATTTAAAAATTGAGGAGCTATAATTTATTTTGACGATTGCTTGATCTGCTGCTGTTTAGAACCATAATTACTATTTGTTTTTGAAAGTTACACAACTGTGCTGACACTTCTGCTTCTGACGATTTCGATTTCAAAGGCTGGAACTCCGAAAGTTGTCGTATTTGACTAAAAAAATATAATTTTTTGAGGCTTGCTTGGGCTATAAAAAGTGCTTTTTGTGTTTCTTTACTAACGTTTCAAGGAAAAGTGCTATCTCAGAGCTGCCGAAAGGCAACCACTCTGAACCTTTTGCTGTAGAAAAGAGGGCTATGATTTGTTGTTAGGTTTTCCTTTTGTCCATCATTTCGCAGCTCGCATCTAATTTTATTACGTATAGTTTGTAGCGTAATTCCTCCCACAAGCAGGTAGTCAGAAAGAACTTACTAACTTCTCGTCTTCGTATCATATTGTAATCACCTACCTGTTACGCTGAGATTCAAATTTCTCCATTCACAAAGCAACAAAAATTTATTTTCAACGAACAAACAGTAAAAAAGTGTAAAAAAATTTTGTACAAAAAACATGAACAAGCTCAAATGGTGTGAGGGTCTTCGGGGTGCACTACTATGAAATGGCGAATCTTTTCAAATTTTAATCAAATATGAACGCATTGCAAGTTGGAAGAAAACGTTGAAAAGTTGATAGCTTGATTCATCAGATTCCTCATACGTTACTTAGTAGTACCATCACGGCGATTTTCGACTAAATAACATTTCAATATTGAGTATTTACCGCAGTTGGCCCTAACTTTTCGCAGTGGTCGACTATGATTACCTAATATAGTGTCTCTTATCGTCACTGTGAATGGTTGATTTCGATCATTAGTTGTAAAATATGAGTGTAAAAAATGGTTCGAAAAAAATATAGCTAGCTGTATCACAGGTTAATTAAAAATCTCTCCTCTTATCAAAATTCCTTAAACCGAGAACCAGAAAATTCCCTGGACCTAGCTCACTGCTATTATCCTCACTTAATTGGACCTAGCTCACTAAGATATGAAACGTAAGTGGTAGTTTGTATTCGGCAATTTTTGATAATATTTGTCTTCACTTTATCCCCAGGATCTTATTTTGGACAGGAGTGCGCTTGTGCAGTTTTATGTGATTTGCTAAAAATAACGATGGTTGAAATCGTAAAAACTACGACAGTTGAATGACCAAAAACAAAAACGTTGTGCACGTCAAATGAGTCGAACTTTTTTTTAACATGAACTGGTGACGACATCCATCACGTGTCAAGATCTCTCCAATAGCGTTGGGCTTACACAGGCTTACATTCTAGCATACATGTCTGATTCACAATAATATTTAAGTCACAAAATAGTCAAAGGGACATCACATGACATTCCTTGAGAAAAATTTCAATACACAACTTGTTAAACTTGTTTCCGGGAATTTTATGCTCATGAAAAATACTTTCAGATCATAGACTTTCCCAAAATTTAATGAAAAATTTATAAAATTTAGTATCCGATGCATTTAGTGCTCTTGTATCGGTGCAAGACAAATGATCGGATTTTCTTGCTTTGTTGACGGAAGAGAATCGGAAGAAGAGGAACATGGGCGCATGGCGGCAGACTCTAACACGCCTTCGCGCGTATTGTTGGGCGGTTGTTCCATGAAAGCTTTGCAAGGATGAATGGGTTCACGTTGCCTTCGCACGAAGTGAATGGAGAAGCCGTATTCCGTTGGCATCGTCAACAGGATGAGAACGGGGTTTACAGCGGATCCGCCATAGAAAAATGTGCTCGCCGTAGACCACGCGTAAAGAGAATTGAAATCGACCATCGTATGCAAACGGATCAAAATTAAGAAAACTACATTGGGAGTGTAGCTTACCCAACACGAGAGAATGAGCAAGATGAGCAGAATGGTCATCTTTCGGTTACGATGCGTCGAGGCGTTCTGGCAACCGGGGGTGATCGTGTGTCTGATCTTCACGATGATGTAAACGTAGGCTATGGTAGCGAACAGAATGGGTATTATCATCATGGAGATGATGACCGTCACGAATACGTCCCTAAATGTTTCGTTCTTGTATACCGGTTCGCAGAAGCCGTTCGGTGTAGTCTCGTATATGAAGAATGTTGGGACGGTGA